ACTTCAATATGAAAAGCAAAAACGACCTATGCAGATGGTCTTATATCATATACAACAAAAACATCATATTAGAAATCTAACGAGTCAAGCCACCTATGCAAAGGTCAACAGGGGAAATAACGATTGAAAAACCTCTTGGACAGCGACTCTGATTGCACTTTGCCAATTCTTGGGTTCTGCAGTAACTGTTAGAGTTGTAACAGTACAACCTTCCCTTCCAGAATCACTGTGATCCAGTTCGATTGAAGTAAACGGCGGATTTGAACTCTGGAAATCACGCAGATCGGTCAAAATAAGTATGATCTTCAAAGGAGAACTCAGTGTCGATAATGAACTTACAACTAAAAAGGGAGATAAACACAAAATCCAGCCAAATATTTATACAAAAATGCAGAAGCTACAAGCCGCACAGACCTTGTATCTTGTGTTGATCCTAAAATGCAGTGCAGATAGAAAAATCCTCTTCATCAAAACATTACGCAAATCACCATAAGTTTGAACTTTGTTCACCGGTATCTGCAACAAGGAACAAGTATCACATGTCACATATAGTTTGTCTTGAGAAAAGCTCTTGTTAACATAGTGGCAAAAGGAAATAAGGCATCAGTAGTACTCCATTGCAATCCTGCATTCTATATACAGAATTTGAAGAGCCAAAACCTTGGTGCATCGTGTTCTAGAACCCAATTACCGAGAAATATATGCATTTCATAAACTAAATATAAATAGATTAAATGTAGTGAATGAAAAAGTTCTGATCAATCTAGAATAATCTCGATAGTGTATACTATCTTTTTTTATTGGTTATCTCCAATAACTTCACTTATTGAAGATCGTCTATGCATTTAATTCAATTAAATAAAATTAATGTTAACCTTTCCAGATCAATAGGTCAGAGTTTAGCAAACTTTTCTAGCTGTGTGGTTGCTAAAGAAGGTCAGATCTAAACTGCAGGGGGTTAGATAACTGAGTGGAGAGTGGTCCTTCACAAGCGGACAAAAGTGTTTAGATCCATACCTTACAGAACAAATTAATTGAGAAATTTTGTAGCAACTCATGTTGAAATATTTGAGAGGGCTTCAAGTATGCCTTGCTACCAGGCAGGGACCAGTTATGCTTCACAGGAGGCCGAGATGAATGCCTTTCCCTTTTTACAGTATTGGATTGATCTAACGAATGAGGTTGGCTTCCAGGCATCCCAACTGAGAGCTTTGGAACAAGGAAATTAGCCACTGCTCCAAATGCATTTGACGCAGGTGTGGAAGCTGCCTCATTTTCACCAGCTTGCTCAAAGACAGTCTGCATTAAGATAACCAGTTACAGCTGATACTTTGTATTTAATAACATCACAACTGTTGCTGGGCAAACATTATGTCAACCAACCATCTTCTTATCAATTTCACATACCTCAATCTGATCAATTGTCATTGATACATTATCGATGTCACCAACAATGTACAGGGTTGCATTAGCAGGGTAGTACCAACGTTCATGAAATTTCCTAATCTTGTCAGCATCCCACTTCTTAATCTGCTCCTCCAATCCAATCGGGAACCTTTTGCTCAGCTTGTTCTCAGAATGCAGATGCTGCAATAGCTGTGAAGCATACCATAGATACATCAGGTATTCATGAGGAAGACTACTACGCTAACAACATAAACTTGGCAAATGAACTTGATACCTGACAATCAACACGATATTCAATTGTGTTCATCATTTGAAGTTCTGAAAGTATAGCACGTCGCTCTTTTTCCACTCTAGAAGCAAGGAATTTTGGTTGGAAGGCAATCTTTCCACACAGAAGAAGTGAACAGGTTTAGTACGATAATTCTCCAAATCATGCCATAAAGCTCAAACATATCATAATGTTCCTTTCATCCCTACCTCATTCAAAGCATCCAGAACAGATGGTAGAAGATCTCCATCAGCACCCTGCAACACATGATGATTTCGATAATGAATACCAGCTGCAACAAAATTAACATACAAGTATTCTATGTAAACTGCCAAGTACATCGACTAAATCAACTAATCACAATTGCAGATTACACAAAGGAATAACATGCAAATTCAGAGGAAGCTAGAATAAGACGGACTTGAGACAGCAATAGAGGTGTAAGTGGATTAGTCACTTCATTACCACCTTTACTCCACGTGCGCTCTCATTCAAAAACAAAATCTCAAGGCGACATAAAATAGAATCAAGCTGAGAACTAAGAACATATGCATCAGAGTTAGATACATCACAGAACTAAGGGGAACAAATGCAACCATAGGAAAAGCATGCAATGCTTACTAGCTTCTCAAAGGGGAAAAGGGCTTATAAGATGTTGGACCTTATTAGTTGTTGGTGAGTGGATGTGGAACACTGTGTGGTGGAAATCAGTATAAGCATTGGATCGAGCACCAGTTCCAAGAAGTTTTTCGCGTTTCTTACTACCAAGGAATGCAACATGTTCAATCATATGCGCAATTCCCTGTTCATCGTCTTCCTCATCTATAGATCCTACATGAACTTCCATGTGTGCTTCAAACCTAAATGTCAACAAATTTAATATGCGTGTTAGAGAGATAGAGAGAGCAAATACGATAAAACTAGTGTACCTATAAGCACAAGAAACATCTTTACATTACGAGACAATGTTAACAGATGGTTCAGGAACTGCAAAACTTCCCATCTCCCCTCATGTAGAAATGAAACAGGCAAAGCTTGCCTGCTCTTGTATAAGAACAAATACCTAAAGCATGTGAGATAAGAATATCCTAGTATAGTAGAAAAATCCATTTCTTGGGTAATAAAATTCTTCTTACTACAGATGTGGCTTTCAAAAAGATTTAGAGCAGTTCTTTGCCTAAGAGAATTCCTGACCAGATTAGTAAGAAACCTTTCTACCAACAAACTAGTACCAAAACAAACTAGTACCAATTAAAGTTGCTTTGTGAAAGACAAGCAAATTAACAAAGCTTATTATTTAGTGAACAATGGTTGGAGTATTTACATATAGAAGTTCAGAAGATGCACCTGTTTGGTGGAACCTTGTTTGGTAAGATAAGATAGCGGAGTCCGTTTTTCAACTGCCCTCGGTATAATTTTGGATGAGAAGGCAGTTCGGAACCTAAGAACTCAGTCAGACCCATCCTTTCTAATTCAGAGAATGGCATATCTGAATCTTGTCCCACCAGGATGCCATCCGGGCAAGCTGTACTTGCAGCATGTGGCTCATTGGGACCCACAGAAGCACGTGGAACATGGAGGCGCTTCACATGGAAATGGAGTAAGCAATTATCAGCTTATCTTCATATGTAAAACAGAAAATATTCAACAGCATAAAGGGAAGCCAGCAATGCATCATGATTACTGCCCTCGTACATTGCAGCATAGTTGTTCTCGTGCTTCCTAGTCTAACTATGGAAGAGCTCAATGAACATAAAATTCAAAACTCTTCTGCTTATCAAATGAATAGAAAACAAAATTAGGATGTCATAATGTATCAAGTTTGAAGAAATAATTAAACACATTCACAAACTTCTATGTTGATTGGTCAAATTCGCTTTTAACATCGCCGTAGTAATACAACACTATCCATGTACTTAATGCTACTTTCAAGAGCCTAATAACAAATATCTCCAACGGTATACAATCAGTCAGAAGAAGCAAGAGGAAGCAGTTCACTCACTGAATCAGCATTAAGTGATTGTCCAGGAAAACGGAAAGTAGACTTGTCACTGAAGGCTCCCGGTAGGTACTTTTTCAATGTGGAACCGCTTCGTCGATATCTCATCGAACAAGACGCACACTTGGATAGTTTGGAAAAAGAACCTCCATCCATCTGTTCCCCAAGAAAGGAACTATATTGCCTGTGAGCCTTATTCTTCTTTCTACAAGAACTGCCTCCCCCATTAGCAGCTTCATTTGACCACCTTCAAAACACCATCTCAGACACCGTAAATTAAGTGCATAACAGGTGATAACTAACGTCATTACAGCTATTGCTTATGACAGGTGCGATGGAAAGAGACCGACGAGACCAATATCCTCCAGAATAGAAAGATAGTTATTAAGCATCCACGGTAAGCGCGGGAACCACATAAAAGAATACGCTATTCATCATCAGTCAGAAACAGCTAGAAATAGCGAATTGAGCGTTCTGATCAGAGGACGAGAGTTCTTGGAGCTAGAAACACGAGTCCTAAGTGCAGAGAAAAGGAACTATAACAAGAATCACTCCAATCAACGAATTCAGCATACCTTCTAGGGGCAAAGATGGCATGAGACTTAGCATGGAATCGAGTCAACGGTGTGCAACGAAGCCTTGGCAACGGTCGAGGCTGTACGGGACTGAAGCTCTTGTTAACCCTGGGGAAACTTCTGCCATCCTTCTTCGCAGTGATGCGAGGAACGGTCGTAATCGGCAAGAAAGCCGAAGCAGCCGTTGAACTTGCAGACGCCATTGCTGCGTCCAACTGCGGCAAACAGAGCAAATGACTCGATATTCAGTTATGCAAAAAAAAAAAAAAAACAGCAAAGAAACCACCTCCGTCGCGAAAACCACCAACCAACGGGAACTGAGCCGAAACGAAGCTCAATCAGAATTGGAAAGGAAATGAATGATTGACAAGAGCGACGGAAGAAATGCCAATGAAGGTTGAAGGCGTACTTGCGGATTTTAGTTGGCGGTTACTGATTCTCTCTGATTTGGAATTAGGTTTTCGATTGGTTTGGCATGGAGAGAGGGGATTGATTGTAACGAAGAAATTATGGAAAGTTGGAAACCAGAAATTGAGCACTGCTTATTGCCTATGTGCTTGCTTTGTTTCTTTCTTCTATCTCCTTCCCTCTCCGCCCCAAGATTTTTTTCTTCCTGTTTTCTCTTTTTTTTTTAAATAGATTTTTCTGTGCTTGCGGGTTAATGTCGTAACGAACGACCATTAGCCGTGGACCGGGCCTGATCCATCCATGGCCCAATATATAGCGGACTGGTAATTATCAGAAATGGTAACTAAACTATAACCGTTTATACAAAATGATTACATATCTTATGTTTCGTACGGAATGATCAAATAATATCGAACTTGTTAGAAGATGGTAACTTTTGTTGATTTCACGATCAATTTTCCGACTTTCAAGGTGATTATAGAAGGCCTCAGAGTAAGTCATTTGTTAACTTCAACAAAGGGTGTGTTCGGATTCTACAAGCGGGTCGCTTCTTCTTGATTGTCTTCAGTTGTCTTGCTCTTTTTATGATGCATGTCTTAAATTTTAGGACAATTTTATGAACTACAAACTGTGTTGCTCATAGAGTGTTGTTCTTTGTGATGATTTTCTTAGAGTTAGTATCTTCGATTTTGTAGACTGGCTCATGTTGCTTTTTCAGTTATTAGGCGTAAGTGAACTTGGGATAGTTGTTAAACTAATATCTTTTCGGGGAAAAAAAAACTGAGTGGGTAAATACTAGTGATTTGGATCGGGTTGCGGTTCTTTTTTATTCGCCCCTTATTAGAACGTTGGTTATCAACTTTAATGGTTCTTCAATGATGCCTACAAAGTACAGAGTTACAACCTTTTATGATTGTTGGGTTACGACCAGTAGAATTTTCAAGTTTATTTGAGTAAATGCCTAAACGGTATAAAATCTATAATTAAACTTCTTTCATAATTTGAATTGTTAGTCAAATTATTGAGACTAACTTATTTTTAATATGAGAGGTGTTGATGATCAACAAATATTGTGTTTAGATTCCCATGACTCCCATTAGTTAAACACATAATATTCAAATATGTGCAAACTTCACCACATATATGAGTTGGTTTCCTTGAGTGGAGTATTAGTTCCTTAAACAACTCAAATTATTGAAAGTGTTGTTGACAAATTGTACATTCTGTTTATTTACTTATTACAAAATCATACTCCAAGAATATAGAAAATACTGAAAAGAGAACTTCTGATATTACAAAATCATACTCCAAGAATATGGAAAATACTGAAAAGAGAACTTCTGATGACTCCTGAAGAGTCATATGACAAGAATGAGAGAATTTGCAAACTCCACTCCCTAAACCCAGACTAATCTACATCCAATTGCAGGATGTCATCGGGTTTCTGGTTCTTGCGCATTAGACTCTACCGATTACTGGTTGGCTTCTGTCAATCGGTAGCTATGGACGAAGCAGTATTAATCGTCATTTAAGTTCAGAGGACCTTCAAGAGTTGCACCTCAAATATCAGAGGCTCCCTTGCATGAGTTAATAGACTACGTCGAGGACCAAACTGCAACAACCAATTCGACAGAAGAACAAGCAGAAACAGTTAACATGACGATTTACATCGCTTTCCGCGAAATCAAATGCAACAAGGGTCTAGGAACGAGCTGACCTCATCTGGGATTGGTTTCAAGCTCTCACTGACATACCCAGCAGATGGTGGTATCAGAGCTCTTCTCTTGCCTACAACAGGTAGCAGGAAAAAGGGGAGATCATCAGCAACAGTTGTTTAGTTCAAATCCCCCACCAATGCATGATGTCTAGTTTAAGAACACACACCTCCAACTTTCATCCCAACTAGAACCTCCTTTAAGCCCTTGATAATCTGCCATTGTAGAGACGTTATTAGAAGCATGATTTCAACAAAAGAATCTTCGTAAATAATTAGGCATGGATATTAAAGGGCAAGCTAGCTTAGAAGGGGTTCCCATGAGGCGGCATGAAGTGATCAATATCTAAAAGATGGAAAATTATCTCCAATGAGCCATGGACCTTGATTTTCACGATCTATCGAGAAAATAATCGTTTTAAAGCAATCATGCATCCAACTAATGTTCAGACTAATAGATTATCCACTCAAGCAACTATGCTACCTGGTTCTCATTCAAAGGAAGTATGACAGGTGAGCTTTCCCCACTGAATTGATCCACTGTGCTGTAAGCAGAGGCAGGAGTCAGAAGCAAGCACAACCAACCAAATCGACCTAAAAGGAAAGACAAGGAAGATATTACAGTTTGTTACCTGTGAACAAAATATCCATTAGAGCGTCGACATACATAATTTACTTCGACAACATCTCCTTCCTGAGCTTCTGGTCCTTCTCCTTCAATAATCTCTACAACCAAATAAAACCAGGAAAACATAGCTGAACAAGAAAACTTTCTTAAGCATGTCAACCAAAACGCAGAATTGAGTGAGCCACTGAACAAACTTCTGGCATGTACTTCATGGTTCCAGCGCAAGTAACAAATATGATACAACTTCATATCAGCAGAAGTAGCAATTCTACTAGTCATTTGTTGCCAAGGGCGTTCAAATGTCCGTTACTACAACTCAGAGGTAATCCATCACAAGTCTTGAAGTAGGCTTCTGCTTCTAATATCGAATCGAATGGATTACCTTGAATTCTAACCCCGCTGTCAAGCTTCAACGTCCTGGATTCTTCAAGTCACAAACAAACGCAGATCTCATATCATTTATCATTTATCAAGGCCCGATAAGATAAGGCTGCATTCTAAAGATTACGCAACAACAATTGAAGGAAAGGAAATAACTTTTTACACACACACAATTCCTCTTTACCGAATAACTTCAGGCTCCTCCGTTGCTGGAATGGGTGCAGCAAAGGCGGGATTAAGAAGGTGGATAAAGGACATGTGGCTAACAAACTCCACAATCATCCTCCGGGGAAACTTGTTCGTCGTTACAGACCCAAAATCCCCATTCATCGCCATGGTCACAACATATCTGGGTCTCCCGATTCTGGGTTTTCACACGAAGTGGGAGTAAGCAGGAAATCGAAGAAAGCAGCAAATGGGAATATGCTGAAAGACATGCAGCGACATGAATTACCTCGCCGAAGGGTAAAGCTGAAGGCGGAGACGAAAGCTACACTGTGACGACAACAGAGAATTCATGATGGGATTTCCGTTGTTGCACAAGAGCAGCAGACTGTTCAATTCATGGAGCTTGATAATGCTTGCAGCTAGATAAGGAGTTCAAAGATATGAGTTCCCCTTTCGTTTCTGTTTTTTTTTTTTTTTTTTTTCTGGTATGAGAGGAAATGGCGCGATTTTTGGGCCCCGTTGCTCGAGCCCACGGGCCACGGTCCAGACTTTAAGCCAAGGCCCATACTTTCCCATCAGAATCTGGTCCGTTGAAGCATATTTAAAGGAAAAGACAAATGAATCAGGACCGTTGAATTAATCGTACCACCGCAGACGCGACAGATGTAGCTTCATAGGATCATCCACCGTCCAGCGCTCCAGATCCAAGTCCCAAGTAGAAGTCAGCCCTCTCCCTCCTCTCTTCCCCAAATTCGAATTTTCAGAAAACCCCGTTCTCTCTCTCTCTCTCCCTCTCTAGCCTCGATAACGGCTAGATTGATTTGCTACTCACTTCCTTTCTTGTCTGTTCTGCTTCTCCCAAACCCTCCCTCCTCTTCTCTCGCTACCTTGCCCGAAAATCCCCTAAACCAGAAATTCTCCGCCGCACTTCCCTCTCCGGCAGCGGAGATTCTGGATTCACTCTTCTCTCGACGGCGGCGTAACTATCAAAGAACCAGAGATGAAGCATTTCATGCTTCCCAGGAACCCGGTCTTGCGGGAAGCTACTAGCAACGAGGCTCCCACTCCTCCTCCTCCGCTGGCCTCTCTCAAATCGAAGCCTCTTTCAGCTTCTCCTTCGCCGTCAGTTCCTCCCCGGCGACAGAAGCCGAACAAGGAGAATGCACCGCCGCCGCCGCCGCCAGATCTCAATTCCGATCTCAAGCAGCACCCGTCGCCTTCTCCCTCTCCGGCTTCTAAGATCAGGAGTCCCCTCCCGCCCAAGCCTCCTTCCTCTAACCCGTTGAAGCGGAAGCTAATTATGGATGGCGCTCAGGATCCCACGCCTTCCGATTCTGGAGTTCAGGTCGCGCCTCGAATCTCAACTGGAAATGGAAGTGTGGTTTGAGGTTTCTTTGTGGACATGGCCTGAGTATCTGTTTCTCTTGTGACTCGTTGGGAGAGGCATTTTTGGAAGCTTTAATTTAGTTTATGAATCCTTCTTTACTGTTTTCCTTTTCCATATGCATCTATGAATGTCTGTCTTCTGCCTTCCTGGCTGATTTCCCCATGTTCTATACTGATGTATCAGGTTGTTGTTAGAATGCGTCCACTGAGTAAGGATGAGGAAGGAGAATTGACAGTGCAGAAGCTTTCCCATGATTCCCTCAGCATCAATGGACACAACTTCACCTTCGATTCTGTTGCTGATATAGAGGCAACACAGGTATACCCTCCTTCAATAAGCTGTGGGTGATTTCCAAAAGTTTTTGGATTGTGCTCTTGAACCTTTATTTTCTTCTTTGTAACTATGATCATCTTGTTTCCGCAGCAAGACATTTTCAAGCTTATAGGAGCCCCTCTCGTTGAGAATTGTCTAGCTGGATTTAACAGTTCAGTATTCGCCTATGGACAGGTATCTATCTTCTTTGCATCTACTGTGCTTTGCTTTGTTCTCCAAATAGTTGTACAACTACAATGTCATGTTGTCATATATCACAATCATTATCCCCTTGCATGAAAATTGTTCAGACTGGGAGTGGAAAGACATACACTATCTGGGGTCCTTCTAACATCTTGTCAGAAGTTGGCTCCTCAAGTGATCAACAAGGTTTAACCCCTCGTGTCTTCGAACGGCTCTTTGCCCGCATAAATGAGGCAAGTCAATCTTTTTGTTAGACTTTGTTGCTATCTCCTGCAAATGTTTTTCACTGTTGTAACCTGAGTATTTCCACTCCAGGAGCAAATCAAGCATGCTGACAGGCAACTCAAGTATCAGTGCCGGTGCTCTTTTCTAGAGGTTGAATGCTTGCACCATTTGTGTCTTATAATTGATTTCTCGAGCTTTCTTGTTGTTCTCCCTGCTTGATTCTCCATTTCCATGTTGCAGATTTATAATGAACAGATTACTGATTTGTTGGACCCAAGTCAAAGAAACCTCCAGGTAAAATTGAGCAAAGGTTCTGTAGCTTTATCATCAGTGTTTCAATGAGCACATAAATAGCTTCTGCATATTCATATCAGTTCTTTCTTTGCAGATAAGAGAAGATGTAAAGTCTGGTTTGTATGTTGAAAATCTGACGGAGGAGCATGTTTTCACATTGAGAGATGTAACTCGGCTACTGATAAAGGTTTGGACTCCTGATATGTAAATTGAACTTCGTCAGCATTGTCTATGAACTATCTAGATGCTGAAGTACATGGACAATTATGTGCCTGATACTTTGTAATTAATGAAAGTACATCCTTACCATACATCAATGAAAGTAATTAGATGTTCTTAAATTTACGTGTGGCATGCTCGATTGTATTGTAATCCATTTGGAACAGCTTTTCCATATAGAGGATTTCTTGAATTGGCTGTTGGAAAATACTGCACCTAGCTTGAGTTCATATATACGTCTTTTAATAAATCAAAACTAGGAAGTTGTGAACATCTTAATCTATTGTCCATGAAAGCAAAAACCGAAAGAAGCACCCATGTAGTTGCTCAGTTTGCCAACCTAGTCTGGAATTGGATAACAGCTTTGGTCATTAGGATATTTGGAAGTGTAGTTTTTTTTTTTTTGACGATTTCTATTGGTACTCATTTATGTATCTGTAGGTAATTTCTCATTCATTTTCAATGTCTTATCCTCCTCTATGCACAACCTTCTGTATTTAAATTGTCTCCTGGATAGCTCTTTTACTTTGATCACTAAGCTGGTTGTATGATTTGCAGGGATTATCCAATAGGAGAACAGGTGCAACCAGTGTTAATGCAGAAAGTTCCCGCTCACACAGTGTCTTCACCTGCATTGTTGAATCCCGATGCAAGGTAACATTGTTAACTTTAGTTTTTGATATGGTTGGGAGAGAAATGTTTGGTATAAGCCTTCTCTTGCCTACTGTTTGTCACGAGATCACATATAAATACTTGTAGTCTCACATGAAGTATATGTTTTGTAGAGCATGGCTGATGGCAAAAGCAGCTTAAAAACAAGTAGAATAAATCTTGTTGATCTTGCTGGGTCAGAGCGACAGAAATTGACCGGGGCTGCTGGGGAACGACTGAAGGAAGCTGGAAATATTAATCGATCTCTCTCACAGCTTGGGTATGTTGTGTTTTTAGACCACTAAGTACTGGTCCTAAAAAGTTATATTCTGCTCTAAATTTCTTTATGAGAGGACACTTGATCTTGGCCACTGGCATACATACAGTTTTCATACTGTTGTTGTCAAATTCTGTTAGCACTTAGAGTTATAGTGTTAGTCTATCATTTTGCATTTGGGAACGTTAAGTAGGATGGGCTAGGTGCTAGTTTGCTTTTGGCATTCTCTTCCCCAAAAAGTTAGTTTTTGACATTCTTATTTAGGAAAATGTTCGCCCCCTGGGCTTCTGAAGGTCATGCTCTTAGGTTTTAGTTGAAGGAGAATCCAATAGCATGGGATTGTTTCCATAGTTTGAAATTGATGCTTTCTCCCTGGAGACTGATTGTACAGCACAATGGGGAATCTGTAGCAATGATAATCTATTTGACATGGAGAATCTTATATGCTTCAATTTGCAGAAACTTGATAAATATACTAGCCGAAGTGTCGCAGACAGGAAAACAGAGGCATATACCTTACAGAGACTCCAAGTTGACTTTCCTATTGCAGGAATCACTTGGAGGCAATGCAAAATTAGCAATGATTTGTGCTGTTTCACCCGCTCAGAGGTTAGAAAAAGCAGGCTAATTCATTTCAAGCAACTCCATTTCCCAAATTTTGTATTTCTCATGATTGTTGTTTATCAACAATGCAGCTGTAAGAGCGAGACTTTTAGCACATTGCGATTTGCACAGCGTGCAAAGGCAATAAAAAACAAAGCGGTTGTTAATGAAGAAATGGAGGATGATGTGAATCATTTGAGAGAAGTGATACGGCAGCTAAGGGTAACTTCTTCACCAAAAACTGGTTGACTATGTTCAGTACTGGATATTTTGTGTCTTATAACTCATATCAATTGATGTATCAGGATGAGCTTCACCGAGTGAAGGCAAACAATACCAACCAAACAGGTTGGGATCCTCACAAAAGCCTAAATATCTTGAAAAGCCTCATGCATCCACACTCTCTGCTCCCTAAAATGGACGAGGATAGTGATGAGGAAATGGAAATCGATGAAGAAGCTGTTGAGAAGTTATATGCAGCAGTCTCTGAATATCAGCCTACCTGTAACAGCAGATGTGCAATACAAGATGTTGATATGGAAGAAGGCACATCTGAACAAGTTGAGGATCGGAGTATTTCTATTGGAGGCTGCACTGATCCTGCTGCTAGTACAACTCCAGGTTTATGCACTGTCCACTTGCACTCACACTGCTTGTGTTTTGCTGAACTATCAAAAGTAGGTTTTGCTTATTGGCTTTGTTGGTGTGCTTGATACAGATACCAATGATAATACTGCTGATCACACTACAAATGAAGTCTTGGATCATGCTGCATTGACTGCCACCTCTGATTCTCAAACCGGAGTCTTAACTGGAGCTGTGCTGCCGGTTCTCAAGTCACCTACTCCAAGTGTTTCACCCAAACTCACTGGCAGCAGGAAAAGTCTGAAGACTTCATGCATGTTGACTGCTTCTCAAAAAGCTTCCATTGATGGACGAGAGGCATGCCAGGAGAAGTCATTTGCTCTTGCAAAACCCAAAGAAAGTTCTTCAGCTCTGGCTACTAGCACAAGCAGAAGCGTTTTCGCATCAACTGATCAGTTGGCAGCGAGCATCCATCGGGGACTGGAAATTATAGACAGCCACCCAAGAAGTTCAGCTTTCAGGCGGTCGGCTTTTAGATTTTCATACAAACCTGCTGCAGAAACTCAGCCAAGCCTCATCGTCGAAAAGTTTGATGTTGGAGTCCAGACAATGTCTCATGATTATGATCAGGTCGAGTACATATGCAAGATATGCAAGGGAAAAACAGAACCCGAGGTGGTAAATGGCATTGATGACTGCTGCTCAAACCTTCAGTTGGTTCCTGTTGAGGGCTCAAACCTTCAGTTGGTACCTGTTGAAGGCTCAGGCTCTGCCGAAAAGTCCAAAATGCTAGTCCCCAAGGTAAGTAACCTGTCTGTTTGTTAGTTGTTGTACTAGTCTCTCTTGTATGAACTTACTTTTGATGTCAAATAAATACAGGCAGTGGAAAAGGTATTAGCTGGAGCTATCAGAAGAGAGATGGCTCTTGAAGAGTACTGCGCAAAACAGGATTCGGAAATAAGGCAGCTTAACCGTCTGGTAGGTTTACAGCCATTGTTTTTTCCTTCCCCCAATCTCTGGATCTGCTTGAATTTACCTTTTGAAACGTTCGTCACAGGTGCAACAATACAAGCATGAGAGGGAATGCAATGCTATCATTAGTCAGACAAAGGAGGACAAAATTCTGCGCCTTGAGAGCCTTATGGATGGTGTCCTGCCTACAGAGGAATTCGTGGAGGAAGAGTTTGCATCACTCATGCATGAGCACAAGGTGGATATGGTTTCTTATATTATCTTTTCTAGATGTAATTTACATTCCACATTGCCTCACTCAATGATTTTTCCAGCTTCTCAAGGACAAGTGCGACAACCATCCTGAAGTCTCAAGGCTGAACATTGAGCTCAAAAGAGCCCAGGAAGAGCTGCAAAACTACCGGAATTTCTGTGATTTAGGTGAAAGAGAAGTTCTTTTGGAGGAACTTCAAGACTTGAGAAGCCAGCTACAGTTTTATGTAGACTCCTCATCAGCATCTGCTCTTAAAAGGAGATCGGTATTGGAGCTGACGTATCTGAATGAACAACAGCCCAATCTTGGCACAATCCCAGAGTCTAGCGAGGATGGCGCTGAAGAGAATCTCGAGTCTAGCGAGGATGGTGCAGAAGAGAAGCTCGAACAAGAGAGAGCTCGCTGGACTGAAGCTGAAAGCAAGTGGATCTCCCTTGCTGAAGAACTGAGGACAGAACTCGATGCCAACAGGACTCTATCCGAGAAACAGAAGAAGGAGTTGGACATCGAGAAGAAGTGCGCTGAAGAGCTTAAGGAAGCCATGCAAATGGCCATGGAAGGGCATGCACGGATGCTCGAACAGTATGCAGACCTCGAGGAGAAACATATCCTGCTTCTTGCAAGGCACCGGGACATCCAGGATGGAATCGAGAACGTCAAGAAAGCAGCAGCTAGAGCTGGCGTGAAGGGTGCAGAGTCTAAGTTCATCAATTCACTCGCTGCAGAAATTTCGGCATTGAGAGTGGAAAGAGAGAAAGAACGGAGATACTACAGAGAAGAGATCAGAGCGCTCCAGGCTCAACTGAGAGATACAGCCACTGCTGTACAGGCTGCAGGGGAGTTACTGGTGCGGCTCAGAGAAGCTGAAGAAGCTGTTGCTCTTGCTCAGGTAATAATTGCTATATTTGTTTTTCTTCTCAGCAACGTATAAGTTTAATGAAAAAGGATTGAATTCACAGCAATGACTCAATGCAGTCAAGGTAAAACTAGATTGAGTGCTGAACAATGGGAAAGTAACTTGCACTGCACGCTTTCTTCTCCTTCCTGACAGGAGCGCGCTATGGGGGCAGAGTTGGAAGCTGCAAATGCGGCGAAGAAGATCAAGAAGTTGAAGACCAAGCACGACGAAGAGATCGTGTCCTGGAAGATGCTTCTGGCCGAGTCACGCCTACCAAAGGAGGCCATACCACCACCGGATTTGCCAGAGCCAGGGTGTTCTCCTTCCGCGGCCAAGTACGACGAAGGTGAAGATTGGAGAGAGGAGTTTGACACATCATCGTGGTTCTCGGGGTACGATCGTTGCAACATATGAGCACGGAGCGAAGCAGAGATCAGAAACTATTTATAGCAATCTTCGTTCTCCGAGAAGAGAGGCTGGTTGGTCTCAGTGTGTATAGGAGGTGTAGTAGAATTGATGAATGCATCATCAGTCTGCCGTGTATGTTTGTTGTTTACTTGAGTCAATAGCTATTGATAATGCTGGTGGTTACTCCTAGTCACCATTCTGTGATGATTTTGAGAACCACCAACTACAGATGAACATTGTCAGTCCTCTTACTGTACTGCAAGTTACAAACAAGATTCTCTGATAATGCTCAAGAGTATTTCGTTTACGATTTACATAATCAGTCCTCTTACTATGCACTGATTGCAAGTTAACCGTCAACAAAACATCGGTTACAATGTCATCGAAACACAAAACTTGGTATTAAAATGTCATATATTGAAAGTTGGTGCCGTAAATATGATATTCTGCCACGTTCAGGTAGGAAACTAAGCACAACTATAGAATTGATGGTGGAAACTTGGAATCAAAGAAAATTGATGTTGTAATGTCCGGCTCTATGGATCCGTTTGGCAACTTCCGCCGAAACAGACAAACGGGAAGTGGGCAGGGTGGGGCGTTGTGTCGTTGGACTTGGCCCGTAGCGCACCCGGCGACCACCGAAGAATATACCGGCCGCCGGACGGCCAACGAGGCGACGGTCTACCAAATAGTATTAGTGACGGAAGCAGGAAGAAAAAGGACAACGAAAAGATACTAAGCACCAAAATGGGTAAATTATAATTTAATCTCTCGCCTCTCACTGAACGGAGGATGAATGGTACAATCATTGGAAGCTAACGGCAGTTCCCTTTCCGTTCCCTCTTCTTCTTCGTTCTTCTTATTTTTGTTTTTATGTAGTGGTGGTGAGTGGAGAGAGACGCGCCAAACCGCGCTTTGTTATAGTATTTATCCGATTCCTTCGTCTCCCCTGCACTGTCTTCTTTCGGCCGGCCTTCCGCGGTGGACACCTGTACCGTTCTTGCCGGCGCGGTGTGGGTTCCTTCTCCACCCAATTCCCCCTCTTCCCAACTTACAGCAACCAACCCAACACAAAGAGAAAGAAACAGCTACCGAAACTGAAGAGGTAAGTGACTCCAATTTCGCTACTTTGCTGTTTCACCTGTCACTAGTAAGCCTGCCCAGCTACTTTTCGAGTTCCCAGGTGGAGAAAAGGACCCAACTTTGATGATGGGTTGTGTTTGAATTGTTGGGTTTTGATGGATTACCGCTGAGGTAGAGGCAATCGGTTTTCAGACCTTGCTCTTCAATTTTCAGGACTGGGTATTTGAAATTTTGTGATCGGAAGTTCTGCTGCGGCCGGCGGTTCCGTTGATATAGTGTTCAAATAGAGAAGATGAGTACTGTATATGGGAGCGCCATGGCTAGCGTCTCCTCTCTCAACTTGAGCTGCGTGGACAATAAAGCTGCTGGTGGGCTTGGCTTCAGAGGCAGTGAATCGATGGGCAATTCTCTCAAATTCCATTCCGTTAATCTTGCGACCACCAGATACAGGCATCGTTATTCTGCTCCCTTGAAGGTGCCTGTATGATACCATACTCGGTTTTTGTAGCTGTCCCATTTTGTAGTGCTTCGATTGACACTTTGCTTGTATTGTTGCAGGTAGTATGCGTTGACTACCCAAGACCAGACCTTGACAGCACCGCCAATTTCTTGGAAGCTGCTTATTTCTCTGCCTCCTTCCGCTCTTCCCCTCCCCCACCTAAGCCCTTGAAGGTTGTCATTGCTGGTGCAGGTAAAAGGATTGAGCTGTGGAACATTGTGGATTTGGAAGCACCTAGTCTTTTAACTCTGTTAGTTCAGGATACGACTTGGCCTTATTCCTCTAATATACGCTTGTTTGCACATTCTCCAGTAGTTGCGGCCTATAAGGGTTCAAAAGCTAGCTAGAAAGCCATATTTGTTGATGATTGCTTGCAAGGATATGAATTGTGCCAACTTGATTATCGTCATTACAGCTGATCCTAGTTTTCAGATCTCGATGAATGCTTTCTATGCTGCCTTTTCCCTTTTCCTTTGTAATCTAATAGACTATAAACTAATGCAGGTTTAGCTGGTTTAGCAACAGCAAAGTATTTGGCAGATGCAGGCCACAAGCCTATATTACTAGAAGCCAGAGATGTTCTGGGAGGAAAGGTTGGTCGCCATCTCTCATTGTCTTTTTTATTTTATTTTATTTTTGAGTTTACTGAGCTGCATTAGACCAGTAATGCCGTTACTTGTTGTATATCCCCTCTTCACTTCATCTTGGTAGTTCCTTCAACCTCATTTCGGCTTTTATGCTCTAGTGTTCCTTTCTAAGTCCATCAACCACAGATATAGATAAGCCTCACAATCATCAAGTTGGGGGCTTCAGACTTCTAGATAACATGTACTGCATCTTCATTCCCTACCTGCTAGTTTAAGTCTGTATGCGCCCTTGGTGTGTGAAAATGATCAACGACAGACTAGAACTATGATTCTTAAATTTTTCGTTTCCTCATGCTCAAATGCTGTATGCCACTGACCTGTATCTTATTTGTATATTGTTCTTGGCTGAAAGGTTTGCCTTCTCCTCTCAACAGGTGGCTGCCTGGAAAGATGATGATGGTGACTGGTATGAGACTGGCTTGCACATTTTCTGTAAGTTTGAGTATTAAAATACTTTTGCATCTCACGTATATTGCAATTTTTATTAATTCTCGTCCTCCTACTGTTCCTCTTATTGCCTTATCTAACTCTTTCTTCTCTGCTTTGAAAGTTGGGGCATACCCAAATATACAGAACCTATTTGGAGAACTTGGCATTAATGATAGATTGCAATGGAAAGAGCATTCCATGATATTCGCTATGCCAAACAAGCCAGGAGAATTTAGCAGATTTGACTTTCCTGAAGTTCTCCCTGCTCCATTAAACGGTAAGCACTTTTGTTTTCAACACTTGATTTAAGACACTTGTTTTTCATCATGAAAATTCTTTTTTATTTTTCTTCTTCTATTTGAACTTTCAGATTGACCCTATGTTTTCTGTTGGTGGATGTAATGTACAGGGATATTAGCCATCCTAAAGAATAATGAAATGCTCACTTGGCCCGAGAAAATCAAGTTTGCTATTGGCCTGCTACCTGCAATGCTTGGTGGGCAGGCTTATGTTGAAGCTCAAGATGGTCTTAGTGTTCAGGATTGGATGAGAAAGCAGGTACTATTAGAGCATCACTATTAAATCAACATTGAATATACTATTGACGTGTAGCCTGCTAATATTGTAACCTGCGGGAGTCTTCCATAATTTACGCCATAGAATAACATAAATATATGGCTGTCCAGTAGACATGTTGGCATTTTTATTTTATTTTTATGATGCTCTTTATTGGTTGTTGTAGTTTCTTAGTTGATCTAATGTATCTAGAAACGGTGGAGAGTAAAAAGACTTTTTCTTACATTATGACAGGGGGTACCTGATCGAGTGACTACTGAGGTGTTCATTGCCATGTCCAAGGCCCTAAACTTTATTAATCCAGATGAACTCTCAATGCAGTGTATTCTGATTGCTTTGAACCGATTCCTTCAGGTATACTAGCTTGTCTTTCTACTCTTGTCCTGGACAGATGCATGTCTTTTCATCACAAGATCCATAAAAACTGTGTTGCAATCCCATGTAAATGCTAATTTACTACATTCCAGAGAATCATGGTACAAACTTTTGTTGTTTCTTGACCATCTATATTTTTGGATACATGGAATTGAATTATCCTTGAACGGGTACATAATTTTATCAACAGGAGAAGCATGGGTCAAAGATGGCATTTTTAGATGGTAATCCTCCAGAAAGGCTATGCAAGCCCATTGCTGACCATATTGAGTCATTGGGTGGTGAAGTCCGCACTAACTCGCGGATAAAGAAAATTGAGCTCAACAATGATGGAACAGTGAAGAGCTTTTTAATGACCAATGGAAATGTGATTGAAGGAGATGCATATGTGTTTGCCACTCCAGGTATGTGCTGAAATGAAACATGTAGCATTAGCCATTAGTCCGTGCCATTAGTTATTAGTTTAATGCTGGGTTTTTTAATTCCTTCCTTATCTTCATTAGTTGATATCCTGAAGCTTCTTCTACCTGATGATTGGAAGGAGATGCCATACTTCAAGAAACTAGAGAAATTAGTTGGAGTACCTGTCATTAACGTTCACATATGGTCAGTCGTACCTTCTCATCCTCTTATGCATAGATTCAGGATGCTTTCTCTCCTCCTCCATAGCCCGTTTTACAATTCTTGCTACCTGCGACCTCATGTTGATATATTTTTACTCCAAATTCTATGACTTGGAGATTGAGGAAAGTTGAAGGACTTGATTAATTCAACTGGATATTTGCTAATGGGACATGGATAACTCTTGCTAAATGAATTTTTACGCCTTCAATATTCTTTGCTTAATGATATGGCTCTTGGTCTTGGATGATCTTTTGTAAGAGAAATTCATTTCGGAACCAATGTTGCACTGATTGTTTTATTGTCATAAGCACACTGTCCATCTGAAATTTGAACGTCTTCATCACAGGTTTGACAGGAAACTGAAGAACGTGTATGATCACCTACTCTTCAGCAGGTATGCTCCTATTTCTCTGCCAAAATCCTGACCATACTCTTGAAGAATGGTGGACTCTTAGCATACTTTTAATTTCCCATGTTTAAAGATCTTTGTTATGTGTACAGTTTCAGTGAAATACCAAAGATTCTAAAATCCATGTAATGTCTTTTTTGGTCTCTTTGACCTAAAAAAAGTCTGACTTAACTTGCAATATGGTTCTCCACAACCATATGCTATTGTCTTCTAAAAGTACTCGTTTTCTTCGATTCCTTGAGTGATAACTTCTTTTTTGTTCACCCTCGCTTTGGCAGGAGTCCTCTTCTGAGTGTATATGCTGACATGTCTGTTACCTGTAAGGTTAGTTTGAACCGAGACCTACTGAAGATACTCGTTGAGAAACAACCTCTAAGTGGTGATATATATTTATATGCAGTTTGTACCATTGGAATATTGATGAGTTTTTATTGTTTAACACAGGAATATTATGACCCCAATAAATCCATGCTAGAGTTGGTGTTTGCACCTGCAGAGGAATGGATAACACGCAGTGATTCGGAGATCATTGATGCTACAATGAATGAACTTGCGAAGCTCTTCCCAGATGAAATATCTGCAGACCAGAGCAAGGCAAAAATCTTGAAGTATCATGTAGTGAAAACTCCGAGGTTTGACCCAGTAGACTGACCGAGTCAAATGATATCCATTAGCATTTGTTCTGACGTGCATGCAAATACCCTCTTGTGCCTTCGATTTGACATCTCCCCGGACATTTGTTGCAGGTCTGTCTACAAGACCGTACCAGATTGTGAACCTGCCCGTCCCTTGCAAAGATCTCCGGTTGAGGGGTTCTATTTGTCTGGTGACTACACGAAACAGAAATATTTGGCATCCATGGAAGGTGCTGTCCTTTCCGGAAAGCTTTGCGCACAGGCCATTGTCCAGGCAAGTACTTTTAGTCCTATGGACTCAGAAACTCTTAAGTTATGATTCATTCGTTGATCTAATCTATCAAGGGTTTCCATGTACAATGATCAAAATAAGGAGCAATTTTTGGGCTGAAATCTTCTTTCCTGTGGAATATGGAAATGTACGTGGTAACTGTCTCTAACGATGCTTTCGTGTGGAATATGCAGGACTACGAGTTACTTGCTACTAGGGAACAGAAGGCACTGACTGAGGCTACTGTGAGTTTATGATTAAATGATGAATGAAGCCTTACAGCAGTTTGGGAAGGTAGGAAGTGATTCAGTAACAAGCAGCAGTAAAATGTATGTATGGTTAAGACTTAAGCCACGGTTGTTGTGGCTAGGGGAACTGAATCAGAGTTTGTTTGTATCAGCAAGCAAGGCTCAGAGCCAAGTAGACCATTCTTTCTCAACCAAAATGTATACAAACAAACACTGCTGTGTAAGTACGGCAGTGGCGATAGCCGATATTGGTGAGGGAAGTGTAAAACCTCAGTGAATGAATACGTCTGTGATGATTGAAGAGAAAAGTATGTGCCTTTCTTCTCTTTTGACACATTTCAGAGCCTTTCTTCTTTGTGCCTTAACTGTGGACCTGAAATCGTGGGGGAATCACGAGTTTGCTCTCTGCATGTACCATGCATCTCCGACACTTTCGTTGGGATACAGATCTCTCATTCACCCACTACATTAAAAAGAATGTTTTCCCCTTTTCTTCTTTTTCGATTTGATACATCTTCTTCTTCCTGGATTGCTTCCTTCCTGATCCCAAGCCGACGCACGTGCAAACTGGAATTTGTACGTATCTGAATCTAATGCTGCAACAGATTTCCATGCAATTGATCCATCCTTCTGTCTCAGTCCCTCTCTCTAATCAATCTTTAATGCATCTCCCAGCTTCCAATCCCCATTGGCCAAGTGGCGTCAAGTTACAAGGATTACTTTCTACTCAACCCCATTGACCTTTTGTTGATTGTCCTCTGCAGTACTAAGCAAAACCCACAAAGGAGCGCACTATATTATATTCAATCCCACTTTTCTGTCTACGAAAAAAACAAAAAGATAGGTGTTAGCATGCGTTTATACTTTCTCAATCGTCCGACCGAAAATTGAGTAATAATGATGTACGGCAAATGTTGATATGTCGTCGTATTCACTCATCTTACATTCAACGTGCATCTTTCAATCACAAAGAAGACAACAAAAGAAATGAAAGGATAGAAGTAGGTATACGTTTACGCCTTGCTCAGTAGTCCAATCAAGAATAGAACCAAGAATCGAACGATTATGATATGCACCGAATGTTAATATAAAATCATATTCACTCACTTTATATCTTGCGCTTAATGTGATACATTTTATTTCAATTCCAAATTAGATGACTAAAAAATGTAACGCTCTGCCTACGAGTTATGAAGATAAATTCTACATGATTTAGCTTCATTTATACACATAAGACAAAAATTACTTGGTAAGAAGGCGACCATGTTCATTCCCTCACTTGACAAACAAGTCAAATCCTGGATCTTTCCTGGAAAATTCACTCCATTCCATCCACCTCTTTTTCATACAAAGAATATTTAATCTTTCCTAAGAATCACAACTTCCCAGGTTTAGCTTATGTTCACTCCCTCCCACCCTATTTCCCCCCATGCACTCCATACCCATAAATACCACCATTCCATCCACCCTCCATCTCCAAACAGCACCAACCCTTCTTCTTCTTGTCCATCTTCCCTTTTTTTTTCACCCTCATTTGGGGTTTGATTTGTTCTTTTCTTCCTGCCGTCCATTCTTTACGCTGTTGTTTAGTCACTCAACACTACAAAGCACAAAAATGGCTGAGATCACGGTTTACACCAGGAATGCTGCCTCTGCTAATGGCCTCTCTGCTGCACCAAGCAAGAAGGGCCGCAAGATCACCAGGAAATGTGCATCCTTGATCAAGGAGCAACGAGCAAAGATGTACGTCCTCCGCCGCTGCGCCACCATGCTCCTCTGCTGGTACATTCAGGGAGAAGACTAAACTAATCCATCCCTTCACCCTCAATCAGCAATAACCCCAACCTGCAGCATTGTTTTTGTTCCTTTCCTTCCTTCTCAAGTTTTCTTCTTCTATGCTTTTTCACCCTCTTCTTTTGTGGGTCTCATGTTGTGGTCATCCTCAACAGCTCAGAACACACAGACTAGCAGTGCTGTGCCTTCTCGACGCCACTTTCTGATCAGTGGAGGAGTCCCAATGGCTTTCATAATTTTTACCTCTTTGGCTTTCAATTCAGCCAATAGGGTTTTTTTTGCCATTTGTGGGCTTACTTTGCTGGTGAGGGAGAGAGGTGTAAGCCTCAGTACCCGGCTGGCCTGGAGCATGATGCACAGTTGTTGGAGCTGAACAAGTTTGAGCAGTTGTTGTTGATGATGATCAAGATGTGTTTTTCTGCAATGTCAGATGATGAATTTGGCTGGAGAACAGCCGCCGCTCTATTCCTCCTTTGATCTACAAAGGAGTTGTAAAACTTCCTACCACTGTCCCTGTTCAAAGCAGCCATCAATACCAATGAGCTACCTCAACTGCTTTGCTAAAATAAAGATGGCGACAGAATAAGATTAAGCAAAAGTACTATGTTTATGTTGGTATGTAATTCCTGCAGAACAATGTAAAGCTCGAAGCTTTTATATGACTGCAGAATGTATTGTGCTGTATTACTGAGGTTTCCATTACAATAAATGAAGAATCGAGTCTGTTCTTTCTTAACTCTCATTCCATGTTCTAGATTCAGTTCCCGTGTTTGCATGATCAAATGCTACAACAGATGGTACATTTTACAGACCTCTTTTCCTAGCCTAGTTACATGATGATCAAATGTAGCTGGACAACAACTACATTCCAAGTACAGTTGCTTACTTTCCCATTTTACCAATGGAGGCCATAGCTCGAAGCCTGCATCAAGGGGTGAGCAAAATATGCACCTAATGTCACCGCCGTGATGGTCAGATAAGGCAGCCTCAAGAACTCCTTGTAGTAATCTTTGGGTAGCTTCTGGCGACCATCCAGTATGGCTGCAAACGGAACTACACTCGTCCTCTCCTTCACAGCTTCGAATGCTTCCCCATGCCTCGCGGCTAGTCTCCTGTCCCCATTCCACACACCAAACAGATGATGTGCGATCAGACCAACGGATGCAGCAAGTGCCACTGAGTTCCCTATCCACACCGTGTGAGCTACGCACCACATCACTTGCCCGACCATCTTCCACACCGGAGAAACCAAAACACCCAAATTAGTAAAGCTTTTCAATAGCATTCTCCTCATTTTGAAACTAGGGGTTTAAGACAGATGAGCAAACATTATCCACACATACGAACCTGGGGGTGCCTTGTGATTCTCATGATTCCACTCTCCCAGAGATGCATCTTTGGCTTGTCCACAGCTGCAACCTCCAAAAGATTGAAGGTTGAAGGGTAGAGGAAGAAGAAGGAAATGAAGTTTGATAGCCATAAGACTTCGTGTAACCCGGAGACAGATTGCAGCTGCCACAGCTGAGTCCCATCGTACCTGTGATTGATGAAGTAAACCTGAAAGAACACAACATTAGTAGTAGTAGAGGCAGAATCATAACAAGTGGACCAACTTCTCATTCTCCAATGAAAGTCTGCTACTTGCATCTCAGAAGAAGCTACTTACCACTGTGCTAACAGCTAGAGGAAGAGACAATCCTGCAAACAGAACACGAAATGCTCGTTCTCCTACCACCTTCTCCCCTGCCTCTCTCAGGCTAGCCAACCCACTGTGTACAGTTGCGAAAACCAGGATGAGCATAAGCATTACAACCTGCAACAAATGCAACATTAGCAGCTTCAATTGGCCATTTACTCAACCTAACAGTCTTGCGGGAACTAGGAAACAATCAAACAAACCCTTGTTCCTGATACACAACAATCAAGCAAACGGAAAAACCCTGAATTCCCATTATTGGAATCGGCCTGCTGCAATTGAATTTACCTCGTGGCTGTCGGATACGGCGGAGAGAGATTCGACGAAGGCCTTGCCGTAGCCGGTGGAATTGTCGATCCAGAGGAGGTTGAGGAGGAACAAAACGACGCCGAGGATGACGGAGAAGTAGAGCCAGGATGAGAGCTTTTGATCCTCCAATTGGAAGAGAGCAGAGTCCTCGCCGACGGGCGGCGGTTCATCGGCGGGAGAGTCGACATCGCGGATGGAAGTCCGAGGAGGAGACGAACTCCGGAGTAAAAAATTGGTAGAGGAACGAAGACCAGGGCGGAGGAGGACAGAGCGTGGAAGCGGAGTTGCTACGGTGAGGGGTCTGGGGAATCCGGCGGCAGGGACGGCGGTTGGGCGGCGGCGGAGGGCGGAGAGAGGGTTGCAGAGGAGAACGGAGGACGCAGCCATATTTTTGGGTGGATGGCGGGAGTGACGCGATACTCACTGCTTGTAGCGGTAGTTGGGGGGTTTCAATGAATCGACATTTTTGGAAAGGAGAGAGAGAGATTGGAGAATCTTTCTCCGGCAGAAGTAATGGCGACAAGAATGGAGTTGGGGTGAGTACAAGAATCTGAAAGGAAAGGATCAATTCTGATAGACTTCCCGTTCTTGGTTGCCGCCCGGCTAACTCTCTGGCGTTTGCTCGTTTTTTGTTTTGTTCCGTTCGGCGCCCTCCCACCAATCGTCGTTCACCAAGCCTCGCCTATACGGTTCATTATCCAAAATAGTCATCCAACTTTGGAACGTTGATAAACTTGGTCGCATAGGTTTTATATTGCTTCTCAAAATAGTCATGTATCTTTGATATCGTAACAAAATGGCCACTTCCGTTCATGTCCGCTAAAATTACCGACGAGAAAATAGGGTGTAGCTTCGGTCGAGAATATGCTACCTTTTTTGTGGTGCTTTTAGGATAACGTCTCGGGCTGGTAATTGAATAGCCTATAATTTTTACTTAGTTTCTAAGTGCCAATTTTGGTGGCTTGGTTTGCTTTCAGGGTCGAGGAATGATATGCTTGCCCTTAGATTTCATAATGAAGTTGGACGACATATATCGATGCGCCAGGTAACAAAAGAACATATGGATTTTTATTTTACAACGAATTTTTATGCTACTTGGTGGATGGTGCTCTACTAGTCGGAGTCCTATGGTACTAGTTTGTTGGATGGTTTATGATGGGGGCGAGCTTAATAGTTGTTTGACCACGAGATATAGGATGAACGTCAGATGATTCATTTGTCGTGAAAACTTTCGACACTTTGTGATCATGTGTTTGCAATGGTCTCATGACACATAGCTTTGTTTGGCTGACTCTATAGAGAACGACACGACTTGTGTTGGACAAGGTCAGACCAGACAAATACAAAAAGTAGAAACGACGGTACTTTCTTTCAAACGGCGGGCCGATCCAACCATAGCATCGTTCTATTACTTCGAGTGAATTTTGTGTGTTGGATTGGAAACAAAATAGCACATTTTCGCACCAAAAGACCCTTCCTTGAGCTCTACTACTTCAGTGAAGTTTGATTTGTTGTGTGTCCATCGATTTGCCTTGTGCTCTTCCACCTGGATATTTTGGTATGAATTTCTGTTTCTCCACAACCATAAATGCAACGACACAAGAAATCAAATTGAACGGTTTTGCGGCCGTTCTCTGTATTCTGTCCTGTTCTGGAGAAATTTGTCGTCTACATTAGATCATACGAGAAGCTGAGCTGGAGCCTGTAGGTATGGCGAGGCAGGCAAGTGTACAGCATGCATTACTCTGCCGCACATCCTTCGCCAGTACGATTACGCGGCGATATGCCGTTGCTGCAATTTTCCCCTTCCTGCACCCCATACGCCCCATTTGGCCACATCCGGCCAAAAAAACCAGAAACCTTGATTTGCGTTCCTCTGTTCAGTACATCGCATCTCACCATTAATCCACCATTCAATTCCTCCCCTGCTCTCTCTCCCTCTCTTTATCTGCCTATATAAATTGGAGGAACACCGCAAATTGATAAGCAATTCACCGATCAAACCCACAAAAAATGATGCGCGTTGATAAAAACAGAGCAGTGGTGGTGCTGGTGGTGGTGTTGGTGGCGGCGGTGGCCGGAGTGGACGGCCGGCGGCACAGGGGGATTTTGGTCGGGGCGAGAAGTGAGGTCAAGGACGTGAGGACCAACAGAGAAATTCAGGAGCTGGGTCGATTCTCGGTGGCAGAATTCAACTTCCAGCAGCAGAAGCAGAGGATTGTGAAGCAGAGTGGTGGTAGTGAAGAGGAACAGAGGCTGCTGATGTTCGACGAGGTGGTGGAGGCAGAGAGGCAGGTGGTTTCGGGGATTAAATACTACCTCAAGATACAGACAACTCGCTCTGATTCGAATAGGGTGCAGGTTTACGACGCTGTTGTGGTGGTCAAGCCATGGCTGGACCATAGACAGCTCGTCCACTTCACTCCTTCTTCTCCGAGCTACTCTGCCAATTAGCTTGATGGAGAGTTGGGAAGTGAAGAGAAGAGAAGATAAGATAACACCAGTTTTGTCTCGGCTGCTATGGCTTGCTAATAATCAAGAAAAAAGAAAAAAAAAGAGATCTTTTGGTTTCCTTTATCTGTTTTTACTCTTTCCCTTTTTCTTGGTGACTGATCTGGAGGCCTGCTCTGTTTTTCCTCTGCCTCTCTGTATGTAAACCCGTGTAACTCTGAACAATAAAGTACCGCTGCCTCCGTTGCTCAATAACGATATCTTACCTCCTTGGTTTTTTTGCCTAATTACCACCCTTTTGTTCCAAGATCTCCGTTGCTCGATAAACAAGTTCAATTTTGTTCAAGGAAACCCATGAATCTCCTGCTCAACAGCTTAGAAGTTGCTGCTTTCTATGGCGTTTGTTTGAGTACGAGTGAACAGATTCCTTAAGACTGTGGAATCACAACCAAGCTTAATTCTTTCGGTTGGAAACACAACCAAACTTTCAGAAAGTTGGGGGTAGTGTTTGGGTACTATTCTGTTCCAAGGATGGATGAGAGATGAAGAAACGACAACAATGGCGGAATCCAAAGGCCAAATACATCTAGATGTCGATGAAATGAAAGCTGAGCTGGATTCATAAGGCCCAGTCTGTACAGTTAGAAAGCCCCATTGAAGTGGAGAGCAATGGCCCAAACACACTTGTGAGTTTTGGCCCATAAAAGACGTAGTAATACAATCGGGCTGGCTAATTCCACAATCTATAGCCCACGGGCTTTTGACTTTATTACAAAATTTAGAGTAGTTGTAAAACCCATCTCCAAGAGCACTTCTACTATGCCTATATAGCATCGGTGTTTTAATGTACAATTTAAAAATTGTACCATAACATTAAATGTATCAGTTTAGGTTGTACCATAAAGAAATTTGTACCATTATGTTATGGTACAATTTTATAACTTGAAGTTATACCATCAAATAAATATATAAGTTCAAGTTGTACCATAAAAGAATTTGTACAAAATGTATGGGTACAATCTGAAGTTATACCATAACATTAAAGGTACAATTTCAAGTTGTACCATAAAAACAAAAATCTATAATACCAATACTATATAACATTATAAAATTCCTCCTCCTCCAAATATCAAACCGTTTTAAGATGACGTCATCAGCAGCAGCGACAACAATTTTGACTTGAGGACCGCTCATCCAAGCCAGTCACCAAGTAAAAAAGGTCTGCCCTGATTTCTGTACCCTACATAAATGGTAAAAAAACGTCCACTGCACAAAATATATAAGTCAAAAATAAAAAGGGTGAAATAAAAACGAACGACAGTAATTAAATTTCTAGAGTAAAAATATGAAAAGGAAATTATAAGAAGGGAATGGAGAAAAAAAACCCAAACAGTTAGGAAAAAGAGAAAGAAAAAAGAATTATCATATATAGAAAGTTAGAGACTACCCTTCTCTTAAATTCATCAAAAATAAAAAGCCTCTCTTCCCCTGTCTTCTTCGTCCCTGCAAATCTTCCTTTTTTCACTTTCCTGCGGTGACCCCTAACCTTTCATCCTTCCTTTCCCACCACAGGGGGTCGCCCATCTTCCCATTCTCCGCCTGTTCCTTTCAATTTCAATTACAGTTCAATTTCAATCCCAATTCCAATTCCAATTCCCCCAGTTTCAATTTCAATTCAACTACTATCCAAAAACAAAACAAAAAATAACAGCTCCGTGAAATTGTGTAAAAAAAAAAAAAGACGGAAAGGGATTCAATTAGGGCTCCGATTTCCATCAACTGATCCGTCCGATCGGGGTTTTTATTCCGCCGCGAAGTTGAACCATGTCGGAGATGGCGAACACAGATCCCGAGGGGATCGACGGAGTTCGGATGTCGTGGAACTCGTGGCCGCGGACCAAGGTGGAAGCTAGCAAATGCGTGATCCCTTTGGCGGCTTGCATCTCGCCGATCCGTCACCACCCGGATATCCAAACCCTACCATACGCTCCTCTGCGATGCAAGACGTGCGCTTCCCCGCTCAACTGCTTCGCCCGGGTCGATTTTACCGCCAAGATCTGGATCTGCCCGTTCTGCTTCCAGCGCAACCATTTCCCTCCGCATTACGGGATGATCTCCGAGACCAATCTGCCCGCCGAGCTGTACCCTCAGTTCACCACCGTGCAGTACACCCTGCCCAACCCTAGCATCAATCCGCAGATGGGTGTTGATCCTAACGTCCCCACTGCGCTTTCCCCGTCACCGGTTTTCGTCTTTGTGCTGGATACCTGCATGATCGAGGAGGAATTCGACTATGTTAGATCCGCTATGAAGCGGGCTATCGGGTTGTTGCCGGAGAATGCGCTTGTTGGGTTTGTCTCATTCGGGACGCAAGCTCATGTTCATGAGCTCGGGTTCTCGGATATGTCCAAGGTTTTTGTCTTCAGGGGAACCAAGGAGATTACCAAGGATCAGGTTATGGAGCAGTTGGGCTTAACTGTTCCTGGCCGTAGAGGCCCTGGTACTTCTGCTGCTGCTGCCTACCAGCACAAAGGGATGATGCCCAATGGCTTCCCAGGTTCTGGTGTCACAAGGTTCTTGTTGCCTGCATCCGATTGCGAATTTACCCTCAACTCGGTGCGTGGCTTCTTAGTTCTTCCCCCCTTTTGCTTATTCTAGTGTCAACTTGTGATCCTTTGCTGAAAGGTGGGAATTTTCTGTTTGGATTAGCTTCTTGATGAGTTGCAAACAGACCAATGGCCCGTCCAACCAGGAACCCGGGCTTCAAGGTGTACTGGCGTGGCTTTAAGTGTTGCAGCAGGACTTCTTGGAGCTTGTTTGCCTGGCACTGGTGCCAGAATCATAGCTTTGGTTGGAGGTCCATGCACCGAAGGTCCTGGCACGGTAATCATCAAAATTGAATATGATTGAATACCCTTTTATAGTCTTCACATTTACTCAATTTAAGTCCATTGCTTTGCTGCCGAATGTTATTGCTCGACCCATTTTACTTTAGCTATTAATAGAAAATTGGAACTGAAAGTGAAAGAATTGAAGCTCCTTTATGTGTAGCTTATGTTTATATCACCGTTAATGTAGGATGGTAGAAAGCTTCTAAAGCTATCTACTTTTATTTGACCACTGATTTTGATTGTTCTAGTGGATTTTGGCTCTGAACGTGCTAGTTCATTTTTGTCTCGAGAGAACCTTTCTGGACTCTTAGATGTCAATCGAATTGCTCTTTGTAATGATCTTTACACACGGCTAATGTCACTTTTAAGGGAGATGTGAGTCAGCGGTATGCTGTCCTAACTATGAGATCCATATAAGTTGCTTTCAAATGTATTATGCCTTCTGTTGTGTTTAGCTTTAACTAGCATTTATGAGATTGTGTCTATCCACCCTGGATAGATATATGAGACATCAGTTCAAGCAGAACATCAAATCTATAATCTTTTCTGCATCATTCATTGTAGCTACTTTTAGCATTCTCTGACAATAATAACAATAAATGTTAAATCTTTGCAGATTATCTCAAAGGATTTGTCAGATCCTGTACGTTCTCATAAGGACCTTGACAAGGATGCAGCTCCATACTTCAAGAAAGCAGTCAAGTTTTATGATGGTCTGGCAAAACAGCTTGTCAGCCAGGGCCATGTGTTGGATGTCTTTGCCTCAGCACTTGATCAGGTGAAAATTTCTGAGCCTTTGACTTTGGTCGCGTTTCTGTTAATGAATCAGTTTGAAGCATCGAGTGGCCCACCAATATACTGAAAATCTCCAGTTTAGGTGGTGGAATTTGCCAATTCGGAATGGAATACCATGTAGAGTAGAATTAGATGGTGTGCATTCAAGGCGGACACCCTAACACCCATCTCCTTACTGTATTCCGCAAAATTTCTGATATAAATTTAGCTGCCAACCATATACGTGAATATGATATGGTAGAATAATTGAGCACATGGCTGCTTGGCTTTCTTCAAGTCTAAAGTGGCTCTTGTTCTAAGTTGTCGCTCTGGCTGGTCATATCTCTATTGGCTTTCGTGGATCTATCCGTATGCTTCAGTACTGCAATGACCTTTTAGTTAAATTTATGTTTATTCTGGATTCACTTTGCTCCCAACGTTCCCGATTGTCGTGTAAGTGGCTTCGCATGTTACTAAGTAGAGATATTTATCCTTGAGGCAGAATCATGATTGTACAGAGTTGTTTGTCTTGAGATGCTCCAATCCCTAATCAGCCAGACAATGTTAATTGAATGAAAATGTCTAGAAAGAGTTAGGTTTCGAAGTAAGCCAGGTTTGTACACATTATACACCTTGAAATATTTTCGAATGGTTCTGATCTTTGTTTATTTCTTAAATAGCAAAATGGAAAATTAGATATTAGTAAGTGTTGATCTGGAGAAGCCTTTTGCTTTGCTATGATGGAGACTGAGTTTGTTGGCTGTATGTCTTAGGTTGGGGTTGCCGAAATGAAAGTTGCAGTCGAGAGAACTGGGGGACTTGCAGTTCTGGCAGAGAGTTTTGGGCACTCTGTTTTCAAGGACTCCTTCAAGCGTGTATTTGAAGATGGGGAACATTCTCTTGGCCTCTGTTTCAAGTGAGTTATTTATAGGAATTGGCTTTTCTAGTTTTCTTTATGTATCTGCTTGATAATTTGAAGAAATACCCATCTTTTGACTACATTTTTTCTTTAGCTTAATAAAGACTCACCCTGGAGAACCTTTTCTAGGCGTAGTAGGGTTATGTTGCTATTATAAGCTATGAGACTGATATGATATGCTCATTTGTGATATGTTAAACTTTAGGGTCTTAAGCACAAGTCGCCTAAGAAAAATTTGACATGAAGTTGAACAGTTTTATTGTGAGGGCTAATTTCTATGTCTGAAAGTTGATGGATTTTTTTAATATGAATTTGCAGTGGGACACTTGAGGTTAACTGTTCGAAGGACATCAAAATTCAGGGAATAATTGGACCTTGCACATCGATGGAAAAGGTTGGGACATCAACTTAAAATCTACTGTTTAACCTTTTGTCTTTCCGTTATGTGTTTTTGGAAAATACTTTATTGCTCCCCCTTCCCTGTTCTCGTTATGTGTTTTCTTACTCGTATTAATCCTCTGGAATCATGGGTCTGGTTGCTGTCATCCTTGCAGAAAGGGCCGAATGTTGCTGATACTGTTATAGGGGAGGGCAACACTTCAGCCTGGAAGATGTGTGGGCTTGATAAGAGTACTTGCTTGACTGTGTTTTTTGATCTTTCATCAAGTGATAGATCAAATACTCCAGGCACTGTAAATCCACAGTTATACCTGCAGTTTCTCACTAGGTACGCATGGAGAACTTCTGTTTCTCCATTTTCCTTTTGTTCGTATAGCACATTTGCACTTCTGTTGGTAACTCCATGACGGACTTCTAATGGTAGTTCTTTTGCTTTGTTTCTCTAATTGTAGCTATCAGACACCTGAAGGTCAAACCCTGCTTCGGGTTACAACTGTAACTAGGCGATGGGTAGATAGTACTGTTAGTTCAGAGGTTAGTTATGCTTCATTCTGATAATATTTCATATAAAAATATGACTTAATTACATTTTACAGTTTTCCTAGTTTGTGAGAATTGATTTGTGTTTTCTTATCTTTCCATATTCTCCCGTCCTTGAACTTTAATCCTTCACCATTTTGTTTGCCACTCTCGTAGTAAGCAACATCATAAAAAAATGTTTAGCAGATTAAAGGTCTTTAAACTTATGCGCTTGTTTCATCACTTGCAAATCTGCATGGGTGATAAAAGGCTGCTTGCATTTCGGCTTTGGTAAGTCCCAGATTGGGATGTTTCTAATGCGATCCGAATTGAATGCTTACCTCTATACACCCATGTTCAGCCAGACCTCGGTATCTTGATCTGTTATTACTTGATGGGTATCTTCTCATTTTGAATTTGAAGTACGTGCCTCTTTGTCCAGAGTGGATTTTTGCAAAGCGAAATGTTGGATTCTGGTTGTTATTTTTATGTGCTTTTGCATTAGATCTGTAATTCACGTGAGATGCATTTGGCTGTACCAGATGAAGGGTCTCTTGACTTTTGAATCATCATGCCGTGTTAAAATTCCATGTGGCTTTGTGAAAATTCATGTTTGCTTTGTCTAAATTGGCTGGATAGTGTGTTGGGGTCCCATTTGGCTGTTCCTGACAGGGATCTGGGTTGGTGCAAGATATGTATGTCTGGCCAAATGGTTAACGTTGCCTTGTCGTGGTTGTTTAATTTTCATCTCATTTTGCATCATGTGAAATCTCAGTTCTGGCTTTCAATTATCTCCAGGAATTAGTACAAGGGTTTGATCAAGAGACAGCAGCTGTTGTAATGGGAAGACTGGCATCCTTAAAAATGGAGATAGAGGTACTTTGAAGTGGCTGATTTTTAGCTACTGTGCTCTCCACTGTCTATTTATCCTTTGATTATGCGGAGTCACTGGTCTATTTTCCCTGACCTTATACTCTTTTGGTTCAATTGAACAGGAAGGATTTGATGCAACTCGTTGGCTGGACCGAAATCTGATTCGTTTGTGTTCTAAATTTGGAGACTATCGGAAGGATGACCCGTCATCCTTTACATTGAACCCCTGCTTTTCATTGTTCCCCCAATTCGTGTTCAATCTCCGACGGTCCCAATTTGTACAGGTGACTTTCATGAGCAAATTCTTTGCAACCTGTGCAGTAAATATTTTCCATTTGTATTTATTTTAGTTTTGTTGATTGAGCAGGTTTTCAATAACAGTCCAGATGAGACTGCTTATTTCCGCATGTTGTTAAACAAAGAAAATATTACCAATGCCGCTGTCATGCTTCAGCCGTCGTTGATATCTTATTCCTTCAATTCATTACCTCAACCGGCACTCCTAGATGTTGCGTCTATTGGCGCTGACCGAATTCTCTTGCTCGATTCTTACTTCAGTGTTGTCATTTTCCATGGTATGACTATAGCACAGTGGCGTAACATGGGTTACCAGAATCAGGCCGAACACCAGGTATTGTTTGACTTATGCTTTATCCTTTCTCAACAGTGCAAGAGCCATACTTTATACAACTTCGCTAGCTATTATTAATCAGCCTTTTTATGTATTTATGCAAGACGAGTATGTGGTCCTGTATAGTTGGTTGAAAATAAGCTGCCATTTGGTCATTTGTTCTACACATAATAGATACAAATGAGCTTATCAACCTAATGTACCTCAGAAGACATGTGCCCTTAGTTGCTCACTGATTCGGGCTAGAGATTTTGAAATAGTTGTAGGCTCTTTTAGATCAGTTCTTGGCTGAAAAGCCCACTACAATCTGGTGGTTAGTTTGTTTATGCTTTTTCTTCTGCAGGCGTTTGCACAGCTTTTGCAAGCTCCTCAAGATGATGCTCAGATGATAATCCGGGAGCGTTTCCCAGTCCCTAGGCTTGTGGTGTGTGATCAGCATGGATCCCAGGTTTGTTTCTTTGTTCAAATTTCTAATGTTATTGCTGGAACTTGAACAGTGACCGGAAGTTGAACTTTGTGGTTTTGGGTTGTGAATGTGATGATGAAATGAACAGGCAAGGTTCTTGTTGGCGAAATTGAACCCATCAGCGACGTACAACAATGCACATGAGATGGCAGCTGGTTCAGATGTTATATTCACAGATGATGTCAGCCTTCAAGTCTTCTTCGAGCATCTACAGAGGCTAGCCGTGCAGTCTTGATCTTGTTAAGGGAGGGGTATCTAGTGGCTGAGGAAGTCTCAGCTCGCTGTGACCCGCCACTGTTGCTCTGTCCCTGCTGTCGGTCGTGGTTGCCCTTGTTTCTGTTTGTCTGTCTTTTCCTCTCCCATGTGTTCGAGTTTTTCGAGAAGAGAGATGGTAGCCCCACTTAGAGATCATGTGCAAAAAATAACCGAGTAGGTCCATAACATTCGGTAGGAGAGGGAGGGAACAAGATTGACTTGCAGAGCGAGGGGGACAAAGAGAATGATGTTTAAAAAGAGTTAGACAGGGAAGGGTTTTGTGTTACCATTGTGGAAGGAGGAGCTGTGTCAAGAAGGGAGATTTGTGAGGTTTGGAAGAGGAAACCTAGCTAGCTACCCTTGTGATTTTCCCAGTGTTGTCGGGAGAGACCCCGGGGCTTCCGTATGCACGAGGCAAAGAACACAGACATTGAAGGACTTATTTTTGTTTCTGTTTGTGTTGGTCTCTCTATAGCAGTCTGGTCAGGGCTCAGGTGTTTTATTTGTGTATTAAATTAAGGGTTTTTTCTCTGGAAGTTTTCCTTCTTTTTTACCCTTGGATAGATGCAAGAGAATTGAAATTGATGATGATGGTCTTAGGATAATCTTCTGAGGTACCTGAGGAAGAGCTGAGTTTGGGGGGTAATACTTGGAATCTTTTTTTGTTTTGTTTTGTCTACTTGATAGACCATATGAATATACATGCTTTTGCTTCTCTTTATCTTTGCCCTTTTGTTTCCCTTATTATCTTCTCAACTCCAGCTCGGGATAGAGTGGAATTACCATTCACAGGTCGCGATTTAGTTCGTTTTGCTGAATCGAAAACTGGTGTTGGTGTACAGGCGTTTGATTTTCATCTGCCATTGGCAATATATGCAGCAGCCAATGTCATCCATTCTTGATGTGAAAATGCCATGTGCTGGTTTTATACCATAAATTTCGACATCTGCCCTAGTCGCAGTCCAGTAATCTTAGCCCTTAGGGACAGCATTCCAAAGTGGAGCAAAGAAATGCCATTTACTGGATTTTGCCATAACTTGCCTTGATTATGTAGATGTACCCCAAAAAAAATGGACTAAAACACCCATTGAGTTCTTCGGAGCTAACACAAATGCGCATGGTTGTCACGTTCGGGGAATATCAGTCGGTTGAACTTTGCATAATGGTGTTGATCATGAAATCGGTTGGATAACGATGACCGACATGATCAATTTTCATCCTCTAAACAAAATGATGTTGCTTTAACAAATGTAATTAGCAAAAAAATTAATTTATAATTTATTTCATAGATTTGAAAATCAAATGTTGATATTATTTGTTGGATTTAAGTATAAACATTTGGGTGTTAACGTTAGATGTTCTATTTAAATACTCACATTTATTATTTTGTTCGAAATGCTATATTTTATTTAAATATAAATTTATTATCTACAAATATATTTTACATATTATTCAATAAATTTAATGATTTTTCACATTTCTATACAGTTTATTAAACTAGATTGTACGAACCATTACGCTAAAACCCGGTTTCACAAGCTTGTTGCAAATGCGCGTGGCTGCCCATTACGAGCGGATTTTATGCGCACATCGAAATAATTATCGGCCCCAAATTTGAAAAAGTTCCCACTCCTCCCGCCATGTACTACACAGAACTCGATCCTCAATTCCAATCGCCGTCGCCGGCGGCCACCACCGCCGGGGACTCGTGCTCCAGGGGACACCGATCAAGCCTATGCATCGCCACAATAGAAGGAGGCTCCATCTGCCTCGTCTGCGTCTCCAATCTCATCGCCAACCCGCGCTCTCTCTCCCACCACGTCGCCTACGCGCTCACTCAGCTCTCCGCCGCTCTCTCGCAGCCGCAATTCCTCGAAACTCTGCTCACTTTCCACCCTCACTACCTCGTCTCCCCGCTCATCCACGCTCTCTCCCTCTTCCCCGACCCCGCCATCGCCGGCCAACTCTTCCACCTCATCTCCGCCCTCTCCGCCGCCCGCCAGCTTCCGCTCGCTCCGCACTTCCTCGCCGGCCTGGCCGATCGCATCTCCTCCTCGGCCTTCTCCTGGACCCCCGCGCACCTCCACATCGTAAGTTCCCTTCTCCGTAATTTCTTTTTTTTTTATCTCGCATGGCTGGAAGGAATCAATCGATCGATTAGGTCAGATAGTCATTCAGTTTATGGATTTCTTAGTTCAATTGTTGTGAATCGTTCGCTTGCAGCTTCACTGCTTTGGAATTATCTTGAGCTATGCTCATGTTGACGATCCATATGCTCACGTTAAGGACAGTGTTGCTCTCCTGTCTAATCTTGTCACTGCTCTTCAGCTCCCCAGGTGAATTGGCATATGATCCTGCAGCTTGATTTCCTGCTGCATTTCGTCCATCTGCTTGTTCGTTTTTTTCAGCTCTTTCACCACCGGAATGTTGAGTTAGTTCATTTCGGCGTCTGTTTAATTTGTCCTCGGTTTTGGTGGTTTCAGTGAGGATATTCAGGCAGAGGTCCTTTTTGTCCTTTATAGACTATCCCTTCATGGCGGCGACGATGAGGGTGGCATTCTGTTATCCTTTTGCCCAAAGCTCTTGCGTCTCTCGCTCGAGGCCCTTCTCAAAACGCAGAACGATGCTGCTCGCCTCAACTCGATAGGTTTCCTGAAACTCCATCTCTCTTTCTGCATTCCACCATTTGAGTCTTGTTGCCCACTTTCGGCTCCCCAGTTCAAAGTCCATTGCAGTATCTTGTTGGCGTGAGCATTGTTGCTACTAATTTTGCTGGCGTTCTGCTTGTTATAACTGTGAGTCTATCGATTACGAGATTCTTGCCCACGTTCGGCATAACTAGTGTCATAAAACGCTTGGTCTCCTGGATTGATCTCATTTTTTGCACTTTGTCAATTTTCTTCTGTTGATATATGCTCAACTCTTTTTTTCTGCAGCGCTCTTGAAGGTTCTTGCTCGAAGAGGGTGCTTTGAGAATACATACCAAAATGACATATGCAGCACGGGATCTGATGAAGCAGATAGCTTAATGCAAACCATAGATGATAGATTAGATGCCTCTCCTTTAAGTGTTTTATTTGCTGAGGCCATCAAAGGCTCGTTGCTTTCATCAGACAGACAGATCCAAGCCAGTGCACTCGATCTCATCATTCACTATCTTACTAGGGAAGGCACTCCGTGCAAAGAGGCAGAGATATTGTTAGAAGAGAACATTGTAGACTATGTCTTTGAAATACTGAGACTGTCAGGCAAGTGGCTCTGCTCTGGGTTCTTATGAAGTTTGTTATTAGCTGACCAAATCGTTTTGCTGACCAGTATGAGGTGTTGGACTGATGAATTTGCTTCTATTAATCTTGACAGAATGTACAGATCCAGTCATCAACTCTTGCCTTTTAGTCCTTGATCTTCTCTCTGCAGCTGAAAAGGGCTTCATAGAAAGGCTTGTTGTCGGACTCTCAACTCTGGTTCCAGTGTTGTGCTACATAGCTGAAGTCCCTTTCCATCCGGTCCAGTATCAAGCTCTGAAACTCATTAGCAGCGGTCTATCCAATTGTCCTGGAATAGTATCGTCTTCCCATGTTGAGGAAGTATTTCTAGCTCTGACAAAGATGTTAAAGAGACATGCTGATGGGGAGTTGGGCATGTCAGTGGAGGCATTCACAATGGTTTGCTCAATGTTTGTAACACTCCTGGAATCCTTGCCTCTCCAGGATAATCCTGATTTGGCGGAGAGAGTTCAAGAAGCAACAAATCATGCTATTCTAGCTTGTCTAAATGCAAGTGATAAAGATCCTAGACAGCTCTTGCATGCCTTTCATCTGGTTAAAGAGGCATATAACCGGGGATCCTTTGGCATTACCAGCATAAGAAACTGCATCATTAACATTTGTACAGCACATCTATTGCCTTGGATTATTGCTGCCTTTGATGAAGTCGACGAGGAAGTGTTGCTTGGGCTGCTCGAAACATTTCAACATATACTGGTTCAGGATTCTGATAATCAAGCAAGTCATCTGGCAAATGCCATGGTTACCTCCTCTTGGTTCAGTTGGTCTTTTGGATGTATGGGATTATTTCCTACTGAAAGTATGAAAGTTGAAGTGTATTTACTGTTCAGTTCACTTGTGGATGTTCTTGGAACTGGCATTGGGCTGCACATTCGGGAGGCTGCTGCAGATCTGCCAACCGATCCAATTGATTTACTGTTTCTACTTGGGCAGAAGAGCTCTCAAGATACATTATTATCTTGTTGCCAGTCTGCAGTTCTGTTGATTTTTCACACCAGTTCTCTGTACGATGATAGGTGTGTTCTCTTTCTGTTGATTTATCTAAATTTCTCGTTGCATCACTGACTAATGTTTTCCATCTTATGTTTAATTCAGGGTTGCAGATGAGAAGTCAATACTAGCTTCACTTGAACAGTATGTTCTTGTCAATCGTAGCAAGCTCTTCTGCAGTGGTTCTGATACATGGAAAGCCATGCAACTGATAAATCTTTATGGTTTATGTCGGGGTTTGGCAAATGGGCAGGACCCAATTTCCTATAGCTTAGAGGTTGAGAACATTGTGCTTCAACTAGTCGCACAAGATGATTGGGATTTGCTCTCTTCACGACTTCATTTTGTGTCGTTAAAATGGTGGTTTCGACAAGAGAAAATCCACAAGCTACTGGGTAATCAAATCCTGAAGTTCTGCAGAACCAATCCCTCAAATGAAATTTGTATGCCTGGTCCCGAGGACATCAATCAGAGTTTGAATTTGAGAGTAATTGCAGAGTTGGCCACATCAGGAGACAACCATGTTGCAAGAATTCTGATTTGTTTATTAGTACTGCTAGTTGAGGAAGAGCACCAGGAAGAGGACATTATACTGGTTTTAAACCTCATGAAATCAATCATCAGAACGTCTCCAGCTTCAGTAGATGAATTTTGTTTGAATGGCATGGGAAATGTTCTCCGAACTCTTTATTACAGCCCATATTTTTCTTCTTCACCACAACTATTCATGGCTTGCCAAAGTTCAGTATCTATTATCCTTCGCTGTGTGAACCCAGAAGCACTTTGCGATGATCAAGCTTGGCTTGCAGTGACAGTGAAGGTATTACTCTCAAGATGCCCTTTTTGTTATCATATTTGTAAGTTGATGGACTAAATTGGGTATTGTTATATTTCATGCAGATGATAGACTGTATAGCATCCCCCAGAATGGCTTCGAAAACCTTGTCTGATGAAGGGATGCAAGTAGTTACCAATTTTTGCTTTATATTACACCATTCCACAAAGAAAGCTCTGTTAGATGCTTCCAAGACCATACTTTTCAATTCTTCTCTGGTGTCTATGGTTGACGACATGGTGCATGCAGCCTGTTCAAAAGGACCTGCTTTAGTCGATTATGACGAAGGAACAAGCAGTGGAGAAAATCTTACAGTCATGCTTTTGCTTAGCTATTTCTCTTTGAAAAGGTAATTCCTCTTTCAGATTTATGCAAAGATATAAAATGTTACAATTTGACAATGCGTACTCAATTTGATTCTTTTCGTTCAGTATACATTCTCTTCTTCCAGACTCTGTCGACTGGCAAACTCTACTAAAACCATCAAACGACACCGGATCGCCTACCATAGGCATCAACTGTACTGACTTGTGCCGTCTGATGCATTTTGGGTCTCCTGCATTCAAGCTCATTTCTTCATATTGTCTGGTCGAATTATTTACAAGAGTAACAGAACAGAGAAACAAGAATCATGAAGTAAAGTGTGCAAAGAGTTATCTAATGTCGGTAGCAGCTATACTAGAAGGCTTAATGTTTGACAGCAACATAAGAGTGTCAATGAACTGTGGCCTCTGCTTGTCCATGCTTCTGAGCTGGGAGAGACTGGATTTGGAGGAAGAATATTGGTGCAAGCTGATTGTCGAAGAGATGGCAACTTCCTTGGCTGTTCCGTGCTTAGCATCGAAATCATTCGTCAACAACCACAAGCCTGCTGTCCATGTGACTGCTACATTGCTGAAGATTCAGAAATCTCCTGCATGGATGCGCAGCGTGCTTGACGAGGCCTGCATTGATGGCATATTGAAGAACGCTACAGGGAATAACATGATGAAGGAGATACTGCTATTGTTTCGAGAGTTGATGAACTCCAAGTTTCTGAAGAAAGATCAAAAGGCTTCTCTGAATAGGTTGCTTCAGGAGTGCAGGAAGCATGCATATGCAGAAGAATCTCGAGACGAATCAAAAGGTGACAACATAGACGGGAATAAGAAGAGAGAGAGAGGAGCAGACGATCTGGGAGAAGTATGTGAATACCTCATTCACTTGATGATGTCTGCAGATTTGAATCCACAGGGGCAAAGTAGAAGACTTCTGGAGGAAGTAGAAATGTTCTCAAAGACGATTCCCATGGAAGCGAGATGACCAAGTAGAAATTCCCTTTCCTCTTAACTTGAGGCTCAAGGCAGGGTTTAGTGTTTTTCTCTCTTTTTCTTCATATCCAAGTAGGATTATGGAACTAATCATTGGAGCAACACTACATGATACACAATAGCACATGTATAAAACAGGAAACATCGATTAACTCGATGATTATACTGTACATTACGGTATATGTATAACACAGCATTTTGGTTCTCAGTTTCGTCAGTTACCTTCCAGTCCTAGCCCCTAAGCTGCTTCTGGCATCGATCTGGATACCGAATCAATAAGGAGAGAGTAAGTCCACTTCTTCTGTTCCCTTTCTTCAGGGTCAAGCGACAAGTACACATCTTCGCAGTTCTTAAGGAACTTCCCCTTCCCAAATGCCGAGACCACAAGAGGGTCGGTCCCCATTTCCACTCCTCTATCAAGCAAACCCATTTTCCTCCATTTCTCTATAACCCTCACAGTCCCACCAAAACCCATCTCTCCTGCAGTAAACACGATTCCCACTGTAACAATATCAGGCTTCACGCCATGGTCCTCAATCATCACGAACAGCAAGCTTCTCAAACGAGTGAAATCCTTCATCTTCAAGTACATAAACAACAATGTGTTCACAACCGTCACATTCCAGGACACATTCAATTCTTCCATCAGGCCAAGGGTGGCATCCACGCCTTTCCGACTCGATACACAAGCGTGAGATAGGAGGTGCAACAGCCACACCATGTCATTCCTACTGGACAGCGAGGCGAGGTAACCCCCCAACTCATCTAATCTAGAAAACATGAGGTTCTCGATATAAACAACAGCTAGCTTCCTGATCAGACCTTCCTTCAGAAACATTCTCGATCTGCGAGCATTACTCAGAACCTTATCTGCCTTCTCCACAATGCCAAAGTTCACGTAAGCCTCGAGCATCGCCATCAACGCACGAGGCTGCAAATCCATCCTCTTCGATCGCATGATTTGGTAAGTGGTCTCCATTCTAGTAAGCAAACCAGCTCTAGCATACTCTGCAATCAGCAAATTGTAAGTAACAGCCGTTGGTGGGCATCCCTCTATCGCCATTCTCTTCACGCAGGTACCGATCTCGTCGTACATTCCCTGAATTCCATAAGCTGTGATCAAGCCGTCGAATGTTTGGCTGTTTGGCAACAAATTCATTCTTTGTTTCATTTCATCAAGGTAAGTCAAGGCATGGTCAAACCTTCCAACTTTGGCCAGACCGTGGATTATGGAGTTGTAGACATGGACGGAAGGATTAAACCCTGATCCCTTCATCTCTACAAACCCAGAGATAGCGTCTTCGGCTTGCCCCTCTTCGCTCAGAATCCCTATTATCTGCTCATAATTGGATTCGCTGATTCGTGATTCATCCAGAGCCTTCCATGCCTCGAATACCTATCATCAAAAGGTTCAGACTTTCTATAGTAAAACCATCGGAGTAAAGCGTACTCAGAATTGTGATATAAGCGCACCTGAAGAATGAGGTGGGACTGGGAAGAGAGTTGAAGGAATTTGACGACGGCCCAGAAATGCGGCGCCAGCCAATCGCCGTGCTGAGTGAGAATCTCAATTGGGGAAGCGCCTTCGTTTTCCAGGGTGTGGACTAAATCTCTGAGGCGGTGGTCGTCGTCGTCGGAGCTGGAATCGACGAGAATTGTAGGGACGGCATCTGCTGTAACTACATAGGAAGTTGCAGAGGATTGGCGGCGGCGTGGGACGAGGATGGGAAAGGAGGATGTGAAGCAAATGGGTGGCAGGTTGACGGCGGAGGAGAGAAAGAATGGTCGCCGCCATGTCGTCGGAGATGGTATCGTGACACTGAAAATGTGTTGGGTAGCCATTTCAGCTCGGTGTCCGCAGAACTTGCAATTGTTATACATTTGGTTAATTACAAAAATGATCACTTATATTTGCGGTTGGTAACAGAATGGTCACTAACTAGTAACTACACAAAAATATCATACTATCTGTCTCAAATCTCAATGAGACTTAAAGGGTGTTAAAGGCTGCGACCAAAGTCAACCAATCATTGGTGTGAAGATGATGGAAGTAGGAGAGCAGATGAAGTCCCACATAGCTATGGTAGTGTTCCAACTGGGTTATGCAGGGAATCATGTAATCCTCAGAGCTGCACTCAACTTGGGAATAAGCAAGCTGGTCTTCCCAATTTACAGGAATCTCATTGCCCTCTTTCTCCTTGTTCCCTTCGCTTATTTCGTCGAGAAGTAGGTATTTATATTTACATAGTTCATCTCCTGTACTTTCACAGACACTGTGCATATTTCTCAGCTGGCTACAGTTTAACCCATTTGGTTCTGGTTCAGGAAAGACAGGCCAGCGCTCACTGCTTCTCTGTTGATCCAGTTTTTCCTCCTGGGATCTGTTGGGTAAGGACTAAAGAGATGATCTTTGTTTGACTTGATCTGCAAATGCATCGACGATGGTATAATTTTCTGTTTTGTTGGTGTGGCAGAATAGCATCGAACCAACTGTTTTATCTACTGGGTCTGGACAATACTTCACCTACATTAGCGTCTGCTACAGAGAATGCTGTCCCTTCTGTGACCTTCATCCTGGCTACCTTACTCAGGCAAGTCCAAATTCTAGCAAGAAAACAACAGTTAACTTGAAGCTATCTGCACATTTTGAAATTAAGAGAGAATACTGCAGACTGGAGCGGGTTGAGTTGAACAAGAGAGATGGGATAGCTAAAGTCGTTGGCACTTTGATTTCCTTCATCGGAGCATCAGTCATAACATTGTACAAAGGCCCAACCATTTACAACCTCTTGGTCTCCTCCGCTTCTGTTCCCCAGAACTGGACGCTTGGATCCATCTTCAACCTGGGACACTGCCTATGTTGGTCCACCTGGATTGTGTTGCAAGCAATGGTCTTGAAGAAGTACCCTGCTCCATTCTCAGTGTACTCATTCACCTGCTTCTTTGGCATTCTTCAGTTCCTGGGCGTTGCTTCCTTTTTCGAGAGAGATAACCCGCAGGCCTGGCAAGTTCACTCCACCGGCGAACTGCTTAGTGTTTTATACTCGGTCTGCAGATTAAACCCCTCCGTAGTTTTCTCAAAAGATGTTACAAATTTGAAGCAGAATGATTGAACCTTTCCTGGGTTAGAACTTCATATGTTTATATGGTGTGTGGATGCAGGGAGTGGTGGTTTCAGGAATTGGGTTTGGGATACAGATATGGGTGATTCAGAGAGGCGGGCCGGTGTTTGTTTCAGGGTATCTCCCTTTACAGACCATGCTTGTAGCTGTGATGGCATCCATTTTCTTAAGCGAAGAGTTCCACTTAGGAGGGTTAGCTTTCAGAAAACTTTGCTCCTTCCTTGAATTCTGCATGTTTCCAAATAACTCTTTTGTGTGGGTGATTTTGCAGGGTGATTGGAGCAATCCTGATTATATCCGGACTCTATATGGTTCTCTGGGGGAAAAGTGAAGAGACAAAAGTGGCAGCAGCAGCAGCAGCGTCTTTTGAAGAGAACTACAAGCAGCCATTAATACTTGCTGGAACCAGTGATAACTAGTGGATCAAAGTGTATAGAAGGATGAAAAGATTTTTGAGAGTTGGATGTAACATTGTTATCTACTTTTTTCCACGTAGGCCAACCCAATAGGCAAGTGCAATGTACTGTGCATGATTGATTCTCATGAATGTTATGAGATCTTGAATTCACTACCGCTGCCGTCTGTGTTAGCCATTCCTTCAGATAAATCGACAGCAGCAATATCACCAGTGAAAAACCAGACCATCTACCACATAAACTCCGGCTGTAGTTTGATAATTTCCTTTTTGAAAAGTGATCGTTCTAATCATTGGTGTCATTCTCCGCAGATTCTGATTCACTAAAAGTCTGACTGGAGTTCTCGGTTGTGCCTTGCTGATCTTTGCAGCAAAGAGTTTTTGCAATATCTGAATTGGTTAAAAGAGATGATAATTGAGGAAGGTTTCTTCTTTGTTTCTGTTGTCTTTTTCTTCTGAGAAATCACATTTTCAATCTGAAACAACTATTCAGCTCTTCCTCACTTGTAAATTTCATAAAAAAGACGTTATACCCACAAATTTCCCTATTATCAAACAACACATCTAACATCCATCCATTCTCCTTTTACTACCAAAAATCAAATCTAACACAGCAGCCTTCCAACAAACTCGAATAAGACTGCTAGGGACCTCAGTATGAGCTAGCTCTATTGACAGGAGCTGTAGGATTTGGTATGAGAATCACAGGCCCCGTCGATACTCTAGCTGCTTGGTGTTTTCGAGCAATACCTGTACAAAAAAGAAACTCTATAGGGTCAGTAGTTACTCATCTGATGAAGAACACAAGAGAATTTTGTGACTGAGAGAGCCCCGGTTAATTGACAGCTAACAATTACCTCCCGTATATAAGTTGCAATGGCCTTGCAGCCTTCAATTGCAAGCTGCATAACATTTTCCACGATATCAACTGGCAACTTAGCATCCATCTACAGTTACCAACAGAGAAACAATTGAAGGAATTGAGTAGTGAAGATATAAAAACCACTCAGACATGCACATTGTTTTAGTTAACCATTAATGAAAACCAATGTCCCGATCTTAACCTGAAGAAGAGTCACTCTGTCAAGCTTTGGTAGAAACCCAACGGTGACATCAGCACCCCCAGCACTGTCTTCCAGATAATTCAGATCTGTAGCAAATGTAGTATGATTAGTGCGAGCTCCGACTACCGTCGATGGTTAAAAGCGAGCCGAAAAAGAGAACTTCCAAAGCGTACTGAAGGAAGACAGGAGCATACCAAGCAAAGGAGTGCTGTTGAGGTAACCAGCACTACAGGAAGTCACAAGGTCACGCATAGGGATCCCAGCATCAGCTAGGGCCAACGTTGCAGCATTTATACATGCAGATCTAGTTCCTGCAAGAGGATGCAGCCATGTCATGATAAGAACCTATTATACCAGCAAAGGTCTATGTATGTACTAGTAACACAAAGAACCATGTGGACAGACAGACTCCTTCAACTATGTCCATGATTAGTTCATCAAGCAACTCCAAAAAGGACAAAAGACTCACCTCCATCAGCTTGGAGGACTTGCACATAGATGTCTATCTGTCTCATTCACAAATAACACTACCATTTAGGAAACGTCAAGTGCTATCCATTCTGATAAAATAAGGACTAATCAGTTAGGATATAACCTGAGAGCGTGGCATTAGATGAGTCAATATGCAAGCTTCCATTGTCTGACGGATTACTAAAGATATCTCTGTTGATCGCCTGAGGATAATATGCAAAATATTGGTGTGGATAGCGTTAAAAGGATCCCCATTCTAGGATTTGGAAAATATATGAAGAATACCCCAAACATAAGCAATTCAGAGAACCAGGAAAAAAACATGAATTCTACCAAAGCCAAGCTTATGAAAATGACAATAAGAAATCATTGTCATCGCGAGTGCCCACATCAATGCAAATGCTGATTATCTATCTAATCCAGAGACCTGGTTTAAATCTACACTCTCTAATTAATATCAAACCTTGATAAACTACTTAAAATCTCAGCGATAAGAACCACCAATAGACACAAGAAAAGCAGAAAGAGACAGGTTGCATGATCTAGCATATTCAAACCATCTGGAAGCATACTGATTACCTATCTCCCTTTGGTTTACGCTTGCGGTCACCGGTACTGAAATTGGCCATGGTGTACTCACACCTCACCTGCAATTTACATCAAGCAAAAACTAAGTATGGGGTTGATCTCACAGAAAGTCACTTAACATAAAAATGACAAAAATCAACAATACCAATGCCTGGTCGTTACTCTGCTGGCTCTTATTCTGGACCTGAACAATTAAAGACGTCCGGCCTCATATAAGCAGCAAAAGGCTGTAACTTTAAGCAGTAGTGTCGAAACTAGCAACATTGGAGCTCAAAGAACAATAAAACATACCTCTCTAGGACCATAGACAGCAGCAATCACTTTGGTGTTGCCCATTTCGAAAACAGCAGAACTGCAAGTTCCGGATTCCAACTTGTTTCAGATTAAAATCGACAAAATAAAAGAGACGATTCATTCAGGGTTTTGAAAGGGTACCCGTCAGCTCTGGCAACCGCACCAATCTCTGCTCGAAGCTGCCTCATCTGAGAAACAGACAGGGGAGGTTTAAATTAAACTGCGATGGAATGGAAATTCAGGGAAACCTCAGATAATTCCAAAGGAGAAGGAATCAAGTGATTGGGCATACTTCCATCGGACGGCGACCGTCGAGACGGAGCCCTTCGGGGTTCACGAACTCCATAGCAGCCTAATTTAGAAGAGGAGAAGCAATACTCATGCGCCGGAAGTAGTGGAACGAGAACGTGGGTATCGTTGTCGACAAGGCGGGGACACGAGTCGAATTGATGACGAAACTGCTCGCCGCAACCACAGCGCTGACGGTAACCGAACGGTTTTTCTCACCGTAGAAGGTGAGCAACCACAAGTGGAGGTGGCAGGTGGACGGTGGAGCTGGACTGGAGTCGTTCGTCTTCTTCTTTCTTTTCAAGTTCCGGCGTTCGTCTTCGATTTCCTCTCCGGCACCGTGTAGGAATGGGAAGAATGCGGGAACTGGGAAGTTAACTGCCGCGGAGAACTCTGACCGAAGGGTTGGGATTTGGGTGGCGGGCCCAAATAATGTATTTAGCGGGCTGGGTCGCAGGATGATGGGCTGGGCTGGAAAGAGAAGGTGGGCTGGGATTGGAGACTTAGAATGCCTGCTAACAGGTTAGGATATGAGTTATTACAAATTGTTTCCAAATGGATCAGCAATCAAACATGTGGAAATGATCAACATGATAGCAAAATGCTCTACACTCATGCTTCAAAGTGTTTGGTGTTTACCTTCACTAGTTCACTTCACACTATACTACACATCTCTAAGCGCACGCACGTAGAACAAGTACCAAATTCACACTGAGTTACCAATTACAAACCAAAAGCCACATTCACTATATATAAAAGCTGTATCAGCAACATGATCATCGATTCTCAGTTGACAGATGCACAGCAGACCAAATGTGCCCAGTAAGGCCTTCCCTTCTCTTTCCTCTTCTCCCTCTTTATCTCTGCAGGATACCTTGCCGGAGAGTTCCACTCTTTTCTCCCTGCAGCCTCCTTCGCCTGAGTTGTAGGGCTCCTGACGCCACTATCTCTGCCTTTGTCAGACGCAGCAGCATTTTCCTTCGCGTGGGTTGGCGAGGATCTCGATTTCGTTTCCTGATTCGCCTCGCCCAGCAGGCTTTTCAAGGGAGTGTGCTGCTTCCCGGTATTGCTCCAATTGGTCACCTTTGCAATGATCTCCTCGTTCTTTTTCCTTCCCTGTGACTCGTTTACCACGTTAGTAATGGAGGGGAACCACCCAGCTTGAGCTTTTGACTGTTGCGGATTTTGTGCTGAATGGATTTCTGAAGAACCACCAGCAGCTTTTTGGTCACCTGCAGTTCTTGGTTCGACAAGTGTCATGAAAGATGGGGCTTCAAACATATCCGACTTGTCGGAGTCTTGAGGAGCATTTGTCTTCGCTGTGCTGACTGGCATATCCGATTGGGTGGAGAGTACTGCATTTACAGAGAAAAACAATTGGAAAACTGAGTCAGTGCATGACAATTTAAACCAAACTACACATCTCTTCAGAGAACAAAGTAATGAACACAAGAAGAAGCAATACTTAAAAAACAAATTTGGGTTGGATTCTAATCAGCAGAAATAAACGGGTGTTCATGAGTGCACCATACCTGAAACAGAACCCCAGTGGCCTTCCAGACTATCAGTTTGGCTATTTGAATCGACAGAAATATCTGCCGCAGATGTACCAAGCTGTTTAGTAACAGAGTCACCTCCTTTACCGAATGGCTCAGGTTTGTCTTCAGATGCCTCTCCGACCAAGTTTGCGGTGTGGTCATCTCTAGCTACTGTAGCTTTTAGTGAATCAGAATTCGAAGAAGTTATGCAATCATTTGTCACAGGGTCTTGTGCAGACTTCGGTAGAAAAGCATCTTCACTTTTATCCAATTCAGGTGTCCCACCAACTCCAGGAGTACACTCGGTCTCAGGTTTCTCTAAGCTGGCCTCAGTGCTAGACACTTCAACCATATTTAAGCATGCAGATTCTTCTTTCAATTGTCTGTCTTTTGCATTCACTGATTTTTCTGCCATAGTACTGGATTCATGAACATCAGTAGATTCGAGCATCACTTTGGATACAACTGAAGAGTTTTCCATTGCTGAACCTGAAACTGATCCTGCTACAGGTGAAACATCTCTCTCAATTATTTCCCCTTGACAGTCAATAGCATTCACACCTTCAAACGATATACTCTCTATGCTTTTGGTTTCTTGTATACCTTGCTTGGAGACACCTATTTGTGCTTGCTCGATGTCAGATTCAAGAGTTTCCTTGATCTTCATTGAAACATTATGGTCCACCAAGCTTGATGGAGCTGAATTCTCGGCCCAAGTCACATCAGGTGTATCAAGCTGGCCATGAAGTCTTTCATCCTCAAATATGATATTATCAGGCTCTGAAGCTGCTTGGTTGTCATTCTGGTCCACCAAGCTTGATGGAGCTGAATTCTCGGCCCCAGTAACATCAGGTGTATCAAGCTGACCATGAAGCCTTTCATTCTCAAATATGATATTATCAGGCTCTGAAGCTGCTTGGTTGTCATTTTGGTCCACCAAGCTTGATTGAGCTGAACTTTTTGCCCCAGTCGCATCAGGGACATCAAGCTGACCATGTAGTCTTGCATTCTCAAAGACGATATTATCAGGCTCTGAATCTGCTTTGTCGTCTTCTTTGTGAAGCTCCATGATGGCAATTTCGCCATTGTCACCTAAATCAGACGCTTCATTATTTGGCACTCCATAATTACCAGACTGAGTATCAGCAGCAGGTCTTTTAAGCTGTTCAGCTTCTCTATCTGCAGATGGAACCTGCTGATTCGCATCCGATAATACCTCTGCACTTGAACCTAGATAACCTTCACCTTTCAGTTCAGGGCTATATCCAAGAGCCTGAACTTCTGATGCAGTTGAAAGAGTTTCCCCCACCAATTGCTTAGTTGGACTACTGGAAAAATCATAATCCATAGAACAACCAGAGTCCTTGATGTCATTTGTTATTCCATCTGAGCCTAAATTGACAGTTTGAAGAGATTTACTCCCTTCACCTTTGAAGCCCTTAATCATGGCCTCAGCATTGACAGCATATTTTATATCATCGTGGACTGAAAGAATATGTGCATTCTCATAGTCCATACAGTTCAAACCCTCTACTGACTCACTGGAACTTGCTGAGGCAGGTCCTACAGGAACATCCACCTTAGCCTCTACAATACCAACAGAAGCATCAGTCTGATCAGTAGATTTCACGTCATCCAAGGAACTTCTAGTTTCTATCTTTTCATAAAATTCTTCTTTGAATTGAGGGACCTCGTCTGAGTTTGCAGCGTGCGCTCCATCCAATTGAGAGGTGTCAAAGTTTGGTTCAGTACTTGAATTCACAGCCACTGCCTTCTCTGTGCCAGGCATTCCTTCAAATAAATCCAGAGCAGTAGCATCACCAGAGGAAACCAAACCATCTACCACATAAACTTCAGCAGTAGTTTGATCGTTTCCTTTTTGAAAAGTGCCGTTCAAATCATTAGCATTGCTCTTCGACGCATCTCCAAAATCATTTATATGATTTCCAGTTATCATGGGATTTAAGTCACCCATCAGAACTCCTCCAGCATTAGCAGACTCATTCCCAGGTTCTTTTTCAGTCAAGTCAGTTGTAGCAATAGGATTATTATCTTCGGATACTGGTGCAACTCTATCTGGCTGGACTTCCAAGATTTGCATCTGTGTTGTCTCATCTGAAGTACCTGGATTTAAGATAAGAACAACAAGTTACAGATTTGTGAACGACAATGAAAGAGCATCAAATAATTTTTATCTGTAATGTAACAAATCCAGAATTTCGATGCAGATTTAAAGATGAACACTGAACTGAGAATTCAATTGACAATTATAACAAAGGAAAGTTACTGTTTCCAGTAACACTGCAGAAGCGGAAGCGGAAGCGAAAAGCAACAAGAGTAATCCTCCAAACTTTTAGCATTCCTCGTGACATATATACAGAACATGACTTTAGCTTCCTTTAGTCCATGAGCATTTTGAAATGGATCTCAAAATAACTGCTTCAGCACAAGCTTGTCAATTGAGAAAGTCAAAATGTTGTCATCACAGCACCTTTGCTGCAATGTTGAGCCAAATAGGGCTCTTTTGATCACAACATATAACAAGCAGTCCATCCAATGAGCTAATATAACCTATAAATAAGTTCAGTTAAACCTTACCACCGCCACTAACTGCATCCTCAGGGAATTCAACATTTGCTGTATCTTTGTGGGTGATTGTTCCTTTGAAGACCTCCTCCAGGCGCTGTTGGAACCCCGAAATAGATCCAGTATCAGGAAAGTCAGCAACAGCATCCGAGAAAACATCATCTTCTGACTTATTCGACCTCCCCCCTGGTCCGCTACTGCTCATCTCAAAATGACTTCTCTCCAGAACTTTAGGACCTTGGACAATGAACACAAACAGAGCACCATGGATTCATTAAGTAACACAAACGCTTTACTTAAAATAAACAAAGGAAGGTAATGTTCTGTTTTGTCAACTTCAGCAGATACATATAGGCAGTACATTGGGTAGAGGGGAAAGGTCCAAACTAATATGCCTAAATAAATACAGAGCTGGCTTTGGTGATGAATGTTACCTTACACATTGCTTGCAAGACTAGCAGAAAACATAATAATGGTAGAAGCATATAGAAAGAGATGATGAGATAGAATGGAGGGAGGGAGAAAAGGGTGTACTCACTAGGGGTCTTGAGATCCCCATCAGAGTGCTGATCATCATCAGAAGCAGGGGAATGGGCAGTCTGAAGCTGTGGGAGAAGGCTGTAGCCTGGAAGGGTTCCACAGATCTTCCGGTGAGCACGTCTGTGTCTTGCGTTCGGATGTGGGTTGGGAAACGGCCACCCACATTTCTGGCAGACGTGGACTCCATGGCTCTCATGCCCTGTAAACCATGAAAATTCACACCAGTCAGAACAGAGAAACCGACAAATGGATCAAAAGCTTAAAAAAAAACCCCAAAGTTCAATTCACGAAACCCACAACGCACGGCAAGGATAAACACAGAAAAAGAAACGAGATGGTAATCAGCCAAGCAGTAGAGGCAATGCGCGATCAAGAAGACCAAACAAGAACGGGTCCGAACTTTTGACAGTAAGAGGGAAGGAAGAAGAAAACAGGCGGAACGCAGCCGCGAGAGAGAAATCAAATCCAGCAGAGTGGCAAAGAAATTAGGAAAAGGGTAAGAAAAGATGGGGAAGGAGAGGCCAAATCCATGGCGAAAACGAACCTGGTCCAGCAGCAGGAGTGACATTGGTCCCGTGATCTGCCCGGCTCCCAGTCTCCATTTCTCTCTGAAACGCCGACCAAAGAAAGCTATCGAGAGAGAGAGAGAGAGAATGGGTTTATCGAATGACTGAGGTCTGAGAAGGAGAAGAAAAATGGGGCACAGAAGAGAGAAGAGTAACAAAGATTTGGGGTGTGGTATCACAAGACCCAAAAAGGCGAGACTTTTCACACGTACGTACCAACAGCAAGAAAACAAGTCTACGGCATAAGAAATGAAGAAGCGAGGAAGGAAACGGGGAAACGGGTCTTTCTCTCTTCCCTGTCTGTTTCCTCTCCTTTTTACTGTCTCTACCCTTTGGGATTCTCTTCTTTATCGTACGGACCCAGCAGTAGCAGCGGCGACCGGCGTCTGTCCGGACTGTCTCTCTCACTCACCAAAAAAGTCTAAAGGCCCAAATCACAGTTTGGTCCCTATACTACTTGTGTTTCCTAAAATAGTCCATCTACTATGTGAGTTTTACAAAGCACCCTTTCCGTCTACTTCCTCATCCTATCTCCCGTTTTCTGTGGGTCCCAATCTGCTAAATCTCTCTAAAAAGAGTAAAAGCCCTAAACCCCAGCCAGCTTGGCCGTCTTCTTCTTCTTCCTCCTCTTATCTTTTCCCCCTCCGACGAAATGAGCTCTTCTTCCGACCGCCGGCAAAACCCGACGGAGCTGGCCCTCCGGAAAACCTTCTCGAACCTTCAACACAATTGCTCGGCCTTCCTTCAAAACTTCTCCCAGCTCCCTCTCTTTAATCCAAACTCCCAGTCTTCCTTCCAAAACAACCTCCAAGCTTCAATTTCCCACTTGCAGAACAACTCCAAACTAGCAATTGATGCTGCCGTTGCTCGTTTCAACCCGATTCCTCCGTCATCCTCCAGGAACCCGCTCTGGGCTCGGATTCCGCCCGACCCGATTCTCCCGTCCATTTCCCCGCCTGCTGCTATTCCTCCGTTGACCCCTCAAGCCATCGAGGAGCGCTTGGCTGGCGTCCCAGTCTACGCCTTGAGCAACTCCCGCGACGAATTCGTTCTGGTCTCTGGAGTTTCCACGGGAAAGTCTCTTGGATTGATGTGCTTCAAGAAGGAGGATGCCGATGCTCTCCTTCACCAGATGAAGAGCATGGACCCTGAAATGCGCAAGGATGGGTCTAAGGTTGTTGCCGTTGCTTTGAACAAGGTTAGTCATTTTTTCTGCTTTTCTCTTCTTTAGGCTTTGATACGCTTTTCCTTGTTCAATTTTGGTGTTGATATCGTGGTTTCTGGGCAGGTTTTTCAACTGAAGGTTGATGGAGTTTCATTGAGGTTGATACCGGAGTCTGCCCAAGTGAAGAATGCTCTTACTGTAAGTGTGTTACTGGTTCAAGTTAAAGATGAAAACTTCACTGCTGATTAGTTCAGTTGCAGTTTTGAAATGCTGTTTTGGTGTTCATTGATTCTGGGATTGCGGCTAGTTATTCCATCAATATGTCTATGTGCATTATGATTCATGATCGGTGTGATTGACAATGCGGTTTAAGCTGGAGAGCTTTATTCGACTCTGCATATCTCAGAGTGAGCTGATGATGTGTTTAACCGTTGTGTTTGTAGAAGGAGTTAGAGGGTGAAGATAATAAGAATTTACTAATGTCAGCTAAATGGACATTGGATCCTCGCTGATTTGCGTAACTCGTGTATCTAAGCATAGTGTGGAAAAACCTCTATAGGTGGGACTTCTCGGTCCTCCTTATTTCGATAGTTAGAGCTATTGCTTCACCTGCACCTGGTAATCAGTGGCATGGACCAATGAGCATAGTGTAACAGCTCTAACTAGATAGTACAAATGCAAGTGAGTACAGAGGTGCTTCTGCTGAAATTGAGTATTATCTTACATCTGCTGTGTTGTAAGATTGTTATCAGGATACTCAATTATTAGGATGTGCATCTTGGTCTCTTTATCCACTGGCCAAAACTAATAAAGCTCTTGTGTTGCTATATGATAATGGTGCTTTCCTGAACATGGGCAGCTTTAGGAAGTTGCTATCCTGGATATCACCATACAAAAAGTGAGTCATGTAATGGCCTACTGGCTATTATTAAAAAAAAGCCTGTGAAACTTATCTCTTATGTTTTCTGAAAGTTGCATGCATGATTTCCTCATAATTCAAAGAATGCACATCCAGGTTAGGTTTATTCTTAAGGCTAATTTTTCAAGTACATAATTTACTATACCTTAATGTAATGTCATCAGTCGTACTTCTTCATGCTATGTCACTATCTCGATTCATCATGAAAGTTGCTTACTTTCATTCAATCACATGCAGGAGCGGAAAAAGGCTGGACTGTCTGATGAAGGGTTCCCTGGGGTTCCAGTTTTCCAGGTTTAGTACAAATTTAGGCATTTCACAATGGGTTGTGCTTTCTGGTTCTTTCTGTTTTCTGCTGCCAGTTGTAACACATGCTGATCTAATGCTAACGATTACACTTGCTAGCTATAACGGATAGATGAATCCTCAGACCTGATTTTGATTTCAAAGAACTGATCAGTTACTTATTTGTGTCATGCAATGCAATGTATGTGTTCAATGGCCAAGTTCCCTGTTTCACTAAGTTGGGCAGAGCATGCTTTGTGTTCTATTTCCATTCTACTTCTTTCTCATCATCTTCGCGTTCTTTTTATTTCAGTCAAGGAGCCTGGTGTTGAGAAGCCAAACCAAGAACTACCGCCCTGTATTCTTTAGAAAGGTCGGTTAAGGAAGTAACAGCCTTCTCTACATGGACTGGTTTCTTTTGAATGGTCTGTAACTCTTTTCCCTTGGTAATTGTAGGAGGACTTGGAGAAGTCTCTTGTCCGAGCTTCACGTGAACAGAAGAAACTAAATCCTCTCTTCAGGGATGGAGATATTCAGGTAATCAGGTTTATGGATTTTAATTTCCCTGTTGCCTGTTTGTTTCAAGTTTCATCTGCCTAACCTACTTTTTTCCTTCTGTAGGTGGCTGTTTTTGAAGAAGTAATCAAGTCCATGAAGGTAACCGCCTTGACCCTTCTTTAGATAAAAGGTGTTTGATAATGTTGGAGAGTGAGAGGTGAATACAAGCTTGAGCTTGGCCCCATGGGGTGCATCATGCACCTTTTCCGATCACCATATACACTTGCTCATTTCCCCACAAACCCACAATACCAAAATTCCTTGCTTTTATCAGAAGAATTGGAGTTTGCTGAGTGGAAGGTAAAGTAAGAAGAAACTTTCGATTTTGTTGCAGGAGAATTCGGGTTCAACGTGGAACGATGTAGTGTTCATCCCACCTGGGTTTGACGTCTCGACTGATCCTACCGCCCAGGAACAGGAGTGAAAACTGCAAGTTGGCGGATCATACGTTCGAGTTTCAACACCCAGCATGTAGTGTGTAATGTTCTGTTAAACCCTTTGGTTAGAAGTAGTCATTTCCTTCATGAACAAGCATCTTCGTGCCTCCATCAGCATGCTAACCGGATTGTATCGAACTTACTGTTTATTTCCTCCACTTTTTCCGCTGAAGTAAATATCTTCTAAATGTGGCAAGATCACCATGTTTACAGGAACTGGGGAGTGAATAGAATGGTTCCATGAGAATCGGATCGGATGGCAGGGAAAGTCAACCAGTGAATCGTCCACCTTCCATGCCAATTCAATCCCATTTCTGTTGCAGTCTCCTGTCCCTCTCTTGACCCAATCAACCTCGGTAAAAAAACAGTCTCCCACGTTGCATTTTTACCATTTACCATAACCCTCGAGTATAGTAGTATATAAAATCGTCCCATCATCAACTACCTAATCCATTCATCATTCAATCAATCTCCACCATCATTACCGTTACCATTACTACCTAGAAAATAACTCCCTAGTATCATCACATCATCATTAGCTCCACTATTGTTCTTCTCATCATTCCTCATAATTCATACAGTTATACCAAATTGATTAAAATTTGATCATGGGTTCTCTGCTTTGTTACCGGTGGTTAAAGTCACCTGATCATGGCCACCATCATGAAGTGTTGGCGATGGTGGCGATTGGGGTGATGATCACGTTGAGCATAGGGCCTCAACGGGCTATCGCGGTGGCACCGAACTTCTTTGAGGATGTAGACATCACGTGGGGCGGCGATCGTGGGAAAGTTCTCAACGGAGGCAACATTATCTCCCTTTCTCTCGACAGGAACTCCGGCTCAGGGTTCCAGTCCAAGCTCGACTACATGTACGCCAGAATCGACACCCAGATCAAACTCGTCCCTGGCAACTCAGCCGGCACCGTCACCGCTTATTACGTACGTCTCATATCCCCCGCTCCATTCATATCTGCTTGTAACTTCAACTGCGAACGATTAACTAATTAAACGTCGCGTATAAAAACGAAAGATGTCGTCGCAAGGCCCCGTCCACGACGAAATCGACTTCGAGTTTCTCGGCAACCTGAGCGGACAGCCCTACACACTCCACACAAACGTGTACACACACGGGCAGGGCAACAGGGAGATGCAATTCCGCCTCTGGTTCGACCCTACCAGAAACTTTCACACCTACACCATCGTCTGGAAGCCCCAGCACATCATGTAAAATTACATTACCCCCTAACTGCAGATCTATTGGTGTTGTATCTTTACCATAACATCTTAAATCATCCAATTCTTGTACATGCAATGCAGCTTCATGGTGGACAACATTCCAATAAGGGTGTTCAAGAACCTGGTCAAGTACGGGGTTCCCTACCCAAGGAAGCAGCCAATGAAGCTCTACGCCAGCCTGTGGGACGCCGAGGACTGGGCCACGAGAGGTGGGCTTGTGAAGACGGACTGGACCATGGCCCCCTTCACGGCCTACTTCCGCAACATGGCGGCCAACCAGTACGAGAACTTCTCGCACAGCGGGAGCGGGTCGTTGATGGAAGCAGGCCACGATGATTTGGGCCCGCACGCTAGGAAGAGACTGAGATGGGTCCAGGCCCACTTCATGATCTATAACTACTGCACCGACGTCTACCGGTACCCGCAAGGCCCACCTACCGAGTGCAAGCACGCCAGAGTTTGAGTTGATTGATCCATCGAGTTCGAGTTCGCTAGTTATAGGTTTACAATGTTGGCTTTGTTTCGAGTAATGATCAAATATGTTGCTCCCATCAATTATGTTGTTGTTCTTTCATCGTCATAAGCATACTTTAATCTTGATTGGTGGAAATTCGAATTGTCCAATTCTTTATCGTTTTGGGTTGAGAGAATAAATAGATAATTTTATTTAACTACACCGTTAAAATAACCCCAACACACATTCACAATCGTGGATTCTGATCTTATGACTCTCATATGTATTTTTGAAAATTGGCATAAGTAGAACAAAATTTACTTTCCTTGGAGTTGTTCTATATCATTTCGATTGTCGTTGTGAAAACAATTTTAATCCACCTTGGATAATGATGAAGAGTATAAAATAAAAGAATATGAAGAAAAAAGAAGAACTAAGAACTAGTGACAGATAAGTTCGTAAATTATCTTTTTATATGTAAGAGTATCAATGGACAACTTCTCATGTGATTTTGTATTGGTTGAACTAGTTATTCCATTTTGATTTTCAACGATAATGTAGACATCAATGACTAAATACGATGAAGGTGTGCACTAGTTGTTGTGTTTAATGTGGTTGGTGTTTTTATCAATTTTGTTTGCAAGGCCATCATAACAACGATGTGGTTCATCGTGTGTTCAAGAAAATCTTTTTTGGATCTTGCGATTATTGTAGGTTTGGATTTGTGCTTGTGTTTACTTTTGTATTGTTTTGTGATGGTTGATGATTACAAGGTTCTAGCCTGGAGTGTGGAGAATGTTCTCAGCCCCATTTTACCACTAGAAAAATGATAACAAGTTTTTTTTTGTCTATACTTTCTTTGTAATACAATGTATTTAATCATTGGACAATAAAAAGAAAGATGATCGAGAAAATATTTACAAAATAATCCAATTGAAAAAGTCAAATTACAAACATCATACGAGTCATTTCACTTTTTAACAATATTGCCTTTTTACCACGAGAATAAATGTTAAAATAAAATTAAATCATATACCTAGTTCTTTATGGCTATTAAGAGTGTGACTCAAAAAGCACAACTTAATAAGAAATATATTAAAATTAGAAAGCAAAAAAAAAAAAATGTAAGTGTACAAAACTACAAAAGGTAACAAACAAACCATATTTGTAACCATACAACTTTCCTTTTGTTAGGAATGTGAACTTTCATTCATGTCTCCTTCCACAAAAGTTGGAGAAACCAAAAACAGAGAAGCTAAACATAGGAAGGAGAAAACTAGCTAGGAAACTCTCGTTCATCGAACAATGGTAGAGCTCTGCTCGGCAATGTTTTCGCATTTTCTATTGTTGTTTCTGTCATCTCTCTCTCTCTCTCTCCACTACCTCCACCCATTCCCCTCATCCAAACTCCTCCAGAGATGGGTCACTTCCTCCTGCTCCCTCTGTATCTCCTCCTCGCATTCCTCTTCCTTCTTCTCACCGGCGTGGTTGCCGCCGACGATAGTTTTGTTCTTCTCAAACTTGCCAAATCCATCTCCCCTTTGCCTCCTGGATGGTCCTCTAAATCCTCCACTGGTTTCTGCAACTGGAAAGGGATCAAATGTGATTCTAGTAACACTAAAGTCACATCCATTACCCTCTCCAACCTTGGTGTCAGCGGCACATTGCCACCTGAGATTTCAACCCTCACCCACCTCGAGACTTTATCCCTCCAGAACAACAATTTCCAAGGCCCACTTCCTTCTCTTTCTAAACTGCCCAATCTTCAGTCTGTCTTCTTGGACAACAACAATTTCTCCTCTATCCCCCCTGGTTTCTTCAAGGACCTCGTCAATCTTGAGACTTTGAGTATTGGCAACAATCTCGATCTCCCTCCATGGCAGATCCCTTCCCAAGATCTTCTGGGCTCGCCACTTTTGACTTCCTTCCTCGCCCAGCATGCCAATATATTTGGGTCCATCCCCGATGTGTTTGGATCCTTGGTCAGCTTGCAGAACCTAAAACTGAGCTACAACAACCTCACTGGTCCCCTCCCACAATCCATGGCAAATTCATCCATTCAAAACCTCTGGTTGAACAACCAAGAAATGGGTCTCTCTGGGAACCTCCACGTTCTCGCTGGGATGAGTCAGTTGTCTCAAGTGTGGGTTCACAACAATCAGTTCACTGGTCCAATTCCTGATCTCTCGAAATGTGACAATCTCTATGATTTGCAGCTTCGGGACAATCAGCTCACTGGGATAGTCCCCGTTGATATGTTGGCCTCGCTCCCAAAACTGAGCAACATCTCCCTTTCTAATAACAAGTTTCAAGGTCCGGTTCCAGTTTTTCCTTCCCGTATCAAGGTTGTTAACAGCGGAGCCAACAATTTCTGTGCAGCTCCTGGGGTTGGTTGTGCTGGCCAAGTGAAGGCACTGCTTCAAGTTGCCGAGGCTTTTGGTTACCCAACAAGTTTATCTGACAAATGGGAAGGGAACGACCCATGTTCTCGATGGTCGTTCATCACTTGTGATCCGGATAAAAAGAATGTCACCACTGTTAACTTAGCAAAACAAGGGTTTGCAGGGAAGATTTCGCCAGCTTTCGCACAGCTTGCATCTTTGCAGTTTTTGTATTTGAATGAGAACAACTTGACAGGCTTGATTCCTGATAGCCTCACCACCCTGCCTCAGCTTAAGGTGGTTGATCTTTCCAACAACAACTTGTCAGGGAGGATTCCTGTTTTTTCATCCCATGTAAAACTCACTCTTTATCCTGGAAACAAATTCTTGGGGACGAATATTGACACTAGTGCTACTACTGGAGGAGCATCATCAACTGAACCTGAGGATCCAGCCAACGGGACTGGCCGATATTCCTCTAAGATATCGAAAGGGGTGATTGTCGCCATAGTTGTACTGGTATTCCTTTTTGTTCTTGCAGTTGTGATATTTGTGCTACTTAGATATAAGAAGATGAAGAAGAAAGGGAACAAGATTGGAGACGAGGAAGGAAAGCTCATGTTCGGAAAAGGAGGGAAGGGAAATAATAAAGAAATATACATTATTGCCGATGAACTCCATGGAAGAAGTGGCGGGAAGGGCGTTGTTGGACAAAAGATCGTTGAAGATCATGGTGCCTCCATGTCCATAGAGGTTTTGAGACAAGCAACAGATGATTTCTCAGAGAAGAGAATCATAGGGAAAGGTGGGTTTGGTGTGGTGTACAAAGGTGATTTACACGATGGAACCCAAGTAGCGGTGAAGAGGATGGAGTCTGCAGGGCCGATGGGGAGCAAAGGACTGAAAGAATTCCAGGCAGAGATTGCAGTGTTGTCCAATGTCAGACATCGACATCTCGTGGCGTTCCTTGGCTATTGCATCAACGAGAGCGAGAGGTTGCTGGTGTACGAGTATATGTCCAGAGGGACCCTTGGACAACATCTATTTGATCGCCATCGCCACCCGCTAACTTGGAAGCAGCGAATCACCATTGCCCTCGATGTTGCAAGAGGGGTCGAGTATCTGCACAGCTTGGCTCAGCAGAGTTTTATTCACAGAGATTTGAAGCCATCAAACATCCTTCTTGGCGACGACATGAGAGCCAAAGTGTCGGATTTTGGTCTGGTAAAGCATGCCACTGATGGGAAACAGTCTATGGAGACCCGACTGGCTGGAACTTTTGGATATTTGGCCCCAGAATATGCTAGTAAGTAATTCAATAATGTTAGTTTTGTATGTATATATTGTTTATGCACTGGCTATGCTGTCATGAACCAGTTGATCCCAATAACTCGAGTTGTTGGGAAAGGTTCAATCGTAGATCATATACCACAACACTAACACGCCCCCCTCAAACGAAAGCCACTCACAATGACTTGAAGTTTGCACAGGTCTGAACCCACAGGTCCAATAACCCACAGGTCCCTGGATCGAAACCAGGCTCTGATATCATGTCATGAACCAGTTGATCCCAATAACTCGAGTTGTTGGGAGAAGTTCAATCGTGGATCATATACCACGACACTAACATATGCCATCTATTGTCGGTGATCAGCTACAGGAAGAGTATCAAGGAAGGCAGATGTTTATGCGTTTGGAGTGATTCTAATGGAGCTGATAACAGGAAGGAAAGCTCTAGATGACACAGTGGAGGATGAGACAAGCCATCTTGTGACATGGTTCCGGATGATGATGAACAGTAACAAGAACAACATCCAAGCGGCCATCGATGGCGCTCTTACCGTAGTACATAATCAAGATCAAGATGAACACGAGTCAACGTTGGAAGCCATTCATAAGGTCGCTCAATTAGCCGGTCATTGCACTGCCACAGAACCAAGCCAGAGGCCTGAAATGGGTCACGCGGTGAACGTATTGGCGCCATTGGTGGAGCAATGGACCCCTTCAAATAATCAATACGATCAGTACTCCTCTACTACGGGAGATCTTCAAGAGCAACAAGGCTCCGCCGGAATTGACCTCAACATGACTCTCCCTCAGGCTCTACAGAGGTGGAAAGCAGCTAGTGAAGATGCTTCAACCACGTTTGCTGCTCCATCATTGACATCTACAAATGATACTGATGATGCAGATGCTCAAAGAACTTTCAATCACACCAGCGCGGCGACCGACAGATGACACGACTACGTTACGTATGATTAATTTTTAAAGATGTTACATACAACTTGTAGTTTTTTTATAGGTGGAGGCATACATTTTATAAAGTTAGTAGTGAATAAAAAAGAGGTCAGAGACATGTATACTTGGGAATGAATGGGATTTTTTTTCCTTCTTAACTTGCATAGAAGCAATAACCCCTAAAGAGAAGGGATTGAGCAAGTGTCGATTTTGGGTCAATCCATCACTCCTCGTTTGGGAATTACTTTCTTGTTGCCTTTTTCCCTCTACACGCAATTTTAATATATTATTATATATTCAAAGGTAATTTTTATAGATGATATATTCAAAAGTGATACAAGTAGTTTTGTGTTTAGGCCAACGTCATATAGCTCATTACTTTTATATAATTAACCTTCTTTTAGCAGGTTGAGTTATTGTGATCAAACGATTTCTGATATGGTATTAAAATGTGGTTTGATCATGTGTTCTAATTTCCACGACCTTCAATACTAATAATCACTTTAAGCGTAATTTGAATCTAGTGTCATAAGATTTATAATTAACCTTCTCACGTTTCAAGAGAAATAGTAGAATATACACCTCTTTGCTACTAAATCTTCACAGTGCTCTCTTTCTCCACAACTCAAACTCTCAAAGGTAAAAATACTAAGGGCTCGTTTGAAGAAAAATGTTTGGAATCTATAGATTCAACATTAAGTTTATGTTATTTTGTTGCGTTTTATATTGCGGGTTTGAGGTTCAGAGATTTTAAATCTCTAAATCTAGAGATATCAAATATCTCATGATTGACGAGATTTTACATCTTAGGGTTGGTTTGTAGAATTGGAGTCTAAATATCTAAATTGTAAAGAATCAAAAGAGTCTAATTCTCCGAATTGTTGAGAAAACATTTTAAAATGTTCACTGTCTGGTAACTGCGACTGTTAACATTCAATAAAAATAAAAATTCTAATTTTTTTTAGCAAATTGCATGTTTAGCCTTAAACAAAAGAAGCAAAGTGACTCATTAAATCTTGAGAATTTATTGGTAAGGGTACTTAGTGGAATAAATAAGAAAAATAAGAGATAAAAGCAGGAGGAACAAAAATTTCACAAATCAAGATATAAAATCTCTCTTATTATGAGAGATTTGATGTCTCTAGATTTTATAGATTTTAAATCTCCGAAGTTAAAATCAATGATAAAAAAACAAAAACAAAAAATATAACTTTCTGCTAAATCTTTGGATTTAATGAATCCATGGCGGAAATATTTTTCTTCAAATGAGCCCTTAATTGTGAGACTTATTTCTCTCATGCTTTATTACTTCATTTTTCCATTAAATACCATTATCAATAAATTTTTAATTTTTTCAAGTCACTCTGATTTTTTTAATTAAGGGTAAACTTGTCATTGATAAAAAGAATTTATATATTATAGAATGTTAACAATCGCAGTTACCAAACAGTAAAAAATTTCAAATATTTTTCAACAATACAAAAGGTTAAATTTTTTGAATTGTTTACAACATCGATAACAATATCGGTTTTGTGGTAGGTCGGGTTTAAATCAGATAATTTATTATAAGGTGCCAGTCGGGATAGGTTGACCCATATAGATATATAATTTGAAGGAAAAATATTAAAAATATTTATTTTTCATTAGTTTTTAATGAAATAAGCTATAACATAATAAATATAGTTAAATTATTTGAGAAATTGAGTTTCTCATCTATTTAAAACTTTATTATGCCTAAAAGTAAAATATTAGGTTATAAAAGTAAAATCCTAAATAATTTGAGTAAAATTATATATAATTAAAAAAAAATTGAGAATGAACGGTTTCAAAGTAGATCAAGTTAAAAAATTATATCCATATCCGCCGACCTCACATACGAGACGAATATTACCCGTCTCAAAATAGTTAGGTAAAAATTGCTATTCCTACATATAAACAGATCTAGGCTAAGTTCTCAAAAAAAAAAAAAAAAAACAGATCTAGGCTAAGTTAATTTATTTGGGCCCGGCCCGGCCCAACCACCACGTGAATGAATGAATGTGCCATATTCACAAGTCACAACACTTAACGGACGTTTTCTGCCCCCTTTCAACAAACACTAACGGCCATTAGTTTCCACCGGTCCCATACTCCCATATTCCTCTCCCTCATTTAACGGAGCTTTCTCCCGTCATTAACTTAATTCTCTCCTTGACTTCTTTTCCATAATTGACGCTTGCCGACAACACTTAATCAGGTATTAAGGAAATCCCAAACTTCCAATCACAGCATTTCTCGCATGATTTACCTGAACTCCCTGCCTTTTTTTCTGGTTCGTTCTCTTCCTCCCTCAACCACCGACATTTCAAAGCGGACAGTGAATTTTCATCAGTGAAGCGAAGCCTTTCTTGACTCGATGCTAGAAACCCACAGCGAAGAATCGCTCGCTGCACCAAGTTGATTCGAAAGTGACAAGAGATGGAGAAACCTTCAACAACCCATTCAAAGCGGTGCAACAATCAGCTCTGGTTAGTGGTTCTGGCCTCCTTTCTCCTATGCCTGGTCTTGCTTTGCTTCGATTTCTCTGCTTTACCGGAACAACGAAATGGGATCGTCCCCGCCGCGATTGGTAGCCATTACCAGAACCCTACCGTCCTTACTCAGAAGCCAGAAACTCTGGCTCCGAAGGGCAATGCGGAAGAGGTGGAGAAGGAGAAGGTAATCGCCGATTCCTGTTGGGGGAAGTACGTTTACATTCAGGAAATTCCATCTAGGTTTAACCAGGATTTGCTCGACAATTGTGGATCGGTTACCCCAGGAACTGAACACAACATGTGCCCTTATTTGGTTAACGATGGGTTGGGTCCTTCGATTCAGGACTCCACTGGGGTTTTGTCGAACGGTAGTGGTAGTTGGTACTTGACAAATCAGTTCATACTGGAAGTGATTTTCCACAACAGGATGAAGAACTACAGCTGCCTGACTAATGATTCATCACTTGCATCTGCGATCTACATTCCTTACTATGCGGGGCTCGATCTCAGTAGATTTCTATGGGGGTATGGTGCTACAGTGAGGGATCAATCAGGGTTTGAACTTCTGAAGTTGCTGGTTGAGAAGCCCGAGTGGAAGAGAATGTGGGGGAGGGATCATTTCATGGTTGCTGGGAGGATATCGTGGGATTTCAGGAGAAAAACGGATGAAGAATCTGACTGGGGAAGCAAGCTTAGGTTTCTCCCGGAATCAGACAACATGTCGATGCTTGCTATCGAGTCGAGTTCGTGGAACAATGATTATGCAATTCCATACCCGACTTGCTTCCACCCTTTGAACCAAAATGGGGTTTTGGAGTGGCAGGAGAAGTTGAGAAGGCAGAAAAGGGACTACTTGTTCTCTTTCGCTGGTGCTCCAAGGTCCGACCTCAATGCTTCACTTCGTGGCAGGATCTTTGAGGAATGCCAAGGTTCAAACAACTTGTGCAAGTTGTTGGAGTGCAGCTACGGCGAAAAGGGCGCCATCACTTGCAACAATCCTGTGAATGTGATGACGGTGTTTGAGAATTCAGTTTTTTGCTTGCAGCCTCCAGGGGATTCATACACGAGAAGATCAACATTTGATGCAATCTTGGCAGGGTGCATCCCCGTCTTCTTTCACCCAGGAACGGCTTATGCACAGTATAAGTGGCATTTGCCGGATGATTTCATGAGGTACTCTGTGTTTATCCCACTGGAGCATGTTGAGGAATGGAGAGCTGGTGTTGTCAACCAGACGTTGCTGCAGATACCAGAAGAGAAGGTGGTGGCCATGAGGGAGCAGGTGATAAGGCTGATTCCCAAGGTGATATATGCGGATTCCAGGTCTGAATCAGGGCCCGGTTTCGAGGACGCGTTTGATTTGTCCGTGAAGGGAATCCTGGAGAGAATTGAGAGAGTTAGGAAGGATGTCAGGGAAGGGAAGGATCCTGCTGCTGGTTTTGCAGAGGGGGATGATTTCAAATACACGTTCTCTCTGTATGTAGATAAGAGTAAGATATTGAATAAGGATCCTCCAGTTTCCTCAGTTGACTAGGATTCTGTTTAAAAGAACCCAATATGTTGTTGTTTTGGAATAGTGGATCCATGGGTTTTTTTTTGTACTTTTTACAGAAGTGGGGAGGAAGAAAGAATGCAAGAAATAGCTTATATGTGTAGGGTATACTGTCTTAGGGCAGCTTTCTTATGTCAGTGGCAGATGAAGGAATGAATGATAGTGCTCTTATAATCTTTTCTGTTCCCTTTTATAGTTTGTTCAGTCGCCTCGCCTGTCTGTGAAATTGGAAAGTTGGGAGCTTCCCTATAATGGTTGCTAATGGCATTTCTGGTTTGCTGATCAAAATGATTACTAATACTACCTATCAATATTTGCAAGTGAATGGTGAATGGGTAGGTTCATAGTTCATACTTACTTATGGGACACATGATATCTACTGATAAAATGATTATTAATGCTACTATGAATATTTTATGAGTGGTTTAATGCACTCAAAAAATGAACATGTAATTCCAACCTCTAGTCAATGAACCTTGTAATGTCGATTTTTTTTAATGAATATGACTATTGATAGATTCTCTTATAGTTACTAATATATCTCTTTCTTAATGTAAGTCACCTCACTATCAATGTTTAACGTGCACCAATGAACCCTATAATGCAGATTAACTAATAGACATGACTATTAGTAGATTCCTTATCTAATTTAGTCACTTTACTAATAGATCTGTATCTAAAATGTACGTAAAAAATTGAAGTAGTATTTAACGAACCATTAACTAAAAATTGAAGAAAAAATATATGTTTTATAAAAAAAACTAGAACATACTATTTTTTTGTAAATTGGAACAATATAATGAAAATTGACTTAACTCTAAAATAAATACTGGTTCAAAATTTGTAGGCCTAAGACAAGAGGACCTAATCCTGTTCCTCAATTCGAACAATTGCCATTTCCACTCCCAAATCCCTAATTTCACCTCTAATTTTTTTCCAAAAGAAAAGCAAAAGGCTAAACCCCTGATCCAAAATAGTTAAACCCTGGTTCAAGACTTTTGCTTCGGCGGGAGAAGAGAACCCATAGAAGTTTGAGGTAAGTGTTTCCGGGAGAAGAAAATGGCGTTCGCAAACTCGGAGTTCAAATTATTTTCGGCAGGGTCTGGGTTTTCCGGCAATCCTTCATCTGAGGCCCCTCGTCGTCCCCCACCCCCGCCAGTCGAAGTGCTTGCTTCTGAGGTATTTGTATATGTACATTCGAATCTCTATTACCATGAGCTCGTTTCCGCTCATTAGTCGAGTACTAATCTGTTGAACTACTTGATCTATATGGTTGAAACAAAGGTTTCCTCGACTGTGAAGTGCTTGCTAGAGCCTGTGAACTTGGATGGCCTCACCTTGCTCAAGGTGCGTTTTTTTATTAGTCTTGAAGAAATGATGAAGGGTGGAGAAGAATGTAATCAGTCGGAGTGAAAGATTGTAACTTTGAATCAGTTGAACTGAATTGCGTGGATTTCTTTGTTGTTTGGCAAGGGCCGGGTGAGTACTGAAGAGGTTCTGGGAGTTCCTGACTCTGATTTAGTTGCTGGCGTATATGAAGGTTGTAAGATCTTTCTATTACTTCGTACTTTGTTAGGGATTTGTTGATTTGTTTGTTAAACTTGTGCTGCTTAGCTGCCATTGACAAGCTTTCATTTGTTTCTGCATTGGAAAACTAGGGGGACTGAAACTTTGGGAGGGTTCGCTTGACCTTGTTAAAGCTATCCGGTCCGAGATTCATAAAGGAGAAGTGTCATTTAGAGGGAAGAAAGTATTAGAGGTGGGTCTATTCTGGATATTCTTGTTCGAAATTCATTCAACATTCTGATACTTTGTTGATGACTTTTAATCTATATTCACCTTACCAGTTCCTTTGTTGATTGAACAATCAATAGTTGTGTTAGTTTCAGAAACTAACACACCATTCAAAGCTTTTTAACTTTCCTTCATTTTTGGAAAGAATTACCATTGTACAGTTTGTGATGTGAACTAGGTTGCGGAGTAGTAGGTCTCAGTGCCCCATTTAATTGATATAAGGGTAGTTTTGTGAATTTGAGAAGGTCCTAGTGTGCAAGCTTGAACCTGCCAAGAACATGTAACTTCTTATGTTGCTTTTTGTATCAGTCGAAGAAAGACTGTTTGGAAGGAGTTTAAAATAGACTTATCGATTTCTTATGTCAGGTCTTTCAACAGTGATTAGACTAGCAAAGAAAGGGTCCAGCACGATTGCTGAAAGTACATTTTAATCGGCACTAGCTGTTTGTCATTTGCAACCAATGCATCCATGGTTGAGATTGTATTCCGGAGTTCTATGCCTGCAGCATGCACCTTGGTTTTGTCAAGACCTAACATTAGTGCTTATACTTGATTTGACTGACTGCTGCAATATTAACAATAGAACGAATAAGAGGAATGCTTTTCATGTTCTTATTTTCAGTTTTATACTCATCAATTTCCTTCATTATTCTCAGCTTGGATGCGGTCATGGACTTCCTGGGATTTTCGCCTGCTTAGAGGTAAAACTCGAGCACATCATTCTTCTACTTCTAATTATGTTTAGAACCTCACACCCCTAATGTACTTATTTGGGTCTCATTGCCTCAGGGTGCAGCAGCTGTCCACTTCCAGGATTTCAATGCTGAGGTCCTGCGGTGTCTCACTATTCCAAATGCAAATGCCAATCTTTCACAAACTTCACAATCTACAGCATCCAAGGACACCACCCTGATTGTTGAAACGGAAGTAAAATACTTTGCTGGTGACTGGAGCCAAGTCCATCAGTGTCTTCCTCATGTATACAGCGATGGAAAGGACGCAGACAGTAGCTTAAGGCAGAATCCAGTTTATGACTATGACATAATACTAATGGCCGAGACAATTTATGCGATCTCGGCTCAACAAAGTCTCTATGAACTCATAAAGAAGGTGCGGTCTGACTTATAGGATTGTGGATTAAACTGTAACATTTTGTTACATAGCTTCTGATTGCTCGTGTTCTGGGTTTCCAACTGCAGTGTGTGAAACGTCCTGGCGGAGTTACATACATGGCAGCCAAAAAGCATTATTTCGGAGTTGGTGGTGGAACCCGCCAGTTTCTGTCTATGGTGAAGAAAGATGGTGAGCTGGCTCTTGGGGGATTCATCATTCTAATGACACTGATACCATTTGGTGTTTGGTCTCCATTCACTGAGTGACATAATTGCATGTTTGACTTGTTCGCAGGTGTCATGGATGCAACCCTAGTTGCGGAAGTTGCAGATGGCTCTTCGAATGTCCGAGAAGTTTGGAAGCTGTCTATGAAGAGTGACTCGAAGTCTTGACGTAGTTAGCTTCGTAAGTCGTCAGTATTATCATCATGTAGTGATGAATTTGCAGCATGCCCTTCTATGCAATTTAATATCATCCACAATGGTGACATATGGTGCTGGAATTAGACGAGGTATGGTCTTTCCAATTTTATGGCTCATTCTGTACACTAGACGGGAACAATTTTATTGCAGAATAGTGGCTAGAACTTGTATAGTTGCAACTAGGTCACTGGAGTAATTTTCCTTTCCCTGAGTTGACATCTAGAAAAGCCTGCTGCAATTTGCTCGGTTCATGCTTTGTAATAGTTGATGCCCCTAATGTTTGAACTTTGAACCAATGCAGAATTGAGACAAACACAGTCATTCATATAATATCAATCAGATTCTCTGGCTTAATTACATGCCAGCGATACACATACATGAGGATTAAAGGTAGTGATTTAAGAATCAGAGCGACAGCGGTAGTATTTGAAACAGCCACGGGTATGTGGGTTGGAAGGAGGGGGCAAGCAGCTGCTGCTGTAAGCCTCTCCACTGGTGCCTCCATTGCACACAGGCTTGTCTTTCTTCAATGCTCCTGGTGTTATGTACCTCTGCGTCTCCCTCTCCTGCGCAAACCTTCTTCTCATCCCATGATCTCTCACTTCATCATCATCATCATCATCATCAGTACCGGTAGTAATTAGCATCTCTAATAACGATTCTTCCGCCTCCACTTGACACTCTGCCGCCATGGAATTATTGTCATTAGTACCGACCTTGCAAACTAGTGATGATGATGATGAGGATGATGGTATCGGAGGTGAAGCTGCAAGCGCCTTGTTGTTCGTTGTCAGCAGCAGAACCAGAAGAAAGCTGCATATGTAGCAGTAGATGAGGAAGATGGGCTTGGGAGCGCTTTGTTCCATTTTACTACTCTCCTGTTTGTGTATGTGTGCTACTAATGGAGAGTGGTGAGTGGAGATTGGGCACTAAAGAATTGGTATTGTGAGTGACAGGATGTTCAAAGAGGTTGGTGGGAAAAGAAGTTCAGCCGCACCCCACTTTGCCCACTACAATTGCAGCTATTGACCCTCTTTGGTGCGTGCACTATAATACTGTAGAAGCTTTATGGTATTGGTCTTTTCTTCAATGCTCGTGGTTTTAATTGGTGGGGATGGAGATGGTGTGTGTGATTTGATATGATTGTCGCCTGAGTGGATGCTCCATTTACTCGCTACAGGAAAAGGGACAATGCAAATTATTGATATTGATAACAGTATGTGAATTCTTCACAAAGCTAATGTTGGATCGCACCATTATAATAAGTGTCCTACTTTGGTGCCTATATGTCGAAGCAATCTTTGTCGGACTAGAATTCATACAAGAATTTGAATACTAAGTCCATTTTACTTGATGATGACTAGGAAAACCTAATGTGAAAGGAAAGGGGAAAATATTTCCATTGTTTGGACAAAAAATCCATGTTTCTATGTGTCATTTGAGATCTTGTTGGCATTGGATCAGTTTTTTTTAAGGGGAAACGAATCCTTATTTTGAATGGATTGATAATTGTAATTCATGCTTGCGCATATGAAACTTTTCCTGATTGAAGTTATCAAGCACTGTTAAAACTCGATGGAAATAGTGAATTTCGTTCCTCGTTGGATGTGAGATATCTCAATTAGTTGAATATGAGAAACAACTAATAGTTATTTAGATCACTTGATGTCTTCACATATGCCTCTTCTCAACAAGAGAAGGAACGTTGACTTGATCAAGTTATAAATTACTGCAAATAGAGAAGAGACCATAATAGTTTAACATTAGAAATTAACGTGTAAGCTTACAACAAGAAATTGATATAGAACCTAAAAGTCCATGAATAGAAGAATTGAAATGTTTGAAACTCTTGATTAGGGCTCATGTTTTAACTTTCACATAGCAAAAGGACCGAAAAAGCTATCAACCCTGTCCTCAAATATTTCCCTCCAAATTTCCTTGAAATGATACTCTCTGAACTTTGGAGAGGGGTTGGCCTACTGAGCCAACTACCCAAGCCAATTACCTCTTCAATCAATAATACTAAGGAAACCAAGCATCCTGTTAGAATGAAAGAAACAATATTCGCTACTTGTTTCTTTCAGTAAATCAGGATGCTTGGCTGCCTTGGTATTTAATGAAAGAGGTGTTCTTCTATTGATGTTCTTGTTGTGGCTTGCTTGGAATTACTTGAGAGAAAACAATGGCTCGAAGTGACACATCTGGCTTGTGTTATCAAGAGATGCACATGATAGTTGATCAATATCTTCTAATGTAGTTTTGTAGCTGACATTTGTTAACCCCTGAAATTCAGGTGTACTATTTATTGGCATAGAATTAGTATATAGAAAAAATCATTCAGAAGTTTGGTTGTTGATTGATGGACAAAAGAATTTTTGGTAAGGAGTGTTTACTAATTTGGATGCTTGTTTCAATGGATGAATCAGTGGAAATTGGGGGATTAGGATGTTATTTGTTCCCACCATTATGTTTTCCCATTTCCTTTTTCTACCCTTAGGAAAAAAAGTAACTTGTAAAGGACATGATGGATGGAGTTGGTTAATTAGGTGCAAATGAGTGGTATAGTTAGGTAGAGTTGGCTAGAAATTGGGGGGTAAAAGTTTGCAGGAATTTGGATGTTTGTTTGGTAAGATGAATTAGTGAAATTTAGGGGAGAGTATGTAGAGATTCAATTTGGTTATGGTGCATATGACATAATTCCTACGCAAGTGCAAATGAGATTAAAAAGACCATTAGATCAACGATAGAGAAAAAGATTGATTAGAACAGTATTCATACATGAACATATAAATATTCACACTCCACAATTAATGTATTGACAATGACACAACAGACTCAATGTATTTATGATGAATATATTAAGTGCGTATACTCACACACATTAAGTATGTTATTTCAATACAATAATTGTGTAAACAAAAGATTTATAATGACAAAATAATATTTTAAGAATATGAATAATGACCCATAAATATTTAGTAATTTACTAATTTCCAATGTAGACCTTGAATTAGGCATAGTACCGATCTGGGCCAGGATATATAACACAACTACTTCACTAGGAGCTCCGGCCCAAGCCCAAGCCATTTCCATTTCGGTTTTCTCTGCGGAGTGCGGAGAAATAGGCACAACTGCACAAGGCTCCCTCGCAGCGCCATTGCTGTTGCAAAGCTTAGCCACTCCGCTCCTTTCTCGTCTCGTTTAGGGATACGCTATCTTCCGTCCACCAGGCGTTGAAACTATATCTGCAATTCTGCATCCTTTCGCCATTGACATCGAAGTAGCACGTTTGCCTGCTGTATCTTCGAAGTTCAAGCAATCATGGCTCGTAACGAAGAGAAAGCGCAGTCCATGCTGAATCGTTTCATAACCATGAAAGAGCAAGAGAAGAAGAAACCCAAGGAGCGCCGCCCCTTCCTCGCTTCCGAATGTCGGGACCTCGCCGAGGCCGACAAGTGGCGGCAGCAGATCATGCGGGAGATTGGCCGGAAGGTCGCCGAGATCCAGAACGAAGGCCTCGGCGAGCATCTGTTGCGGGACCTGAACGACGAGATCAACAAGCTGATACGAGAGAAATCTCACTGGGAGCGGCGTATCGTCGAGCTCGGCGGGGCTAATTATGCCAAACATTCCGCCAAAATGACCGACTTGGACGGGAACATTGTAGACGTCCCGAACCCTAGCGGTCGTGGCCCTGGGTACCGGTACTTCGGCGCGGCGAAGAAGCTTCCCGGGGTGAAGGAGCTGTTTGAGAAGCCGCCGGAGCTGCGGAAGCGGCGGACGAGGTACGATATCTACAAGAGAATTGACGCGAGTTACTACGGGTATAGAGACGAGGAAGATGGGGTTCTGAAGAAAGTAGAGGGGCCGGCTGAGGAGAAGATGAGGTTGAGGGAGGTTGAAGAATGGCGGAGGATGCAGGAGATTAGAAAGGAGGCGAGGAGAGGAGCGACGGAGGTTGTGAGTGTTGGAGTTGGGGCGGCGGCTCAGGAGGTCCTGTTCGAAGAAGAGGAAGATGTGGTGGAAGAGGAAAGGTTGAAAGAGAAGGAAGAGAAGGAGAAGATGGATAAGCAGAAAGAGTTTGTGGTTCATGTGCCGCTGCCTGATGAAAAGGAGATTGAGAAAATGGTGCTGGAGAAGAAGAAGATGGATCTCTTGAGTAAATATGCCAGTGATTCGTTGCTGGAGGAGCAGAGTGAGGCGAAGTCAATGCTCAATATTAAGCGCTAGGTGTAACGGTATGCAAGTTGTTAATTAGTTCACAGAGGCTAGACATTTCCCCTTTCTGTAGTTCCTTGCTGAATGTTATGCTTTTTAATGGCTATTGATGTGAAATGAATCAAGCTGTCAACTTTTTGCTATGGCGGAGGAACTATATGATTCTGGTACATGAATGTAACAGCAGAAGAAGGCAGCTTAATTGATAGGCACTTAGTCAGTTTTAGATTGTGCTGCTTTGAGTTGAATCTTCAGTCTTGTTGTCATGTCTTTAGACACTTCTGGAAAGTAAAGAGGGGCTTGTCATTCTTCTTAGTGCTGGTTGGGACTATAGTAGTCAACATATCGACGGAGAGTTTATTGTTCTTTCTAGTATGATCCTTGTGTGGATACCTATCCTCTATGCTGAAGTACTAGAACTTGTTTCTTATTTGGTTTATGTCAGTGAGACCGTGAATGAGGCAGGTTTCAGATGTTTTTGTTTGATGGTGGTTTTGAATGTTAGGAGCTCACCACTGTGGCAAAAAAGTTTGTTTCGAGCCTTGGAGGCTAGGACCGGGATTAAGATGTTTGTTTGCTCTTATTTGTAAGAGCTGTGTTGACTGTTGCTGAAAATGATTCTTTTCCTTTGTTCAGTTGGTCTCCAGGGTGTAAATTAATAAATCATCTCTGCAAACCTGCTGGTTGCTAGTGATCATGACTTGGTGTTCCAGTTGAAGAGGGCTTTGACACCTTCTTTTCCTTTCCCTCATTCATTGGTTTAGTTGTGCAAAAAAACTGTTTTGCTCATGGTTATGTTGGTGTAAGGGGCTTGGAATAAAACTCTTTTTAAGTTATACCGGTTTGGAATCAATGTATAATTATCTTTAAAGCTATGCTAGAAGATGTTTGAGAGTTCAGCATGTGACCCAATTTCTGTACTGTTTTCTCCTCTTGGTCTACAAGTTGCTAATATTGATAGCAAACGAATTTTTTGCAGTGTCTGTCGATTTTAATTTTTAATGTGATTGGTAAGAAGGTATTGTATTAGAGTCAATACATCTCTGTTTAAATTTAAAGCCTTAGTGGAATACAGCGGAAACTTATATTATACATGTCTGCGTCTGGGGAATGATTGATGGCAGATTTTTTTTTTCTTTATCAATTGAAGGGGGGTTTAAAGTTTAAAACATTGTGCATAGACGAGTTCTGTCATGTTATCCGTTTCTTCTGGCTTATTTCCTTGGTCCTAGTTAAGGATGTACCTACAATTCCTTATTTGTAAAGATAAGTATACAAATGATAGGGAAGAGTACAGATTTGATGCTTGGAGGGAATGCTGATGGCTGTCCTTTAGATGAGTGCGGAGCCTCTCCTAGTCCTACTGCTTCAGTTCAGCTCCTCTCCGCTAACATGGTAATCTTTAAAGTGTCACACTGGGAAACTGGCAAGATCCATGACCTACGCAGTCAATGCAATTGTGAGTATGTGCAGTTTGAATTTTTATCCAACTGCTTAAAAGCAAAGTATGCATGCATATTATTCATAAAAAAAATTTCTTCTCACCAGGATCCCTTGTGGTCTGCACAGCAAGTCCATGGAAGTAGCAGGTAGCACCTTGGCTCTTGAACTGCTTCCAGTAGCTGCTGAATGCATAACTTGCATGCCAAATCAGCGAGACTGGCTCATAGCATTCCTTCCCAGGGTCCAGTGCTTCACAGGTCCTATTCCCTTGGTTGCAGGCATACCTCAGTTCCCTCCCCAGCCGCGTCATGTCAGCTCCTCTCGCAGCAACACACCATATCTTCCCCTTGTAGGCCTGATTGTTGTGCCCTTCAGGTAGCGCCTCGTACTCTGAATCTGCTCTACTTCCAGTCATGTCTATGTCAAATATGGGACTCCCATCGGAGTGCAGCAAGCCCCAGTGCCTCTCTGTTCCAGGCCCATCCTTCTGGTTCTCGTCGTACAGTGAGAAGATGAACGTTGGTATAACCACTCCTGGTCTAGCTGGCGTCCCAATTGGTGGTTTGGCCGTTATCTTTCTAACCAAATTGCGGTTATAGATTGCTGCATTGTAGATGTTAGCACCCGGTTCATCGAGATCTCCTTCATGTGGCCATCCGGTCTCTGATATGAAGAGGCGGATGTCGGGATACCCGAGCTTGGTCATGGCAAACAAGACTGAGTCAAGCATCTCATCTAATAGGTTAGTGTAAACCAACCCACTTCCCGGGTCGGTGTAGTTTGTTTGTGATTTGAACAGTGCATAATCAAGGGATGCATTTGTGGGGTTTGCAGACCAGGGGAAGTAAGGATAAGCATCGATGAAGAAGTAGGATTTAGTGCCATTCAAGAATTTGAGCAGCTGAGGCATCACGGTTAAGGCGATATCGGACCTAAATGTGGCGTTGGATGGTGGGGATGTTGTTTGCAAGACGTCCATGGCTAATGGGGTTCCGACTTTGATGTTTTGGATGTTGTTCGCTTTGAGTATGTTCTTGATCTTGTACATTGCTGGGACAAGGTGGTTCCAGATCTGCATATCCTCTGCTGACCTATGATGGCTGAGAATCTCATTCCCAACCATGATGAACCGGATCATGGTTGCCGGGTAGTAGGCCAGGACGTTATCCTGCACCCATTTGACAGCCAAGCTGTGGTTTGTGTCGATGTTGATGATCTCTTGGTTTGGGACCATGACCGTTACGTAGATCTTGCTCCCAGCCAAGAGCCTCATGATTTCTGGGTTCGGGTCGTAGAGCTTCACGCTGGTTACCTGCATTGATTTGATGAGCTCGATCGATCTGTAAGGAGATGGCAAGTCATCCCCCAACTGACCATAGTTGATGCCTATGGCAGGAATATCTGTCCCGGTTATCATAGAGACGTACGCTGCAACAACAAACGAGAAGCAGACTCGGTGAATATTGCAGGAAACCAGCTATGTGGCAAGAAACAAAAACACCACAGTTCGATAACGAATAAGCGAAGCAAAGCACACTCACGGGAAATGATGACGAGAGGGAGCAGCAGAAAACGGAAAGCTGCAGCCGCAGCAGAGCCCATCCTCGGTTGTTCGTCGCAAGTGATGTCGAATGAAGTGGAAGTGTTGAAAAGAGATGCGAGTGTGAGGTACTTGTTTCTCTTTCTGTGCTTAGTTATATAATGGTTAGTGAATATAAGATGTTAACAGGTGATACTTGCCATTAGTACCAAAGAGTGGCAGTTAATTCTTTGCTGGGCACAGTCGTAAAGGTTGTGACTCTGTGAAGGCAGGGAAAAAGAAAAGGCCAGGAGGAGATGGGTAATTCTAAGTCTGGCCCGGTGACTTTGTAGATCGAAATGAATACGATATACATATATGTATACAAATAGTTCGTATTTGATATTTCCCTTGTACACTCAAGTTTATCACGTGTTAATTTATGTGTGTACTATAATCTTAGTGATTACAAAGAAATGAAATGCAAGCAGGTGCAAGGTTTTAAAAATGGTATTGTAGCAGCTTGCTTCTTGCGTGTTTGTTTTTTCTTAACCCTTCGTTCCCTTCAGTAATGGTTAGTGTTTGGAATTCTCAGAGACAAAGAAGGAGGATGTTTGCTTGCATGATGATGGTGAAGGAGCTTTCAGTACTCCGAACGCAGGACGAGTTGGTCACTAGTCACGAGTCTGGTTGCCTCGCTGCAGTTGCAACGTCGAGCACCAGTGACAAGAAGGAAGATGACAACGAGTACGACGAATGTGGAAATTCTTTTGAGTAGTTCGAACCTGGGTGACTAGAAGGAAGATGAAAATGACAACGAATGTGGAACTTCGTGTTCTAATTTTATCGGATGTTCCTGAGAGAAGGCATATACAACTCCAAAATTGGGGTTTTGAATATGATTTTTGTTGACAAGTTAGATGACAAATGGGCAATGAAAACCAACACGAGCCGTGTTGGTGGTCTCCAACATAAGACGAAAATTCTACTCTTGTGTTCTTAGCTTAGTTTTGGATTAGATGAGTTGCTGGCTTGTAGCATTGTAATAAAAGATTTTCGCTCATCAGATTAACTGATTAATATTTTTAATGAAAGTGTTTACGATCTTATAACTGCAAACTTACGAATGAATTATCAAATGATATCAATACATTCACGCTTTGAGAATTCTCTTCAAATTGGTTTGAGATGTTACATGTTCATGAAGTAGCTTATTAATCGGAAAATTGCCTATAATAGGTAGCTTTTTTTATAATTCCAAATCTAAAATTCGTGGCACTTGATTGTTAATAAAGCAAGGCCACATATTGAGACAAGGCCACATATTGAGATTAATAATAGTTAGGAGGAAAAAAAAAAAAACTAGTGCTTTGTATTTTAAACTGAAAACAATGGTGAAACTGAATTCTTTTTTCTTCTTTCTAATGCCCATTTGAACACACATCTTTCTGTTCATATCTATGTGAAACTAGAAACTTGAACTTGGGCCTCCCTGTATTCCGTCATAGGATCATCAATTTCGTACTAACCAGAGAAAACACGTACGACTTTGATTTTGCAGGTTTGTCAAATCTTTCTCTCCTTCATAAATGGTTTTACTAGCATGAACGCATAATTTTATTTACGTAAAAAAAAAAATTTAATTTACACAAGAGTTGTCACGTACTACTGTAAATTGTTCTTTTACACGAATAAGGTATCATGTTTTAATATATCGATAATCTATAAACGATTGACAGATGAAAGATGGAGAAAAGCGTAATGGAAGAGAAGTTCTCGAGAGTTAACAACGCCAAAGACATCCAAATGCCACCGAAGATATCAATGTCGACGGAAATCGGCATCGGCGAGGCGTTCAAGCACAGGGCCGGCAACCATTCACCGGACACCTACTCGCCGGACTCGCCGAACAAGCTGCGACGGGGATGGACGGCGAACATGAAGCCAGCGACGCCGGGGAAGTTGAATTGCCTTTGCTCGCCGACCACTCACGTGGGTTCGTTCAGGTGCCGAATGCATCGAGGTCCCGGCCGTGGAATGATCCGCGGTGGATCCGTGGGCTCAAATCTCTCAGAGTTAGCCTCTAAATCGCGCCCTCTTGCCGAGTTGATTTAGACTTAGTAGTAAAATATATAATGGTGGTGGCTATGATCATATACTAGTAATTAAACGCATTTCTTTTGATCTTTAATTTCAAATGTATTATTGACACTAGTAATTACTATATAGATGATTAACTTTGTTGTAAGTGTTACCATTGTGGAATATATGTGTGTGTGCCATATTGTTCTTATAATTCTTTAATTTATTGCTGATTTTAAATGTAATATTAGCAATATTGAACTTTTTGTCCATCAAGGTTTCGTGGTGTAGTTGGTTATCACGTCAGTCTAACACACTGAAGGTCTCCAGTTCGAACCCGGGCGAAGCCATAGTTTTTATCTTTTTAAAATTATGTCTCAATACAATTTTTAAACACAAATGATAAAACATTTTTATACATTGACCTCAAATGATAAAACCATGTTCTCCTCATAGATGTTGCACGAAGCTACAACAAGAACATTAGCACCAGAAGACATCATGCTGCAATGAGAGAGACAAATGGTTTGATCAACTTGAGTATTTGTTCCAACCATATTGCTTGTTTCATTACAACAAAAATGTTTGGTGGCTTTAGCATTGTAATAAAAGAGGTGTATTTGTTGTTAATGGTCTTATAGTTTGGATGCATTATCTGTATAGAGCAGCGGTTTCTAGCATTATCTTCAACGTACGCATTATGAAAATTAAAGAGAGAAGTTTGCTGGACAAGAAAACTAATTATCTCAAGAATAATTCACACAACACAATTCTAAACAACTGCGAAATCAAGTCTCCTGATGAATCTCCCATCAGTTCTAAACATGAGAGATTCATATATAGTTGAGGACTGTCTTTCCAAAGTGCACACATCATTTTCCCCCTAGCAGCAGCAGCAGCAGCAGCAGCGATACGATTCCATGTCTGAGCGAGAGAGCCACTTTCAATCAGTCACGCTCACTAATGGCAGTCAAGTGTTCATCAATTTCCTCGGTAGACAAAATCCTGAAAATTGGGTTATCCGCTCTCACCACTCCCACCTGCCAATGCAACATACAGGTCAAGAAAAATGAAGCTGCAAGTCTTTTTTCCCCATAATACAAATCACATTTCCAACGCTCAGAGGTCTGAGTCATCTCATAATATCCTTGGAGAAAGCTAAATGGCCAGGGCCAAGGCAACATAACATTCTTTTTTTTTTACCCAGTAGTTCTATTTGTAGTTCAAATAATCAAAAAGGAACTTCATACCTCAATCTCAGTGGCCTTAAAATCCTCTTGAAGAACAGATTGCAAAGCAGATATGGCAGTCTGCAAACAAAAAGCGATGATATCAGGAACGTACAACAAAAGACATAGGACAAGCAAAGTGATGCTCTTTATGGACTTCTCCGGGTATATGAAGACGAACCTGCACTGTTTCATCATAGGAAAATGCTGGATCATTTTTCATTTTCTTCTCCAGAAAATTGATAGCCTCCTGTTCTTTCAAACCAGCACTTGTGGCCTGAAAATAATGTAAGGCCACACGATATATGTAACCAACAAACCATGGAGCTTCAAATAAACTACAGACACAAATGATAGTGGTTTAATTTTAACCTATGGTCCAATTTCATTCTTATTGATTCTTAAATGAATCTGCTTTACTTTTGTGACAGAAATGATAGTGGTTTAATTTTAACCTTGGGGTTACCTGATTTACAAAGTACTAAGACAATGGTCTGGATTCCGAAGACAGAAGACAAAACAATGGAAATATAAAGAAAAATGAACGTCGCTAATATACTGTCTCTGTTTAGCATAGTCCATATGAAAAACATACTTGTAGGCCAGTACAGTGTAACTTCCGAAAATTTTAAAGGAGGCATTAGTTACCTAGGTTAATTTTTCACTGCACGGATCGCGGAAATTTGGTTTACTAGCTACTACTTGATAGTTGAAGACAAAACTAGGTGAGAACATCAATACATACCACAAGTCGAGTACAAAGGAAATATTACCTTGTGTCCATAAAAGTGTCCAGCTGGGTCACATTTGTAGAGTTGAGCCCCCTTCTCATCATCGATTCCCAAAACCATGGCGACTTCATGCAAAGGGAGAGAAATGTAAGATAAACTGCTAACAAACAACTAAGAAGCTGTAGGTGAAAAAAACATCAATGCAACCATCTTCAGCACCACATGAAACTCAAATATTTATGCTTCTATCTATTTAACACATGCATAGAGATTAAAAGAGTAACTTCCAGGAACAGTGGCAATGAGCATCATACCTACTCCAAGCGGTCTCATGTAGGCATGTTGTGTATAAACTTGTGACTTATCTGCTATCCTGTGGATGTGAAAAAAGGCAGAAAGTCAATTTGAGAACAGAAGTCACAGGAACAAACAAAAGAAAAAGTAGAAATCCCAGATGATAGGAGCGTAAAGAAAGACAATATAGAGGTTAACACAATAGAGACGATGCCATCTGCAATGGAAGCTAAATGCAGTAGTAGGCAAATGATACAAGCTAGTTTGAATGGCAACAACGCAAAGAGTAATGAACCCTCATCTGGAGTTGAATTACAGAATACACAAATTACCAATTTGCTGACTGGGAAAGTCATTAACATTATGGAGTATAATGAGAAGCCCCTTACCATTTTGACAATACATCGACTGGCATTTCATAGCCATATCTAAACCGGAATTCAGCAGCTTCATTTCTTGCTTGTTGGACCAATGTCCTTGCATCAGCTGGAAAATTTTAAGGAAAACTTCATCAATTTCCGATTGACAAATATAATATGATATGGCTTTGAGGGCGGTAAGGACAAAGAACCGAGTAAAATGCGGCTTCGGAAACTCTAAACAGTGTATGTACAGTGCATGAATCAATTTATTCTAAGAATATGAATCTGTTACTTTTAGGCTACACTTCAGTACTATTCACTGTTGGGTCCGGACTCAACCTTGTTTAGGGTGTTAATCAGTACATGAATCAAAATTTCACGTTACAAGTTAAAGGCAACGATGAATAAAATGGCAACAGCACAGATGAAGAGCTATTAGCTCAGTTAAGAAACGAAGTTAACTTCACAAATTAAAAGCACTAGTTCTCTAGGGAAGAAGAGTACTTATCAAACATAACTAATTATTAAATATAGGCTATAGCAGACAATGTCATCAAATGGATTATAGCAACAACTAAACCTTCATGGTAGAATTAAGCAATTTCTGTGGATAATTATTAAAAGCACATGATTCACCAACAAATCTCAGCGGGGAAAAACCTTATCGGTCCCCAAGTAAGCCAATCCCCTGCAGGCTCCTATCCGATTATGAGTCTTTCACTAATGAAATCATTTAGCCTATTGTAGTAACACACTGCAACCAGCTTCTCCCAAGTTCTTTGTTTCTTGTTCAATTCAAAAGAGATGGATGAGATGATGATCCTAATGAAAACAATTCCAACAGCACTTCCAGAGGGAATTGGTGGCAAGGTTGCACCTTTTTATTTGCTTCTCTTTTCATTTCCTAATCATTTCAGTACCCTGTATTACTAAAGATCGTTTCTTCAGGTTCCCTATGTTAGTAGGATCCTCAACTGCTTTCCCATATGGATTTCCCCATCTATTTTTCTAAGGGTATGTACTTTGAATCCAAACTGTCTGCTTCTTTCAGTGATTTTGCTGATAGATCGACAAGCTACCTCTAACACACTTCAATGAATATTCTACTGAAAAGCAAACCTACTCACCGATTTACCACAGGAAAAAAATCAGTGCAGGACATTGAATTGAGAGGAAATCAAACCTGTCATGCCCGTAGCCAGCAACCCAAGGTACTTGGTGATTGGGAAAAGGTGGGTGACGCTAGTCTGATCCAGAAGCTTGTCCGGAACCTTCTTCTGGGTGACGACGCAGACGGAATCCTTGCCGCGAACGCCGATCGAGGTTACGGCAGCCGCCTTCACGGCCTTGAAAGCGTACTCGACCTGGAAGAGGCGACCTTCCGGCGAGAAGATGGTGATGTGACGGTCGTAGCCGCCCCCACTACCGCGGCTCATTATGACTACGAGGGTTGTGTGCTGGTTTCCAAGCTCGAATTTGGAACGGCTTCTTTGCTGCAGCTCGAGAAAGAGAGAGGATCGCTCGAAGAAAGAAGGTTTACTCGTTTGCTGTCTGCACAAGAAAACTAGGAATTCGGAGTTTTCAGATCTCCTTGGGCTTGGTGACATATCCGGGCTCAGCCTCAAACTATTTCCTAGATCATACGGCCCAGAATAAATTTATTTTTCGTTACGTGGCCCAAGCATAATTTTCCCGCTCTTCTGTAGGAGTTTTTGCAATTTCATCTTCATATTCGCGATTTAGAGTGATACACTCTTCGTATGTCCGATATTACTATACTTACTCAATATTGATTTCAAATGTACGACTAAAGGAACATAATAAATAATGAAATCAACATTCTCAATACAAATTCAAAGCATCTTATTCTTATCCTAAAATATCATGAATTCATAAGGCAAGGTACAATATTATCCAAATCATTCATGTCTGACTCCCTAATAAACAACAAACGTAATCTTATTAACAAAGGGGAAATAAGTGAAAGTGTGAAGGGAGGAATTTTTTTTTTTATAATGATGAAGGGAGAATTGATGAAAAGAAAATATGGTTTGGTTTGGATGGCCACTCATTTACATTCAATTTTTTGTTTATTTGAATTATCATCTTTCGTTATTTAGAGGTTACAATATCATCCTTAAATTTTTAATATACGAAGGAAAAGTCTCGGTGCACGTTGGGCGGGTATGAGTTTTGGGCGGGAAGGTTAAAACCAAATTTATCCCATCAAACCTTTTTGGGGGGGTTTTACTGAACCGCCTCATACCCAATCAATATAGGAATTCCATGCACTGATTGGGTCGGGATGATCGGATACCAGTAATTGCGGGTTTGATTGTCTTCCCTATCTACATGTCCCCAGTGCATAAAATAAAGCTATCATCAACATGCTACTGTACAAGTCCAATCATACAATTAAGCCATCAGTGTTGCTCTCAATGGTTTTGTTGTGAGGCCTAATCCTCATTAGTCAAAGCCATATCCAGTTGTTTTAGATCCTGCAATTCCGCGTTAAACCTGTGCTTAACACAGCAAGTCCAAATCAGTCCAGCAGGAAGGAAGCAGGGGAGAGAGCCAGGACAAAGATCCGTGACCCCGCCATTTTACTGACTCTGCTTGTCTTTTCTCCCATATTGTCAAATGGAGTGGATAGCAACGTTTTGATTCCTTTCTTCCCCTCCCTGTTTTCCATAACCACTACAATGTATTATGAATTTATGATGATCATCGAGCTAAACAGCAGCAAAAGTTGCAGACTTGCTCCCCAGCTAGCTAGCTAGCTAGCTCTGGTTCTATATAATAATGATCAGTTTACGGATTAGTCAGATAGTGAGTTAGTTGGCTCAGAAGCTAATCATGTAAAAAGTAAAGGTTGATTGGGTAACTAATGCGGGTTAGGCAGGTTACGAGTCATGTGTTCATTGGTTTGTCAAACTCAGTTGTGAGCGATTGGCCAGCTTTTTATAGTCCTCGACCGAGAGACGACCTATAGGTCCGTGAAACAGTGGACGAATTAGGTTATGCACTATTAAAATTCCAGGTTGGGATTGCAAATCGTTGATCTTTTTGGAGAACTTGACTTTAGGTGCAAGAGTTGGTTAAAAAAAACATGCTAATCATAGTGCCTTGCGGCAATAGTGAGCACATTATTAAAAACTCATCAATCTCAATCTCAATGGAAACTAGAAGGTGCTTGGAAATTGCATCAAGAATACACAATCATACCGTATAGATAACTTTACTTTACTCTTTTTTACCAAGACATCAATCACTCTACTAATATCCCTCTACATGAAACTTTTACAGTCAGTAAAATTCCAAGCAAGAGGAGGCAATTGCCAGCCGCACCCATCTATATATAAACCCAGCATGTAAATTAACGTAGCTAATCATCTCTCTTTGTACTTGTACACATTAAGAGTACATATCATTTGCAGGGTAAAGAACAAGGTGGCAGCAAAGGTAGGATGGTGATGATTATGAAGTTGGTAGGAGCTCTGCTGTTAATGTTTCTGGTAGTGCATGGAGTTGAGTGTCAGCTCCGGGTCGGGTTCTACAGCGGGTCGTGTGGGTTGGCCGAGTTCGTCGTCAAAACCGCCGTCAGGCAAGCTTTCATCAACGACAGGGGAGTCGCCGCTGGTCTCCTCAGAATGCACTTCCATGACTGCTTCGTCAGGGTAAGCTACTGACATACTCTGTTCTGTTATGTCAAGTCATATATGCATAGCTCCTGATAGTAGTTTGGTTATCCATCCAAGGGCTGCGATGGATCCGTGCTGATAGATTCGACCTCGTCCAACACGGCCGAGAAGGACTCCCCTCCCAACAACCCGAGTCTTCGAGGTTTCGAGGTGATCGATGCTGCCAAGTCGAGGCTGGAAGGTATATGCAGAGGAGTTGTTTCGTGCGCTGACATTCTGGCCTTCGCTGCAAGGGACAGCATCGAGATCGTAAGTATATGATTGTTGGCCTCAAAGTTCGACTTCTGGGGGTTTGAGATCCATTGATAGTTGAGAGAACATGTTGATTGCAGAGTGGAGGGCTTGGCTACGACGTTCCTTCAGGAAGAAGAGACGGCATAACCTCACTATCCTCTGAAGCCTTATCAAACTTGCCTCCTCCGACAGCCAATGTCGGGCAGCTCACTCAAATCTTCTCCAACAAGGGACTCTCTCAGGCAGAAATGGTCACACTCTCTGGTATAGTAGTTCTGTTCTATCCTCCGGCGAGGGCAAATATCAAAAGGTTCTCTTTTGGAAGTAATCAGGTTTTTGTTGTTGTTATGGTTGCAGGAGGGCATACAATCGGCCGGTCTCACTGCTCGTCTGTGGCGCCTAGGCTGTACAACTTCAATGGGACGGGTCAGGACCCGACCCTAGATGCTGCCTACGCGACGGCCCTGAAGCAGCAGTGTCCTCAGGGCAACTCCAATGGCAACCTGGTAGTGCCGATGGACGCTATTAGTCCTGCCGTTCTTGACGAAGGTTACTACGTGGACGTGATCTCGAACCGCGGCATGTTCACTTCCGACCAAACTCTGATGACCAACGCAGCCACAGCTGCCCAGGTGAGCCAGAATGCAGGGAACCGGATGCTCTGGAGTGCTAAGTTTGCTGCTGCAATGGTGAAGATGGGGCAGATTGGGGTGTTGACGGGCAGCTCCGGCGAGATTAGGGCCGACTGCAGGGTAGTCAACAGCTAGACATGGCAAGATTCCATTTTATGTGATGGTGTTTGAACTAATTCATTCATCATTGAAGCCTGAATGCTCAAAGACTGTAGTATTAGTTCAACCCCTTTGGCAATCAAGAGAAAGGAGGGCTAAGTTTATTAAATGAACCAAATGCAGAACTTTTCAAATTGAATACTCATCAAGGCAACATGGTGGCATTCAGATGATATGAAAGAGGGGACACAAATTGCCGTCTATAACTCGGTTTTCGTAACACTGCAAGAAAACATTCCAAGTTCTTCGCAAATGACGAAACAAATAGATAACTCTTTTTCTCAGAGAAGCGTTCTAAACTAAAACCAAAAAAGCAGAGCTGGTGCACAGACCCCCTTTCTAAGTGGTGAGCTCCATGATAGCACTGACAATATCGCCACTGTGGGTCTTGAGGGCCTTGCAAGCCTTGGCCCTTGAAACTCCTGCCTGTGTCATGACCAAATCGATATCCCGAGGCTCGATTCCGGTCTCATCGATCTCTTCCTCTTCCTCGTCTGCTTGTGCTACAGCAGCAACAGCAGCTGGATCAGATTTCGGTAGCATGGAAGACATGTCAGGCATCCTGAACTGCTGGGCTGCCTGTGTCTGCAGCTGTGAGCTCAAGTCTTCAATCTTGGCCTCACCGAATATGACATAGGTGTCGGAGTTGGGGCTCTTGAACACATCTGGCTTGGAGATGAAAAATAGTATCTGCAAAATAGCCAAAGTTACAAATTTTCAGAAAAAGCCCTACCATCCCAGCTCACTGAATCTATCTCTTAACCAAAAAAAAAAAAAACTCACTGAAGCTAGGGGAAGAGAAGAAAATGAAAGAGAAAGCAGCTTACGTTCTTGGTTCTCTTAATGGTGACCCTGCTAACACCAGTAACAGGTTTCATGCCAAGCTTCAGCATTGCCTTGCGGCTCTTTTTCTCACTTCTGCTTTGCTTCGAGCTCCCATTGGCACCTGTAAGGCAACATTAACTGTTTGTTACGACGGATAACTGTCTCGAAGCCCCATGCCTAATCAAAGCTTAAATAGAATTTCAACGTCAAAGCAATGCAAGATATAAACTCAAAACACATCATCCATTCTCATCTACTGAGCAAGTTACTACGAAAACGAAACATCACAGAGAATCCCCCTACAAACGAACTTAGAGAAAATCACAGAGCAAAAGTGACACGTATTAACTGTCCAAAGGAACCCATTTGCTGTCCCAAAACAGATGAGCAAGAGAACTATAACTCCACAATCCTATCAGTCTTAAACTAATCCAGGCAAATCCCTAGGACAACAAATTGAACATTAAAGCCCTAGATTCGCTATCCATATTATCAAGTCCTTCTCATCTCCACAACAGCTCGAAAGATCAATAGGTCACTCTAATAGAAGAAAGCAATAGATACGAACCTGGGGAGCCGTCGTCCTTGTCATCATCGTCGTCGTCGTCATCTTCATCGTCGTCATCATCCTTATCGTCTTCTTCTTTTACGTCCTCCACGATGGGTTCGTCGCTCTGAGGGGAAATCGAACTGATTTAGGTAAAAAGGTTTATTACTCGATTGAGAGGGGCCAAAAAAAAAAATGGATGAAAGACTGACCTGAGAAGGAGTGAGCTTCTGCTGAGTCTTCTCCTCCGCGGCGGCGGCGACCACCTCGGTGGTCTCAGGCTCGACGGCTTCGATGACGGGACCTGGTGGCGACATGGCTGCGGCAGTAGTCGAGGAGAGACTGGCCAGAATATGGGAAGATTTAGGGATAGATAGGAGATAGGGAAAGCTTTGCCTTCTCTCGGTGCCTTTTGTTAGCTTCCTTGCTGCTGCTATTGGGTGGGCTCGGGACCATGGGCTTTCCTTGATGATACTTTGGGCTTTTATTTCGGGCCCGTTATCTTTTGCTCTCTTGTTAGCCCACCGTTTCGCTTCTTGGTTTTCAGATTTTTGTTTTGGCAACAGAAAACGAAATGGAAAATGAAAAGTGGGTAAGCGTTAATCTAACTACTTACTAAGATTAGGACGTCGTGATGTGTTTCGCGACATCGAATTGTGTTGTTTCATGATTTACGATTATTTATTGCATACGAAACAACATGATACTCTTGTCAGCCCACCGTTTCGCTTCAGATTTTAGTTTTAGCAACATAAAAAGAAATGGAAAGTGAACACGGAGTAACCGTTAATCTAACTACTTACTGAGATTAGGACGTCTTGACGTGATTTGCTACATCGAATTGTGTGTTTCATGATTTACGATTATTTATTGCATACGAAACAACATGATACATTGGTCATTAGCATGTTAGGAGTTAGACCGTATTAATATTGATGGTTTTATCTAAAATTAAAACATAGGTACAACGGTTTAGTTGATATAACATTATCTGGTAAATAATGTAGGGAGAGGTTCAATCTCTCCTCTGAAAAATGAATCGTTTTATTGAAGGTCGACTCAACATTCTACATTCAAAGCGACAGGTAATGAATCGTCTGCCAGAAAGCAGAAGCTAAGTAGTAAGGCGTTTGCCAAATGCAAATGATCCCTGTGTTCTGGGAACGGCTACGGTGCTAATTGTACAATAGTTAGCACCGTCCTAACTAAGGAAAAAACTACTACTAGTTTGAATTAGTAGTTATTTAGCTTAGATGTTGTATTGATTTTATAATAATCCGTAGTGATTTCGTTATTTTTAGTAGCGTTTTTTGCTAGTTATCACGGTGCTAACCCTTATAAGGGTTAGCACCTAATCCCATCCCCTGTGTTCTAGACATTCCACATACAACTAGAAACCAAGACGGTTGCCTAGTGATACTCCAAAAACCACCACAACTGCCATGTTTGGATGATCCGAAAGCAAGTGAATCTTATTAGTTGCAGGATCAATTGTAGTCAAGGCAAGAGCTTTCACGACACATTGAGACAAAAGGAAAACCAGTGGCCAGTAGAAGCCAAATTCATAGAGGAGAAACAACTCAAGAGCCTGCAATTTTTATAGACAAAGCATGAAAGTAGCTAACTGAAAGAAGACCATCGTCTTCTGCTTGTTTTTTTAAGCAGCAGATACAAAAAGCTTCCCCTAACTACAGACAGAGCCAGTTGACAGTGACAAGTTGAGTGATCTCAACTTTCTCATCATGAATTGAAAAACCAGCAAACTGCTGGCAAAAGGAAACCAACAAAACAAGGATGAAGTCAAATTCTACCTTGAGAACCAGCCGGCCTTCCTTAAGGGGAGCTCTGAATGAAGCTACTCACAAGCAGTGGTCTCAGAATACGGTCAAGCAGAACTAAGCAACAGCATCGTTCTAACTGACTACACTACGTCACTACCGAATCTTGGAAGCCAAGCCCAAGCATCGTCGAGTTCGCATCCTGTCTCTTTCCACTTGCCAAGCAGCGACCTGGCCCATGGCATGGCAATGCTGCGATGTTCCCACTTCCCATAACGCGCAGGGAGCAGCCGTATCACAAACATAGCAGTAACACTGCAACAATCCAAAACCCACAACCCCAAATTAACTTAAGGGAAAGAAAGATTCGTACTTTGCAACTCAATTGAAAAGAGGGGAAAACCCACAACTAACCAGGGAACAATATTTCTGGTGGGGAGTTCTCTCGAATGGGAACTTTGCACAGAGATGCCTAGCATGGGGATAATCTCTACAAGCCACCTAAACAAAGATTCAAACCCCAGAAACGCCCAATTCAGAATTTGAGCTTATCAATTTAGGGATACGATCAGAGAGAGGCCAAGAAGGGGGGAACCCACCTGACCCTTCTCGGAAATCAGTGCGATTTCGGTTTCCGGGCCGACGATTTCGACTTTCCGATCGGCGGCGGGTTGATCGTACGGGTCGAAATCGAGGATGAAGCAGTCCTCCATGGCGTCGAACTTGCGAACGTCAATGTCATTCTTCACGTTGAGGCAGAAAACGGTTCTTGCTGGAGTACGTTCGCTGTCCGAGTCGGACAGAGTGATAATCTCCTGCCACGCCGGCGGTTTGGTGACGGTCTTGCGGGCTGCCCGTTGTTTCTTCGCCGACATCGCTGCACTTCCGTAGTTTCCCGTTGAAGGACCTGATTCAACTCGCAGTCAAAAGGGGAAGAATAATTGGAGCGGGGCAGATCGACAGGCGCGGCATGCAATTGGCAAGGGGAAACTCAAATTTGAAATATTGGGCTTCTCGAGGAAAGGAAATTGGGCTTCGTGTTGAGTTGGACTCTAACAAACCAGAAAGGCCTATTGAGGTCGGCCCAGCCACGCCGGGTTCCCTCTTGGTCCAACCCAATATACTAGTTTACATAATTATTGACCGAATCAAAAGTCATAGAATAGAACGTCTGTAACACTTTAGGCGAATCCCACATCGACAAAGCACGAGAGAGATCCATGGTTCATAAATAGGAAATCGACCTTAACTGTTTGGGGGTAAAACGGAGGAGTTCTTGTGAGACGTGCTCCGTGTGGAGTACAACAAGGATGGGTGACCTTATGGGAAGTCACCTTGAATTGCACCCCAAGTTGAAAACCGTGAGGGTCGAGGCCCAAAGCGGACAACATCTTCGTCGGGAAAAGGTTCGGGATGTTACAAGTGGTATCAGAGCCTCTTCGCGTCCCTCTTGAACGATGGTGGGGCAAACCTCAACGAGGGCGTTGAGTCTCAGGGGGTAGAAAACTGACCTTAACTGACAAGACGCGTTGTGGGGTGTGATGGAGGAGTTCTTGTGAGACGTGCTCTGTGTGGAGTACAACAAGGATGAGTGACCTTATGGGAAGTCACCTTGAATTGCACCCCAAGTCGAAAACCGTGAGGGTCGAGGCCCAAAGCGGACAATATCTTTGTCGGGAAAAGGTTCGGGATGTTACAAGTGGTATCAGAGCCTCTTCGCGTCCCTCTTGAACAATGGTGGGGCAAACCTCAACGAGGGCGTTGAGTCTCAGGGGGTAGAAAACCGACCTTAACTGACAAGACGCGTTGTGGGGTGTGATGGAGGATTTCTTGTGAGAACTCCGAAGTTAAACGTGCTCAGTGTGGAGTACAACAAGGATGGGTGACCTTATGGGAAGTCAGTTTGAATTGCACTCCAAGTCGAAATCTCTACGGGTGTAGAGACCCAAAGCGAACAGTATCTTGTCGGAAAAAGGTTCGGGATGTTACGATGGAGGATTTCTTGTGAGAACTCCGAAGTTAAACGTGCTCAGTGTGGAGTACAACAAGGATGGGTGACCTTATGGGAAATCACCCTAAATTGCAGTCCAAATCGAAATTTCTACTGGTATAGAGACCCAAAGCAAACAGTATTTTGTCGGAAAAAGGTTCGGGATGTTACAACGTATTAAAAAAAAAAACAGAGGCCATAGAACGTCGCTATGGGATTAGCAATCGGGCATACCATCCCTTACCAAACTATAAGTCCGCGGTTGGTGAGGATTTGATTTCTCCCTTTTTTTTAATTTTGTTTTAAGATGATTAATCATATATTACTTAACTGAAATTGAAGCAATTGCAGCAATGAGTTGCCCAGTCTCATTTGGAATTTTTCATGAAGACACGAAAATAGAAAAAGATTATACGAGGATTTACAGTTTTGGTATTCTCTTTTTTAAATTAAGTCATTTTATCTTTTAATTATGTGGTTATGTTGATCTATACCACTTGTGCTTAAGAGATCAGATGATATCGTATTCTTTTTTAGTGTCAAAAAGAAAAAACACAATGTTGCAAGTCAAGTCATCCATCGAACACATTAGTATATACCGTTGTTAAACAAACTCATTCCAATGTAGACTTTGAAACGGCTCAGTACCAATGGTCTAATTTTTTTTATTAGTTCCCATATGGTTCGTCAGTTCCTCTACTACCCATTACCTCTCAAGTCATAATTTTACATTAAACATGTTATTATATACATCTTATTTTTCTTAAATTATGCTATTGAACATATATTTATTTATAAAAAAGTAGTGACATGTTATTATATACATCTTGTTTCCCTTAAATTATGCTATTGAACATATATATTTAAATAAAAGTAGTGACTGAAATTCCATAGCCAGCTCCCTCCCTTGAATGCTTGACATGTTCCGGATAGTGGAATATCTGATCTGGTCTGCAGAGAGTGGGAAGTCGACCAAATAATTGACTAAATAAATATGCTTCTGATTTTTCATTGAATTAAAAACAGTAAAATGTATCAAATCTATCATACTTACATGAGAATCGAAGGAAACCATCATTTAGGATTAACTATGAGAACTTTGCTGACCATAAATGTTAAAAAAAAAAGAACACCAGAAAAGCATAAAACTTAATCTACCTTATGGGTTGCTCGACAAGTTAAACGGATTCTCTCATGGGCCGCTTGACTCAACCATTTAATATAAAAGTATGATAACATCCATCACATTTTACTTTTCAAAAAGCATAAGCCTAATTTTCAACAATCATACTCACTAAGGGAAATTTCTCAAATCGTCCAATATAAATCAAAACTACTACATTTTTTTTCCATATAATATCAATTCTCACTTCCAAATTGCGAAGAATGTTATGATGCCTCCCTACTAAAACATGAAAAATGTGTTAGATTATATCAGTACGCATCTATGAAAATCTTCTGTTTTTTCTTGAAGATGTATTCAAAATCAAAGCATCACTATCTCAAATTAATTAATCGAATAGATTACAAAACCGAAAGAATTGGTCAAAAAATTTGCCTCCCTATTGATATGAGTATTTCGAGACCCTGAGTCTCTATTCTAAAGTTTACCGGAATGCCTGGACTAGAATGACATGTTGCCGATCAGTCGAAGCCGTCACAAAAAGTAACTGAACTACAATATGGTTTAAATCAAGTTACAATTATATCTTTTTAGTGTCTCAATTCCTGTGTTGATTAGAACGCTTGAATAGTGTGTCATACCATCGTGTATCTTCTTATATTCACATACTAATCTCGCATTCAAATCTCATAACACTTGGGTGCTCTGGATGTGAGAGAAGGATTTTTTTTTTAACTAATATAAACATAAGAAAACAAGACCTCGTCTTAATTTATAGGGCACACAATTTTTTTTAATTTTAACCATATTTAATTATTTTTAAATGTAGACTGACTGACTCATCATCTATTTTTGTAATGGAGCCACTTGTCGGCTTCCACATGTTTCCTTCTTCTTATAGAATAAAAGTATCGGGGAAAGTAATTTATTACCACTTACCGGAGAATATTAAATTGTTAATCTTGGTTCGAATAGGAAGGGAAAAAAAAAAAAAATAATGACGATAAGGTACAGAGAAAGGTCAACGGTCGCATTTAGCGGTATTAGTGAACAGTAAACACAGAGCAACACAGAGAGAGAGACTGAGAGAGCGCGCGGTTGTTGAGAAATAGAAACAAGCTCCGGCGGGACCCACCGCCATAGCCACCTCTTCCACTCCATATAAAAGCTCTGCCATTCCTCCACCAATCTTCCACCACCACCACCACCACTAACTCTCTCCCAACTTCCGACTACCCGATCCTTTATCCTTCACCGGAATTCGGGAAAAAAACAAAATGGGTTCGACGGCGGAAACCCAGATGACGCCGACCCAGGTCTCCGACGAGGAAGCCAACCTGTTCGCGATGCAGCTCGCCAGCGCCTCCGTCCTCCCCATGGTGCTAAAATCGGCGCTCGAGCTCGACCTCCTCGAGATCATTGCCAAATCCGGCCCGGGTGCTTGCCTTTCCCCCGCCGAAATCGCCGCCCAGCTCCCCACCAAGAACCCAGAAGCTCCCGACATGCTCGACCGCATCTGCCGACTCCTCGCATCCTACTCCGTCCTCACTTGCTCCCTCCGCACCCTCCCCGACGGCACCGTCCAGCGGCTCTACGGCGCCGCACCAGTCTGCAAGTTCCTCACCAAGAACGAGGACGGCGTCTCCATCGCCGCGCTCGCGCTCATGAACCAGGACAAAGTCCTCATGGAGAGCTGGTAATTTAATTGAGCTTTTCCCCTTATTCTGAATTCGGTTGATTCACAACTAGGGTTTGATTGGTTTTGTTAGTTCAAGATCAGAATTCCTGCTCAATCAATGCTCTCTCTGTAGCGTGAAAATTGATTGCAGTTCCCATTGCTTGATTCATTGTAAAACTAGCTAGTAACTAATTGGTGAAGGTTCTGCCAAAGTGGGTTCCCCCATTTTCTGCTCAGTTCTCTTAGTAATGGAAAAATCAATTATAACCCCAAATGGTAGATGGGTTTTACAATTTAGCTGCAGCAATCTGACCACCTTCGACAGAATTTGTATGCTCGAATCTCCTTGTTTGAAACTCCCATTTTGATTGTTTGGGGTTTGGATTGTGCAGGTACCACTTGAAAGACGCGGTGTTGGATGGAGGGATCCCGTTCAACAAGGCATACGGGATGACAGCATTCGAGTACCACGGGACCGACCCGAGATTCAACAAGGTGTTCAACAAGGGCATGTCGGATCACTCCACCATCACCATGAAGAAGCTCTTGGAGTCGTACACCGGCTTCGACGGGCTGAAATCGCTGGTCGATGTTGGTGGTGGCACCGGAGCTGTCCTCAGCATGATCCTCTCCAAGCACCCTTCCATCAAGGGGATCAACTTCGATCTCCCCCACGTCATCGAGGACGCCCCTCCGCTGCCTGGCGTCCAGCACGTTGGCGGCGACATGTTCGCCAGCGTCCCCTCCGGTGACGCCATTTTCATGAAGGTAGTAACACACACTAATGAATTCAGTGCCTGCTGTTCTTCGAGAGGTGAAAACGGGTAAAATGACACATTATGTAGACTGCTGCATAACAAGTAGTTCGATCTGGATGTGTTCTTAGCGTTGAGAATCAGTTTGTTACAGTAACTCATTTAATCTTTATACCATTAGCGGATAGTTGGACTAAAACTGTGATGATTGATGAACCCAACTTCTGGTTGAAGGTTTAATTCAACCAACGCACCTAAGTTGGTCACTTGTCATTGTCTTACCTACCACCCATTTTGTGTTTTCTCCATGGTGGTCCATTAGCTAATTAATTATTAAGACTTGGTGTAGAAGATTGGGAATTAAAGGGTGATGTTGGTTTGTTGCAGTGGATATGCCATGATTGGAGCGACGAGCACTGCCTGAGGTTCCTGAAGAACTGCTACGACGCGCTGCCGGCGAACGGGAAAGTGATCGTGTGCGAGTGCATCCTCCCCGTGGCGCCGGACTCGAGCCTGGCGACGAAGAACGTGGTGCACATCGACTGCATCATGCTGGCGCACAACCCGGGCGGGAAAGAGAGGACGCAGGCGGAGTTCGAGTCGCTGTGCAAAGGCGCCGGATTCAAGGGCTTCAGGGTGCTCTGCTCTGCTTTCAACACCTATGTCATGGAGTTCCTCAAGACTGCAGCATAGAATCGAATTGAATCTCCGGCCACATTGATATCTCTCAGTCGTTTCGTCTCTGTATTGTCTTTGGGTGTTCTGTTATGTGAATTTGATTGAAGTTGTTTCTTCTACTTTTTTTTACTTTCACCTCTCCACGATTAGGTAAAAATGGAAGATAGAGTGAATTGAAGAGTAAGACAGTATAAAAGAAGGGCAATGCAGCAAAAATAATGGTAAAAATGGAAGATAGAGTGAATTGAAGAGTAAGACAGTATAAAAAAAAGGGCAATGCAGCAAAAATAATGGTAAACTTGTTTGGTGAATGAAATGCAGAGTTATATATTTGTTCGATGGAATGAACTCTATCCCCCTGTTTCCGAAGTAGGGGAGGAAAAGGAGGGGAGGGGAGGGAGAATTTGGAGGGGAAGGAAAATTGGAGGAGAAGAGAATTGGAGAGAAAATGTTGTTTTATGGAGGAAAGTGAAAGAGATAGTGGGAGGGAAAAAGTATATAGGAAAGTGTGATAGATATGTTATTTTATTGATTATGTAATAGTAAGTATGTGTAAAAAATGCGAAAATGAATATTATGAATAACCAATTTCTACATAACCATGATCATTTTTATTATTTGTTAACGGAACATAAATTGTTCATTTAACTTAATTTTATTTTTTCATACAAATTTTGATAACCTTTGTAGTACAAGACGACGTTCATTCTATAAAAAATGTATCACTCTGATGTCGTTTTACTTGAAACTTACCACACATTTACGTTCCACGTAATTGTGTAAAATAATATTTTGTGTGACTCATGTGAGCCCGTCAATTTAAAAAAATTCTCATATAAATTGGATTAGCTCTACTGTACAAAATGACATCCATTTTGTAAAAATTCCCCTCTTATATCGTTTTTACTATGAATGTAACAAACTCTTATATCTAACGTAACTATTTTATGTATCGTGTAAGACAACACTATATATGACGTAAATCACCCATTTTGTTCGGTTCGATCCGGTCTAAATATCCAATAAGTAGATAAACATCTTGCATTCTTGCTATAAATTTCAAGTTTATCAAATTTGTCGTATGAAACATGTCTACATAAAATACCATTTAACTATCATGTCATAACGAAAATAATTTGATCATTGGTTATGAATTGTAGATTAAATTTTTACTTTCTTACTAATTTTGGTCACTATTAAAAATCAAAAGTAGAATAGTACGGAAATATGTCGACAGTTAGATCTAATGGTTGACCGTTACTTCTATAAAAAATCATCAATTTGAATTCAAACTAAAATTCCGTTATATCGTTATATTGATTCGTGATTTTCGTACTAATTCACTATGATATATAAGTTAACAAACCATTATTTTAATAATGAGGAGTAATCCCAATTATTCAGCTAAAATGGATAACAAATTGTAATGACTTCTATCATTATCTAAAACCCTCCGCCGTCTTCTTTTCATTTTGTATGATTCCTTTTCCTATTTTAATAAAACAATAAATATCTTAGAATCACTTCTTAATCACAAATCTTTTTTCCTCTGCCTTTCCTTGCCAATTTATTATTATTATTATTATTAAAATTGAGCTATCCAATTCCTACGGGCTACAGAGATAAAAGAGAGCAGAAAGAAAGAAAGAAAGAAAAGAGAGATTGGTACAAACAAACAAAAAAGACAAGGGAACTCATTATTTTCCCTCCGATTTGGGGGTGAGACTAGCACAGTACGCGGCCCCTCCACTTTCCCTCACCTCTGTACTGTAGAACATTTCGGAAACGGGGAAAATTTTACTGGAACCCACAATTCCCTCCTTTTCCTTTCCTTTCTCTCATTTTGCCTGGCAAAGAAACAAGGGGTATAGGATAGAAACGATAATACAGCAGAGCTTATTAGAACTTCTCTAACGCAAATGGCGAATGCTGAATTCACAACACGATTTGAATCAACTAATTAACTCAACCGGTTTCCTTACAAGTTACAATGACACTTCAACTGTCAAGATTTGGCCACTAGCTACCACCTAACTCGTGACGAGGCATTGTACGTTGAATTTTATATTATTATTATTATTATTATTATTATTTTCCTCGACAAAAAATGGGTGATTCTGCCGGAGTTCAACAATTAATAACCCAAAATAAAACCAGAATACACTCCACACCTTCAATTTATAAGGGCTTGAAAACCCAACTAACTAGTCTCTTAACCCACATCAACATGGCCTAACAGTGGGCCGGAACGTACACCCAACCAACCAACCAAAACGAATTGTACATCACCTAGGTTCTTCCAAATTCCATTTGTATAAGTAAAAGTCCATATATGCTTAGCACTTAATTAGCAGCCAACCCTAACAGAAATGCCTAACCACCTTGCAAAAAAATTCAACTAATTATATAATTTTTGCTTAGCACTATTGGTCCGGTCCTTTATTACGAGATATCATTCACTATTGGACTGGTTCTTCAATCGAAACCCTAGTTCGTGAACCTCTTGGCAGTAGTAATGGATGATGGCTTCTTGCAAAAAAAATTTACATATATAATTGCTTTATGGTTCAGGTTCCGATGCATAACCTAGTGTTATGCACAAATAATGCAAAAACTAAATCCGACCTCTTGATTTTAAGAGGAGTCAGATTCTCGGGAGTAAGATTAAAAATACTATTTATTTTCGTTATTTTTAATCGGGTTATATGTTCTTTGTTTTGATTTGAATTTTAAAAAAAGTTTCACAAATGGAACGAGTGGTTGTAATCTACAGAATGATATAGATTTTCAATATATTTCGAGAATAATATTTTCATACCACCCGTTACCACCCGATTGTACCCTTTGCACCTTCATTTCTAGACAAATTTTGAATTATTTTTTTTTTCGTACGGGAACGAGTTCACAGTGGTCTATTGGATCTACGAATTTCCGGGGATAGATTTTCAGGACCAAATATATCACCATGTACCACCCCCGGTATATAGTGGTGGTAACCTGGTGGTGGACAATAATGAAAAGTAGTAAATGATGATGAGTACATTCATATTATCATGTATACAATCATATATATTCTTACCGACCCCCATGGTACACTCCATATCACCATGATATAATCTTACATACTGCCAAGCGTCATCATCAGTGGTATAGACCGGTAATGTATGTCTCCTCTTTTGTTCCAAAACATATCAAAGTTGATGTAATCTATATGCTCAACAGCCTACCCTGACGCAGTTCCATCGCATATATCGATCATCCAAATGCATTGTCCCCTCCGCTGCAGCCTTGCAAGCATATATAGCCTTGCTAACCAACTTGTTTTCTAACCAAGAACAGAACATGGAATCCACGTCTATCGGATCGATCGTTTCAGTGATTGTTAATTAATCTCAGATAAGGACGAGAAATGACGATTTCACTATGGAAGAGATGTCCGACTCCATGAGCACTCTTCATACTATATATATATAGTCTGACCCATATATATATATATTAGTTCTCATCAGTCTGCATACCAAACGAATTCGAGAGCTTCCAAGAAATATATAGCCATGGCGATTACCGTTGCTAAGTTGGCCGTCTTGCTCCTGCTGATCATCCTTGCATGTATTCATTCCATCTCCAGGACTATTTCTTTGTTAACGAAGATAAAATAAAATAAAAAATCATTTTATCTCTAATATTGGCTAGTTTTAGAACAAGCTGATTCAACATGGAGACACAATATTGATGGTGAATGGTATTATATATTGATTTTGCAATTTGCATGCAGGCGGTTTTCCGGCAAGCGCATCGAGAGCGCCGGTAACTACTACTACTACCAGTCCACAGTTGACCGGCGGGAATGATGATGCTGATCGGATGGCTTCAGCTGTTAACGCCTCCATCGGCGGGACAGAGAGCAGGTATATATATAATTACAGTCACGTCTTCGGTGCACTCACTTTTTTGGGTGCATTCGCTTTATAACCGTCATTTTAAACATGCGATTTATGTCAAAATGATGTCAATCATCACTTATGATTTGATGAACAATAAGGCACATGAATTTGCACAGAAACCATTGAAGGTTTACTTTAATTTGAAGGATTTAGAGATTAGAGATTTAGGATTAGGGTAGGATTTACAATTTGGCATTTAGGGATAGAACTCAAAATTGGAGGTCTAGGGGTTAGGGTAAACCGCTAATTAGTTGTTATCATATGTTATATCATAATCTGACACCTTAAGACTGGTCTTTGAGTTGGGTACATTGAACGCACTCATTTTTGTGAATACACCGAAGTAGTCACACCCAATTCCATCGATCATGCAGCAGCCACCAGAACTTGGCCTCCCAACAGTAGCGGCCTGAAAGTGTAGTGATGACACCTCAAGCATCCGACAACAACAACAATACGGCTTACGAACAAGATTGGTGCAACATGCTTTGCAACAGAAAGGCGTGTAAAAACTACAGCTCATATGTGTGTGACGGTCAGCCGCCTTCTTGTTATCCGACTTGTTATTGTCCGACCAATTCATGTTATTGCTTCTGCCCAAGATAAAAATATATACTTTTGTCTAATCGAAGGGAGGTGCGTGCTTCCTCGTCGTTTCGGAACCAGATATCGACACTCTACTACTTTGTTGTGCTCTTTCATTGCATGTCTTACATCGATTCGGGTTTTTTCTTCTTCTTTTTCCTTGGTGTTCTCCGGGCAGTTTTCCTTCCTAGTGATGAGTTGGGATTGCTTTGTATGAGATTTTTCTTTACTTTTCTTCATAAATAAAATAAGTGATTTATCGATTTTGTATCTTCATGTGCCAATATTTTCGTACTATGATATACGACGTCCATGGTGTGGACATTATACCCTTCATATAAGGTAGTGATGGCGATTTGAACCGGCGGGAATAAAATAAATGATCTATCGATTTTGTATCTTCGTGCCAATATTAGTACTATGATATATGACGTCCATGGTGTGGACATTATACCCTTCATATTATGTAATAATGGCAATTTGAACCCGTCCCGTACCGTTCTTGGCGACCCGTTCTATCTCACTTTCTTACAATATCTATACATATTTCTCTTATTTTGATTTTTATTCACCTAATTAGAGTCGATCTTTCAACTGATTGGACTCAATTACCCGTTCTATTATCACTATTTTTCATTCATAAAGTGTTTTCCTGTTCATTTTATCGTAAAAAATAAAATTTGCGTATTTTTTCCTCAAATAACATGTAACTGTGGGTCGCCACCCGCCCCTACCCATAATATCGTGGGACGAGACATGAGTATTGGGATACCCTCCCTGCCCTCTGTCCTATTGCCATCACTAATATTTGGTAATAGCGGCGAACGTACGTACAAAAGTCTGTAATTTACGAGCTACAAATTCTCCTTATTCCTCAGTAGTCAGCCCGCAAACGGGCCCACTTTACAAGAGCCCAGCCCATGAGTTTCGGTCCCCTTGTATTTGCAGCCCAGCCAACTTGAGATGCATATCACGAGATCTTTGTTTCAGTTGCGGACAACTTTTGGCCTAGGCTTCTCCGGTCCAATACCGATCAGATTAAATTATAAGAATCGCCATCAAATAATACTTTTCCTTTTTTAATCAAAAACTGTATCATCAATATGTCTTAAATCTTAAAATATATTAAAAGACTTTCAGAAATAAGCCCTGTCCACATAAATCTTGTAGGCTTCTCCGTGAGTTTCGGTATTTATCACTTTTTTATTATTTTCTTTTACTTTCCGCAGTTGCTGCGTCGTTTAGTTTAGAAATTGGGCTTTTTAAAATTACTATTTTTAACTTCCAAGGGGTTGCGCCCCAATTCATTTTCCAAATTTTTTATTGGTTAAGATTAAATAATAATTTGAAAAGGTCATCCCCTAATAAAAATTAATTTCAAAATTTCAATTTAACAACATGATTTGTGACATGTGAGAGTGGATTAATAATTACGTTTTTCTGGTGAAGTTAAGAAATGAACTTCTTAATTCTTAAGCCATTTTTTAATATGGATATTTTTACTGGGATGTTAAGAATTCTCTTTTTATAAAATATATTTAGATGCACTAATATTACATATTTACAATATACATCATACCTTATTATTTTCATGGATATATAATAGATTTCTTAATGCATAGAAAATGTCATAATTTTCACCTATATATGATATTTCGCTTGAAATGTTTTGTGAACATTCAGTTAAATAGTTTGTGGGAACATTTTCACTAATTTTAGTATTTTGCCTAAAGTAATATTATAATGATAACAAATTGATAATTTAGATGTTGCCATATATATTTATAAGTTACGGGGAAAAAATTAAAATTCTACCTGTCCAAAGGGCAGGGTGGAAGCTAGTTTTGTTCTGTTAAGATATCAGTTTCATTTATTTTTCTATAGTTTTTATAAAACTCACCAACCAAAAGATTGGATCATATTATACTTGTGCTCTATCAGGTGACTTCATATTTTCTCCTTTTCTAGTCCGAAGATACGAAGTTGAGGACTTGATTGTAAACGCTGTAACGTAATATTTACTTGTTTTTTGTACAGTGTACTGCTTATGAATTTTACTAAAATAATTCTTGGAATTGAGTATGTGTATTGATATGATCACAATTCAAACCTGTAAGCTCCGTTCTCCATGTTTTATTTGCATGTTTTATGGTGATTCCGGTTGGTTTTCTCTCTTCTTTGATGTTCATTGGGCAGCTATCCTTCCTAGTGATGATGAGTTGGGACTGCAGCAGCTTTGTATGTGTTTTTTCTATCCTAAATAAAATAAAATAAATGATCTATCGATTTTGTTATCTCTACTTTATATAATTCACCGTAATTAGTCGATATTACTTTAGTTATATTTCAGTTCGACCAATCAGATCGCGTGGTTAAGCATATATGTTAATGTGTGCAATGTGGTTTGGTCTGTACCGGACCTCATCGGACCAAACCAAACACTTGGACCAGACCCCATCAAATTGAATATGATGTGGTCTCATCTTTAGTCCCCGTGAATTTTATAAATACTAAAGAAAAATGGGTCCAACTAACAATTGGACAGAACCACATCGAACCAAATCAAACTGAATGCACTGTTGGCCAATCATTAATTCTAAGATATCATTCTTCAATCGAAACTCTAGTTCGTGATGAACCTCTTTGTCAGTAGTGGATGATGGCTTCCTGCAAAACTTTTTTACCTATATAAATTGCTTTATGGTCAAGGTTCAAGTCCATATATAACCTAGTGTTATGCACAGATGCATAACTAGATCTGACCCCTTGATTTTAAGAGGAGTCCGATCTAAAAAATAAAAATAAAATCCTGTTCTTTTTGTTGCTTTTTTTAATTGGGTTATATTATCTACACTATGATATACTCATACCGCCCCATGGTACGTACACTTCCATATCTCCATGATATATAATCTTACATATACTACCAAGCGCTATCACCATGCGGTATAAACTGCGCGATAATATAAGTCTCATTTTCTGTTCCAAAATATTATCAAAGTGAATGTCATTAGCATAATTAATATTATTTTTTTCCCCACATAGGTCAATTACAAATCTCGATTTCACATCGGAGATGAATGATTGATAGAAGAGACCAGTTTTCATCGGACCGATCATCCAAATGCGTTGGCCCTCCCGCTGCAGCTAACCCTGCAAGCATATAATTGCCGACCTTAAACAGCATAATAAAGACCACTAAATTAGCATCATCCCTAACCAACTGTTTTTCAACCAATAACAGAACATCGAATAATCCACCTCTATACATTGACCATTTTAGTAATTGTTTAATCCCAAAAATAACGACGACAAAATGCCAAGAGTTGTATACGTAACGGATCTCCTAACTCCACGAGCACTCAATTCGTACTAGGGCTGGTAATTTGGTCCAGGACTGTTTGGTTTTACTCGAAACCGGACCGTATAACTCGGACTGGGACCGGACTGAGACCGGATAGCAAACAATCCAATCTCATATTGGAGCTTAGATTTCAGGTAAAAAACCTGGATAAAGACCGGATAAGAGACCCCAACACTCAAATTCCCACAAGCTCAATCTAAAATCAAAATCAAATTGGGACCGGACCGGATCAAGACCGAAGTGTATCCAATCCAATCTTTGGTCCTTATATTCCCGAAAAGACCGGACTGGGACCGGATCAATTTGATCCAATTTAACAGGACCGGACCGTGTAGCCACCCCTAATTCGTACTATATATACCAGCAAGCAGCTACCATATCAGTTCCAAGAAATATCAGAAGAAGGAAGGAAAAAAAAAAAAAAAAGTAGCCATGGCGATTCCCAGTATTACCGTTGCTAAGTTGGCCGTCTTCCTCCTGCTGATCATCCTTTCATGTATTCACTCCATCTCCAGGACTATTTCTTTGTTAATGAAAATTAAAATAAAAAAAAATATATTAATCCTTTTATCTCTAATATTGGCTAGGGTAGAACAAACTTATTATACACACATGCAGAGACATATATTGATGGTGAATTAATTGTATTATTATATTGATTTTGCATGCAGGCGGTTTTCCGGCAAGCGCATCGAGAGCGCCGGTAACTACTACTACTGCCACCAGTCCACAGTCGACGGCCGCCGGGAATATTATTATTGGTGATAATGCTGATCGGATGGCTTCAGCTGTTAACAACAACAACAGTACGGGTTTGGTACAAGATTGGTGCAACATGTTTTGCAACAAAAAGGCGTGTAAGAACTATAAATCGTATCTATGCGACGACCAACCTCCTTCATGTTATCCGACTTGCTATTGCCCGACCAATTCGTGTTTCTGCTTCTGTCCGAGATAAAAACATATTTTTTTCTTTGTTTGGTTGGAGGAGTTACGTATGACTGCTTTGTTTTCTTGTTCTTCATGTACGAGCGCGTCTTTTCCATTTGTTGTGCTCTTTCATTGCGTGTCTTTGGTGATTCGAGTTGCTTTTCTATTTATCAAAGTGTTCTCCGGGCAATTTTCCTTCCTAGTGATGAGTTGGGATTGCTTTGTATGAGATTTTTTTTTTTTGAACTTTTTTTTCATAAACAAAATAAATGATTTATCGATTTTGTCATCCAATATTTGTACTATGATATGCGACGTCCTCACGTCCATGATGTGGACATTGTACCCTTCATATTATTTACTAGCAGCGAGCGAACGTACATTTAGGGGTGGCAGTTCGGTTATTTCGGTAAAATCGATAATCGATCGGCCGGTTATTGGTTAACCGAAATAACCACTCCCCCTAACGAAAACCGTTCGAAATAGACTTCGGTTATCTCGATTATCGGTTAACCGAATCACTTTTAAGATAAAAAACCATTTCATCCAGCCACCAATAACCGATCGAAGTTTGATTACTTTGGTTAGTGAATAACCGGCCGGTTATCGATTTAACCAACCGGTTAACCAGTAACCGAACGACCAAAAGGCTGTAATTAACGAGCTACAAATTCTCACTATTCCTCAGAAGTCAGAACTAGTAGTCGGCCCGCAAACGGACCCACTTTACAAGAGCCCAGCCCATGAATTTTGGTCCCCTTGGATTTGCAGCCCAGCCAACTTGAGATGCATATCACGAGATCTTTGTTTCAGTTACGGGCAACTCTAGTGGCTTACCCTGTACAACGGTCCGGTCCAATACTGATCCGATTAAATTATAAGTACCGCGATCTAATAGTAAAAAATTATTTTATTGAATAAAAACAATTGGATCATTATTACATTTTGTTCCATTCAGATATCAAGTCAATCTAATTTTTTTTCCCTACTGTTTCTATGAAATTCACCAACCAAAGATTGGATCGCATTATATTTGTGCTCTATCAGATGAGTTCATGTATTCTTCTTTTGGCAGGCCGATATGTCATTCTCCAATCTTTTCTTTAATTTCCCTATACATCTTTTCATGTTGTCTAAAGATATGAAGCTGAGGAATTGATTGTAAACTTTGTAATAGTTATCATTGGATTGTAATGTTGTAATAGACTAATAGTTATCATAGGACTGTAATGTAAAATTTACTTATTTTGTGTACTGCTTTGGACTTTCAGCATGTGTACCGATAGGATTGGAATTCAAACTGGTAAGCTATGATACCATGATAGATAATCGAAACTAAAAAGTAACCTGTATCACTCTCATCCAAAAAATAATTGAAACTAGATCGGATGAAGGAATAATCGACCCTTACACAAAGAACACACAGGGATTACGTGGTTTCTTTGTTCAGAATGAACCAAACTATTCCATATGGCCGATGCTATCAACTCTTGTATTCAAACTTACCTTCAAGCAACCGTCTACAAACATACATATATACAAACTCAATACCCTAGACGAGATAGGGAAGAGGGACGGCCAGAATACTAAGATAAGACTTTAAAAACTGTAGCGTTCCATAGGGGTGGTAATCGGTCGGTAACCGGTTAACCGGTTACCGACCGACCCGATTACCGGTATACCGTTCACGACAGAGGAGAAGCCGGATACCGATACCGGTTACCGAACACTCGGTTAACGGTTACAAACCGGTTATACCGGCTACCCGCGAGACACACCTCCTCCTCTCTTTCTCATTCACCCATTCTCGACAATCAGACTCTCTCTCTCTCTCTTGAACCCTCCCCAGACCACCTCTCTCTCTCGTTCACCTCTCCCCAACCTTTTCAGACCTCCTCTCTCGGTTTCCTCTCATCTCCCCATCCCTACACTAATCGCCGCCAGCCGCTGCCGTCGCCGTTGTCGCCGCCGCATCGAACAAGCTTACTCTCTGCCCTCACCACCATTCCAACCTCCAGTCGTTGTCGCCGCCCGATTAGGGATTTTTTGGGGGTGTCAAGAAATCCGGGTGCCTCCTCTCTTGATCCAGATCTCCGGCAACCATCCCGCCGCCATCTCGTCGTAGCCCTCCCTCTCGCCGCCATCTAGACTGACTGAGAACCGTTGCGGGTGGGAGACTGCATCTCGCCGAATCTGACCTCGAGAGGAAGAGAGAGTCGCCGCACAAGGGAGTTGCATGGAGCCGGATCTGGAATCTAGAGGGAGAGAGAGTCGCCAGATTGGATGCTGTGTTCGAAAAGGAGAGCGATGCGTCGGACTCGGTTCTGGGTTCTTCCAACGACGGCGGCAGAGGAGTGGAAAGAGGTGGTGGTTGGGCGAGCAAACCCATCGCTCTTTGCCCTCTCTCCGGTGACGACGCATCCCATTGACGATGACGAATCGGCGGTCATGGTCTGAATCAAGAAATCGAGAAAGAGAGGAGGGGGTTTCACAGAATCTCTCACGGTGAAGGTTCTGTTTGTGGAAGGAAGAGATAATTTGAGGGAGATTAAGAGGGAGGAGGGAGAGAGCAGGTGGAGTGAAGGAACTGAATCAACTGATTGAAAAAGGGGAGAGGGGTTTTGCCTTCTATCGGTATACTCGGTTATACCGAGTAACCGGCGGTTACTTACCGATTATAGGTCGGTATACCGCCTCGCGAATTTCTCCTGCCGTATACCGATACCGCCGGTTAACGGTTAACCAGTAACCGCCGGTTATCGGTACGGTTACCGGTTAAACCGTTAACCGGCTAACCGGTTAGCGGCTAACCGGTTACCAGCCCTAGCGTCCCACCAGTTTGACCAGAAAACCTCCGATTAAAAGCGAAATCAGTAGGCGACATTTAGTGATATGAAAACCGGTTGAATGCATGATTGCAGCATAAATTATTATACTGTTGACTTTTCAATCCTTGCTACACACTATATACAATATACATAGATGGTCTTTCATTTTTCTTGCTTAATTGATCCTCCGATTTCCCCGCTCCGTAGAAACGGGTCGTTGACATGATGAACTTGTCTCTTGCGATTCTTTCCAAACCAACTCGGATCCCAACCGGAAATAGAAAGGGAGAAAAACAATGAGACCACAATTCATACCTCCACTGTCTCCCCCGCTAGCAAAGCATATAAGTCAACCTTTCAAGAAGCAAGAAAGAAGAGAAACAGAGCAAGTTCATGTATCAACGACGGCATAATACCAATTACGCAGGAAGCGATTATGAGAATCGTTTAAGCAGCTAGAGTAATTCTTGTCAATCGAGTTACCTTTAGTTTATTATAAGTAAGCAGGACAAGACATTCCAGTCTTCAGCAATCTTGATTGTATATATAAGTAAGCATCTGCTCATCAACATTCAAAGAAAAAAAAAAAACAGGGGATTGCTTCAAAGAAAACAGGGGGGAAAGAAGCTATAATTGATTGGTATCATATATAAGCTTAGCCATGGCGATGCTGCTGCCAAGTATTTCAAGGTTGGCCGTCTTGCTTCTGTTGATAATATGGGTCGTCGCCGTCGTCCTTCCATGTACGTTTTCCGATCCCCCTTCGTTTGACGTAGTTTCTTCTTTCATAATATTGAAGAATGTTAAACACTGTTTTTGCATATATGCAGGTGCTGTGACTTCAAGCGCATCGGCAGTTGCTAGTTCGGAGGATGTCGACGATGCTTCTGCTAACGTCAGGTATGATTTATCGTAACGATAAGAGTAATTAACAGACAAACACCATTTTTTTGTTGTTGTGTAACCTAGCTATTTTGCTTACGCAATTCCCCGTCAATCATACAGTAGCAACTTAACCTCCCAGTTGGTGCCGAAAAGAGGAGGAGCACCCAACAACAGTACGGCTTCGGTACATGAATGGTGCAATGCTTTCTGCAACAATGTGGCATGCCCGAGTTATTACCCGTACTTGTGCAAAGATGAAGATCCTGACTTCTGCTATCCAACTTGCGACTGTCCATCCAATACTTGTTTTTGCTACTGCAGTCAATTGATATATTGAAACTGATGGTAGATCCATTGAGGTGTGCAAGCACGCGCGCATCGTTGTCGTCGGGATCGAAACTTGGTATCTGTATCACTTTGTTGTTGGTTCATGTTTCAGCCTGTCTTGTTGTTTTTCCCGTTGGTTTTTTTTTCTTTTTCTCCCCGAGCCGTTTTCCTTCCTAGTGATGAGTTGGAACTGCTTTGTATGGGTATGTTTTTTTTTTTCCTTCGTGAATAAAATAAATAAAAGATCATCGATCTTGTGGTTAAGATTAAATAATAATTTGAAAATTTCATCCCCTAAGAAAAATTAATTTGAAAATTTTCAATTTAACAACATGATTTGTGACATGTGAGAGTGGATTAATAATTACGTTTTTCTGGTGAAGTTAAGAAACGAACTTCTTAATTCTTAAGCCATTTTTTAATATGGATATTTTTACTGGGATGTTAAGAATTCTCTTTTTATAAAAATATTTAGATGCACTAATAATACATGTTTACAATATACATCATACCTTATTATTTTCATGGATATATAATAGATTTCTTAATGCATAGAAAATGTTATAATTTTCACCTATATATGATATTTCACTTGAAATGTATTGTGAACATTCAGTTAAATAGTTTGTGGGAACATTTTCACTAATTTTAGTATTTTGCCTAAAGTAATATTATAATGAAAACAAATTGATAATTTAGATGTTGCCATATATATTTATAAGTTACGGGGAAAAAATTAAAATTCTACCTGCCCAAAGGGCAGGATGGAAGCTAGTTTTGTTCTGTTAAGAAATCAGTTCCATTTATTTTTCTATAGTTTTTATAAAACTCACCAACCAAAAGATTGGATCGTATTATACTTGTGCTCTATCAGGTGACTTCATAATTTCTCCTTTTCTAGTCCGAAAATACGAAGTTGAGGACTTGATTATAAACGCTGTAACGTAATATTTACTTGTTTTTTGTACCGTGTACTGCTTATGACTTTTACTAAAATAATTCTTGGAATTGAGTATGTGTATTGATATGATCACAATTCAAACCTGTAAGCTCCGTTCTCCATGTTTTATTTGCACGTTTTATGGTGATTCCGGTTGGTTTTCTCTCTTCTTTGATGTTCATTGGGCAGCTATCCTTCCTAGTGATGATGAGTTGGGACTGCAGAAGCTTTGTATGTGTTTTTTTCTATCATAAATAAAATAAAATAAATGATCTATTGATCTTGTCATCTCTAATTTATATAATTCATCGTAATTAGTCGATATTACTTTAGTTATATTTCAGTTCGACCAATCAAATCGCGTGGTTAAGCATATATGTTAATGTGTGCAATGGTTTGGTCTGTACCGGACCTCATCGGACCAAACCAAACACTTGGACCAGACCCCCATCAAATTGAATATGATGTGGTCTCATCTTCAGTCCCCGTGAATTTTATAAATACTAAAGAAAAATGAGTCCAACTAACAACTGGACAGAACCACATCGAACCAAATCAAACTGAATGCACTGTTTGGTCCAATCCTTGATTCTAAGATATCATTCTTCAATCGAAACTCTAGTTCGTGAACCTCTTTTGTCAGTAGTGGATGATGGCTTCCTGCAAAACTTTTTACCTATATAAATTGCTTTATGGTCAAGGTTCAAGTCCATATATAACCTAGTGTTATGCACAGATGCATAACTAGATCTGACCCCTTGATTTTAAGAGGAGTCCGATCTAAAAAATAAAATTAAAATCCTGTTTTTTTTTTTTTTTGCTTTTTTAATTGGGTTATATTATCTACGTACGGTTCTTCAAAATTCCCTTTGTATATACATTAAAAAATAAACACACACATTAATTATATGCTCAACGGCCTACCCGGCAGAGACCAGTTTCCATCGGGAGAAATTATTGGGTACTCCTGGAGTACCACGTCACCCAGTCTACGTGGTACTCCCGACCACTAATTGCCGGCCATCTGTCAAGTTTATTATTAATATTGATTAGTGTTGATATTTAGCATATTTTATTTGCTTTTATTTCTCTTCCGGTCTTCGGTCTTCCATCTTCTCTTCTTCCTTCCTGCCAAAATAAGAAGTCTTTGTCTTCTTTCCATACTAAGTTTTAACAGTATCTCTCCTACCCCATTTTCTTTCTCTTTCTTTTCTAGCAAAAAGAAGCTCTATTTTATTTTTATCTCAGTCGAGCTTGATTGCTCCAGCTTCCAGTCCAAATCCGTTCCAGATTTAGTTCTTAAGCAATTCGAGTTTCTGGGATTTTTAGCTAGTTTTCAGATTACGTGTTTCCAAAAAATTGTAGGTACTAGAACAGGAGAAGTTCATAACTTTCTTGGAGACGATTCTTATTTTGGAATCAGCTAGTGAAAGCTCTAGGTTGAGTTTTAATTCTAAACTGGATTAGTAGTGCGGGTCTTAATCTCGCTGGAAATCTAGAGTTGAGTTGATTAATCTAGTTCCAGAGCTTCGATTAATTAATCTCACTATGTAGCCTCTGTTTTTCAATCCTGTTAACAAGCAAACATGTCTTTCAAAAACTTCCTGAGAAATCCACAGTGCCTATCATACACTTCTGGGCACTTTGAAGCTTTGATTGTTTTCTTATGTTTTTTCCCAAGACCTCCGGTTGATGAAGATGGGTTGTTTACGGGGAAAGAGAAAAGGAAATAAGAAAGAGAGTTGTTTCCATTCAGAAAAAGAGAGAGGCGCCATTAAGGCATTAATTATGGGAAACAATTAAAAGAGGAAAGAGAAAGTAAATGGTAAAAAATGGAATAAATATAAGTAGTTATCAATAATGACGCTGAACATGTCAGATGGCCGGCAATTAGTGATCGGGAGTACCACGTAGACAGGGTGACTTGGTACTCCGGGAGTACCCAATAATTTCTCTTCCATCGGACCGATCATCCAAATGCGTTGGCCCTTCCGCTGCAGCTAATTACCCTGCAAGCATATAATTGCCGACCTTAAACAGCATAATAAAGACCACTAAATTAGCACCATCCCTAATTAACCAACTGTTTTTCAACCAAGAGTACATTGACCATTTTAGTAATTGTTTAATCCCAAAAAATAACGACGACAAAATGACAAGAGTTGTATACGTAACGGATCTCCTAACTAACTCCACGAGCACTCAATTCGTACTATATATACCAGCAAGCAACTATCATATCAGTTCCAAGAAATATCAGAAGAAGAAGAAAAAAAAAGAGTAGCCATGGCGATTCCCAGTATTACCGTTGCTAAGTTGGCCGTCTTGCTCCTGCTAAGTTGGCTAGGTTAGAACAAACTTATTATACACACATGCAGAGACATATTGATGGTGAACTAATGGTATTAATTATTATATTGATTTTGCATGCAAGGCGGTTTTCCGGCAAGCGCATCGAGAGCGCCGGTAGTAACTACTACTACTTCCACCAGTCCACAGTCGACGGCCGGCGGGAATATTATTATTGGTGATGCTGATCGGATGGCTTCAGCTGTTAACAACGCCTCCATCGGCGGGACTGAAAGCGTGGTGATGACGCCTCAAGCATACAACAACAGTACGGGTTTGGTACAAGATTGGTGCAACATGTTTTGCAATAAAAAGGCGTGTAAGAACTATAAATCGTATCTATGCGACGACCAACCTCCTTCCTGTTATCCGACTTGCTATTGTCCGACCAATTCGTGTTTCTGCTTCTGTCCGAGATAAAAACATTTTTTCTTTCTTTGTTTGGTTGGAGGAGGTGCATATGACTGCTTTGTTTTCTTCTTCTTCATGGACGAGCGCGTCTTTCCCATTTGTTGTGCTCTTTCATTGCATGTCTTTGGTGATTCGAGTTGCTTTTCTATTTACCTAAGTGTTCTCCGGGCAAGTTTCCTTCCTAGTGATGAGTTGGGATTGCTTTGTATGAGAATTTTTTTTTTTACTTTTTTTTTCAAAAACAAAATAAATGATTTATCGATTTGTCATCCAATATTTGTACTATGATATGCGACGGAGCTAGGATTATAAGTTAGGAGGGGCCAATTTTTCTCTTACACTAAGTAAATTCAACAAAAAATCAACTTTTAAAATTAAATAAAATTTCAGACATATTTATGGAGCAGACGATTCGAATTAACTCATTTCAAATTACACATTTTGTAAAATGAGACAATTGGTCCATTTTTTAGTTGTTCCATCCAAATGACCCCTAAAACATAGGTGAATTAGTTAGGGAGACAACCTACAACTAAGAAAATGGGATGAAAAACAGCATCCAAGGGGATTCCAACCCCTATGCTAATCTTTGAAATTGCAAAAAACTATAGCAAAGCCAATACACCACAGCCATCTCTTATTCTTACGTGCACCAAAGCTATATATATATTTACAATTTTAAGGGGGCCATGGCCCCTCCTAACTATGAGCTGGCTCCGTCCCTGGTGGATATTGTGCCCTTCATATTATTTACTAGCAGCGAGCGAACGTACATCTAGGGGTGGCGGTTCGGTTATTTCGGTTATAACCGATAATCGATCGGCCGGTTAATGGTTAACCGAAATAACCACTCCCCCTTAACAAAAACTGCCCGAAATAGACTTCGGTTATCTCGATTATCGGTTAACCGAATCACTTTTAAGATAAAAAAATCATTTCATCCATCCATCGATAACCGATCGAAATTCGGTTACTTCGGTTATCGGTTAGTGGATAACCGGTAACCGAGCGGCCAAAAGGCTGTAATTGACGAGCTACAAATTCTCACTATTCCTCAGAACTAGTAGTCGGCCCGCAAACGGGCCCACTTTACAAGAGCCCAGCCCAAGAATTTAGGTCCCCTTGTATTTGCAGCCCAGCCAACTTGAGATGCATATCACGAGATCTTTGTTTCAGTTACGGTCAACTCTAGTGGCTTACCCTGTACAACGGTCCGGTCCAATACTGATCCGATTAAATTATAAGAAGTGCGGTCCAATAGTAAAAAATTATTTTATTGAATAAAAACAATTGGATCATTATTACATTTTGTTCCATTCAGATATCAAGTCAATTTTCTTTTTTTTCCTACCGTTTTTTATGAAATTTCGTCCAACCAAAGATTGGATCGCATTATATTTGTGCTCTATCAGATGAGTTCGTGTATTCTTCTTTTGGCAGGCCGACATGTCATTCTCCATCTTTTCATTTTGCATGTCTTATGGTAATTCCGGTTGGTTCTCTTTTCTTTAATTTCCCTATACATCTTATCATGTTAAAGATATGAAGCTGAGGACTTGATTGTAAACTTTGAAATAGTTAATCGTAATGTTGTAATAGTTATCATAGGACTGTAATGTAAAATTTACATATTTTCTGTACTGCTTTGGACTTTCAGCCTCTGTACTGATAGGATTGGAATTCAAACCAGTAAGCTATGATACCAGGATAGATAATCGAAACTAAAAAGTAACATGTATCACTCTCATCCAAAAAATAATTGAAATTAGATCGAATGAAGAAATAATCGACCCTTACACAAAGAACACACATGGATTACGATGGTTTCTTTGTTCAGAATGAACCAAACTATTCCATATGGCCGATGCTATCAACTCTTGTATTCAACTTACCTTCAAGCAACCGTTTACATATATACAAACTCAATACCCTAGGCGAGATAGGGAAGAGGGACAACCATAATACTAAGATAAGACTTGAAAAATTGTACCGTTCCAACAGTTTGACCATAAAATCTCCTATTAAAAGCGAAATCAATAGGTGGTATTTAGTGATATGAAAACCTGTTGAATCACACGATTTCGGCATAAATTACCATATACCGTTGACTTTTCTGGTACAACATCCGGTCCGGTTTTTCAATCCTTGCTACACACTATATACATCATACATAGATGGTCTTTCATTTTCCTTGCTTAATTGATCCTCCGATTTCCCCGATCCGTAGAAACGGGTCGTTTTTTTTTTTTTTTGAAAAGGGTGCAAGCACCACTACCTCGGATTACTGAATCGAATGGACAACAAATCCGCCAACCGAATCATACAAAAGCCAGCGATCAATGTCAGGATCGGAAAAGCAAGTACTACTAGAACCTGGGTCTAACAGGTGACCCTTATGAGCTAAACAATCGGCTAAGAAGTTCGCCTCTCTGTAAATATGCTGCACTCTAACTTCCCAGTCCCTGCTCTGCAGTTCCCGGAAAGCAAGAACCAGATTAGCATGCTGGTGGCTAGTCGAACACGTGGGCGAAAGGAGATGAGTTGCTGTCGTCGAGTCAAGCTGAACCTCGACTTTCTTGTAACCTGCATCCCATGCTGCCTGGAGTCCCTGTAGTGCGCCCCATAGCTCCGCGCGAGTGATCGTACATCTCCCCAGATTCATTGAGAAAGCACCTAACAAGCGACCCTGCCCGTCTCGAAGCGCACCTGCTGCAGCGGCTGACCCCGATTGGCAAAGCAATGAGCCATCGGAGTTCACTGTGATCCACCCTGCCGGGGCTGGTCTCCACCCTACAGCCACGTCTCGACTCAGCCCCGACCTCCCCAGTGATATAGCTTGGTCCGCTGCTTTACTCTTTTGCGCAATGACCTCCCAGGCTAGGATCTTTTGCGCAAGCTTATTAGGCGCTTCCTCAATGGCTGAGAAGACGTAGTCATTCCGCGAACGCCATAGGAACCAACACGTGAAGCCAAAACGTACTTGATGCTCTGGACTCGACAAGTGGCTCATGAACCACTCCTTGAAGGTCTGTCGGTCAGCATGGGTGCTCGCCACCGTTGGGAGGGCCTGCTTCCATACTTCCCTCGCGTAGGGGCAAGTGCGGAAAGCATGCTCTGGTGATTCCTCTCCCTGATTGCATCTGGTACATACTGTTGAGGTCGAAAGATGCCGTCTCTGCCGTTCCACATTGGTGAGCAGTGAGCCATGCGCCATGAGCCACAGGAAGTGCCTCACCCTGTTCGGACCTGGCCATCTTCACACCTTCTTCCATCCGTCATCCGCGCCATCCCTGTCGATATCAGCTGCCAATTGGTAGGCGGACTTTATCGTGAAGTTTCCCTTTTCTTCAAGCCCCCACACAATCTCGTCGTCGCCGAGGTGCTCTCGTGGAGGAGGCATACCAATAACCTGCAAAACCAAATCCATAGGTAAGTAGCGAGCAATGAGGTCAAAATTCCACTCACCTGTCTCCAGTGTCATATCGGCCACAGTAGCTTGAGCTTGGAAACCCTCCTCCTCCGTGCGGGCAAAAACTCCAAGGACCGTGCCGCCATCCGTCCACTTGTCGGACCAAAACATAGTGGAATGGCCGTTCCTCACACTCCACCGAGTTCCGTCCAGCATCGTGCCCCAAACGCGTCTCACACCGCGCCATAGTTGAGAGCATCGAGTTCGCCTCCTCAGCTCCACCCCTTCGGGTCCTTCGCGCAAGTATTTCTCCTTAAGGACGCAGACCCAGAGCTCCTCCGGGTGTTTGAGAATAGTCCAGGCTAGCTTTAGGAAGTACGATGTGTTCATTTCTCTTGTCGATCTCAAACCCAGCCCTCCCTGGCTCTTGGGGAGGCAAATAGTCTCCCAGTTGATAAGATGGATGCGCCGTCTGCCCTGCTGGGAGCCCCAAATAAAAGCTCGAATCCTGCGATCCAAGTAGTCACAAACACCCGCGGGAAGCATCGCCGTTTGCATCGCGTAAGATGGCATGGTGTTGAGTACCGACATGGCCAAAGTCACTCGACCTGCAAGAGAAAGGTTATCTGCTTTCCAACCTGCAAGACGTTGATCAACCTTATCCATAATGTATTTGTAGGTCTGCTTAGTGACACGCCCGTGGAGTACCGGGACCCCAAGGTAGCGTCCCAAGTCTTGCGTCATTGGGATAGCCAGCTTGTCACTTATACTCCTGCAAACTTCCCTTCGCATATTTTTGGAGAAGAAGACCCTCGACTTGTCGCGACTCACCAGCTCCCCCGAGGCGCCACAGAAGTCATTCAGACACTTTAGGATCATATCTGCTTGTTCCAGGCTTGCCTCTGCAAACAAAACTAAGTCATCGGCAAAGAAAAGATGTGTTAGTTCCACACCCCCTCGTACGAGCTGGATGGGTCGCCACACTTTCCTTTGAACCAAGTCCTGTATAAGATGAGAGAGGCGTTCAATGCACAGGGTAAATATATAAGGCGAGAGGGGGCAGCCCTGACGTAGACCCCTCGTCGGGGTGAAGGGTTCCGTGCCACTGCCACCCCAAAGTACCTCAAAGGAAGCCGTGGTAATACAGCTCATCGTAGCTTGCATAAACTTCTCGGGGAGTCCAGCAGCTACCATCGTGGTCGCAATGAATGACCAATCTAACCTGTCATAGGCCTTAGCCAAGTCGATTTTAAGCACCATGTGACCCGCTTTGCCTTTCCGCGTCTGCATTGTATGCACCACCTCCTGAAGGATGATGATATTATTCTGGATGCTACGTCCGGGCACGAAGCTTGTCTGGTTTGGCTTGATCAGTTTCGGCATCAGCGGCTTCAGTCTATTAGCCAAACATTTGGTCAATGCTTTGTAGGAAACGTTACACAGGCTAATGGGCCTGAGCTCAGACACAGAGGAGGGGTTCTGTTTCTTTGGGATGAGTGCCAACAAGGTGGCGTTTACTTGAGACACCCTATCCGGGCACCTGAAGCACTGCGCAATGAACTCCGAGAAAGCTTCCCCAACTGTCTCCCAGCAACGTTGGAAGAAGAGTGGCTGGTAGCCATCTTTCCCTGGCGCTTTATTCGATCCCATAGACTTGATCGCGGCTAGAACTTCCATCGGATGAATGTCCACCTCCAAGTAGTCCACTCTCTCCTCGAGGCTTGGGTAGTAAGCCGGGAGGATATCCGGCATGGTCTGGCCAGCTGTGAATAGGTCAACATAGAATCCACGAACTAGCTGTTTGAGCTCCTCTTCCTCCTCAATCCACCGCCCGTCATCAGCTTTCAGTCTGCGGATTTTATTGAACCCGCGCCGCTTGAGGGTGGAGATGTGGAAGAACCTTGTGTTACAGTCTCCTTTGGTGAACCACAGTTGCCTGGATTTCTGGTACCACAAAACCTCCTCCTGTTTCAAGACCTCATGCAGCTGGGTTCGAGTAAGCTCTTCCTCTTTAACTCGTTGGGCAGTAGGGTGTATTTCATTTCTCAACTCTAGCCGCTGCAGCTTCTCTAGCAGCTTCCGTTTCCTAAAGAAGATGTTGCCAAAAACCTCACGATTCCAGGCCTCCAGGTCGGCAGTAAGGGCCTGCAGCTTCTCTCCCAACTCGCTCCCTTTAAGCCATCCTTGGTCTAATATCCGGGAGAAGTCCTGATGAAGCAACCAAGGAGCCAGAAAGCGAAACGGCTTTCCTCCCTGCTGATTCGTTCGCCTATGTTCAGAGCTTATAAGAATTGGACGGTGGTCCGACTTCACTTTTTGGAGATGCCGGGTCATAGTTTCCGGGTACTGCTGCAGCCAGAGTGTATTACACAGTGCTCGATCCAGCCTTTCTTTAAGTCCCTGCGCTCCATGCCAAGTAAAACGCGGTCCACAGTAATCAATCTCCAACAGGCTGCAGTCTTCGACAGCTTCACGGAACTCCCAACTCGACGCCATGTTGAAGCCCCTTCCGCCTTGTTTGTCATCCGGCCCAAGCATGGCATTGAAGTCACCTATCAATAGCCATGGGAGGTCCACCTGGCTCACTAGTCTTCTCATCGTCTCCCAGAGTCCACGCCGATTGCTCAGTTGGGGCGAGCCATAAATACCAGAGATCACGCATTCATCCCCCGACGGCAGCCGGAATTGGAGGTGGAGGAGTTGATCCGTTCCGGACTCACCGCAGAGAGTTAGCTCACTGGAGTTCCATAGGGCCCAAATACCCCCTGCAAAACCTTGAGCTTCAACCCTTCGGTTGCTATCAAAACCCATCCTTCGTATCACTCCCTCTGCTTCCGATCCACTGATCTTCGGCTCAGTGATGAAGACCAGGCTGGGATGGTGTATCCTGCTAAATTCACGAAAGTAGAGTAAAAAATTGGGGTCAGCAGCACCCCTACAGTTCCATGCAAAAACACTAATCATAGGAAAACAATAATAAAAGAAGAACAACAAGACTCAAAAAGAAAGAGGCACGAGAACTCCCTGGGCGAAGGGAGCTCAATTGGTTTCCACATCCATCCCAGTTGGCTTGGCTGAAGTAGCCGCCAAGGGATTGTCCGGGGTCTCATGCTGCTCTCTTGCAGAAAGGTCCACTTCTATGTTAAGGTCGAGGCTGCGGGCAACAGGTTTTGTAGCTATCTCCGGTGGTTTTGCTACTTTTGCATTATCTTGTCCCACCGGGGTCTTCATTGGATTACTCCTGCCCCCTAGGGTCTGCTTGGACCCCTGCTTCGCGCTCTCTTGCCTGACTCCTGTCTTGTTCTTCTCCTTCGGTTGCCCCCCCACTGTCTTGTCTCTGGTGCTCTTGCCCTTGCCCTTGCCCGATGCCTCCTTTCCTGACTGTGCCACTGTGGGGACCTCAACTACAATCTCTTGCTCAGAACTCTTGGCTGCCTTTTCCAAAGCCGTCACATTCTCACGTAACTCATCATTCAGAGACTCAAGGGCCGCAAATCGAGATCCGGAGGGGGGTCGAATGCCCGCTGCCTCTTGGGTGGTACCCGAAGTCACCCCTCTCTGGTTACCATTAGTTCTGCGCCGACGGTTACTGGTAGCTATCATCCAAGGTCCGTAATCCTGAAAAATTTCTGGACGTTCTTCCTCCACCGTGGTCTTTGAAAGCGGGAGATGGGCAGCTCGGAAATCCTCTTCGGAAGGGGTTTCCATCTTCTTCTTAGGGCATACTTCTTGCTCATGTCCGTACCGGCCGCATTCAAAGCAAACTTTATGTAATCCCTCGTACTCAACCCTCCTTGTCCTTCTTTCCAATCTATATTTGCAGATGAGGGGTTTGGCCAGGTTCACTTCGACACAAATCCTCGCAAAGTGCCCTCTTGTTGCTTGCTTAGTCGCCTCATCCATTTTAATATACCGCCCCAACGAGTTCCCAATGTTTTGCAGCAGCTCCTCATCATAATAATCCATCGGCAGCTTAGGTAGTCGTGCCCAAACTAGGGTATGGGCGAGTTCCTCCTCTCCCGGTTCAAAGCCTCGTCTCCAGGTTCTCGTTAGAACGTAGTGGTCCTCTATCATCCACGGACCACCATTTAGGGCCCTTGTGTAGTCGTGCTCCGTTGAGAAGCGAGCAGAATAGAAACCTTGACCCATCGCAGCTATGATCACACAGGTCCAGTGCATGCCCACATTGTTTGGAGTCGACGTTGAATGAACAAGAATGGGAACGAGTGTCCCAATACCCTCACAATAAGGGCGAGCCTCCAACGTTTACCTCGACGACTGTTGAAGCCCTTTGGAAAACGTACTGTAGGGCAGTCCGGTTCTCCTTCGGTATCACTATCCATCGCATCTTGTTCGTCTTCGTCCTCAATCTCAGTCGGAGGCTCAGTTGTCGCTCCCATAACCTTATCCTTGTATGATATAGGTATATTGCTTTGAGGGTCCGAGCCTTGTTGTGGAACTTCCACTCTCTTCCCTTCGGGTAGGGTTGACTCTCCATGCACAGTATCCGCCGTCACACTGGCCGCCAAGTTGCCTGCCTCTATCGTCGCTTGCTTTTGGTTTGTGTCCACCGCCATCGTTCCCTCCCCAGAAAAGCCCTGATCGCTTTGCGTTTTCGGTCGTTTCGTAGGCTGTACAGGTGAAGAGGCCACCGCCTGGTCAGCCTGCTGGCCTGCCACCGCCAGCGAGGCCACCGGCTGTTCGCCGGCGGCGCTCATCGCTTACGTGCAAACCCTAGTTTTTGTCTTAGGTCGAGTGCGAGATCCGCAATTCTCGGAGCGTGCCTTCTTTTTTTTCCTATATTATGTTCACAGAAAACAATGTAGAAACGGGTCGTTGACATGATGAACTTGTCGCTTGCGATTCTTTCCAAACCAACTCGGATCCCGTCCGGAAATAGAAAGGGAGAAAAACAATGAGACCACAATTCATACCTCCATTGTCTCCCCCGCTAGCAAAGCATATAAGTCAACCTTTCAAGAAGCAAGAAAGAAGAGAAACAGAGCAAGTTCATGTATCAACGACGGCATAATACCAATTACGCAGGAAGCGATTATGAGAATCGTTTAAGCAGCTAGAGTAATTCTTGTCAATCGAGTTACCTTTAGTTTATTATAAGTAAGCAGGACAAGACATTCCAGTCTTCAGCAATCTTGATTGTATATATAAGTAAGCATCTGCTCATCAACATTCAAAGAAAAAAAAAACAGGGGATTGCTTCAAAGAAAACAGGGGAGAAAGAAGCTATAATTGATTGGTATCATATATAAGCTTAGCCATGGCGATGCTGCTGCCAAGTGTTTCAAGGTTGGCCGTCTTGCTTCTGTTGATAATATGGGTCGTCGTCGTCCTTCCATGTGTTGAGCGGTATATGTCCGGTTAGAGTAGTTGGGCTGTTATGTATATAGTTGTGGACGTGTAAGTTGTGGATTGGAGATAGATTGGGTTATAGCCCAATGTCGAGCCCATGCATCCATGCACGAGTGAGAGGAGACGTGCTAGGGTTATGGGATTTGGGTATTTATAGTTTGTATGTATGACCGGCAGAACTCAACAAAACCTAGTGAACTTTGCTTTTGGAGAGCCGACTCTCCCGTGGATTAGTCCTGGCATTCCAGGGATACCACGTTAAATCGGTTTGTGTCATTTACGATTACGTAAGTTTAACATGGTATCAGAGCTTTCGTCAATGGATTCGGAACGCATGTCTGTCAAACTCAATTCGAAGAACTACTCGTTATGGGAATTCCAGTTTCGGGTGTTTGTTGAAGGGAAAGGGCTTCTTGGAGTCCTTGATGGTACCACGCCGTGTCCGATAGCTCCGGCTTCAGAAGAACAAATCAATCAGTGGAAGGTGAATGATGCTAGGGTTCGAACCTGGCTATTGGGATCTGTGGATCCAAACATATGTCTTGGTCTTCGTCTGCATGCGACAGCTCATGCAATGTGGCAAAAGTTAGTTGCTACGTACTCAAAGGTGAATGCATCTCGCCAGTTTGATATTCAATTTGACCTAGCTCGTTTGGAGCAAGGTGACAGGGATGTCACGGCCTATTTGACTCATGCACAAGAATTATGGACCGAGGAGGATTTGTTGACACTCTCCCTTCGTCCCGCTGCCGTATCCGCTGCCGTTATTGAGGATAGAGAACGTGCACGGCTGCTCCATTTTCTGATGAGGCTTCGCCCAGAATTCGAGAGAATTCGGTCCAGCATTATTCATAGAGGTGAGCTGAAGATGGACGGCATTCTTGGGGAGCTCATCCGTGAAGAAACAAGACTGCGCACTCAAGCTCGGCTCGATTTACGTCCAGGAGAAGGGGATTCTGTTCTTGCAGCAGCTGCTGTTCCAAACGCAAGTGCCTATGCAGTAGGGCGTCCTCAATTCCAGCGCCGTGTTCCAGTCTCGGAGCTTCAATGCCACCACTGCCAAGAGAAGGGGCACCTCCAGAAACATTGTCGGCGCCGCAATATTTGTGTCTACTGCAAGAAAAACAACCATATAATCCTTGATTGCAGGCTGTTCCAGAAACATCATGGCAAGGCTCCTGACTCCGCACCTCCACCACGTCCTGCTTATGCCATTCCTCAGGCTGAGGTTGTGGGTTCTAGTGTCTCGGCTGCATCTATTGAGCAACTGGTTAATGCAGCCTTGCAGAAGGCTCTTCCCACCGCCATTAGCTCTGCTTTCGCCACTGTTCAGAGGACAGGTAATATTAATCCTTGGCTTCTTGATTCAGCCTGTTTTAACCATATGACAAGCAGTATTCACAAATTGAATAAAGTTACTCCGGTCACAAATATGGCTCTTCGTGTTGCGGATGGTAATAAGCTTGATATTACTGGAGTGGGTTGTGTGCGAGAGGCCTCGGTTGAGTTATCTGATACACTACATGTCCCTAAGTTGGTTCCTAATCTTGTGTCTGTTGGCCAGTTAACTGATCAGGGGTGTTCGGTTCTTTTTGCCCCATCTGGCTGTGTTGTGCAGGATTTGAAGACGGGGAGGCAGATCGGAAGGGGGAGTAAGAAAGGGCGGATTTTTCATTTGGAGGAACTATCACATCCATCATCATCCTGTCTGTCTGCGTCTAGGAATGTCGGTAGTCCTGTGTCGTCTTTGAGTCCCTCTTTACCTGTTAGTTTTTCGAGTGTGTCAGACAATGTATGGGAATTGTGGCATTCTCGTCTTGGTCACCCAAATTCAGGTCGTCTTCAAACTATGTTTCGTCAATCTTTGCTTGGTAATAAAATTGTGACTGCTCCTTTGAATCACTCTTGTACTAGTTGTGTTGAAGCTCAAACTGCCAGTATCTCATTTCCGTCTAGCTCCACTGTTATCACTAAGCCTTTTCACATTATTCACACTGATTTATGGGGCCCTTCACCTGAAGTTTCTCGCCATGGGTATCGGTACTTTGCCTTGTTTATTGATCATGCAACCCGGTATACTTGGGTGTATTTCTTACGTCTTAAGTCAGACCTTAAATCCATTGCTACTGAATTTTTAAAAATGGTTCAAACTCAGTTTGATACTCCCGTTAAGATTGTGCGGTCTGACCCGGGTGGTGAGTTCAGCTCGTCTCCACTTCTTGCCCTGTATCGCTCCCTGGGTATGTTATATCAGAAATCATGTCCTGGTGTCTCCCAGCAAAATGGGTTGGTGGAGCGCAAAAACAGGCATGTGATGGAGCTTACACGGGCACTTCTTCTTGAATCCCATGTGCCTTCCCGATTTTGGCCCGAAGCTGTGTCTATTGCTGTCCGTCTCATAAACTATCAGATTACTCCGGTTCTGGGTCAAGTCAGTCCGTATTTTGCTCTCTATTCTCGTCATCCTGACTATTCGCGTCTCCGTGTCTTTGGATGTCTTTGTTTTGTCCTTCTTCCCCGTCGTGAGAGAACCAAACTGTCTTCTAAAACTGCACGTTGCGCTTTTCTTGGTTACAGTGATGTGCACAAAGGCTACTTGTGTTTTGATCTAGTTCTTCAACGTGTGCGCATTGCTGCAACTGTAGTCTTCTTTGAGCACTTGTGGTTCTTTCCTCCCAATTCAGCCGAGTCTTTGTTTTTCTCCCCATTACTGTCAACTCCTATGTTCCATGATGAGGATGATGAAGTTCTTGTTGACCTGCCCCCGGAGGACACCCCCCCTGCCAGCCCCGATCTGCCCCCCTCGCCTGCACCATCGTCTCCGCCTTCCACTGACCGCAGCTTGACGTCCGCTGACAGCAGTTCCTCTGCTGGATCGGGCTCATCATCCTCGACCATGACAGCTTCAGCGCACTCCGCCGGGTCGGGACAATCGTCGCCTGACGTGACACCCGATGAGCATCCTGCTCCCCGCCGAAGTAACCGCACAACTCAAGGGCAGCTTCCTATTCGTTATGATGATTTTGTTACGTATGGAGTGGATGCAATTATTGTCCCCACTAATTATAAACAGGCTAAGGGCAATCCAATATGGGACAAGGCCATGAACACTGAATTTGACGCATTGCATGCTAATCACACTTGGACATTGGTTCCGCGACCCCCTCCGGATGTTCCTGTTGTTGGCTGTCGTTGGCTGTATGCAGTCAAAATGCTACCGGATGGTTCTGTTGAGCGGTGCCGGGCTCGTCTTGTTGCACAGGGATACACTCAGGAGTTTGGGGTCGATTATGGTGAGACTTTTGCACCGGTTGCAAAGATGTCTACAGTTCGTACTCTTCTTGTTGTTGCCGCATTTCGTGGGTGGCCTCTGTTTCAGTTAGACATGAAGAATGCATTTCTTCATGGAGATCTCAAGGAAGTTGTGTATTTGGAGAGGCCACCTGGCTACACCCTCGGTACCCCGGATCAGGTGTGTCTACTTCATCGGTCCTTATATGGTCTCAAACAGGCCCCTAGGGCCTGGTTTGAGAAATTTCAGGCTACTGTGTTACAGATGGGCTTTCAGCAAAGCCTCAATGATCCGTCCTTGTTCACGAAGTCATCGGCGGCAGGGATTGTAGCGCTGTTACTTTATGTTGATGACATGGTCATTACAGGGAATGATGAGTTGGGTATTCGACAGCTCAAACAGGGACTACACTTGGCATTCAGCTTGAAAGACTTGGGTGACCTGACATATTTTCTTGGCCTTGAAGTAACTAGAAGTTCTCGCGGGTTACTACTTAGTCAGCGCAAGTACATCGGGGATCTGTTGAGTGACCATAATTTTGAAGACTGTAAGCCGGTTAGCACACCAATGGAGTTAAACTTGAAACTCAGCCGTACATCGGGGGATCCAGTTCCAGATGGTTCGGCCTATCGTAGCCTGGTGGGTAGTCTTATCTATCTATCTGCGACTAGGCCCAACATATCGTATGCAGTTCAGATTGTTAGCCAGTATATGGCTGACCCACGCGTTGAGCATCTCGCTGCGGCTCATCGGATCCTGAGGTACCTACAAGGTACTCGTGATGTCGGTATGTTCTTTTCTGTTACTGGTTCGCCTGTTCTCCGTGCTTTTTCGGATTCTGATTTTGCAGGATGTATCGACACTCGTCGCTCCACGACTGGATGGTGTGTTCAGTTTGGTGGATCATTTATTTCTTGGCGCTGTAAAAAGCAGGATAAGGTGTCTAAATCCTCGACTGAGGCCGAGTATCGTGCTATGTCTGATGTATGCTCCGAGATGGTGTGGCTTCGTCGCCTGTTAGAGGACTTCGGTGTCTCCTGTTCACTGCCGATGGAGTTGTTCGTGGATAATACGAGTGCCATCCAGATAGCAATCAATCCAGTCTTGCATGATCGTACGAAGCACATCGAGCTCCATGTTCACTATGTCCGGGATTTGGTTCGGGATGGCTCGGTTCACCTTCACTATGTTCGGACGGAGGATCAGCTGGCGGATCTATTTACGAAGTCTTTCACAAATGCTCGGCATTGGTACCTGTCTCACAAATTGATGCTTCGGCACCAGCATCAATTTGGGGGAGGCTGTTGAGCGGTATATGTCCGGTTAGAGTAGTTGGGCTGTTATGTATATAGTTGTGGACGTGTAAGTTGTGGATTGGAGATAGATTGGGTTATAGCCCAATGTCGAGCCCATGCATCCATGCACGAGTGAGAGGAGACGTGCTAGGGTTATGGGATTTGGGTATTTATAGTTTGTATGTATGACCGGCAGAACTCAACAAAACCTAGTGAACTTTGCTTCTTGGAGAGCCGACTCTCCCGTGGATTAGTCCTGGCATTCCAGGGATACCACGTTAAATCGGTTTGTGTCATTTACGATTACGTAAGTTTAACACCATGTACGTTTTTCGATCCCCCTTCGTTTGACGTAGTTTCTTCTTTCATAATATTGAAGAATTTTAAACACTGTTTTTGCATATATGCAGGTACTCGAAAACCCGAAAATTGGAGAAAGAGAGATAGAGAGCGAATGGCCAGAGCAGAGTACCCCTGGTTTGGAAAGACAACAAGGGTAAAATAAATGCACAGTAAACGGACAAAGAAACAAGGAATTAAAATAATGGTCTTTTTATTTTGAATATATTATTCTTTATCACTGGTGGATGGCCGGATGCTATCTTGACCTTCACATACTCCCTCGAGATTTTCGTTTCCATTATTTCTTTCTTTTGGAGAGAGAGAGGAGGTGAGATGAGAGCAATAATGGTATTATTTCTTTCTTGTTATGTTCCCTCCACGTTTTCACTTCCATTAAAAAATCTTTCGTCATCGTGCTCTGCTTCTTTCCTGTCCAGATTATTGCCGGCAGGAGCAGAAACAGGGACGGTTTCGTCGAAGCTCGAGAGACTATTGCTTCTGGGATAACATTTTTAATGTCTCGGTTCTACCCTTATTCTATAGATATGAGATATGGGGAGCTTCGAACGCAGAGGATTTGTTGGGTAAATCGTTGATCTCGACGTCTGCGGTCTGCTTATGTCCATTCGTCGTTGATGGGTCGATCGGCGGCTGGAATCGTTTGCCCTTAGTCAAAGAGGGGGATTGGAGAGAGCTGAGTCTCCGATCTTGTCGCCGATGAAATAAAAGAGGAACCCAGTAACAAAAACCCAAAAAGCGGCGAAGGGATTGGACGGATCTCGAATGAAGTGCACTTGATCTTCTTCTTCTTCTTCAGTAACAAATCGGTTGTCGTTTCACCGTGAGAGACCCAATCGACGGATTCGGGTTCTTATCGGTTCCCAGTTGTAAGTCAAAACCGAAACCGTCACACTCATACTTCGGGTTCAACCCGAAAACCCGAAACCAACAGAATAGCTATCGGTTTGGTTTTGGGTTAACCCGAAAAACCGAACCCAATTTCCCAGCCCTACTTGTTACTTTCATCTTTTTTTTTTTTGCCATAGATCATGTTACTTTCATCATATAACCCAAGTTTCTACTACAATATCATTATCTGAAAACAACTTAAACGATCCTAAAGATATAATTTTTGAAGAAAAGGACCGCATCAAGGTTGTGTTATTATTTCTACTACTATAATTCCTAATAGTATTCTTATAATATTCATACTGCTTATACTCTAATAGTTGGAAGCTCCTAATAAGCTAACGAATTGCCTGAAGATGATTCAAAGTTCTATATATCACAGATGCTTGACACATTTGATCGAAAACAATACACATAATAACTAGCGCAGGGAAAAGAATGAAGGTAGCATAATGGGCTCTTGAAAGACTGCACTCTTATTCAATTGTGTTCTTGAAGAGCTCCAAGCAGTGTTCCTGATCCAGATTCCTGCTCCAGAACTTCTTGTAGTACTCTGTATACGTGAATCCCCTGTACATTGCCCCTGAAGATCCATCCCTTCGAGCCAGCTCCTGGGGCGAGCTGATCAGTGCATCATCCTGAGGGCACAGGAAGGAAGCGACCGACAGCCTGGCCGTCTTCGTGTTCGTGATCGCCCTGTGCCACACGCTCATGTACCTCCCGTTGCTCAGAGCCTGCGCGAATTCGAAAAACACACGATACAAAAGGAAATAGTTTTAACATTCGTTCTTTTGGTGCTCTCAATGGATATTGTTGTCCGAAGATCTGAAAGGCGAGGACTTGATTGTTAACGTTGTAATAGTAACAGTACTGTAGTGTTGTATCTACATATTTTGTGTACTGTTTAGGACTTTTACTATTTACAAGGTTTATAATTAAGTCCTCATCTTCATATATCTTCGGAGGATGACAGTTGGACCTGTACAAACTTCGAGCTCGTAGTAGTACTGCGCGTACCTGGATCTGGTCGCCGATGTTGATGACGAAGGCGTCCGGGTGGGGGTTGACGGCGATCCACTTGCCGTCCTTGAGCACCTGGAGGCCGGCGACGAGCTGGTCCTGGAGCAGGATGGTGAGGGCGTTCGGGTCGGTGTGGCTCGGCAGGCCGTAGGTGAGCTCTGGCTGTGGACATGGCGGGTAGAAGTTGACGGCCATGTGCTGGCCTTGATCTCCCAACACCTTACTTATGTGGTCCTTCTCCAGCCCTAGGCTCTCGGAGATCAGCTCTTCCAGCCGGAACCCTAGCTGCCGGACCTCTTGACAGTAATTGCTGACCGTTTCCCTGCAAAAATTTGCCGGCAATTCGCATCATCACAATGCTCAAAATGATTCCAACGCCCAAAGAGCTAAAAAGTAAACACAAAACAAAGACAAATTGATAGCATGCCAAGTCCAATGCAAAACCCCAATTTTGGGGTCTTGAACCCCAATTTTGGGGTCTTGAACCTCATTTTCCCTTCTTTTGCTCCAATGCAACAAATTCCATATTTGGGGTTCTTAATATTTCCAGTTTTTCCACTTACTTAAAAATGTACTTATCGTAGCCTTAATATAATTTATTCATGTTAATTTTTGTATAGTTCGTCAGCATTTTTTAATACAAATTTTTCGATAGAATTTTGTTAAATTTCGAGTCCGAATTTGTTTGACAAAAAATTATATACCTAATTTGGGTTTACACAAACACTTGAAAATGATTGATATAATTAAATTCCTAACTAATCCCCTAATCAAACTCTCAATTAACCTCTAAAATCTTAAAAAGAAAAAGAAAAGCCACGTGGCAGGCTTTGATGAGCCTCTATATTTGGGGATCCCCCATTTCCACCTCCAAATTTGGGGTTCCATATGCAGGATCCTCCATTTTTGGAGGCCCAAACCTCCCCATTGGACCATCTCCTCCTTCATTTTTGCAGATTCCCCCATAAATGGGGTACCCATTGGACTCAGCCTCATAGAGGTGAAATTGGGCCCAAGATCGTGTAACTACACGATGAATTTGGGCCCAAAGATATCGATGAAGTGGGTGCAGTGAGATAAAAAAGCTCGCCTAAAGTTTCGACATAAAGCCCAATAAATTGTTTCGTCCTCATTACCCGCACAAATAACTCCTTTACATATACGATTTCACTATCCGATAAACTAAACATTTAACGAGACAGGAAAAAAAAAACAATTTAATATTACGTTGCATGTTAATTGACGGTAGGTCTTAATCGAAATCGATCTAACCCAGTAGACGAATCAAGGTACTCCTTATCAATGCACTGAATCACCCGATAAAAGCTATCAGTTTTGAGTCTAGCCTCGACTCAGGTGAAAATTTGGTTGAGGTTGTATATATATATATGTACAATCTTTAATTTTAATAATTGACTTTCGTTTAAAGAAATATGTAAGAAAATAACATAAAATTTAAACATGACCATCGCCAGTAAGTTAAATTATTAAAACTAACCTTATCATTGAAAATGTGAAATTATTTATAAATAAGACTCTTAATTTCTTACTGCTTTAAAAGTTATAAATTATAATAATGGGCATTGACTTGGTGAACAAAGTGGTAGTTGGGTCAATAAATGGGCTTGGGTTAATAAGGCTGAGTGGGGGCAGTGAAGTGATGGGCGCATAGGGAATTGGATTTGGATCTGTGGATATGATTCTCTTTGGATCACGTCAACACGCATTTCCAGGCCCACTGATGTCAGCTTACAGCTAACGCACCACTTCCCCCATATGATGCCAGCTGCGACGCTCCCATTATCTGTTGTTTATGTTTTTCAATAAAATACCGCAACAAAAATATTGGTTTCGTAAGAATGGCGTCATTTCGCTGATCATTACACGACGTCACCTTCTCACAAAGTTATCCAATCTTTTCCTAAATTTGTTTGTTACGGTGGTTTTGAGGTTTAGCGATGAGGTATAGATTGACCATAATGAATCGTACCAAAGGAAAATCACACATTATCGAAACGATCGTCCTAAATTGTCCATCTAACTCCAAGCAACTCTTATTTAGACTTGAATGCAAGTCGTCGTTAACAAGCGGGGTAAGTTTCTGGCACCAAAATCGTGTCTAAATCGCTAATCTCGACTGAACCGGAACAACAAACCTAATTGCTCAAAAGAATGAGATATGGGAACTCAATTTCTTTCCCTTTCTCGTATTACCCCAGACATCGCCATCAAACCATGTCTTGCTTCCTCGGATTAATGAGCTGTGAGCTTGAAGCCAATCTCGAGTAAATCGAGCTCGCGTATGCTCGTGAATAGCGAGCCAAACTCGAGCCTAAACTTGATCACAGCTTTTAGTAAAGGAGTCGAGCTCGAACTTGACTCCTCTTTAGTAAGATTAGTCTGAACTAAGATCAAAACTCAACTCACCTCGACCGATACATGTATCTGTATTTTTTTTTTTTTTTACGGTTTATTGCTATTTCTTTCTCGTTACAAAAGGTGTTAGCGGCTGTAATGCAAGTGGACTCGTGTTGTACCGGTCCAATACTAGGATGCCGACGTTCGGCGTCTTAAATATATTGTCTGCTGGAAAAATGGGGTGTGGCACAGTTTCCATCTTGAACCTTCCCAGGTATGATCCGTCACTTTCGAAGGTTGTAGGGTGACATGTCGGGCTAAAATGATTGAGGCTTTTATTTATTGTGGCTCTATGTCGATTGGAAGGGTCAAAGGTAATTTCCTTTCGAAACATAACGGAGTTAAATAGTATTCCTCTACTAGTATTTGTGTTTATATACGTGAGCACTTCTACTATGCTATATAGCATTGGTGCGTTAATGTACAACTCAAAGTTGTACCATAACATTAAATGTATAAGTTTAGGTTGTACCATAAAGCAATTTGTACCATTATGTTATGGTACAACTTTATAACTTGAAGTTGTACCATCACATAAAGGTACAAGTTCAAGTTGTACCGTAAAAGAATTTGCACAAAAAGTATAGGTACAATCTGAAGTTGTACCATAACGTAAATGTATAATTTTAAGTTGTACCATAAAGGCATAAACCTATAGCACCAATACTATATAGCATTGTAAAATTTCTCTATATACGTATATTGAACTTCTTCGAATGATTCGAGCCCATTTGTTAAATACATGATACTTTGAACTTGTACAAATTTCAAGTTCATAGTAGTGGTTTTCGTTCGAGGAGATATTTTAGTAGGTGATCAAAGATCTGTTATTTAACATGCCTCACATCAACTCGAGTTATTGAAATCACCACCGTGTTCAGAAAATTGCTTGAGAGGGATCATGATCCCTAATCCTCGCATGAATTTTAAGCCAACTTGTATGGCAAATTATATGCGCAATGAAAATCGGTAATATATATGAAATTACGTAACTTTAGAAAAGTTTTTCATTTCGATCCCAACTCATACATTTCCTTAAGAGTTACACTCTCCACATTACAGTGATTTTTGTTTTTTGTTTTTGGGGATTGTGAGTGACTTTTACTCACCATTTGAGTCCCTCTACTTATAATTACACAGCATCATATTTTCAAAATTCATGTATTCACACAATTTTCTTATTTCAAAATACCCTCATTTTACGAATACATATGTCTTGACATCACTAGTTGATTTATCATTATATTTTGCATCACTAAACTTAGATTTTCTTGACAATGTCAACAGATTCGTTGTTGACTCACCGGGATGGGATAGGGGTTAGCACCGTGATAACTAACAAAATCACTACGGATTATTATAAAATCAATACAACATCTAAGCTAAATCACTACTAATTCAAACTAGTAGTAGTTTTCCCCTTGATTAAAACGGTTCTAACTATTGTACAATTAGCACCGTAGCCGTTCCATTGACACACCACTTAACTCAAAACTAATTCAAACTATATATCTATAAAAATATCTGCCGGCCCCCGAAAGAAATATCTGCCGGTTCCCTCTCTATTCATTCGCGCATGGCGTCACGTAGCTCCCGCGATGATGTCACCCGGGTGACGCAAGCCCACGCGCATTATTACGAAATTTATTATTGGCGTACACTATGCATTGTGGGATTGGTGGCACTAATTAAGATACACGACCGACCGACGGGATCCGAGAAGCGAATCGCCGAACGACAGCTGGCACTAATTAGTCGGTCACATGGGTGGTCTGAGAGTCTTGAGTCAGCGCTGCCGGCCGATATCTTACCGCCGACAATACCACCTGCCGACTCCGACGACTTCACCCAGCTCGTAGACGTAAGACGACCGCCATCTGGATTAACAATTGTTGACTTTTCCCTCCATTATTTCCCGCTTTTTTACAATCGTGATTAGTGCATTGTAATTGTTAATTATTGATTAAGTGAGCATTATTATTATTTTACAAAAATTCGAAGCAGCCTTATTAATAAGGACGAAGAAGAAGAAGATCAGTGAAGAAAGCGGACATGGGGATTCTAGAAGTTGATCTTGACTTTCCTACGTTTGTTCCGGTCGTCGGCAGTCGGCTACAAATGCTTCTCTTTCTTCTTCTTCTTCTTCAACGTTCATGAATGTCTGACGACAGACACAAAGCCGTGATTGTTTTGTAATTCGATTATTAATTTGGTTTAGAGAATTAATAATTAATTAAGTTTGGCTGGCATGTAATTAAGAACATAGTACGACACAAATTATTATATGACTTCATTGGATGCAGAGTCTGAGAAGAATACCCATCGCCATGTTCATAATTGTTCCACGATTCGAGCTTTACTTAATTTTCAATGCTTTGTTAGTTACTACTTTTAGTTATATATTGATTGGACGAAAAGAACAGAAATCCAAATGAGGAGAGATTGATTCGAATTGTGGTGAACTGGTGACGGGAAGAGGGCTGAAGTTTTATCGACTACTTCTATTTTTCTGAATTTGCTATAATATATGTAATTTTAATTGTATTTAAAATTTTGTGGGGGCTATAGCTTCTCGTGGCTTTCAACCTAGCATCGCCACGCGGAGTTATTATAACATATCAATACCTTCTATAACAGTGATGTACGTGTTCAAGTATTGACGACATCCACACCAAAGATCAACTAAACGATATGTTTCGATCTATGACTGAATGTCAGCGATACAAAGTTTAGAATTTTGTTCGGATACTCTAGGACGTTTTTCTCCCAGCAACATATCCTATCCACCGTAGGCACTCCACATCAGGAACTATACTTTGTGTTAGAATCTCTACGACATGAAATGACTGTCAGATAAAAGTTAAGACGATCGACACTTCATATTTTCGAACATATCTATCTAGCTCGTCACTTACGGTACGGATACCAAGATAAGTACAAGGTGGGTTTTTTTTTTAAAAAAAAAAAACTCCACCATGATGGCAACATGGTAAGGTAACTATGGCTGCCTGACTATGTTAAAAAAAGAAAATTTTGAATTAAGAGAAAAGGGTATTATTAGAAGTGGACAAACCTGAAAGAAGATGGATTGGAAGGCCACTCAGGTGCGTACTTAGGGAGAGGATGACAGTGGAGCCTCAAGTAATCCCTCCAATTATGCACTTTCTCCTTCTTCACGTTGAAGCTCGTGGACAACCTCATCGTCTTCGCCGGGTCGTCGGAGTAGAGCTTCATCTTCTCCTCCACCGGCAGCTGGAAGAACTCCGTCGCCACCCTCAGCATCTCCTCCGTCGCACCCGACCCAACCCCGTGGCCAATCACCTGATGATGATGACGACAAATTCAAAACCATCTAAATCATCAAAATAAAGACAAACAAAGAGTATAGAGGCGTGTAATCTGAGAGTATGTGTATAGTACGAACAGTATTATGTTTTTACAAAGAGACGCGTTCGAGTCAGTTTAGTTATTTATAGGAGTCGTCAACTCTGTATAAGTCGTATATGTGATTTCTGTAATAAGACACATGGTGACAGTACTTTTTTCGGTCGTCGAGTACCTGAAAGAAGCCGAAGTTGGTGCAGGCGTCACCAATCTGCGCGACGGTCTGCGACCTGTCGGCGAGAGAGAGGTCGATGACCGGAATGTCGAGGCCGTGGACGACGTCGGAGAGTTGGGGGCGTTCGGATTCGGGCCGGACGTAGCTCGGAGGGAGGTGGGAGAAGGGGACACCTGAGGATAGTACTTTGGTGTCCATATGGGAAGGAAGGAAGGAAAGTGGAGAGATAGGTAGGAGGAAAAGTGAGTGTGTGGGGAAAACGTGGAGGGAGAGAGAGAGAAGATGAGAAGGATTCAGGCATGTGATTATTTATAAGGCCATAAATTAAGGCAGGTAGCAGAGGGAGAAAAGAGAAGAGAAGAAGGAAAAAGTCATGGCAGTGTCCTTAGCATGATTGCACAGCAAAAAAACAAAGACATCCCAGCAGCTCAATTTGCTGCTGTAAATGACGGCAACAGTTGAGGTCAAACTCTTCCCTGTGCCCACTCAATTTGTATGTTTCCGCTTGTTGTTTTGTTTAAGGATAATATAATGCATTAAGTTGAATCGTAAAAACTACTATGTTGTATGATGATTGATGAATGTAATTATCAATGTATTATTTCTTTTATTTTAAAACTAATATATTATTATAGAGAAGATATACTATCAGTTGCACCGATACTCTAATATCATTTCGCTAACTTGTCACAATAGACCTACAAATAGGGGTGTCGATTCGGGTTCTGTTTTTCGGGTTACCCGAAACCGACCCGATTATATACATTTTCGGTTTTTCAGGTTCGGGTTCGTTTCGGGTTTCGGGTTTTCCAGTTTCGGGTTCGGTTTTGCTTATCGGTTTTTCGGGTTCCGGATAAAAACCTCCAATCAATAGAACTCAACTCGTATTCTTAGGCATTCGGGTTTTCGGGTTTCGGTTTTACTTTAACCGAACCCGAACCCAATAAGGAATTTTCGGGTTTCGGGTAACCGGAACCCGCAAGTCCTTATCGGGTTCGGTTTTAGTGGTTTTCGTTTTCGAGTTTTTTCGGGTTTCGGTTTGGGTAACCGAACCCGACCCGCACTGACACCCCTACCTACAAACCATACTTTTATTATCATCGGAATACATGCATATAGAGAGAAAAAAATACATTGTATTTTAACTTATTTTGAACCAAGGTGAAGGCATAATCTGAAACTACATATGCACATACTTTTGTTCATTAAAAAAAATGATGGATTAACAATTTCACTACTAACTGATGATGCTTTTGTCCACATAGTTTTCAAATATACTTTTAAATTCGGGCATACATACATTCGTTATATTGTCCAAACAACATATTAATTCTTGAAAAATCTATACACATCCTCAATATACCACATAATCTTAACACATTAATACTTCAAAAAAAAAAAACACACCCTTTAATTTTAATTAATTTACAGAGTCCAAAAAAGTCCGCCGATATAGATCGCCAGAGACAAAAGAAGGGTGGTTTTGTGGTGGAGATGAAGCGACTAAGGGATGAGAGAAAGAGAAGGGTTCATTGTTCTGGTTTCCTGATATAGCCAGCGGGAGTTGATTTCTGGAATGGAGTCGCATCTCTCTTTACAATTGATTGATTGATTGTTTGTTTTGGTGATGAGGACTAAACCAATTTGTGGTGCAATATCCAGCAAGCTAAGCGGGACCAAGTTGTGTTGTCCTATATATAGAAATTATTAGCTCTGCATGCTTTCGATTCCTTGGCCTACGGTTGTTTGTTTACACACCTTTTTCTTCCACATATTTTTTTTTCTTCTTCTTCTTGAACCGGGTCGTTCCGATGCATCATTTCTTGTTCCGTTCGTTTAAGTGACAAGAACTCTCCACAGTTTGGTTCCATATAGGTGAATAGACGTGATAGCGAAATCGAGATTCACAGTGAGGAGCAACGACTTCTTATATATTGAATTGAACGTGTAGATCTTGTATATATGAGGCGGACTAATGGGCTTAGTTAGTTCAATGTCGCGCGGTGACAAAATTGTGGTCACTCTAGGGGCTAAAAAAAATTAAAATATTTCAGCAGTTTTTTTTTATCAAATATGAATCTTGGAGAAGGAAGGGCTTAGTATATAGGATTCGTCGAGTCTCTTAAATGTTTATTTAACATATGAATACACATTATAACCTAATATTGAACAGAGGAGCGGGTTACGCCCCCTAGATCACACGCAGTTCTATCGTCGTGAACACGTAGTTGAGAAGTGAGATGCAAAGACATGTATTTTGAAGTCCCTTATATGGAAGAGGATTGTGCTAGAGGATTCTATTTGTAGAGTCTTGGATGGAGCTAAGAAATCCGAGGTCAATATCTTTTAGTCATCGCAACGAACGAGATGACTAAAACTTTGCCAATTACTCGATTTTCTAAATTTGTTGATATTCTCGAAATTGAGAGGATACATATAGCCCCAGTTTCATTCTAACTTCGCCACTGATAGCAGAGTCCGGGATAAAATAAAACCATGTGAAGGCATGTGTAGCTAGTTTGCTAGAAGTCATGCGTGGACTTGACTACGTAAGCCCATCTCGACGTGGTTATCTGTAACCCCAAGCATCCACATCCATAAAATACGTATCCAAGAGATAAACATGTTACACCGTCACTAGCTAGCTACATCAATGTCGAAGAATCGCAAACTATGGAAAAAAATATGTGCCATAGCTGACGATGACAACCTTACGATAGTGTTTTCGCACTAAGCACCGTGAAAATACATGCCACTCAGCCAAAGAAGAATGATGGAGAGTTGACCGAAATGAGCACTAAATACTTTTCGAGAAATCTCCTCCAAATCACTGGTATGGCTATCGACTATCGATCTCTTTCTAAATCCATGTGTTGCATAAATCACAATCCCTCCCCCGTGCGATTTGGTGCAGAGAACGTAGCTTTCTGGGATTTCGAAGGGACAACAGAGACGTGCACGGCGCCGTCCCTTTCTTGGCTTAGTTTTCCACAAATAAAACCATATCTTTTGGTGACTAAATGGTCACTGATGATGAAATTCGTTTTCTGTCTTTGTTCAAGTAAAACTCAACCGGCTACATGTATGCATACAATTTGCAATTGATCAACTCGTGTAGGGTACGCATGCATAGTAAAAAATAAAAAGAATTGATTGATTTGAGCTCGATTGTTTGTTTAATTAGCGTTATTAAACTTGTGACAACTTGCTTAATTAATGGTTGATTAATATCTGTTATCTCTATCAGTACTTTTGTCTACAACAGGAAATGACAGTAATATGTTATAACTAATAAGTGTTTGCTACTTTGCTTCGTTGACCTTGATTAGAGTGTACAATTAGGGTAATTGTTGGGGTATATTAACGAAACTATTAAGTGAAATGAGTGAGAGATTTTAACGACCTAGTTTATTTTCATGTTGGACTGAGATCCTGTTGAGATTTGGAATCTTTTTCATGGAGTAATTAGAGATCATTTATAAATCGTCCTGTTTTGTTGAGAGAAATTCAAACATTATTATTATAAAATTCGAGAGAATTCGAACACAAAACTAAATGTACGATTCAGATTGACTCTCTGTCTTGTCGGCGTGGGTTCTCCTCCAACCTCTCCCGTGATCTGTTTGTTTAGTATGATCCCATTGATTGAGATTTTGTTCGCTGAATTTCGATCGGCCGGGATTTCGGCCACCGCCCACGTGCATGGCGAGCACAAATTATGTTGAAGCTGCCGTCAAAGAAACAGTAAAAACAAAAACGTAAAAACAAAAACGTTTTTTAATTATCATATATGTGAGGAGGGAAGCACACGTGGCAATTGCCCAAATCATGGATTACTGTCTCGTATTAATATAATTTTTTTTTGTATATATGTTAAAGAAACTATTATTTGCATGTGAAGGTAAATTGACCTCATCAATGTCATTGTAAATTTCAGACTCTAGGAGTGGACTTGGGTTAAAAGTAGTGGTTGACTTCGTTTGTCTTTTACTGAAATCAATTTGTTGGGCCGATCTTCTTACCCCCGTCCATTTTAGCCCAATAGCAGTCTCGGCCCTAGGAGAGCGCATCCGTTTGATGCATGAGCCCATCCATAGCTCGAAATTGTTACATATCTAACTTTTGGACTATTTCGGAATTAAAAAAAAATTATGTACAAGAATGTCATTCTAAAAATACAATACCTAAATATATTTTTTGAAAAGTGTATTCCTAAGTTAGATATTAAATTTATGTATGAAACTACAAAATATAAATATATATGTACTACTTTGTAATTCTATAGCAATCAATGCATCCACTAATCTATTGGATTAATTATTTTTTTTAGAGGAAGAATTAAATTGAATTCAAACTGTCACCTACTTGATTCTTATATGCAATGCTCATTTTCCTATTTTCTCTTATTCGTCTTTAATCTTCTGCACGCAGTTATGGAGTCGTATGATATAATTGTCGATATTTAAATCTAAGACCTACAAGTTAACCAAACCTATCGACCATACAAGCTCTTTATTGACCTCAATATTAACTTCATCTCCTTACAGAAAGTTTGAATTCTGGTGAAGAAGAATATTGTTAACATTTCATTTATTGTCTAGCATGTATGAAAACTAACAATAAAGGGAAAAGACAGGCAGATTTTATCTTATGATATTTTGGTAGAGAATAAGTCATATTCACTCTGTTTTCCCCATAGACTTAGCTTTTAGTTGGAATATATATTTTCCATATGAATCGCACACCTCCGTTACAGTTTATGCTAAGTGTATATAAAGACACAAATCTATAATAAGAATTCTCCATCTTCATTCGGTAATCTTTCCTGAAATTCGACTCTTAGTATACTCTACAGAAACATCATAAATCGAAACAAAAACATCCAAGATATGGATCACATCTCGATGAAGTTGATCTTCTTGGTTACACTCTTGGTTTTTACCGCTGGTGCGTTCTATGTTTCGAATACACACGACAACCCAATTCCAAATCAAACACGACTAACCTTAAAAGGGAATCTCGCGCAAATAATTTTTTTTCGCCGTTAGAATTTAGAAATGTGAATTTGTCCCTGCTGATTTTTTTTCCCCGATTTTTGGGCATGCTGCTATTTGCGCAGGTGTAACGAACATTGGAGCAGAAGAATTCACCGGAGATAACAACGACGGCGCCGACTTGGGGGCATCGGCTTTCTCGTTAAAGAATCCGTGCTCAAGAGTGAAGTCATGTAGTTGTGTCCTCGGAGTTTGCGTTTGCAAGATCCATGGCGGCTCGGCTCTGACGTCATCTTCCCGACCACTCAGCGCCGGAGGTGATCACGATGACGACGTCGTCGGCACGGGGCTTAACCACGTTAGATGCGAGCTAGTGACGGCGTGTAGTTGTGTGTTCCGAACTTGCTTTTGCCTGGAGCGCAGAAATCCTCCGTCATCTCTCCGATCGCACGGCGCCGAGGAGGAACTCGTCTGAAAATCGTAGCTTAGGTTGATGATGAATTTCCGTTGTTTAGTTTCTTGATTAGATAGATTCGTAATAATACCATAGAATGTATTGATCTAGTACTAGCTATCTAGTAGTATTTAGTTCAATAAAGAGAATACTCTTTTTTTTAAGTGGCGTGTTAGAGAGTGGTATAAGATCGATCCAACATAACCTTCTCACAATGATATGTGAAAGTTAAGGCATTCTTGTTGGCTCAAACACATACATGATATGTGAAATCATAAAGATCATTATTAAAAGAGGATAACGTAGAACATTTCACGCCACTAAATAATTAATGGCCAGTTCAACTCGCTTCTTGTTGTGTAAAAGCAAAATGCACTAAAGGTAATTGGTTGAGCAGAAAGGCGAATGAACAAATATCGTATAATTGTTTGTGTCTGAATATCATGAGAATCTGTATTTCGATTGTTGCAACACCGTCAAACACTTACTGCTTAATCTTAAGTTTCTCTCCTTATAGAAAGTCTGAATAGGCCAGTATCAAAAATGGAAGAGTAGCACAAAAGAATATTTCTATCAATTCACTTCTAGCCTTAGATGCATGAAGGATAACAACAATGGAAACGATTAAATATCATATGGCACATGGAAACATAATAATTCTTTTAAATCGTATAGAAATTTTCTTGTATAGAATTCTTTCACCAAATACATACATTGCATATATATATATAGTTTAGCCACCAAGATCTCCTATTATATAAACGAACCTTGGAGAGGGCTATAGCTCATCAACAACAACAACAACAAATTCAAAGAACTCATCGTTAAGATATGGAGCACGTTTCGAGAAAGTTGGGTTTTTTCGTCGTCGTCCTCGTAGTTTTTGTTGCCGGTATGTTCTGTGTTTCAAATAGGCAGTTTGAAACTTAATATTCGTGATCTTAAACGACTAACAAATTATGCAATTTGTTATTCATCGGGAAAAAATTTTATATGCAATTTGTGGTTTGTCACGTACTCACGTACAGGCAATTTTGTTCATCTCAAGAAATATATATTTTTTTAAATTTGCCTGTTAATTTTGGGGGGGGGGGGGGGGGTGTTGTTACATGTAGGTGTCACGAGCATTGGAGCAGAAGAAGGCACCGGCGTTAACAACGCCGTCGCCGTCGAGGCGCGGAAGCCGCCGGCTACGTGCAAGGTTCCATGCCAAGCACCGAGGTGCCGTTGTCTTTTCGGGATTTGTGTTTGCACCCGTGGCCCGCCTCCGGCACCTTCCCAATCACCCGGCGGCGCCGATCAGCACCTCATCTGAGCTATTGGAAACCAAGCGATGGTGAACTTCGGATGGCCATAAACAGAAAATTTGAACAATTACTTGATCAGTATCTTGCTAATGTTCGAGATATGAATCAAAAGCAAAGAATTAACGAAAAAACGCGTAGAACTTCGAAGAGTTTTAAAATTATCTTATAACATCAAACGCGCGAACCTGAATAACCAAAATTCATAAAATTATCTGATAACATTCAAATTCCACCCAATTCCAAATAACTACAAATTAATATAATTTTTCTTAAGAGACAACACAATACTTATCCAATCTTTTTTTTTTCTTTTTAATATACTATTGGGTCGAATCATGCTCAAACAAAGATGGATGAAGCTCAAACATGCTAAAAAACCGAGGCCCATACTTGACATGTAGCCCAGGTGAGCAGCCCATCCCGTAGTCTAGCCAAACTGGCCCATTCATGGCCCATACGAAGTAGTAGTTAACCTGTTTCCCGGGAAAAAGCCAAGTTAGGTATTTCGCGTGGCTTACCATTCGCCGAAGAACATCCACATCACCACCGGAAGGAAAATCCAAATCCAAATCCAAATTATCTGCAAATTGTGGATCCCAAACCCGTCAATCCCCCGCCTCTAATTCTCCGCAACCCACAAACCACAAAAACCTCCGCCTCTTCTTCTTGGCAAGAATCATCCATGGCAGCAGCAGCAACACCACCACCGCCGGGTCATTCCTCCAATTCAAATCACTGCCCACCACCACCACCGTAAACCATGCCGCCGCCGTCGCGTCCCCCGACTCCTCTTCCTCCTGCACCGCCGCATCCTCAATCGACCCACCTGCTCTTAACCACCTCCCACCACAGACCCAACATCAACATCCCCGATTTCTTCCTCACAGCTCTCTCCATCCTCTTCCTCTTCTCTTCTTCTTCTCCCCCTTCTTCTTCTTCTTCCTCTGCCAGTCTCAAACCCCAGTTCCCGAAAATCCCCTCCAGCCGCAGCCGTCGATTCTTTCAACTCCCATCCATGTCGGTCTCTAATTCAAGTAACCGGCGCCGATTCGCCACCCCCAATTGCCTCTCCGATTGGCTCAAGCCCCGATTGGCCTCCGATTCGTTCGCCTCCTGGGGGGTCAAGCCGGGGACGAAAAACGTCCACAACCTCTGGCTCGAGATCTCCCAGGGAGAGACCTCTCTCGCCGATTCCACCCCTCCGATTCGCACGGTCAACGTTGTTACAGTTCGGGTCATCGGGAAGAACAGCCGGGTCCTCGTGGAGTCGCATCAGGAGCTTTCCGACGGGACCGTGAGGAGCCGGCACCGGCCCTTGTCGGAGAAGATGAAGCCTGACGAGAGCCCTGAGTCGGCCGTCCTGCGGGCGGTAAGGGAGGAGCTGGGATCGGTTGCCGGTGGGGAAGTGAGGATTGTGCCGGGTTCGTACAGGGAGAAGGTGGAGGAGAGGTATTCGGCTTCCTACCCTGGTTTGCCGGCGAGGTATGTGTTGTATTCGGTGGACGCGATTGTGGACGGGTTGCCGGACGAAGATTTTTGCACGGAGGAAGCGGAGGAGTATGTGGAATCGGAGGAGAAGAAGGTTGCCGATCAAGCTGTGACCGTTAGAAAGCATTTCTGGACATGGGTTAGTCCTGATACCGTTGAGTTGTGAATCACTTGTTTCGGTTGGGGCATTTGTTGTTGGCACACGAGTGAAGAGATATGGTAATCTTCCATCGTCCTGTCCCGCCATGTTTACTATTGTTGACAGAGCATTTTCTTAGATGCGTGATTGCAGCAGCCATCAACATACATACAAACATACAGTTCTGTTTGATCGAGAGGTGTATAAAGTTTGGGTTTTTGATATAAAACAGCAAAAAAAATTATAGTCTTTGTGTTCTTGAGTGCATTACTCCTGCTGCCTTTGTTAAATCAAGTTGCTCTCTTGTTTTTTGAGTTCTGTTGGCTGTCGAGATATGATTCTGTTGCTCCTGTGTTCCGATTGTTTCTTAAGATGTTTGGTAGAAATGTCGCTGCAGATTCATTGCATCATGAATAGTGGGTTGAGTTGAGACTGCCAAAAATTGTAATGGATCCGAGACAAAATGCTTGTTTAGTTCTAACCTGTGTCAATTAATGCTGTTGGCTTGCTACCATACATGGTGTTTCTGCATTAAGGATATGCTTGAGTGGCTGCTTCCTTTTTGAAACCAAGTCTCTCTTGTTTGATTACTGTGTGGCTTATTGTGTCTTAAGATGCTCGGTGAACAGGGACATTGTCACTGGCACTGCTGATTGATTGCAGAATGAATAGTGGGTTGAGTTGTGTGCCAATAATTGGAATAGACTAGAAGAGACAAAATATGATTCTGTGACGAGTTAAGATCCATGTCGGTTGATGATGCTGGTTAGCTGCTAGCATAGTATGCATGATTCCTGCTGGACTAAGGATATGGATAAAGTTTGCTCATTTTCCTTACTGGATGAAAGTTACAGCTCCTTATTACCTCTGGGTCGTAGGTTTAGGGACTGCCTGTTGTATAGCATGGCAGCATTTGGGAATCGTAAGGCTTCTTAATCGTAGTTTTATATACACTTGAGTATAGGGTTTGGAAACTGGAAGAACTCTATGGGAAGGAATTGCAGCATGAATGAAGCTTAGCATGAATGAATTTTTATATTCACAAAGGGGACAGCTTTGTGTATATTGACCATGTACCATTACCATGAGGTGGTTGGGGAGTTAACATGAACTACTTTTCCACTCTTCTGGTAGGAGATATCTCCAAAAAGCTCGTCAGCTTTTGAATTGTGTGGGCAATCTATCTATCTTTTGCGTCCATCAGGGCCTGCTTTCCGCCAAAGCAGACCTTAACACGAGCTCCACTCTCGCTAGATTTTGTCTTAGTGCTGTCCTCTCCATCTGGAGAGGTGCTGAAAAGTCCAGTTTCTGTGTGATTAGCTATAATATAACAACAATTTTGTGTTCTGGACGTTACTACACGCAATAGTGAAAAGCTACAAACAAGAACACCTGTTGCTCTTTCAAAAAGCGGCACTTGGAAAAAGGAGCAATCATGGAGCAAAAAGGGAAATTGGAAAGCAAAACTTTAACTCAACCACTTGTGAAAGCAGCTGGGTCACTACTCTGGCCAATTTCCCTCGCAGTCTTAACGGTGTTGGTTACAGTTTGCAGTTGATCGGATGAAATTTTATAGGATTTTTTATCCATTCAGTAAGATTCTTGGAAACTGTAAGATACTGCTCTTGGCTGGATGCATAAAGAAGTTAACTTTCAGAAGCAGAGTAAAAGGTTGATGAATCCCAGGAATGGAATTATTCCCTTCTCTTTCTCTGTTTTTGCATATTCATCCCAGTATCCTGAAGATCCAAGAACCCAGAAATTTGCAGTCTTTCATATTACTATATATCAATACAAAGCAAAAGCAGAAGCAGAAGCAATACAGAAAAGGTTCACTTTCCCGCCTTTATATCTTCCTCCATCATCTTATCTTCTCCAACTCTCTGCTACCCATTCGCCCCTCTCACCTTATATTATGCACAAAAAAATGAAACCGAGAAATCCTTTTGTCACTAAACAACCACTATATCTTAATCTTCCCTTACAGCAATCATACCCATGATCAACACAGGAAAACAGAGCTTGAAGCAGAGCATATGAGGAGGAGGAGACTAATCACACACTACTTCAACTGTCAAACACCTTTTTAACTGCTTTTTAACAAACAAGCACTCAACCACTTGAATTGAAACTTCAAACATCAGTAGAGCAACGAGTCCCCTGCGGCCTGGAACTCAGAGGACCCGAAGACGATGCCGACGACGGCGAATTCGAATCCCCAAACGGCATCACCGCAACACAATCCACATTAAACCTATACCCACCAGAAACCCAGCTCCCAACTTTCCACCTCAGCTTCCCCCTCCCCTTCAACCTCAAAACCATCCTCCCAGCAACCTGATCGCGCCCCACCTCGTAGCGAAACGACGGCGCAACAGGCAGCCCGGATGCAACCAGAGAAGCCGTCAGCAAATTAGTCTCCTGATGTCCCTGGTAGAACCCGGGAATCGGAGTATCGGCTGTGATCTGCTGACCCCTGTAGGCCGCATAGACCTGGAACTCGTCGTAGTAGATGCCGACTCGCTGGTTCGGGTTGGTGGAGAGGAAGGTGAGCTGGATGGAGGAATTGAGGAGGTTGGTCGGGGCGAGGAGGACGAGCTGGTAGACGTCGGCCTGCTGGAGGGCGAATTGGGGCTTGGAAGGGCGGAGTGTGAAGTAAATGATGAAGATGAAGCAGAGGATCGAGGTGAGGAGCGATGAGATGAAGTAGATGAGCTTCTTGTTGAATGGTAAGTGTTTGGGGAGGTTTGCGAGGTACCGTTTGTTGTTTGCTATGGCGCAGTGTTTAGGGGATGGTGAGAAGATTTGCGACATTTGCGACGTGTGGAAGAGAGAAGGGAAGGGAAGTTTAGATGGTTAAGGAATGAGAAGTGAGGGTTTGGGGGGAAAGTGGGTTAAAATAGAGGGAGATGGAGGAGTGTGGAAAACAGAGTAGGGCAGGGGAGGAAAAAGGTGGTGGGGGGAAAAACAGAGTAATCATGCTCTGTTTTGCTGTTCCATACATTTCATGTAATAATGTGTTGTATGGGAGTATATAAGGTGGGCAAACCATAGCTTGGTTGCGAGTTTTCTTTTAAAGTGTGGTTACCTGTTCACATTAGTATTTGAGAATCGTAACCGTTGTCATGGTAAGATATGAATATCAACATATGATACAATACACGCGCGTTTGACTCAATCTTCCTTATAACTACAAAGTTTTCTCATTTATTCACAATTTTTTGATCATCAAAAGCTCTAATATCGTATGAGTATCAATTCATCCCAATTATACGAAAGTCACACACTTCTGTGCTAGCAATCATATCATAGGTAAGTCGTTTCGAGAGTATGTACATTAATGCATACAATTTTTCTGATCTAATCAACTAATTTTCATTTGATGGTTTATGTAAATGAACGTTTTACTTTTGAATCGTTCACGAGTCGAGCTATCGTCATGCTGTGTGTGGTGTGATAATATTGCTCCATGATTAAGGGCACAGTCTAGAATCTCCAGTTGCATAATGAATCATCCCACATATGTCCAGGGCTGGGCCCAGAAGATTTTGCTTGGCATCTTTCCATCAAAATGGAAGAGATATTCTTCTTCCTTTTTCATATTATCTTTGGGCACTCAGATTGAAGAGATATTCATGCAAAGGGACAGCCTTTTTCTTCATGGGAGAGGGGTAAGGAGACCCCATCTCATTTCTCTAATAATTTTCCCACCCTAGCAGCAGGATCAAAGAGTAAAGAACTGCATAGCTTTTCTGAATTATTGAGAGGCAAAAGCTAATCTGAGGGCCTGCATAATTAAGCATTTAGCAGCAGCAGGCAGGCAAGGCTTTTGTAATAAAGAAGAACAGATAGAAAAGAAGAGATAGATATGGAAGCAAAGCAAGAACCTTGATTAGCTATAGCCCCAGTAGCCATTGATAATAGCCTTTTTAGCTCCTTGGTTGATTTTGTTGAGTGCAGTATTGGAAAGAAATGACTTGGAGTAGTAGTTTAGTGAGTTTTTTTCTTTCTTTCTTTTATTACGAAATACAGAGATTTTGAGATATACGTTTGAGATTGTCTTGATTATGGTTAAATTGTGTATTTGTGTAGGAACAGAAGTGGGTTTCAAGTTTCAACCATGGTTGTCACGCCGGCCGGCGTGTCACTGGTTGAACCTGGTTCAACCTGTACCGGTCATAAAATCGGTATGACACTACTGGTATGACCGGCATGATCGATATACGAATCTCTAAGTAAAATGATATTATATTAGTGAATTTATTTAATAAAAAGTAATTTATTATTTATTTTATGTGTTAAAAAGTTAAATATTGATGTTATTTGTTGGATTCAAGGGCAAATATTTAGGTATTGACGTTAAATGTGGTGCTTAAATATGAGTATTTGTAAATCATTTGTAATATTAACCGGCACAAACCGACATGTACTACCGGTCGAACCATTCCACTTGCTAAACCGGCACACTGGCACAAACCGATTTGACAACCTTGGTTTCAACTTAGCACTGATTGACTTGGAGATATACTGCTTTCCTTTTAGGACCGTAGGCATAGAAAGGTTTCAGAAGAAAGATTAAAAAAAAAAGAACAAGAAGACATGGAGAATCTGTCAACAAAGCTTTGTCTCATTATTGTCTTCATTTCGAACACTTTTCTTCATTGTTTTTACTTTTCAGCTAAGAAAACTGAATTTCGAGTCATAAAAAAAATTGGAAAAATGAGATTGGAAAACTATGAAATGGTGCGATGTGATGATCTTAAGTTTAACTTAACAACTCGATACTATTCATGGTACATGAAATCGTAACAGCGGTTCAACCACAAAATATTAGTACTAGAAGTTAAATGATAGACGGTATTTAACGATTCTAACGATTGAACTACGATTAAACCACGATTTTGCCATATCACAAGCCACAATTACTCACATCCTCAAAAAATTCAGCAATCGAAGACGACGAAGATCCACCATCTGTCAGTGCCTTCTTGATGTCGTCGCTAAATCTCTTCAGTCTTGCCTCCCTCGAGCGATCTTTCTCCATCAACTTCTTGACGCCTCTCTCGATTTCATCCGCGGTCACGATCTCCCCGCTCTCGCTGCTGTAACTCATCCTGATCTCCGTGGCTATCTCGAGCTCCTTCACCAACAGGAACGCATTGAGCTTCTGCTCCGCGTACATCGGCCATGTCGCCACCGGCACCTCGAACCACACGCTTTCCAGCGTCGAGTTCCACCCGCAGTGCGACACGAACCCTCCGACGGCTCTGTGAGCCAGGATGCTCGTCTGTGGAGCCCACCCTATCACCCTCCCGACCTCCGCCGTCCGGTCAGCGAACCCTTCCGGCAGAACTTCCCCGACGTTCTCGTAGTCCGTCGTCGGACTGGCTCGTGGCCCTCCCTGTCCCGGCCGGCGGAGCGACCAGAGAAACCTCTGACCGCTGGCTTCCAGCCCGCGGGCAATCTCCCTCACTTGCTCCTCGCGAAAGGCTCCCATGCTCCCGAAACAGAGGAACACCACCGTCGACTCCGGTTGCCGGTCCAGCCACTCAATCGCCTCCGCCGCCGCCCCTCCTGCGGCGTCGTCGCCGCCGCCCTTCAGGTTGAGAATCGGTCCAACCGGATACACCTTGAGGGCGGAGGAGAGATATTCCACGGCGTGGGATTCGAATTCCCTCACCGTATTGATCAAAATTCCCCTGCTTCCCCTGATGTCTCGGGCGATTCTGTACAGAAATTGGACCCATTCCTTCTTCGTGACGTTGGTAGGGAAAGCCGAGCGGGGGACCGGGCTTGCCCAACTCGGTACGGCCAAATCGGTTCCCCGAAACTCGGTGACGTCGAATCGCTCCTCGCCGTCGTGCGCGGCCTGGATGTGGAGGACGAATCCGAGGGCAGAGGCGGCGGAGGTGAAGAAAATGTAGGACGGGACGGCGAATTCGCCGGCCACGTCGGCCATCGAGGTGCAGAACATGTCGAGGACGAACCCGAAGAGTCGAGCGCCGCCGCGGGAGCGCGTAATTACGGCGGAGACGGCTTCTCGGACTCGGGGCTTTTGGGTTTCGATCATGGCGAAATCGCCGCCGGCGGCCGGGGGCGCGTCGGTGTTGGGTAGGTGGACGAGGTCGATGCGAGGGGTGGAAGGGAGGGAGTCGGTGTAGCGGGTGACGGTTGCGGCGGTGGAAGGGGTGGTGATGATTAGGACGGAGATGGAGAGGGTGGGGCGGCGGCGGACGAGGAGGTCGGCGAGTTCGACCATGGCGGCTAGGTGGCCGACGCCTGGGGATGGGATGAAGACCAGCTGCATCTGCTGCTCTGGTTTTGCCATGTTGACCGTTGGAGTGATTTGGTGATGATATTGATAACGCTTCCGGCGACGGCGTCGGCGAATTGCGGTTGTGGGCCGTGGCGCTAGCGAGCTGTGGTTAGTGACAGACTGACAGTGGCGTTTGAGGTTCGGATAGTATGGTTATCATTTTGTCCGCCAGCCCAAATATATAAAGATAAAATAATATACTAGTATAGGAAATACGAAACAGAGTATGATTGAGCATTTTGTTCATTTTATCTCTAAAATATTATAATTATCTTTTAGATCGCAAATTTATTTATTTTTTAGAATTTTATAAACAGTGTGACAAAGATACTTAAATTAATATCGACATTCTAATAAATTTTTTAGATAACGTCAAGAGCTTTATATATGATTGCTAAGGGATGATGCATGTGAATTTTCTTCGAACCACGTAGGGGTTAGTTTTGTTATATCATGTTACATCCACGTATAGTATTGATTATGGAGATGGTTACAATTTTAAAATTGTGGTTCGAGAATGATATATAGAAAGATTGGCTCCACCCGAATTTGTTGTCATCCCTACTATTGATTATTGTAGTATTATTTGTTTATTAATTATGAAAATTTGATGTCCAACTAATCAATAAATTTGTGTGGTCCGTGTTATGGTAGAATTTTCTTTGTTTTTTTTTCTCTCTCTCGGTTGGTTCATAAATAATTTGCAAACTAACCATAATAAATATATAAATAAAGCAGAGGAATCATGCTCTGTTTTGCTGTTCCATTCATTTCATGTAATAATGTGTTGTATGGGTATATATGTGGGCAAACCATAGTTTGGTTACGAGTTTTCTTTTATTCACATTAGTATTTGAGAATAGTAACATTTGTCGTGGTAAGATATGAATATCAACATATGCTATAATACACGCGCGTTTGACTCAATCTTCCTTATAACTATAAAGTTTTCTCAGTTATTCACAATCTTTTGATCATCAAAAGCTCTAATATCGTATGAGTATCAATTCATCCCAATTATGCGAAAGTCACACACTTCTATGCTAGCAATCCTTAATGCATACAATTTTTCATCCAATCAACGAATTTTCATTTGATGGTTTATGTAAATGAACGTTTTACTTTTAAATCGTTCATGAGTCGAGCTATCGTTATGCTGTGTGGTGTGATAATATTGCCCCATGATTAAGGGCACAGTCTAGAATCTCTAGTTGCATAATGAATCATCCCACATATGTCCAGGGCTGGGCCCAGAAGATTTTGTTTGGCATCTTTCCATCAATTTTTCAGCCTCTTCTAGTGTGGGCTCATTGAAGCCTTGTGAGACCACTCCCCATAATTCTTTTGACCGCAGAAGATTCTCCATGAGTAAGCTCCAATGGTCATAGTCGCCATCAAAACGTGGAACACTCACCTGTGCAAATCCTGATGTTTCACTCATTTTCAGATCTGCATCTAACTCACACTCGTGTTTCTCTCACCCCACAACAATAACCTCACCAGATCTCTCGTGTTTCCCAAACCCAGTCTGAGTTTCAGACTTGCACTCTTCAACAAATCACTCTTTGCACAAATACTGGTTACAGTAAGCCAATGCTCTGATACCATTATGAAAGCAATGTTGGGGCAAACTGACAGCTTTATTGATAATAAAATTGAGTTTAAATACAATCTCTAAACCCTTGACTCAGTTTATCACGATCCCACAACCCCATTTTCTATTTTCTCTGCTATAAACTCTCTAACAAACCTGGACTCTCTAACCAACTAACAGACTCAGCTACTTTAGACTCAAGCTAACTAATCTGCAGAACAAAGTAAACTAAACGACATCACTTTACCAGCTGGTCTTGACTTAACCGAAACGACGACACTCAACTTTGAAACGATCCAGACTTGAACTCAGCTTCTGCTTCCAACATAATCTACCGCTGATTTTTCCGGTACGTTTTCATAGACCATGGATAATAGCGGGAAGAAGAATCACATGCCACCTTTACTCACATCCTCAAAAAATTCAGCAATCGAAGACGACGAAGATCCACCATCCGTCAGTGCCTTCTTGATGTCGTCGCTAAATCTCTTCAGTCTTGCCTCCCTCGAGCGATCTTTCTCCATCAACTTCTTGACGCCTCTCTCGATTTCATCCGCCATCACGATCTCCCCACTCTCGCTGTTGTAACCCATCCTAATCTCCGTGGCTATCTCGAGCTCCTTCACCAACAGGAACGCATTGAGCTTCTGCTCCGCGTACATCGGCCATGTCGCCATCGGCACCTCGAACCACACGCTCTCCAGCGTCGAGTTCCACCCGCAGTGCGACACGAACCCTCCGACGGCTCTGTGAGACAGAATGCTCGTTTGTGGAGCCCACCCTATCACCCTCCCGACCTCCGCCGTCCGGTCAGCGAACCCTTCCGGCAGAACTTCCCCGACGTTCTCGTAGTCCGTCGGACTGGCTCGCGGCCCTCCCTGTCCCGGCCGACGGAGCGACCAGAGAAACCTCTGCCCGCTGGCTTCCAGCCCGCGGGCAATCTCCCTCACTTGCTCCTCGCGAAAGGCTCCCATGCTCCCGAAACAGAGGAACACCACCGTCGATTCCGGTTGCCGGTCCAGCCACTCAATCGCCTCCGCCGCCGCCCCTCCTGCGGCGGCGTCGCCGCCCTTCAGGTTGAGAATCGGTCCAACCGGATACACCTCGAGGGCGGAGGAGAGAGAATCCACGGCGTGGGATTCGAATTCCCTCACCGTATTGATCAAAATTCCCCTGCTTCCCCTGATGTCTCTGGCGATTCTGTACAGCAATTGGACCCATTCCTTCTTCGTGACGTCGGTAGGGAAAGCCGAGCGGGGGACCGGGCTTGCCCAACTCGGTACGGCCAATTCGGTTCCCCGAAACTCGGTGACGTCAAATCGCTCCTCGCCGTCGTGCGCGGCCTGGATGTGGAGGACGAATCCGAGGGCAGAGGCAGCGGGGGTGTAGAAAATGTAGGACGGGACGGCGAATTCGCCTGCCACGTCGGCCATGGAGGTGCAGAACATGTCGAGGACGAACCCGGAGAGTCGAGCGCCGCCGCGGGAGCGGTTGATTGTGGCGGAGACGGCTTCTCGGACTCGGGGCTTTTGGATTTCGATCATGGCGAAATCGCCGCCGGCGGCCGGGGGCGCGTCGGTTTTGGGTAGGTGGAGGAGGTCGATGCGAGGGGTGGAAGGGAGGGAGTCGGTGTAGCGGGTGACGGTGGCGGCGGTGGAAGGGGTGGTGATGATTAGGACGGAGATGAAGAGGGCGGGGCGGCGGCGGACGAGGAGGTCGGCGAGTTCGACCATGGCGGCTAGGTGGCCGACGCCTGGGCATGGGATGAAGACCAGCTGCATCTGCTGCTCTGGTTTTGCCATGTTGACCGTTGGAGTGATTTGGTGATGATATTGATAACGCTTCCGGCGACTGCGTCGGCGAATTGCGGTTGTGGGCCGTGGCGCTAGCGAGCTGTGGTTAGTGACAGGCCGACAGACAGTGGCGTTTGAGGTTCGGATAGTGTTGTTATCGTTTTGGCCCAAATATAAATAATCCTCCGAGGTTGTTGCTCAGCACCTACCTAAATGAAATTTTATTGGCCTCCCCGCAAAGCAAGGAAGGACGTATGAGTCCTTTTGCATCTCAGTTTTCGGTGAGCTACTAATTACTATGGGAAACGCACAACTAGGCGTTACTTGGGCTTTCCTTTTCCACAGCCCACCAAATTATAGAACTTATAATTATAAAAATCAACATAATTAATGCACCATTAGTTTACTTTGACATAAACGTATGATTTCTTTTACCATTGTAATACGTGTTTATACATAAAATATAAATAAATAAACATGATTCTATCATACTACAAAACGAGAGTTTCAAATGCATGTAACATTTATACATGTATTATATGGATATTAAGAAAATTTTCGCTAACTATTTTGGCGCTAATCAGTATGCATGCAATTATATCATATGAAAAAATGAAGTTTCATATAGTTTTCGATTTAACAATTCAAGAATATGATCAATTTTCACATCAAGTTTAGTGATTACGTCACAAATTCCATAACCAAATTAACAGTTTTTAAAAGAATCATTGATGAAAAAAAATGAATCTCCAACCACAGTTGAGGCAAATTCTTTTGTTGTGAAGCACATACCAATGATGAATATAGTGGAGTTGTCGAGTTGATGATGAAGATTGTTGATGGTTAAGAGGTGAAACCTATTATTTTGGAACACTTATATGCATACTTTCAACAAGAATCTACATAGATGGCTCTGATTACAATGTTAGTAATTTTTATGATGGATGCACGTTTTCTCTTTTCATGAATGAGCACTTCTCCTATGTTTTAAAGTACAACTTGAAGTTGTATCATAACGTTAAAAGTACAAATTGAAGTTGTACCATAATGGAATTTGACTTTTATGTTATGGTACAACTTGATGTACAACTAGCTTGCTGTTTGGTAAAATTGATATAGTTATTTGTTAATTCGCATAATATTGACATATAATTATGACAGGAATATAAGAGAAGTGGAAATTACTAAACTTTAAAACTTTGTTAATGTGATGATAAAACAACCGGCCAACAACAGGCCGGGGTACAATCTAGTATGCTTATATAGAAAATACGAAACAGAGTATGAGCATTTTGTTCATTTTATCTCAAAAATATTATATTACATCCCGCATAGTTTTGATTATTGAGATGGTTACAATTTTAAAATTGTGGTTCAAGAATGAGAGATAGAAAAATTTGCCCCACCCGAACCCGTTGTCATCCTACGATCGATTACTGTAATACTTTTTTTATAATGATTATTGCCGTATTAATTGTTTATTAGTTATGAAATTTTGAAGTCCAACTAATCAATAAAATTGTTTGATCCGTATTCTCGTAGAATTTTCTTTGTTTTTTTTCTCTCTCACTTGGTCCATAAATAATTTGCAAACCAACCATAATAAATATATAAATAAATAAGTAGACAAGTATAACTTTGAATTCTCAACCGTCGGAGTTGATGAAATTTTATTGAGGGTAGTTGACTGGTGGTTAGACATAGCAATCATGGTGGAGGTAGTACAAAATGTCGGCAAATTGATTTATACTGTTGTGATAGTTTAGCAAGTGATATGATTTGTATAGATTGCCATTTAACAAAATATGTAAAAATGCAAATGAAAAATGACTCTTCTGTTGAACAAAAGGATGGATACAATTCCATGGATGAGAAATGGGCATGGAAAATGATAGGGAATGGAGGAATGAGGATCATCACTCAGCTTGACAGTAGTCATGGCAATGTGTCGGGTTGGGTACAATTCCATGAATGAGAAATGGGCATGGAAAATGATAGGGAATGGAGGAATGAGGATCATCACTCAGCTTGACAGTAGCCACTAGGGATGGCAATGTGTCGGGTTGGGGCGGGTTTTGTCAAATCCAAACCCTAATTTATGGGTTTATCCGTCAAAAAAACCCGGGGAAAAACCCGTTGAGTTTGAAAAACTCAAACCGAACCCGCTGGGTATCCGCGGGTTCATGGGTACCCGTGGGTTTTTGTGGTAAAAATTTACAATAACAAGTTTCTTTCAAAATAAAAGTTTAACATCAATTTTCTCATACAAATTAATCATACAAAAAACACCAATCTAGAGCATACAAACAAAACGCAAATGATCAATACAAATTGTTCAAAATTAAAGATAAACATATATAAACAATAAGATTAATTGAAAGCTTCTTCCTCGTCAACTAAGTTTCTTCACTCTCCACTTCATAATATCAACTTCATTCTAAACAATTAGAAAGAACAAATTATATATGTCTCCACAAACATGTAGAATATTAGTTGTTTAAGGAAGATATATTATTTAAAATATTAAATATACCGGGAAAGTAATTATATGAGTGTGGGCGGGTACCCATGGGGAGGGTTTACCTAAACCCAAACCCAACCCGACCCGGTGAATAGTGTAGCGGGTTTAAACCCGAACCCGGCCCAAAACCCGTCAACACGGGTTTTACCCGTGTTGATCGGGTTGGATCGGGTGGGTACCCGTGGGTTCGGATTTTGTTGCCATCCCTAGTAGCCACTTGGCCACCTTTTTTGACAATAGTCTATTCAGTAAGGGCCCGTTTGGCAATCACGTAATGTAGCAATAATATCACATTTAGGGCTGGGAAGCGGTCCGGTCTGGACACATTTAGGGCTGGGAAATGGTCCGGTCTGGTCCAGACCAAACCATATATACGGTCTATGGTCCAGACCGAGAGGCAAAAGTATAGACCACAGACCAGACCACAGACTCTACGATCCGGTCAAGACCACGCCTGTGCGGTCTGGTTTGGTCTGGTCCAGATAGACCACAGTCAACGAAAAATGAATAATTTGTTTAGTCGACCACACAAAAAATTGAACCAATAATCAAGAAAAATAATTGTTATTTGCCTTAACACATTAATCCTAACATGCATGAATAATTTTGATACCCTAAATCTTAGTACATAACAAAGATACAAAGTAAAAGCATTCCAACTTGCACCATAACGTCATAAAAATTAAGATAATGTCATATGGAGACACAATTATCTCTACTCTCTCGTTAAATGTGGTTGTGAATGAAGGAGGGACGAGATTCAAAAAACTAAGGTTGAGACTAGGATGTCATTGTGGGAGTTGGGAGAGTGGTCGAATGGGCTATTAACACGTATTGACAAGTCGGTTGGGTCCACGGTTTGGTCTGGTAAACCGCGGTCTAGACCAGACCAGACCAAGAGATCAAAACATAAAATAATACTGACCATGGACCAGACCAGACCATACTTTACAGTAGAGGTGGCAATTTCAATCCAATCCAATCCACCAATCGAATCCATCAATCCATTAAAAATATCCACTTAATCCAATCCATTTAAATCCAATCCATTTTATCCAAATCCAATTGGATTGGTGGATTCATGGATTGGATCCATGGATCATTGGCAAATTACGGTTTAGTACCTACATTTTTTATTTTTTACATTTTGGTACCTAAACTTTAATTTATTATACGAAAAATATCATTGGAAAATTACGTTTTGGTACCTAAAATTTTTCATTATGACATTTTAGTCCCTAAACTTTTTACATTTTACATATTGGTCCTTGGTTGAGGATGTCATTTGGATTCATGGATAATCCACCAATCCACTTGATCCAATCCATTTGATCCACCAATCCATTAGATCCAATCCATTTGATCCATGGATCAACCAATCCAATCCACCAATCCACCAATCCAATCCATTTGCCACCTCTACTTAACAGTCTACGGTCCGGACCAAACTGTGCGGTACAGTTTGGACCACGGTTTTTCTAACGGTCTGATCTATTTTCCCAGCCCTAATCACATTAACAACGGTCCAACCAAGTCATAATCACAAGTCCAACCAGTACAAGCAGAAATCAAGCTATTGCAGCTGCACACAGGCCTTGTTCTAGAGAAGAAGAGAAACAAGCAAACAAACTGCACACACCGGCGAAAAACCGCCCCACTCTGGTGAGGAAAATCTGCAGACAGGATTTGAACAGATCTCAGCAATGATGAATTACAAGTTTACAACATACATGCCGCTGTTTCCTAAACAAACTAAAGAACCCGATCTACTAACCAACCGGCCTTATGCGGGAAGGAAAGTCTTGGTCGTATGTCTAAATAAGGGTGTATACCATAGATATCTATCTAAAGAGTTATTGTTTCCACACTAGCCAATCCGCCTAATAAGAATCAGTAGCTAGACCAAAAACCAAATCAAATAGCTAAATGCATGCTGTACCACGCTGGCGTGTCGATTAACTATTGCTCGACTTCGACTTCTAAACGAGGGGCTGCAGCTGGGACTTGACGAACAAACTGCCCTTTCACCCTCGGACGCTTGTCAGCAAGCATCTTTCTATTCTCATATCGAACCTGTATGCATACATGTTTAAACCTTGCATCAGCAAAATGCACTTAAAATGACAAGCATTTGATACTGGATAAACTAAGCAGGGAGGGTATGTTTACCTTTTTGTCAAAGCATCTTTCTTTGCGTTTCAGCCGGAATTTGGCTAGAGCGGCTTCTCTTTGGACCGATCTAGTAGAGCTTTTGACATTTGAGAAGGAACCTGCTCCTCCACCTTCATTTTTGTTGCTCTCCGTTTCAACCTTGATCATGGCACCTTGGTCCACATCACTGTTACTTCCACAATTGCTTCCATAGCCCCCCACGCTGCTGTTGTTATGGCTCGCACCACCATTGCACATACTGCTACTCGAACTCCGATCACCTACAGGAGTAGTGACATGCCCCTGATCCTCCTCTGAACACTCTGACCTCTTGTCCTGATGTGCCGGTGTTTCATTGGTTGAGTCACTTGACTTAATAGAGGCTTCTAGAAAGTTTGGTGAACAAGGATTTGGTGGTGGCGATGCATCTACTGATTGTTCAGATTGAAATGGAGTAAACATGGAGCTCGAGCCAGAGTTTCTTATGTCATCTGTCCTCATTCCACTAACTAGATCTTGAGTTCGAAGTACATTCAGTTGATGACTTGCATCTTCGGTTTCAGATTCTTTGTTTAGAACAGGAGAGATGCTCCCAGGTGATGGACCACCAGTATCAGTAACACCGGAAATATTTCGGTCTGAATCAGCTGGAAGTTCTTTCGGGTTGGATACAATCGCAGATTCTGAGTGTTGGAGGTACAATTGCTTGCCAGTATAGCTGCAAAAGCATTATTTGTTTCCATATCAGTCAATAGGAATAAGTGTGATCATTCAAAAGAAAGGGAAGGGCTGTCTGGTTGCAGGCTAACCGTGTGAAGGATGAAGCACTAGAATGCCTAAGACTGTTTTTCCCTTCTGCAGGCTCAATCTCAAATCCACCTCGAAAAGAACTTCTTAAGGAGAGATCCAAGTGCCCATATGAATCGAACTCACTTTTCATTTTCGATGAAGATATGTGAAGTGGAGCTTCACCCATGAAATCAATTGCTTCGCCGGTAGAATTAGCATTATTTTTATCGGATGCCTTGGAATCCATATCTACATTTACTTCATCATTGTCCAGAGTCATTCCATCAACATTCTTACATGCAGCAGCTGTCAATGGAAACATTAAACAACACATGTCAGTTTCTGCTTCGGAAACTGAATGAATGTGATAATCCACCAATGAAATTACACAAATGCTTTACCAGGCTTGTCCACATTTTCAGAACCCACAGCATCTGCATCCAGCACCATGCAGGAACTCTGCAACAAAAAGGAAGTTACAATCAAAAAGCAGTTAGGGTTTAGGGTAGTCTGCGCAATGTCTGTGATACCTAAGATATTGGATGACAGTACATCCAATGTTCTATAAGGAGTTTGGCATAAGCCGGATAAATTTTGGCTGCCCAATGAACACTACAATAGTTGCAATTCTATCTAACTTTAACCAGGTTTGAAACCACTTGGCAGTTAGCATTCGGTTCATACTTCATACACCAAGCATCAAAATAGCTAAAGAAAAGTTTCCTACAAGTACTGGCTTATTCTCTTCAGATGTCTCCCGTTGAAACTACAGGGTACATATTCAACCACAGAACTGTTAAAAGTTAAAAACTTGACCCACAGTGAAGATTTACCAATCAAAAACTAAAGCACGAAATCAAGCAGTGACACCACACAAATCTGAGCATCAAGTTCTGCATGATAAATCAATCAAAGCACCAACCTGTGTATCACTGCCCATCTCAGCACACTCCTTGTTTCTCTGAGAAAACCCTCCATCACCACTAGAACATTTACTTGAAGCATTATTTTCACAAGCAGGCTCTAGCTTATCTTGGACGGCATCTTTATCCTCCATGCCAATCACTCTCCCAAGAGACTGAATTGACAAACAGAAAATCAATCAATACATGGCTTAAGAAAACACCAACAAACCATCTCTGGCAACAACATCAAAGCACGAAACATCTCTGCAAGAGTTACGGTCATTACCTTTTGTCTTCTCCACACATGCTGCCACAAATTCCCAAGTTCATTTCTCCTTATAGGCTTGATAAGATAGTCAGCTGCACCTTTCAACATGCATTTGTAAGCCGTCCGAATCGAATCCTCCGTCGACATCACTGCAAAACCACAGACAAGTTTCGCGCTTGAGTTTCTTTCTTCTCCATAAGTGGCAATGGAAGCCAGAGATCCATTGAAGTGAAAAGAGAAGCTTGAATTTGGATATCGACATACTGATAACAGGAATGTTCTTGCATATCTCATGATCCATGATAAGCGAAAGGAGAGCATATCCCGATACAGAGGGCAGATCGACTTCAGTCAAAATGAGGTCTATCTCATCTGGCTTCCCTTTCATTACCTCCCACGCTTTTAACCCATTTGTAACTGCAGAAACTGCTTAACCAAGCAGAAGGGAAACATCAAAATCTGGTAACTGAGGAAGCAGAACAAATGGGTTGAACAGGATTCAATCATCAAGGCAAAAATCGGACAGCAAGAACATAGAACCAAAATTGGATCGCGCTACCGACACTAAAGAAACTGGCTAAAAAGAAAGGGGGGGAACCAAAATCACCTCTGTAACCACATTTCCTGAGAAGAGCGGAGATGATCTGTCTAGTCGAATCATCGGCCTCCACCAGCAAAACTCTCAGCGCCATCGGCGACAACTTCTCCCATCCCACCGTCGAATCACTGCTCCTCCGACCACAAACTCCCTCGCTCGCGCTCCCAACCTCTCTATCTTCTTCCACCCTCAACCTTTTCAACAACTCCTCTCCTCCTTCTCCACCGCCGCCGCTGCAGCTAGCATTAGTCACCGATTCTTCCGTTCTCTCAGTTCCCCCGTCGCTCCGCCGCTTTGTCATCTTCGCTCCGGTGTCTAATTGTTCAACAAAGTAAATCCTTTCCTTCGATTTTCTCCGTTTGTCTGTTGCTTAATAAGCTGCCTAAACCGAAGGGAACAAATGAGAAACGAGATAAAGATCTTCAAAAACCCGGAACAGGTATGATCCAACGGTGGATACCGCGTCTGCCTGCTTTGAAATGGACGGCTGTGGGCGTCTCGAGGAGGGGAAAATATCTAGGATTCGCGAGCGGGACCAGAGCGTGCCACGTCGGAAGGAAATTATAAGGCGGATTTGGGATGGGCGGGGTGTGGGGTCCCATGACTCATTTGGTGGCTCTCCTTTGTTCTCATTTGTGGTCTGAATTTGAGACTTTATTATAAAATAAAATCTGCATGGATTTAAAAAGAAAAAATTATAAAAGGAGACCAAGAAAAGTCAGAAAATAATAAATAATACCAAAATGGATTCCCGATTCGTTGTCGTTTCGCTGTCACGTTTGATTAATTGGGAGGTCGAGAGAGAGTCTTGTAGGTTCAAGAAGAAATCTTTGGGGGAGAGGGTTTTGGATATTCTTTCGTAAGCTTGCTCGTAAGCAATATGAAAGCAAGGTAAAAGATCTTAAGCCCCTTTGGGAACAATCGGCCTGGGTTTTCAGTGTATTTTTACCATCTTGATAAGGTATCATACTAATGTGGTAAAATACCGTATATTCGGATAGTAGCTAGCAAGATGGTTATGCATAAAACTTCGCTTTCACAATAATCTAATATGATTAGGAGTCGAGAATGCTTTGACAGAAAATAATGAAGTAAATACACATTTTAATAGCGACGGTTATGATGCATGTCTTGTCTTGCAAAACGTCCTTCGACGACTCCCAAGGACAACTTTGTAGGTAATTATCCATTCATGTTCATGATTTAGGAAGAGGCATGGAGGGTTGTGCTTCATTGCCACCCTACTCGATCCCTTCACTGGATGTCTTGGTAATTTCATATTAAATCAAACAAGCACTCAAGGACGGAGACAGGATTTTAGAATGATACAGATTGATTGTAAATTTGATTAGTGAAATTTTGATACATCTAAATTTTGATACAAAATCTATAATCATAATACCATTGCGCAATCCTATTTCTATCACTCGAAGTGATCCGAGAATTTACATTTTCCTTCCTATGAATCATAGCATAATCAGGAGTTAAGGAACCCTAATCATATAAAAGAGTCAGCAGGTTCGATCAGATTGATGACCACTTTACCTTACCTTCTTCCCAATATTTACAAATGAAAATGGTGGTAAATACATTACACATATCTAAACTAAGCTGTTAGAGGGCAATGAGAAGTTACGGCGTATGAATATGAACACACGGCATAGTAAGGCTCTCTCACTATACTTCCCTGTCAGATTTCAGAACGGTAAAAAATCACAGATGACGCTATCACTAGTGCGAATCGCTCATGTCAAATTAGTAGCAGGCAAGCCAAGTATCTGAGCACGACTTCACTCGGGTTCCAAAGGCGCAGCCTCGACTGGCGCCTGACGAACAAACTGCCCTTTCACTCTAGGACGCTGCTCAGCCAGCTTTTTCCTGCTCTCATACCGGACCTGCAATTGAACAAGCCACAACATCGATATATTAGCTTCCGAGTAGCTGAACAGAATCTAGTAATGTGTACATGATTAGGATGTGGCAGTATAAGTATACCTTCTTCTCAAAGCATCGTTCTTTCCGCTTCAACCGGAATTTGTTAAGGGCAGCTTCCCTCAGCATGGACCGATGATGGGAGTTCGGGGTGTGGGTGAAAGGCCCTTCTTCATTTGTGCTCTCTGCTGCTGGTGCTCCATTAACCATGCCAACTTGTTCAGCATTGCTCATGCTCCCGGAAGTGCTTCCGTAGCCCATGCTGCTGTTGAAATGATTTATAGCACCATTGCACAAGCTGTTGCTTCCGGTTTGATCAGTCATGGGAGAAACACGCCTCCACTCGTCCAACTTGTGGTCCTGATTTTGCAAAGCTGTGGACTCGCGGCTCAATCTGAGGTGGGGTTCTTGGTGATTTGCTGACTGTTGTTTGTAGGTGAAAGGAGGGAACATGAAGCCTGGGTTTGAATCACTGTTCCTAGCCTCACTTGATGGAGTTTGGACTGGAAATAATAGTCTTTGTTGAGGCATTGAAGTTCCAACTTCAGATTCTTTAGCTTGGGAAATTGGAAGAGACACAGTCCTATGAAGACCTGCTGCTGCTGGAGTAGGAGAGCTAGATGTGTTACCGGCGACACTGGAAAAGTTAATTTCTGAATCAATTCCAAGTTCTTTCTGATTGCAGGCATTGGCCGAATGTTGGGTTTGAAATGGCCTAGCGATATACCTGCATCACCACCATTATTAACAGTTCATAGGAAATTAGAAAGAGAAAAAAAAACAAAGACTAATTACTTAATAACACTTGTAAAAGAAGATAAGAAATATGTGGAGGTTCAACTTACCGTGAAAAAGCTGAGGTTGTAGATTGTCTGAGCGTGTGTCTTTCTTCTGAAAGTTGAAGTGCTAGCTCACAAGAATGATTACTTTTCAAGGAGAGATCCAAGTCTGGGTAAGTGTCAAAATTGCTCCTGATGTTCTCCTGGGAGGATTTGTCTAGCGTACCTGCTCCCATGAAATTAATACCTTCTCTATGAAAGTTGGCACCACCAGTATCACAGGCCTCGGTGTTGGCATCAGTATTTGTTCTCTCTGCAAAAGTGAAACCATAAATATCAATTCTGCTTGCCAGACTGAATGTAGATAACTAGGTGAGATAAAATTGCAAAATATTCATACCCTGGCCTTGGTTCTCATGAACAAGCACCCTTTGATTTGAACCTTCACAGGCCTCCTGTCTCTGGCAGTTAGTATCATCAAGGACATGTTCAACTCCAACTGGCTGTAAGAAGTCCTGAAACTTTCCAGTACTCCCAGCTTCCACACCTGGCTTTGTACAAGAACTCTGCAAGAGAAATAGAGAATTCAGTCTCCACAACAAAACCTGAATTCATTTCGTCAATGGATCATTCAACTAAGATTTTTTTCTGCAAAACCCATGATTCATACTCATTCTTAGATTAGGTAATATTGTCCTTGCAGTGAATTAACAGAGATCTAATGCTCTACTAATTGTCTCACAAGCAAGGACCGACCTGTGCCTCACTCCCTTTCTTGACGAAATCCTTGTTCTTCTGGACACAAGCTACATCACCAGTTATGTGATTAACATTATTTTCAGAAGTAGCCTCATCCTGGGGCAAATTCTCTCTTGAAAGTTGCTGAAAAACAAAAGAAAAAAGATTAATTGATGCCTTCACCAACTAGCCAAAGTTCCCAATTATAACAAAAAACAGAAAATAGAACATTGTTGTGAGTTGGGAATTACAGTATGTCTTCTCCATACATGCTGCCACAAATTTCTAAGTTCATTTCTCCTGACGGGTTTAACAAGGTAGTCAGCTGCACCTCTCATCATGCATTTGTAAACCGTGCTGATCGAATCCTCCTTCGACATCACTGCCAAGTCACACAAACAATTTACCAAGTCAGCTTCTTTAGCTGGGCATATCAACAAACTTAGAAAACTTGAGGCGGGGCTGGCGTCATACTTATGACAGGAATGTTTTTGCAGATCTCATGCTCCATCATTAGAGTAAGGAGAGCATATCCCGATATAGAAGGTAAGTCCACTTCTGTCAGAATCAGGTCTATGTTATGGGGCCTTTCTTTTAGTAACTCCCATGCCTTCAATCCATCTGGAACCGCAGCAACTGAAACCAAAAGAAGCCTGCAGCGTCAAGAATTGGAGCATAGCAAACTACGTTATGTGATTTGACTGTGATCACCAATTACATTTTCCCCATTTTCCAGGGTTTGCTTTCAGCTTCTTCTTCACCATAGTTGCAGCTAAACTTCTAAATTCCCACCTCGCTCTTAGCTATTAATTCCTCTTACATGCTAGGTCTCGACAATTTATGATTCACCCTAATCTCCAAATGAAATTGTTTCTATATTGGTTCCTCTGGATCAATAGAAGCCGGACTTTCGAAACCGATAGCTTCGATGGATGTTAAGATCATTCATTAACAAATCAAATTATCACAGTTAAATCAATCTCACATCAAACTAGAGGGAAATTGAGGGAATATTGAACAGTAATCGCAAAGAGGGATATAGAGAAAGACCAAACAGACTGACTGACCTCTGTAACTGCATTTCCTGAGCAAGGCAGCAATAATCTGCCGCGTAGAGTCGTCGGATTCAACCAGCAAGACTCTCAACACCATCCTCGGCAGAAGCCTCTCCCATCTCACCATCAAACCATTACTCCTCGAGCCACCGCCGCCACCATCGTCAACTTCATTCATCGAGTTCTCGATATTCCTCATCTCCTCCTGCTGCTGCTGCTTCTTCTTCTTCCTTCTCCTCTTCGACATCTGATTCCGATGCTGGTTATCACTCTGACTCTCCTCCTCGTCCTCCTCGGTACCTCCTTCCCTCCCCTCCAGATTACCACCACTCCCGTTACTCTGCTTCTTCAGCAATTCTCCTCCTCCTTGTTCCATCTCTTCTTCCGCAGCTCGACTGCTGCTGATGCTGCAACTTGTCTCCAGCTCTACCATCACCGCTGTGGCCGACGATTCAGTCGTCTTCTTCGTCTTCCTTCCCCGGAAAAATCAGAGACCGGCGGAGGGGTTTTTTTTTTTTTTTCAAATTCTATTTTTTGTGGGGGTTCGTTCGAACTTTGGCGTAGGGGGACATCTGCCTGGCCAAAAGGTAAAGGTGGGATGAAAAATATCTGGAAAAATATCCAAGGTCCCTAGAAATGAAGCGGGATCGGACGGTGGAGATCGGCCCAGCTCCAGTCGCCCACCTGCTCCCCAATGGATGGCCGACAGCATGCCACGAGAGCATCAGTTATTCTTTTTCTTTTTCCTTTTTTTGGTGGGGGAAGGTTTTTTTTATGGATAATTAAAGAAGAAGGAAGAATCGCCTTCTTTTTTTAAAGAAAATAAATAATTGGTTGGGCCGATGGTGGTATGATCGTAACGTATGGTAGTAGCCCACCGTTTTCTCTTTTTTTTCTTTCTTTTAATTGTGAACAATGGCTCAATCAACCACTAATAATTTGTGTTTTGTTGTCTCAATTAACCTTCCAAAATATGCACAAGAAGTTAAGAAACAAGATCAAACATCTTTTTGGGGAGGAAAAACAATTATGATATTTAACATAAATGAATTCATTGATATATTGGTTTGTAATGCACCATTTCTCTATTTATAGTTCATCTGTCGATCTGATCAGTTACATTGAGTAGGAGGTTGATCAACACACTTCCATCAGTTTTGTAAATGCCATTTAATAAATGAACTCTACTCCCAGATCCTAATTCTACACGTGATGCATGCGCGTCTTTTCACGAGGCATTTGATAATCCACAATACAAAAAAAAAAAAAGGTAAGTAAACACGTATATAATGTGAAATCGTCCGTTATGCACTTGAAGTGATATGTCCTAATGAGGTATTCAGTACAGGGACACAAATAGCAACAACGACAACGATTCGGTCAACACAGACAAAATTACACAAAATCAACGAGCCGATCGAATGTGCAAACAAACCGAATATGATTCGATTCAATTCTCATTTTTCGTTGAATTGTATTAAATATGTCGGAAAAATGACTCGAGAGCCTACTGAACTATTTCTAGTCCTCTGATTTTTTCCCCTCCATTTTCAGCTCATTCCTATCCCAGTCATGTATGTTGTTAAACATCGTGCATGGGCTTATTTGTTGAAGCATGATAGTACAAGGACCATAGATGAAATAACCACAAAAGCAAAAGATCTGATAATAAAATGCCAGGTCAGAAGGATATATACGGAAGCGGAGGGAGGGAAGTTGGCTGGATAATAAAAAAGGTTGAGCCTAATTGGGTGGCTCTCGTTTCTTCTTCATCGGACCTTTGGCCACGGCCCACGAGTGGTCGTTATTTAAAACGTCATTATCCTATTCCTCTCTCCACCAACCATAAACCCAACCACTATTCATTTCCTTACAAAAAACTTAAAAAAACAAAACATAAATCACTAATTTAGCTATCAAATTTATAAGATACTTATGTATCGTTACATGCTAACAATGCAGTCAAAAGCGTGATTCTACCCAGAAGCGGTAGAAAGATCTGGAAGCGTAAAATCGTAAGCTTTAAAGCGTAGATTTTGACTACTTTTGCAAAGGAAATCACGATCCTACGTAGAAGCTTTTTGGTGACCTAAAAAGATAAAAGCGTAAGTTTTTAAGTTTTAAAGCGTGATTTTGACTGCATTGCATGCTAAAGCTATCGGGATAATAGGGTCATTATACTTTCGATGTCAATTGTGCGCATCTTGAAATTTAAAAGATCTCAAACCGATCCAATTGTTATTGATGCTCTGCCCTGCCTTGTCAGCAGAAGTAATCAAACTCCTTCTGAACAAAAACAAAAAAAAAACGAGGGTAAAGTTTCATTGCATCATTAATACCAACAACGTGAGTATAGTTCGCTACAGTGTCATACGAAAATCAAGATAAATTACAATAACATTTGGATTAAACACTAAGATGAAAGTCAAGCGCGCGCAAAAAAAAAGCCTAAATGAACCAACAATCGATGTGGCTAGAACGATATTATGTGATGAGGCTAACATACTAAACCAATAGAATTTTTCATCGGCCACTCAGAAAGCAACACCTGATATATATCATAATGAAAAGTCATCTTCCAACCTACTAGAACCCAACATGTTAAACCAAACAAAATGTCGGACACTTTTCATTTCCCCCCCTTCTTTCTTTCAATGCTCCCTCTCAAATCTATCTATGTAGCAAGTAGCAACTAGCAAGTTGAGGGGTTGGAGATATTTGTTTAATTGTTTGGTGGTTGCTGAGTAGGAGAGTTAGAGATATTTTTATTGATTTTTACAGATATTTTTAAGAGAGTGGGTGACTGAGATGGGCAAAATGGAGAAGATAAAGATTGGTAGCTCCTTTTTCACTATGCGAGATATTTTGGGGACTAGTAGTGGCATCAAGTAACACCAAAAAGACAAAAAGAAAAAACCAACCACACTCAAAACGATGACAATTTTGATCTGACCTGTTGTATACGACCTGTTTGGCTGGTTTTGGGCAGGTCCGATCCGTCCCGTAAGAAGAAAAAACCAACCACACTCAAAAACTTAAATTTAGGGATGACAATTTTGACCTGACGTGTTGTACCCGACCTGTTTGGCCTGTTTTGGGAAGGTCCAACCCGTCCCGTAAGCGGGGGCGGGGCAGGCATGGGTACCTCTCATCGACCCGACCTATCCTGACCCGCGTCATTCTCGATCCGTTCTTGACTAAATTACATGTAATCTTAGTCAAATTACTTAGGAATTTTATTTTATTATCTCTTATTTAGCTTTTAAAAAGTTGTAAATAAGTGAAAACCTCAATTTCTCTAATAATTTAACTACATTTTATCATATTATGGTTAGTTAAAATAACCAATATTTCTAACATTTTCACATAAATTACATACCAATTGAGTCGACCTGCCCCGACCTGCGCCCCGTAATAAATTATCAAACTGGACCAGGCGTGCCATGGAACGGGTATGGGTATCGAGGTACCCGCCCCGAACATGCCCCATTGCCATTCCTACTTAAATTCCTCAACCTGTCATCTACTGGACAGGACTCCAACACGTGTACATATGCTAATGGATGATTCTGACTAAGGTTTTCTAATTGGGCTAATCACATGCTGTATTCTTTACTTATCTTCCTCTTTTTCCTTGATAATAATAATAATTTTTTCAATTTTGCGGTCGGCGGTGGCCGGTTTACGTGTCCTCAATCTGATTCTTATGGCAGTTGTGTTGTGTCCTTCTGACCACAAAAATAAAAGAATGGAGACAATAATGAAAATGCAGTTGCGTCTTTATTTTTTAATAAAATTGGTCAAATCAGTTGGGAAAGGCTTTTCTTTGTTCAATCTGGATAAGCCTAAAAAAACTCCCTTCCTCTATTCGTTCAGTCCACTAAAGAACGTAAGTTGATGGGCTTGTTGCCTTATGGGCCCATTCTCCCGCAGTTATCCACTAACGAACGCTTTCAGAAATGAATATAGGCTCAAAATTGTCATATGCAATTCTCAGTGGGCCTGGCCCAGCATGGCCCAACCCGATGATAGAACAAGTTGGGACTCCGATGCATTTCCGGCCAAGAGAAAGGAGGGAATCCTGATTTTGTTTGATTCTTTACCGTTAGCGGAAGGAAATCTCGCCAGCCTGGTTTGCGCTTCGCCGGCTGGGAACCGAACCGAGAAAAGGAAGACGAGCTTTCCTCCGGTGGAAACTCTCATCAATCAATCCCAATATATATCCAAAATACATATTTTTGTAATTTTCTTTTTTATTTATTCAGACTGGAATTTTGAAAATCAGTCAAAGGGGTCTTCCTTCGATCTGGTCCGTTCAGAGCTGGGCCCCGCCCAGATCCAACGGGTTCTTAGTTCTTCTGGCCCATCAGTAACAATACTGCTGCTTCTCTCCGACCAATACCAACGGCAATTCTCTGACTCCAGAGTGCAGACAAAAGTCCAGCGTGTCCTCCACCGCCACTGTGAAAGAGATCCCCACCGTTGAAACTATCTGCCTCGTGATTCCGCCTGCGAATCTCTCCTTTACCCTCCTCCTCCTCTCTTGCTTCGCTTCCCCATTTCCCCACTCTCTCAAAACCCGACATCAATTCCTCCAACCTACTTTCCCCTTTTTTCAAAATTTGCACTTCACTCTCAGTCTCTCTCTCTCTCTCTCTCTGGTTTCCCAGCTTCTCTACATCCCGAACTTCTTCTTCTTCTTCTTCGTCGTTGCTTGCAGGGAGGTTGGAAATCATACTAGACCACTTCCAATGGCTGCCCTCCTCCTGCTCTTCATCTCCCTTTCGCTAGCTCTCTCTGCCTCTCTTGCTGCTGCTGTGGATGAAGGTAGGTACTATCCCCTCCCCTCCTTTTGCTGCTTCTTTCTGTAAATCAATGGTTGCCGCAGTTGGGATAACGAGTCCGATAGCTTTTGGGAATTACTGGGTTCTAAACTATATACAACCTTCCTTCTTCTGCTTGCTTGCTTGCATCTTTTGACCACATTGCTGTTTCTTAAACAAGAAAAAAAAAAACCCCAAGTACAGTCTTTCAGAGCATCGAGTCTCTGGCTCCTAGATTGAGAAGCAAGCAGGGCGGGATATGAGTGAACAGAGGAGACAACCCTTCATTTTTCTTTGAGCTCTTGAAACCATTTTTGCTAGTTTAGTATTATTTTCCCCAGGTGATGTCGGAATGTTACCCAGTGAGTCACACTGTCTGATAGATTTGTTTTTGTTTAATGAATCCCCTCCTCGGGCTTCTAACGAGCTAGCTCATTGAGATGATAATGAATTAATGATATGGAAGAGAATGACCCCTAATGGTTATTGATTAATGACAACCGCTCGCTGCAAGTTGTAACATTGTTTTACTTGCTTTGCAAATGGCTGCTGCAGCGCCCTTCATCGGCGTCAACATAGGCACAGACCTCTCCGACATGCCGCACCCGACTCAAGTAGTAGCCCTTCTGAAAGCGCAGCAGATCAAGCACGTCAGGCTCTACGACGCGGACCGCGGCATGTTAACCGCCCTGGCCAACTCAGGGATTCAGGTCATGGTCTCCGTCCCCAACGACCAGCTCCTCGGCATAGGCCAGTCCAATTCCACGGCGGCCAACTGGGTCTCCAAGAACATCGTCGCGCACTACCCGTCCACCAACATCACAGCAATTTGCGTCGGCTCCGAGGTGCTCACAACCCTCCCCAACGCCGCGCCTATCCTCGTCAGCTCCCTCAAGTACATCAATTCGGCGCTCGTGGCATCGAATCTCGACCGCCAGATCAAAGTCTCCACCTCATTTGCATCCTCCCTCATCCTCGATTCCTTCCCTCCCTCGCAGGCCTTCTTCAACAAGTCGCTGAACCCGGTCATGGTTCCGCTCTTGAGCTTCCTCCAGTCGACGGGGTCGTACCTAATGCTCAATGTGTACCCTTACTACGACTATATGCAGTCCAACGGTGTCATCCCCTTGGACTATGCGCTCCTCGAGCCCCTCCCTCCGAATAAGGAAGCTGTCGATGCCAACACTCTTGTTCACTACTCGAACGTCTTCGATGCGATGGTGGATGCAGCGTACTTCGCAATGTCGGACCTCAACTTCACCAACATTCCTGTTCTGGTCACCGAGACGGGCTGGCCGTCGAAAGGTGACCCCAACGAGCCCGATGCGACGCTGGACAATGCCAACACTTACAACAGCAACCTGATCAGGCATGTGCTGAACAAGACTGGCACACCCAAGCACCCTGGGATGGCGGTCAGCACGTACATTTACGAGCTGTACAACGAGGATACCAAGTCGGGCCCCTTGTCGGAGAAGAACTGGGGCTTGTTCAATGCGAATGGGGAGCCGGTCTACGTGATGAATTTGGCAGGGTCGGGGTCTGTGCTGGCGAATGACACGGCGAACCAGACTTTCTGCACGGTGAAGGATGGTGCGGACAGGAAGATGGTGCAGGCTGCTCTGGATTGGGCTTGTGGAGCTGGCAAAGTCGATTGCTCTGCGTTGTTGCAGGGTCAGACGTGTTATGAACCGGACAATGTGATTGCACACGCGGCCTATGCTTTTGATGCTTACTACCATCAGATGGGGAAAGGTCCGGGGACTTGCGATTTCAAAGGGGTGGCTACTGTCACCACTACCGATCCAAGTAAACAAATCATTGCCATTATCAACACTCTTGATCTTATCTTTCCTGTTTTTTTGAGTCATAAATAACACTCTTTAATGATCGAATGCAGGTCATGGTACTTGTGTATACCCTGGAAGGTAAATACGATTAGCTATCAAATTTTAACAAGCAATTCACATTGTTTGAACATGGTTGGTGACTGATGTTTGGTTTTATTTTTATTTTTTATATATGACAGTGGAGGGAAGCAGAATGGGACGATGGTGAATGTAACAGCTCCATCGATGAACTCGACTGCTTCGGATTCGCCTGGTGTGGGAGATCATCACAGTGTCATCCGTTTCACAATGCTGTTCGGATTGTTGGCACTGGGTTTGTTAGCTTGGTTGTAGTAAATAGTGTAGCAGACAGTAGTGTGCCTTCTGACAGTTTTGGGGCAAGAGTAGGTTTTCTGTGAACTCCATTCCCAGTTTGGAGGGAGTTGCAGAGGGTGGCATATCTGGTGGCCAAGTTGGCAGCGGCAGTAGGAGGTACTTGATCTGATTTGGGGATTATTTGTTGGTGGGATTTGGAAAAAATGAAGAATTCGACTAAAACCTTTCGTTCTGACGGATTGGTGTCGACTGTTGAATTATCATCCCACTGGATTGGGTAGCTGAAATATTCTATTCATGGAGTACTTTTTAGTGGAACCATCCTAAATACACAAAGGAAGGTAACTCTAGAAGAGAGGACTATACTGTTTTTCGCCCCACATTACGTGTCGATAATTTCATACCAGAGGTCCTTTAGACGAATCTGTCATCACATCTTGATAAAGTTGGTCGACCATCATTCTAGAGTCCGCTTTCAAGATCACACGACGTGACCTTCAAGAAATAACAACTTACGATAGTTTTTAACAAGTAGATTCACATCAAAGGGATAAAAAAACGCCCGAATGAAGAGTCTCAATCATCAACAAAATACATCTTATTCAATCATCAACAAAGTACATCTTATTCAATCATCAACAAAGTACATCATGAACAACAAAATTAAAGTTGGTTTTCAGAAAATCAACGAAATACTTACAAAATACCATTATCGGGTCGGGTACGCGGCAGCCATCAAGGGATTCATACTTGTGGGCCTGGGTCTTGTGGGCCCATTTTCCAACAGTTATCCATTCAAGAGTCAGACTCCAAACCGTCGGTAAATGAATCCAGTATGTATATTCATTATTGGATCTCGAGTGGGCCTATCTGCTTCGTTATTATCCGTTTATCCTTCTACGTGTCCTCATCGCCTTTGTCTTCTTCTCCCAGGTCTGCAGACACTACTTCACAGAAATCTCGCACTCATCTCGTCGCCTTCATTTCCTTTAATCACCTTCCAAACAACCCCTGATTGTTCGATTTCAAGCTCAGGCAATGGCTGCTCTCTTAGGTTCCTTGCAGACGAACTTCCTGCGTCCCCGCTCGTCACTTCCGTCAACTCCTTCGTTGGCTTCTTCATCTTTCACTTGCCTCTCCACCGGAAACCCCAATCTTCTCGCTGCTGCTCGCTCCGTCGATTCCTCACCGTTCCTCGGTGGCAATGAGCGATTCGTGGAGAATCGGAGGACGAGGAAGCGCCACGGCAGCGCGCTCGCCGTTCGGATGTCTTGGGATGGCCCCCTCTCTTCCGTCAAGCTGATCGTTCAGGGCAAAAATCTGGAGGTTCGTAAACCTTCCGCTTCCTCTAGATCTCGTCTTTGTGTCGAGAGCTGTAGTGCTTAGCTCAGAACTAGATATTGATAGGAATTGGATTGTGGTTGATTGATTCTCAGTTCACAGCTTGCTGAACATTTTGCCTGCTTGAATAACAAGCTTATCCGTTCCCTGACGCACTTGGTTTGTTTCTATGGAGGAATTACTGTGAAATAGTTGATCATGAATCTTGGCACAAGTTAGATTTAGTGATAGTAGTACCTTGCATTTTGCATAAACTGTGTTGGTTAATTCGAATTTGAGGCGAACTGATGCCTATTTGACAATGAAGTGGTTTGTGTACAGTTAACCGATACAATCAAGAAGCATATTGAAGACAAGGTCGGGAAGGCGGTCCAGAAGCACAGTCATCTTGTTCGTGAAGTCGATGTGAGGCTTTCTGTTAGAGGCGGGGAGTTTGGTAAAGGTCCAAGGATTCGGAGATGTGAGGTGCTTCACCATCAAAAACCAAACTGAATTGAGAAACTTTCTTTATCTCATTCCAATCCCTATGGACTGTGCATTGGTTGACATGAGGGTTTCTGTTTCGCAGGTGACCTTGTTTACTAAGAAACACGGGGTGATTCGAGCTGAAGAAGATGCTGAGACGACGTTTGCAAGCATTGATCTGGTGTCATCAATCATGCAAAGAAAGCTGAGGAAGATAAAGGAGAAGGATTCAGATCATGGCCGTCACATGAAGGGTTTCAATCGGTCCACGTTCAAGGAAGCAATGCCAGAATCACCTGTAGAGGTAGCAGAATTGGAGGCAGATGAAGCTGTAAATGGAGCTTCCATACAAGCGGAGAATGATGAGGATTTTGTGGCTGAGGTTCGCCAAATCTTTGTGGCTTCTTATACTTTTTCATTCATGAGTTTGATTCATATTGTTTTACAGCTGACTTGTGCTATGTGTGGGCAACTTTCAGGTTGTTCGGACCAAGTATTTTGATATGCCACCTTTGACCGTCGCTGAAGCAATCGAGCAGCTCGAAAATCTAGACCATGATTTCTACGGGTTCAGGAATGAAGAAACCGGTAAGAACCTACTGTTACCTGGTTAACAGCTAACTCTTTTCCTCGATGGGGGTCATTGATTTTGTAATGCTTGATATCAGGTGAAGTAAACATCGTCTACAAAAGGAAAGCTGGTGGGTATGGTCTTATCATACCCAAAGGGGATGGTAATTCAGAGAAACTAGAGCCACTGGAGATGGAATCAGCTAGAGAACCATCCTTTGCGGAGTAAGAAAACCAGACTACGACGAGACTCTTTTTGTAAGGCGGACTCCGCCAGCCATGTTTTTGGCGCATGATGTACAGAACCAAACTGAATCACGAAGAAGAGATATCGACCCTGTGCTATGGACAGGGATCATAAGTGGGAAAAGAGCGTTGTTACCAGGCTGATTTGCATGACCAACATGTTGGTAATTTCAGGCCAAATCGGTCAACAAATGACCATCGTTCTGTTGTTTTACAACAGCGGAGAGAAGGGTATTTGAACTTGACTATTGTAAGGTTTAATTATACAGGTGAAATCCTACGAAAACTTTTATTTAGACCATATAACCTCATACCGCGTATGCCTAAGGATAAATAGTTCAAAAAGTGAAGCAGTTGAACTCTAGTCTACTTTTTGTTGCATTTTTTCTTCCAAGATAACACTACATCAAGATTTACGAAAATTTACAACATTATACAAACAAGAATACAATAGAATACCATCAATATGATAGCACACCTATCCAATACACTCTTTGATGATATTCCAATTTCGTTCTTTGTTGATGATCCAATCTTTATATGAAAAACAAGGCACTATAAAAAGTTGAGAATGATAACACCCTAAGAATACAAGTAGCAAGTATACTATTTTCCAGAAGAGTGAATCATTATAAAAATTGAACGACAAAAACGCAAAGAATAAAGTTGGAGAATTGATCATTCCAACTTGAAACGAAGAAATGAGGGGTTTGTGAGAATTTACAATATCACCATGACAAGGTCTCCATTAAAGTTTGAAATGCATGACGATTTTAAGAGGTACAATCAGTAGAAGAAGAAAAGAAGCCTTTGTGAGGGAAGGGGAAATTAAAATGCAGGACGATTTTGAGAGGTACAATTAGTGGAAGGAGGGGAGTTATAATTAACATTCTAAATTATTAATTACTTATTAATTACAACATACATTTTTTTAAAAATGTGAAACTTATTTTTTTTAATAAAATGGGAGCAAAATAAAGTTCATTAGAAAAAAGAGGGGGAAAACTAAATATAACAAGTTTGATGTGGAATACTAATTTTGTAATATGTTCTCATAATGACAAAGCGACGGGTGATGGGAGAAATTGATTTCTAATTCTTTCATCCTTCCTTAAGAAACTTGTAAATTCATTTCAAATTATGTTCCTTTATATTTAGAAACCATCCCGCTCAATATGTCATCAACGACTATCTAGATATCATACATAATTCATCTTTTGAGCCTTCTCTGATTGTACATGGTAGAGAGACTCATCCTAGTAGATTGGATTTTCGTATTTCTCATTCTAAAATGATTGAAATGAATGGATTTTTATCATAAAAAAGGTAAATCATTAAAATATTTTAATGTCTTCCAATATCTCAATAAAAAACTGATTATTGAGCGACGATAAGACAATCCTCTTATATAAAGAAGAGATACAAGAATCACATGTACTTATAGGAGCATGCAAATTATGTTTCTTCTTATTATTATAATTTCATGCAAATTATGTTGGCTTCTTGTTCATGTATTCTATATGTTAGGTTCAACCCGTGTAAAGAAGAACAAGTTTTTATTTCCTTTTGTTGTTTTTCTTCATAATTATAAATTCAACTTCGAAGATGGGGAGAGTGAAGTACCATCCGTATACATATTTGCTCTTGTTAAGCGTTAGTCCAATCAAGTTAGTTCTCACTCAAGTACAAATTTCAGCTAGTTGTTACCTTCTAAAATGTAATTACAAAAAACTAAAATATATTTATCTCTAATTTATATGAGATATAAAAGAATGGTACCATCTAAATAAAAATGAAGAGAATGTATAATATGAAAATAGAGACTCCTAGTTAGTGGTAGCTATTTTCTTTTAATGGTAGTCAAAATTAGAGAAAATCAAGACAGTTGATGGCAATGTTAGTGTTCCCGTGAGAGAGTTGAAAGAGAAGTCAAGAGTGCTATTCATTCCAAGAGCAACTAACATTACAATCATAACCAAATAATAGAAATAGAGATTTGAGTTTTTCTCCTTGAAGTAAACCTCGCCAAGTCCAAGTATAATCGACCCATCCAAGTTCAAATCAAGCCAATTCAGTATGGCGAAACCAAAGTGGATAGGTGTCTCAATTCAGCAATCACAATCACTGTCCTTAGATCCTCCAAGGATCAAGCAAACTCAGTATGGTCGGAACTTTCTTGCAGCCCTGAGTTGCTGAATCCGCTTCTTGTCCTCCTCAAATTTGCTTTGGAGTTGCAAGATTTCTGCAAAACCAGCAACACAAGTTATTTATGATCATCATAAACAACAAACAAATTAAGTGAACAACTAGGAACAACTCGAATCTAGTGTTCCAACAGCAGTAAAAAAGAAGAAAATTTCTCTTACCATTCATATGAGCTTCTCTCTTCTGAAACCGATAAAAATCTACCCCTATCTCTTTGCGTTTCTTCTTGGTTGTGATGTCATCGACTTTTGCAACTGGAACGGCGGAGCCCACAACAATCCCGCTTTCAGGATCCGTCGTCTTTTTCCTTCCTCTCTGATGTACAACAACTGTCCAACCACCATCTGCAGCTTGAGCTTCTCTTTCTCTTTTTTCCTACATATATTTCATGAGAAGTAAAGTGTAAGAAGTTGAAAGGATCAGAGTACTAGCTTGATATTTGTAATCAGGAAATAATTGATCGGACACTTTCTTCTACAATTAGGAGTCGGTAAAAGTCCATACTTCAGACAAGGTCCAAAAGTTTAAGAAATGAAATGATGAAGAAGTGAAAAGGTCGCTTAGTGAACGGATTACCTCTTCGAGCTTTTCTTCATGAGAAATTATGAAGTCATCTATTCGTTGTTGCAATGCCCTCAAACCTGGTCTACTTTCATTGTACTCTGTAAGCCATTCTGGGAAACAAGTTTGTGAAAATCAAATGATTAAGGGTACTTTAAATCAGAAAGGAAACAAGTACTATGTCATAGCCATCAAGGGATAAGGATAAAAGTGGAATGAAGCAGCACCACTTCTACCTATTCAGAGGGAAAGGTCAAATGGTGAGTCTCAAGCAAGTCCTAAGAAAATGAAGGGACATAATGATTATCCAGCTTCAAGTGGATAAGAACCAATAGCTATAACCTTAGAGCAACCTGAGTGTATGGTAACGACAGTATGCTGCGGGCTTGGCATTACAAAGATGCACTAGCGAGGGAGTACAAGGTGCTTACTTTTCATCCCTTTTGAGCAGTCTTCATCGCCTGATGACAGGCAGTAGACATCCTCCTCCTGTTTTTCTGTTTTCCTCTGCATGCCAACTCCTTCTAATGCAACCTCCACCTTAATCTTGTTTTTCTTCTTGTCTTTCTTGGATTTCATTGATTTACCTTAACCATGGAGAACAATAAAAACAGCTTATAAGATCCAATTTTAACTCAGTTCTAACCGAAGAAACCCAAATAAGAGATTCGGCTACCAAGATGAGCCCTCATTTCTGTCCCACAACAATCTTTGCTCGGTCTATGTGAACTCATTTTGACATTCACGATTTTATACGGGTTCTGGCTTGTTTCTTCATCATCTAGGACTGAATAAGATTAACTTAATGAAGCCGTATGATGGATGCAAAAGAGGAAAAGCAGGACAGCTAGCACGTATTAGGCATCTAACTACACAATCCCATTGGTAGAAGCTCAAAACCACTAGTATCGACAAAGGAAATTCAGTCGCATTAAGCTGAAAGGGAGAAAGTCATTCACCATCTCAAAATCATAAGAACATACCACTTTGCCTGGCAGAGCCATCATCAACCTGATCGGACTCTTCGACTGGAGCAATCTTCGCCACAATCTCCTTTCTTTGTTTCTTCATCTTCTTCACCGTCTCTGCTTCAACCAAACTGTTTGCTGAAATGAATCAAAACCAACAGTCAACCAGAGAAGCTTAGTCATATAAAGGGGCGGCATAAAACCCAACACCAGTCTACAGCAGCTAAATCATTTCACCTTCACTGACTGTCACCAATTCACCAGATTCACCATTGTTCTTCGTTTCCCTTCTTCTCTTCTTCTTCCCATCCCCTGGATTCCTTTCACGAATCTTTTCTTCGTTCTTAACTTCGACATCTACATCTACAAGTAAAAGAAGCACACAACCATACCAAAGCTAGTTACAATCTCCATCATAGCTTCAACATAGCTTGAAAATGAATACAGGTTGAGAAGTAAGAAGACTAATACCATTCTCACGTCTCTTTTTCTTGCTCTTCATCCTCTTACTATCCAGTTGCAAATTTCTCATCTTTTTATCTCTGCCCGCGATAACCGGGACAGGGAACAGCGGAGGCGGGAAAGACAGAGATGGCCGTCGGCAATCGCGGGAATCTGGCGCCGGCGAAATCTTTACTTTCCAGTTCAGAAGGATACGTTCGGACGAACGGCAGAAAGGGGAAGGAGAATAGCGCCGACGAACTCGAAGGTCAGGAGGCGGCGGCTAGGGTACTGGTTCTTCCTGGCCGCTCGGCGCTGGACTTGCTGAAGCTCAACTGATTACCTGCCGTTGGCGATTTAGGGAAAGCCAAAGCCTTTTCTTATTTCCTCTTTTTTTTTTTTTTTGTATATTTCGGGGAAGAGAAACGCAGCGTACAGGGCCCAGCTCGGACACCCAAAACCGGCCCAGATGGTTCGAGTGGGCCTGCCGGAACCTCGCAGATTTTCGTTCGAGCCACAAATTTAAAAGAGCTGCTAGAAACAATACGAAGGACTTTGGGAATGAACAATTGAGGACACTTGAAGCTGTTCTTCATGTTATAGCATTTCCAAACAGCATCTGCATTTCTTTCCTAGTGAGCTAGAATGAGATTACATATGATACCAATGAAGATTGATAGACAATGGTTCTGATACACAACAACAATGTCACGATTTGACTCCTTTACCATCAGAAAATCTGCCAGCAGACATGGTCAGCAGCTTGTTGATCGACAGCCCTGCGCCGAGAGTATCCCTCTTGAACTCATACCTCGGCTTAATCCGGGTATCGAGGTTGTACCCAAGGAATGCGGGGAAAGCGAGCAGCTCTCCCACATCGCGCCCCATTCCTTCGGTCAAGTACTGCATCTTCTTCTCCAACGACTCGTAATTGTACTGCAGAACCTGCGGGTGCTTCGTGCTCATGGTGAGGATATCTTCACAAGCCAGACCGTAACTCAACAACACCCCTATCAACTTCTGCAGGTTCTCGCAGCTCGTTCTCGTCACAGCCCCCATCGCAGCAGCTAGTTCCTTGGTGGGATAGCCATACCCGATCTTCACCAAGAACACGAGCTTGTGGACGAGGTTCTCGTCGTAAGACAAGCCGAGCAGCAGTGGAGCTTTGGTCAGGAACTTGGACATTTCATCAGAGTTCAAGCCACATTGCTGCAGGAACTCGATCCTCGGCTGCAGCTTTCGCTCCTTGCTCGCGCTGATCACGTTGGGGAACACGAGGTAGATCCTGAAGATCTGGAGGTTGGTTAGGCCTGCAAATGACCTGAAGAATTCGACGTGACCTTCCACATGTTCGACGCTATAGCTAAGGAATGCTGGTAGTTTCCGGAGTACTATCCCTGTGGCTTCTTCATCTCCACCACTCAGCTGCTTCAGAAACTCCACTCGTGGGATCAGCTGAGTTTCCAGGTCGAAGTTCAGAAGCTGCGGCCGTTTGATGATCATCTGGACGCTTCCTCCGCCGTACCGAGTCAAGAACTCTACCGTTCTACGGATCTCGGCAACTGGTTTGAAAGCAAGGGCCTTGGCCAAATTGACATTGTTGAGAACGTGGACGATTTTGCCTTGAGGAACTCCACTTTCGAGAAGCAGCTCGACCTTTTCCGGGAAATTGAGTAAGGATCTGGGTTCGACGGCGACTAGCAGCCGCCTGAGCTGCGCTGGTTCGACGAGCTCCGGCAACCCGGAGAGGAAAAAGCGTAGAAATTCATCGACTTCTTCTGCTACGAGCACAGTGGGTCTTTTGGTAATCAGCCGATACAGTTCCAGTCCTTTGATTCCAACAGCCTGCAGAAGTGACAACCGCGCTCGCGCGGAATCTAAAGCTGTGAACTTGAGAACTGGGTTACGCTCCAGTACCAACTCGGTCTCTTTATCGGTCAACCCCAACTCTCCAAACAGCTGGAAGAGAAGTAAACCTGAAACAGAAGAGGGAATGCAAACATCAGGATGCACGCAGACAAGGTGTTCGATGAATTGCCTGTTAGAGAATGAGTGGAGGGTAATCCTACCAACATCTTTCTGCCCTTCCACAGAAGAGGCGAGACAACTGCAACGAAAAGGAACAAATTTGACGAGAGGGAAGAAGGCTGCAGGTGCTAAAACTGGCGGTCTCAGCTGCTGAGGCACTGAAGCTTCGTGGAACTGCTGATGAAGATGAGGCCGTGGTGGAGCTGGGAATTGAAGTTTAGTTGCGGAGTGGGAGAATATGCACAACATCGAAGATTCGGATAAGATGTCCTGCGACAGATGCGACTTGTTAGTGGGAGAGCAATAACAAGGGCGGGTCGCGGCGGATGAATGATAAGAAGCGGGAATTCTCTCTGGGGCTAACAGCGAATAACTATAACTGGGGAGAGTTTCTTTTCGCTTTCGGCTGTGCTATTTCAAAGCAAGGGATTTTCGCTTGAAGAATAATCTTTTTATCCTTAAAATTTGAATAGCAGCGGGAAGGGTTAAACATTTGCCTTGATGATGATTCATTTACTGTGTTGATGAAAGAAAGTTCTTTTCGACGAGTTCGCTTTCGATCTATTCACACCTCTGTCTCGAATATCAATTGAATAGTTGTATATGATACACCAATACAATCATACAAACATTGCTGGTGGCAAACACAAAGGGGTAGATGTTTCATGTTCATTTCTAATGACCAGAAGTGTACACAATAATACATACATTAGCTGGTAAGCGATGCATATAGACAGTTTCGAAATACAACCGAAGAATGAATATCCCCAGAACGAGAAAAAAAAAAAAAAGGGATGCGAGATGCTGCATGAGACATAGATCCATGCCTGCACAAATCATATGCACTTTGGCTTCAGGTCCAAACTGATTCAGGACATCGCGGGTTGTTGAGCAGTTGAAATGTATGCTTTGATGGAGATAAGCCCGTCATTTCAGGGAATTGCATCGTCTGGGGCGCATGGATTCGAAAGGTTAGGGGAAAGAACGAAATCCATCAAGCCTTCTGTTGCCTTTGACGTTCCTTGAGTTGATTCTTGGGGACATTTCCCCCACTTTTCTTGCTGTTGGGCATAGCTTTGATGAGAACTACTGGTGAGTTGCCTTTGTTTGATATTCTGGGGGATCTGTAATCATGGACCCTGGATAAAGTGTTCAGTGCAACAAAATATAGAATCACGGTTTTAGTCAGTAGCACATACTCAAATACTAAACAGAAAGGGGGCACAATGTGGTTGTTCCAAAGCATACATGCCTGTTGATTCTAGGAACTTGGCAAAGCTCAACTCCTACTTGTGTGGGAACATCTTCCATTTCCTCATCCTGTGACTTCTGACTCTGCATATGAAATCATACAGAGGAATAAATAACCAACCAGAACTTCCTTAGTTTAACAGAAGAGACCAAATGCATAACCAGCTTAATCCAGATTGACTATTTGTGGAATATGAAAACATAATATCCCCAAACTGTACTATTATTAAAATTCATGATGCCTTTTAAGAGGCGATTCATTTGATGGAAAAATTATGGAACATAGACAAATCCCAAGAGAAAGATAACTATTTCGGTTTGCAGCTACAGAAAATGTGTCAACAGGCTGAAGCATTCAACACCATAGTGTTTCTAACCATTGTCAACCAAACAGATTCTGGTCTGCCAAAGACTTGGTGCCCATGATTAGATATTACACTAAACGAACAAAAGGCGGATTTCAAACCAAAAGTTAAGTTAGTCCAGCACCGAACAAAAATTGTTACCATGAATAATTACAGCAACTGAATTACAGTTTAACACATTGTATGAACCATCAATAATCTATTAGGACCCAAAATGATGGAGCCTAAGACCCTTTACAAGGTTGGTACAGCGTATCTGCAGCAATTTATGGCAAGTGCGTCCACTCTTCTTCGCGGAAGTTGGCCAACACAAACATTAACGAAAGGAAGCTGAAAACTTCTCATGGATGGTATATAGAATGCAGATTTTACAATGTTAGCTTGCAGCGAAAACTTGCACCGTGCTGTTGGAGAACAAGAAATAACTGCACCTTTGAGCTTTGAACTTTCAGAACCAAGTCAAATAGGAAAGATAGTATATTTCACAGAACCAGAGAGATCGAAAGCATAACATACATTACTCTTAGTAAAGCGATACACAAATTCTAGCTTATAAAACAAGACAAATTCATTTTCTTCCCAAAGATGAAAAACCAAGTTGAGTATCACCTAGAACAGCAATCACTACCGGTTCCAAGCCAGCAAGAAGTCAAGAACAGGTAGAAGCATTAATGTTAGCATGACACCATCTTGCTTCAGAAGTGCAAAACTGGACACAAGCCACAAAAGCGAGCAGAGATACATATAGCCATACTGATACACAAGATAATGCAGCGAGAAACTTACATCATCAGAAGGCGACAGACAATTTCCACCAATGGCAACCACAGTGGAGTGGAAATTCAAGACCTTAGCTTTCTTCTTGGCTCCACCGGATACACTTCCATGATCATACTCAGAATCCAGCCCACCACTCCCCTTCTTCCTCTTCTTCTTCGCAGCAGCAGACAGCCACGACCTACCCTTCTTGTCCCTCACTTTCCAAATGTTCCTCTTCCTGAACACCAGCTTGTCAAACTTCCACACCTCGTAGCTTGTATCAATCACCGTCACTTCACTCCGCGAGTACCCTTTCAGCTCTCGATCCCCTCCACACCCTTCACCGTCGCCACGGCGGCACTCGCCCTTATCCTGCTCCTCATCGACCTCATCCGCGCAATCCCCGCCGCGCTGAGACCGTACAATGTTCGAATTGCGGTTGGAATTGAGCGAAGCCTTCGTCACACCCGCCGCCTTCTCGTCTTTCCGCAGCGCAGGTGAGGCAGGAAGGGCGCAGAACTTAGGGTTCGTCTGCTTCCTGGCTCTCTTCTTCCTGGAGATTCCGGTGGGTCCGCCCATGTAGAAGAGATCGGAGAGGACATTGGTCATCACGCCGAACCAGTCCCCTTCACCATTTCGGTCGGAAATCTCGGGGGCTTGCTCCGCGACGGAGTTGGAGTTAACGAGGGAATTGGAGGCGGCAGCATCATCGGATGTAGGGGAATCGGAAGCGTCTTCGTCGGCGGTGGGTTTGGTGAGAAGGAAGTCGTCTAATCCGACGTCGCCGGAGGTGGGGAAGCCTTTGGTGGATCGGAGTCGGTCCAGCCAATTTGAACTGGGCTTCCCGCCGGGGACTGAGCACAACATTGGGGAAGGGTCGAACTGAGATTCAGATCGTATCAACTGGTGCGGCGGTTGGTTGGTCGTAGCGAGGATTTAGCCACGGCGGGAGGAAGGATCGGCAGTAGCTCGTCGGAAAACGTGAAATGTGAAATGACTATGAGCCTTTCGCTTCTCTTTTCTTTTCTGACGAAAGGTTGACAGTTGTGATTTGACAGGCCCTTTTTCCACAGTGAGATCAGTAATGATTAGTAATTAAGCCCATTAAGAGTGAATGAAGTTGGGCTACAGCCCATTAAGATAGCTGAGGGCATACCCAAAAGACGATACCAGGGCCCATACCAAATTTGTAAAACCGACAAGACAAAAAGCAGCAGCACCAGAAAAAAAAAAGCAAAACGAAACCGACGGCGATGATTCCTTGCGCCCCCGTTTACCCCAAATTCTTTATTCCCTCGTAAAATAACAGAATAATCAACAACTACCTCTCTCGCGATTCATATGCTTCACCCTCCTCGCCATTATTCTCGGGAAAGAAAAAGCAAAGCAAAACATGGTCACATGAAGAACCCTTAAACCTTCATCTAGTCGTGTGCCGCACTTTTCAGTTTTCCCCTTCCTTCCTTCTCTTCTCTGACGCTTTAAATGTGGCTATGGCTGTAATTCTCGAGGCGGTTTGTGTGTTTCTGGGGACATCCCAATTTCTGGGAGCCTATACTCCGACGATGGTGTTCCTAATTCTGATGTGGGTTGCTTTCCTAGTTGGTGTCACCATTGGTTGGATGTGGAAGCCCAGTTGGGCACCCGGTTTAACCCAGCAAGGCAGTTTGGTTTCTTCCTCTTCATCTTCGTCTGCGCACAAATTGGTGGACTCTTCGCCGCCGTCTTCACCTTCCCGGTGTCCGGATTCTCCGGTGAAGGGTTTTGGGTCGGCCCCTTGCCTCACATCCTTCTTGCTCAGCTCGCCGAATTTGGTGGATGCAAGCTCATTTGCCGTCCACCATTCTCAATTTGAAGATTCATGGTAACCTTCACTTGCTTATAATTTACTCTCTTTTCTTTTTTGCTAGATGGGTGAGTGAAAGTTGCATGCTTTATCAATTGAATCTCGACCCAACTCAGAATTTCACTGTTTTATTGGATTCTATGAATTGCCCTTCGTTATGATGTTGAGAAGTCTTTTTTGTTGATGGACCTCTTCCTCTTGTCCAGTGGAGGAACCCAGCTGGATGATGAACGGCCTAATGCTGCTGATCTGGTGATCGAAGAGGATTTGGTGTATCTGCACAACCTTGTTGAAATGAAAGATGGAGGTCCTTCTTGGATACAGATGATGGATCGTTCGACAACCGGAATGACTTACCAAGCATGGAGGAGAGACATCAAGGTAGGATGTGTGTATGTACATCTCTCCCTCATTTGATCAGTTGTAAGTCATCACCTAATTGAATTACCTTTCAATCCGAGTTACTTATTAAACCTTGTTTTCTGGTTGTGGTTCTTATTAGTCTTGTTTTCTACCATCTTGGCTATAGGATGGTCCTCCTCATTATCGTACCAGAACTGTTTTCGAGGATGCTTCACCGGAGATAGTGAGAGACTTCTTTTGGGATGACGAGTTCCGGTCAAATTGGGACGATATGCTAGCCCGTGCGGCTGTTGTAAACGAGTGCCCCACAACAGGGTCCATGGTCGTGCATTGGTTAAGAAAAGTATGTACTTTGTTGCTGTTGTTGCATGGTGGATGATGAAATGTGCTCCTCTTGTTCACTCGATGAGCTCTTTACGCACTGACTCGCTCTGCAGTTTCCCTTTTTCTGTAGTGACAGAGAGTATACTATAGGCCGTCGAATCTGGGAGTCTGGAAGGTCTTATTACTGTGTTACAAAGGTATGCCAATCTGCCCCATTCAATTCCTGCGCATAGGGGATTGCCTGCCCTCAATTATGAAATAACTAGCCTTTTCCTTTCTCTTCAGCAAGAAGCTAAAGCTTGTTTACCTATCAAGTTAATTATATATAGCAACTATAGATGATGTCGATTAGTACGATAAATTCTTGGATTTTATCTGCCAGCTTGAACTTTTTTCTTACCAAACATTTCCTTGGTTTCTCTGATTTGTTATGCCTCCTCCATTGTAATCATCGCTCAAGTTCTGAACATTTTTTCTGTTGTTTGTGTTCTAGGGAGTACCTTATCCTTCCATCCCAAGGGGTGATAAACCAAGGCGTGTGGATTTGTACTACTCAAGCTGGTTTATTCGACCAGGTTTACTATGCCTTATATCATTTCCCCCTTGTTGCTTGATTTAAACATCTTGAATTTCCATTGAAATCATCTTTGAATGTTTGAAAATTCCCTGTATGAACAGTTGAATCCAGAAGAGGGGATGGCCAACTGACTGCATGCGAGGTTCTGCTCTTCCATTACGAAGACATGGGTATTCCTTGGGAGCTCGCAAAGCTTGGTATTCGCCAAGGAATGTGGGGATCAGTAAAAAAGATCGAGCCTGGTTTGCTAGCTTACCAAACCGCAAGGGCATCCGGAGCAGGACTCTCACGCACTGCCTTCATGGCTCAGATCAACACCAAACTGGATCCCGAGTTAGTGAAAGCACTGGGAGGCAACACCAAGGAGGTATCAATGGCAGAGGCAGAAGCAGAGAGTTCATCAAATCAAAGTTCAGGCAGGAATATACCGAAGATGTTGCTTATAGGTGGAGCTATCGCGGTTGCTTGCAGCATTGACCGAGGGCTTCTGACGAAGGCATGTGTGTTTGGCATAGCTAGGAAGTTAGGGAATTTGGGGAAGAGATTAAGCTGAGAGGACAAAAGATGTCAGTAGTAGTGATGGTTGTATATATGTATGATATGGAACCGGGAGCAATAATGTTATTGTTAGACGAAATAGTAGCTCAAGCTCCGAGTTACCTTTTCTTTCCCATGTAAATTGTTGAGGTCTGAATCCGAATTGCAGAAGGAAATAGTGTTACCTCGCGTAAAGAACAGCGGTTGTTTCCCTACCATTTGCAATGTAACCAAAGAGACAGAAGGTGTGTGGATGTCTGTGATTGTGATTGCACAGAGTTCACATGTTTGAGGCAAAGTTGCGCTGTTGCTTTGCTGTGTTGGGGAGCTGGGTCTCCCTTAAGGCATCGAATTAGGAAAGGAATTAATGTGTCTGGTTCAGCCGTTGTACTACCTGTTCACAGAAATGTGCCCCTGTCATCCTGTCTTAACATGCCCATATATCGCAATCTCGACCATCAGTTTAGCCTCTGTAGTCCGTCGATTGTGACACTATCATATCTTTCGAGAGGGTAATCATGTAGTTTTGGCGATTTAGCGAAAATAGATTACGATTACACTTCAGTTACATGTATTTTCATCAGCAGGCACAACAGCGTGGTTCAACAAGAGTACAGTAACCATTGAGAGAAACTGAGTTTTCTACATATGCCCAGAGGAAGAATGAATTATGCTACGATCAAACTTATCGTTGATCAGCGAAAAGCAGGAACCAGGGTTTCAAAACAGAAGATTCCATCGAACTGCGGGGCTAACTTGGGCTGCTCCTCCTGGCTTCCGTCCCCAGTCGCCACCACATTCCTTCTCTCGCTCCCTCTGCTGCCGCTGCCACTTCGACCATCGGCGAATCCACGAGGAGAAGACTCGAGGTTGAAGCCCGGTGCCGACGTTTTGTGAAGCAAGTAGACTCCGAGGGCTGCTGCTACGACCGGCATCGTCATGACACTAACATACATCACGTTCGCCGCCGCCATGAATGCAAGTAGGTATTGGGAGGATGATTATCAATGGGTAAAGAGAGGCACAAGGAAGATGAAGCAGGAATGGAATAGCAGGTGGGTTGGAGGTAATGGGAGCTCCAAAGACAAACTATATAGAAATTATACATGTCCTTACGCGAAAGCCATCCTTGGCTTGCTAAAGCTAGATTGAAGCCTGATCAAGGGAATCGTTTCTTCCTCTGCTAACTTCAATCACACGCATCAGTTAAAAGTAAAATGTCTGGAAAATTCTCAGATCGCTTCTGCACCAAGTAACCAATTTGTTCTATTCTACCTATAATTCTCTATACCAATTACCATGTAATTACAATCTTTGCCAGATGAAAGTTTCAATCATGTAGTAACAATAGAATATATGGATGGATTGCGTCAAACACTGTATACATTTAAAGGAGTACACTCCAGGCAAACGATCAAAACGTGTAGAGCCCCTAGAACATGATTAGCCTATACACTCAAAAACCTTGACACGAAAGAAACAAGAATGAATCAAATGACCAAAATCCATCATGATATGAAACGGATCATCAGTAGCGAACGATTGTCTCGAAACAGTGAACCCCATCCAACTCCACGGCGAACCTCGTACCCGCCGCCAGCCGTTTCCCACTCTCCTGATGAGTCCCCTGGCCTTCCTGCCTCTTCTTCTCCGCCGCCGGCGGCGGCGACGACGACGACTTCCCGCCGTCCAGTTTGGTCAAATCGCCGCCGTCGGCTTGCCTGCACAGACCCGATGGCAGCTTATTGATCTTCTGTCCGAATAATTCCCCGGACAGAACGTCGAAGGAGCTGAAAATCGACATCATCATATTCTCTCTATAAAAAGTCTCGCTGCTTGGTTGGTTGATTGACCAATTACTCCGATCGAACTCTGCTTCGCTTGCTTGCTTGTTCTGGTTGACGATCGGGGGAAGTGGTGGAAAGGGTATTTATACAGAATGGTGAAGAGGGAAGAAAAGCCGAATGGGTTGAGGATTTCCTGGAACCACCTGGAAACCTCGTCGGATCAGGAAAACGCGGCCGCCGCCACGTCCTGACTCTGCATCCATTCCCCTGAAGAGAAACGCGACGTTGATTCGAGTCCTAGGACGGTGGTTACCTTTCCGTTTGTGGACCAACCCGGATTTGGATCGGAGGGGAAGTTTCTGGACTCTTCCGGCCCCAAAACTTGTCTCTCGACAGAAATCGGGCCCATTTTAAATGTTGGGCCGATGGAGAGCCCACCTCTCACAATTTGGTACATTCAAGATTCAAGCCTATTCCGACGGAGGTAGAAGAGGAAGTGCTAAATACGGGCGGAATAAATGGGCAAAAAAGAGCGGGAAGCGGAAAGAAACAGTCTGAAATGCATCGTGACCGCGCCACGTGGCAGTGTGAAACCCATTCCCAACTAAATCTACAATATTGGCGGCTACTATATTCAACCTGCAGCTCACTTTATTACTCCCCTGCTTCCGACTCTGCCTCTCTACTTCTTCCTGCTCGAAAGAAATCACGAATTCAATTACAGAGTTCATCACCTCTCTGTTTTTTCGTTTTTTTTGGCTCTATTCCACCTGACTGAAAATGGCGACAGTATTGAGTCACTCAGTAGTCACAGCCACCCCTCCTCGTCACGCAGTGAACTCTCATAACAATTCTCTGTCCTTGTACCGTAGCGTCATCCCGAAGAACAATGTTGGACTGAGCCTGAACAGATCGGACACTCTGAAACTGAGATCATCCAACTCCGCCGGCGGCAGAGCATGCCGCAAATGCCGGCCGATTTCCCACAACCGCGCCGCCGCCGCCGCCACTGTGCGGTGCGAGGAGGGCGGCGGAGGGATGAGATTGGTGTTCGTCGGAGCAGAGGTTGCTCCCTGGAGCAAAACCGGCGGGCTCGGCGATGTGCTCGGCGGGCTCCCGCCGGCCATGGCTGTAAGTTACTTGGACCAGCTAGTAATTATTAATTACCACCTTCCAAAATCGAACCTTTTCTGATCATTAACGAATTCGCAATCATGCAGGCGAAGGGGCACCGAGTGATGACGATCTCGCCGCGCTACGACCAGTACAAGGATGCTTGGGACACAGGGGTGGAAGTCCAGGTGAAGGTCTTGGACACAGTGGAGACAGTTCGGTTCTTCCACTGCTACAAGCGAGGGGTGGATCGGGTTTTCGTCGACCATCCCCTGTTCCTAGCCAGGGTAACTCTGTCTTGTCACACTACCACCAAAATATTGGATTTCCCATGTCGTTAGAAGGAAATGTGATTTCTGGGTTAGGATAAGAATTGAATAAAGTTTAAATCTTTGTTTTCAGGTATGGGGGAAAACAGGTCCCCAGATCTATGGTCCTCGAGCCGGAATCGACTACGAAGACAACCAGCTTCGTTTCAGCTTGTTTTGCCAGGCAGCTCTGGAAGCGCCAAGGCTGTTGAATCTCGACGGCAACCAATCGTTTTCTGGACCATATGGTATTGGAAAACTGAGGGAAATTTTTTTACCATCTTCGTTTCTGAAACTATTTGTGATGAGTCTAATTCATTGGGGGGGAATTTGATGAATGGAATGTAGGTGAGGATGTGATCTTCATTGCTAACGATTGGCACACAGCTCTCCTCCCTTGCTACATGAAAACAATGTACCAACCCCAAGGCCAATACACTAATGCCAAGGTTCTGCAACTATTCTAAACACTGTTTTTTCTTAAATCTCTCTTTGATTAATCATGGCCCTGACCCTTTTTTTATGTTGTGTGAAAGGTTGCATTCTGCATTCACAACATTGCTTACCAAGGCAGATTCCCCTTCTCCGATTTCTCCATTCTCAATCTCCCCAGCCAGTTCAGGGGCTCCTTCGATTTCACTGATGGGTAAATCAAACCCAACTATGCAGGAACTTACAAATTACATTATACCCTTTTTGGTTTCTTTCTTACTGGCTGTGAATTTTGGTTTGGGTGGGTGAAATGCAGTTATGACAAGCCAGTGAGGGGAAGGAAGATCAACTGGATGAAGGCAGGGATCATCGAATCAGACACGGTGGTCACTGTAAGCCCTTACTACGCCGAAGAGCTGGCTTCCGGTGAAGACAAGGGGGTCGAGCTCGATAACATCATTCGGGCTAAGGGTATCATTGGCATTGTCAATGGAATGGATGTTCAGGAGTGGAACCCTTCTACTGACAAGTACATCGACTTCAAATACGATTCGACGACTGTAAGATCTTACAAGTCATTCTGTTACATGTTTCGTTTTCTGGGTTTCTTTCGTATGGTTCTATAGAGTTGGTGTGTTGTTTAGGTGATGGATGCAAAGCCATTGCTGAAGGAAGCACTGCAAGCTGAAGTAGGACTGCCAGTGGACAAGAACATCCCAGTGATTGGGTTCATTGGGAGGCTGGAAGAGCAGAAAGGTTCAGACATTCTTGTGGAAGCCATCCCACATTTCATTGATAAGAACAATGTCCAGATTATTATCCTCGTACGTAATCCGAATCAGTGTACTTGACAGTTGACATTGTACCAAGATTTGAAGCTACTCTGTTTCTTTCCACACACAATCATGCACTTATGATGTTTGGTTACAATTTGGTTTATGTGTATGTTAAAAAGGGAACTGGAAAGAAAGAGATGGAGCGACAGATTATGAAGCTTGAGGAATCGTATCCAGATAAGGCTCGCGGGATCGCCAAGTTCAGCCCTAGCCTAGCCCATTTGATCATAGCTGGTGCCGATTTCATGTTGATACCGAGTAGGTTCGAGCCCTGTGGTCTGATCCAGCTGCACGCTATGCGCTATGGCACGGTACATTTCTTGTTCCAAGTATATAACCTTTTCTAGCAATACATTTCTTCTTCTCTACGTTATGATACTTTGTTTTGTATGTAGGTGCCAATTGTTGCCTCCACAGGCGGCCTTGTTAACACGGTGAGAGACGGCCGCACCGGCTTTCACATGGGAGATTTCAGTGTTGAGGTAAGTGAAAGAGTTTACAAACTTCAAATCGGATCTTATACCATTTTTGCGTGTGCCAAACACACGAACTGACACACATGTGACGTCGTTGTAGTGCGATGAAGTTGATCCAATGGATGTGACTGCGGTAACTAGAGGCGTCGAGAAGGCAATTGCAACCTTTGGGACTCATGCACTGTCTGAAATGATCCAGAATTGTATGGCTCAAGATCTCTCCTGGAAGGTAATGCATTAAACATTCTAACTGAATTTGACATATAACCGGTGTGATGTCGGAAGAGGGTGACTGTGAACGATGGGATTTTCGGGGTGGATGCAGGGGCCAGCAAAGAAGTGGGAAGAACTATTGAGGAGCCTTGGCGTTGCTGGGAATACTGAGCCGGGATTCGACGGAGATGAGATTGCACCTCTTGCCAAGCACAATATCGCCATGCCATGATATGATCTTCTCAATAGAGTTAAATGTTAGTTCAGAGATCGCATAAAGTTTTTTCTGTTTGTTTTCTGCACTTAGAAGATGAGTATTTGGTATAGGTTCTTGTCAACCGCTAGTAGCCAAGACTTGTTAGGTAGCTAGATCTTGGTTAATATTCGTGTACTCTTGGAAAAGAATAGACTTCTTTTTCAAACAAAATATAAAAATAATGTTTTGCTCCTATATGTCCAATCAATTGCTATGTCTCAACACATTTTGGAGAGAACTAGTTAGATCTGGATTTGAGTGGCATATCATTCCTATCCACAACTCATCCATTGATTTTTCAACATCAATCGGTTTTGGATCCTTTTGGTGTTTTGATAAAGTTAGAGTAGAGTGTCTCTTACTCAAACGGAGAGGAGCGAGATCCCAAATGGTGTTTTTCTCAAGGGGGAGTGGGGTGTGGGATATGAAGTTTTGAATATAACTATACATTAGTGTTGTGAAGATTGAGAGGAAAATAATTCTCTTAGAAGCAATTTAAAGGTAGGAGATTCAGAAGCGTAATAATTTCACCTCAACCGTTCATAAATTTAGCTAAAGCGCTTATAACATTACCTAAAAAAACATTATAATCGACTCTGTGTATCTTCGTGTATCTAAGCAATTTCCTGTTGTTTATGACTATGGAATACATGAGTCGTGCTTGTGGATTGCGGGTCATTTGGATAAGTTATTTTGTCAATGTGATATTTGCACTCAATTGATGCAGTGTTTTAAATTTTGTCATTTCATGAGTTGTTTGAGGCTTTGAGTCCAGTGATATTAGAATTGTCTTGTTTGGCTTGGGGTATTTCATAACAAATTAAAACTAAATAATACCCACTTTAATAATAGTAAGGGGAAGGGAGTGCAAAGAGACCACATGACACTAAGGGGTCGTTTGGAAGTTGCAAATGTTAAATCGTTGCATTGTAATGAATCACCATAATATAAATGCATGTATTGATACAATGAATGCATTTTAACAATACATAGTTTGGTTGTTGAGATTCTACTTTATGCATTGATTTACATGAAGTTACTTTTATGGGGAAATGACACATTTACCATCAACTTTTAGAATAAGACAAAAACTATTGGGGATATAAATGAAAAGAAAAAGTTGACACACATCTAAAATCAACAATCTCAACTTTTACTTGAGATTGTATAATGCATCATTTTTTGTGATTGTTGGTGGGACCTACCTAAAACAAGGTATGCATTGTTTATCACTTTGGCACTTCCAAACATTGTATTGTGCACAATATGGGGTCGTTTGGATGTGGAAATTTGAAAACGTTGGAATTTGTCTGAATTTCTAAGTTTAACAAAACCAAGGAATTGACTTGTGGAAATTGAAAAAAATTCATGTTTGGATAGGGTTTAGTTTTGTGGGAATTGATGGTATGGAATTTGGAAAAAGAAGTAAGAAAACGTGGTAATGTCAAATTACTAGAGGGAGGTGTAGTATTCTCAATTACCATGAATGTGGTAATTGAAGCCAATTTCCATGGTCCAATTCCCATACCCTTTTTGCTCTCCCAAACGTGGATTTTTAACCCAATTACTGCATTATTTGGTAATTGGGTCCAATTACTGCATTATATTTCCACCTCCAAACGGCCCCTATATGTATTCAACAAACACAACTCTAACAATCACAACTTCCAAACGACACCTAATTTAAAAAAGACAGAGAAATGAGTTATTAAATAACCAGGAGAAGGGATAACATTTCAAAGTTATTTCAATGACCTCATTGTCAAAATTTCATAACTCAATTTTCATTGGTCAAACGAGTTATTTTTTGGGTAGAAAACCTTGGTGCATTACTCGTAGCTCCGCACAAGTGATAGAAAACCTTCCCCGTGTAAAAGCAATTGGTTCATGATTCATGAAGGTAATCAAATTCAATCTATCGACTGCCAGAACAAAAATACTATTACGCTCAAACAACCAAGTCACAAGTCAAATCGATACAACTGACGTCTCAACATAGCAAAGTCAAACAAGTATCCAGTAGCACACAGCGGCAGAAGTGCTTCAAATAAACGTCAGTGTCACACCATTGATGAGCAACTACAAACAATGATCCAACAAAACCCAACTCTAGTTCACACTTCATTACATAACCCCTAAGCAAGCAACGAATAAAGATAAACAATCAGTACCATAGTACTCGAAACTGCAGCTAGTCTCAATGATTCAAAGCTTTAAACCCCAACAGGTGGGTATAGCCATGAAATGCTCTCAGTTGGTCTCAATCACTCAGGCGCTCCCCGAACGAGCCTGCAGCAAGTAACAAGCAAATTGAATTTAGTCCATCAGACAGATAAATCCTTTGTCCATAAGCCTAAAGAGTAGAAAGTATGCTTATGAGATTACCTTTTCAGGGGAAGCTGACCTTGACCTTGATCTAGCCCTGCAAACACAAGTGAACAAGAAGATAAATGGTGCGCGAATAACCCATAATGATGAAAAAGAATACGCACAGACAACGGGGAAGGAGGCAGAATTTAATAAGCACCTTGGTGATTTAGCAGGTGATGCTGATCTAGATCTCGACATGGACCTTGAAACTGAGCGTCCCACAGATTTGCTGAGGACAAGAAAGCATATAGATGTCTTTATAAGTGGAAACAAGAAAAAAAGAATCAACCAAGAGTTCATAATAATTTAGAGGAATTAGCACCTTCTGTCCCTTCTTGGACTTCTGCTGCGGCTTCTGCTTCTGCTGCGGCTTCTTGATGGTGAGCTGTCATACCTCTTCACCTGAATGATTCGAAATGAGGAAGAAACTAAGTAAACCAAAAACGACCAGATGGTCTTGAAGCACAATTTTACATCACCGAAGGAGCAGTTGAGGTAGAATGCATTTTTACCCGAATGTAGGATCTGGCCCAAGGGTTTCTAAACTCGGTGTCATCAAGTTTCCGAATCTGAAAAGCAGAATAAAAAGGACGCAGTTAAGAAAACACATTTGACACAAGTGACTTGCAGAACAAGGAGGATGAGTTGGTGGTGCACTCATGGAGATTACTTACAGCATATTTCATGTCATCGCTGTTGGTATAGTCAACAAGGCCAAATGTCCCTGAACAAATAAGATATATCTTAGTAATTACATGGAATATTATGAACAAGCATTTGATGCTAAAGCCTAAACACATGCCAGTTGAGCTTGAAGGTTATAGAGAATATGGCATAAGCTAGGAACATAATGGGAGTGCTTGTTTTGGCTACGAAATAAGTAACTAAAAAAAGCTGGTTTAAGAGCTACAACAAACACACTTCTCCAATCTAACTATTTAAAAACAAGTGTAGTTGTGAAGGATGTAATATGGTAATTAACATATACCATCACCATCACGTGAAACTTCAGCAAAACAAACATCGCCAGCTTTCCGCATGTGATCCTGAAACACGAACGATAATTTAGGTATCCAGTGAACATACAACAAAACTAGTTTACAAGTCAATTAGAGAACACAAGCACTTCAAACCTTCAAATCTTGCCAAGAAGCAGAAGAAGGGAGGCCACGGACAATTACTAAAAAACAAAAAGAACAGTTGAATTAGTACAAAAGTAATTATACAACTTCTGTCTTGAATTAATACACTGTTCTCAAAACCAACCTCTAAATTCAGAATGCCGGGAGACACCATGCCGCCCCCCACCTCCACCACCACCACCGCGACCGCCACCACCATAGCCGTCACCACCACTACGCCTATCGCTTGAAGATGGTCCCCTTCCACCATGAGCAAGCTCAACCTGAAAGAGTCATATAACAGCTAAGATGTAGTCATATAGACTCCATGTAGATTAAGAAGAGTAATGTTAGGTAGTTATTATTACCCTCAAACGACAGCCATCAAAATTGTACCCATCACGTCCCCTGATCGCATCTTCAGCATCCCGAGAAGTTTCAAACTGGAAGCAAATATAAAGTGAGATTTAACATTATTCCGGAGTCATCACGAACAACACTTGGGAAGGATCTGAAAAGGAGAAGAGCCATAGGTCCAGAGTAAACCAGTTGGGGGCATTAAGATAAAGCAAGCCTCTTACCTCAACAAAACAATAACAAGGAGGGCGAGGAGGAATCTTCAGCTCTATATCCAGAATCCTGCCATACTGCATCAAAAAATACACGAGCATAAGATGATATCGCCCATGAAAAGGTTTATTTTTGCCAATAGTAACTTTCAGGTGTTATCAACAAACTACAGAAACACTGCATGGTTCCATAGAATTTATATAGGTGCATTAGGATAGCCTATTGAAGCTATAAAAACCCTCCTAGGGCAGCAATACTGGAAACAATGTGAAATACATGTGCTCGTTTGCTGGGTTTAGCAGCATATACACTACAATGGCGATCTTATTAAAAGATTACATGAGTAATACAACTTATTATCAATGACTAGAAAGGATAAAACAAAAACGAATGCAAAACCTACCTTGTAGAATATATCTTCAACTTCAGATTCTCTTATATCTGCGGGCAGGTTGCCACAATAGATTGTTCGAGAGAAACGGCCACTCATTCTGATACTGCAAAGCTTTCACTGCTGAGACCATGGGAATCACATAATCACAAAAAAGGGAATCAACATTTATAAAGTATCCTTCTTTGCTTCTATTCTGTTTATCATCAGTGTGTAATCTGATCAAACAAAAGCAAGAGAGAAACAAAACAAAACTATGAAGCAAACCAATTGAGCAATCCTCCAAGTGAGCCTTGCTCCATAAGCTCCATTGCTCAATTGCTCCAAGATGCTCCAAAGCAATAATAAGTTTGAAATTTAATTTGGTCTCCTCATTCTCCCATGAAATATTGCAGACGTATAATTCTTCAGAGCACAAGCAAGAACCTCCATAAAAAAAATAAGACCCATAACTCCACCCTGATTCTCCCACTCCCTCTCTATATCCCTATGTATGATTGCAAAGCTCAAATCCAAGCGCTTGCCATCTATCATCAACAAAGCATTTGTGTCATGATATTTGGTAATATTCACGTATATCAATGCATTTACCTCAACCAGCTCTCTTTACAATGCGAGGGGAAAAAAAACCTGGACAAAATATGCATAGTGTCCAGTTACCCTGCTTCAAACAATGAGAGCTTTTAAAAATGCATAACCAATGAACCTAACTAGGTAGCTAAGAAAATTTTAGCTCAATCTAGTGGTATGGCTTTATCTCCCGAAACGAATACTAGTTGGACACAATGTGCCACAAAGTTCCAAGAAAACGAAGCTTCAAAACAAAAAAAGAAAGCCTTCAAAGCTGCCCATGTTTCTGATAAGAAAATGCACCTAAAATTATCCTGCTACTCCTATTATCTGTGAAGAATGGCGCAAACCAGAAAGATCAACTGGACATTCTCACTCAAACTTCTCAAAACACACTCCTCGAGCTATGCAACAAAGACAAGGACAGTTCGCAAGTACGAGTCTTTTGACATTTTGTTTATAGGGTTCTTGAGACTTGTCTATGAGCTGGTAAAACTCGTCAATGATGAGCAGCCACCAATTCCCATTTTTGGCTCACTGTAGGCAAAAGAACGAGCAACCGCAATCTGCGAGCAATGACTTAATTAGCAGGAGTAGAAGCTTTTACCCGAGGCAGAAAGAAACCAAGACGATGACAAAACCGAAACTCTGATTCTGCTTCCGATCTAAGCTCGTAAAACCGGCCCGCTCGGAAATTCTGCAGCTTTCACCGGAAAAGAGGAGTAGAAATTGGCCAGAGAGATGGGGCGATGCTGTTGATTGCGACGAAAAGTAATGGACGGTGGCAGAATCACCACACAAAATGGCAAAGAAAGGATCAGACTTTGCACGCGCGACGACGACGGCTAGCTGTTGGAGACGGCGGTAGGCGGCGGCAATCAATGACTGAGGCGAGGACAGGCAGAAGCGGAGCTTGAGAAAGGGGGAGATTGATAATGGGATTAGGGTTCCTCTTTTCCGTCTCTCCAAAATACAAAAATTCTCAAAATGGGCCCTTCCAGTTGGGCCTGGTGTACGGTTTCGGGTGCATCTGTTTCCTCGGCATCGGGTCCGGCCTGATTAACCAACGGCTCTAGTTAATCGGTGAAGCATAAGTCCATAAACTACGAGTTCGTTTGCTTGTGAGATTTTGAAAAACGAAGGATCAGGGTAAAACCTTGGATTTTGAAATTGAAGGATTATGTTGGCCTTTACTATATTGGATTTGTGTTGGATTTTAGAAATAGCGCATTTACTTGTTGACTTTCAAAATGAATTTTACTATATTGAATTTATGGGTTATATGATGAGTTTACCTTCTTATCCTTCTTCTTATCTTTAATAAAGTATTTTTGTTTTTTTGTTAAGGACATTTTGATCATTTCATAATTAGTGGGGTCCACGGATTTTGGCACCTCTCAAAATCTTACCTAATGAGGTGGGATTTTATAATCTGTGAGGTCCACGACTTTTGAAGCAAACAAAATTCCCACATTTGTAGGCCCATGGATTTATGTCAATCTCATTTTTATCAACAAACATGGATTTGGACAATACTCCAACCCTTATGGGATTTTGGGCATAGTCCCTCATAAATATCCTATAAGCAAACGACCTTTACATACATATCAAAATCACTGATATAGTGATACTATCGTTTGTGCAAAGTAATAGTTGGAAATATGGTTTACTTAACCGTGAACACATTCTTCATTCTTGATGTCACGAAAAATCACGTTTGCCTTTAGATTTTTATTAAATTTAAAGTCCACGTTGCATTGGGCGAGTTTCATAACCCACACGCTCTATCAACTTCACACATTCTAGATTATAAACTCTCTTTAAACTTATCAAATACAACTCGACAAACTCACCCGGAATCCGAACAGTTGCGAGCCATTGAACCAAAAAATACTTCTTATGCTCCACAATGATAGAACTTGAAATATTAATTTAGTTCGCTTTTTAGTCTGGATCTATTTGCAACTTGATAGTAAAGCGATGTAATGAGTTACCAAATAGATTAAATTTGATAAATCACCAACATTATTACATTGGATAGTGGATCATGCAACATTGCTCCATGGTTTATTGCTCTCTAGTCTCTTCTAAGCTCTAACACCTATTATGCCTTGTGGTACAGGTAACACAAAGTTTGCTTATCTAAATATTTGGCAGATCGATATGGTACAGATTTGGCATCATATATTTTGTCCAGTTAGATATCTGATATGGCGATGGCGTAAACAGTAAAAAGATGAGAAAGGCGATAAGAGGAGAGCAATTAAGTTGTCAAGAAGATCCATAGTGCCCCTACACAAACGGACGATCCGAAGAACAACACAAACAAACCATCTCTCCCAATCCCTCTCCAACTACTCCCGAGCAACGAGTTCTTCTTCCTCGCTTTCCTTCTCTTTGCAAAGAATCAAATCGACTTTTGTGATTATTATTAATTTGAAAGCAGTGGGAAGAATGCTCGTCTGGGTAAAGCAAAGTTAAAAAAATTTACAAGAGAAAAAGTTGCTCTCTGTTTTAACCATTTCCATTTCTCTCTGTGTCAGCAATCAGAAAATTGTTTGCAGCTGGTTTTTGTTTTTTTTCCGGCTCTGTCCTTCCCTTCCCTTCCCTTCCCTTCAGCTCTCTTCATAAAGACGATCTCTCTCTCTCAACTCAAGAGGGTTTTTCGTTTGTCCTCCCCTCAGCGGTTCTGCTGTCGTGTTTTATCTTTGGGAATCGTTTAGATAAGGCAAAGGTAAGAGTAAGCTCCTCAATCTTCAACAACTCTTGAATTGCTTTGATCTATTGCGTCATTTCTTTCCTTCCTGGGTTCTTGAGGTTCTTCCATTTCTGATGTAAAAATCGTTCCTTTTGGTTGATCAATCACCAGGAGAGAGTCACTAAAGAAAGGGGGTTTCTTTTGATACCAGGGGAAAAAAGCCGGGTGCTTGGTGATCATGGCGATTGTTGCTGAGAATGCTGTGCCCAAAAACGGGGTCACCACTCAGAATTTCGACACTAGTGAAGTGTCATCGGACCCAAAGGAAACTAATCACCTCGAGAACACCAAACCCGTGGACGAATCTTTGGTGATCAACAGTAGAGACATGAATTCTCACTCTGAGAACGGTGATCGTGTGGTTGGTGACGACAAGTACGACCAGCCACCGCGCGTGAATGGGACAACGGCTGCTGCTGGTTCAAGGACGGGCGAGAACGGCGGGACCCAGATGCCGAATGGGTTCGATAGCAGTCAGCAACAGCCGTCGATGATGGCGGTGGCGCAGTCTGGTGGTGGGTTTGGAGGTGGTGGTGCCAATCAGATGAATTTTGCTAAAGCTAATGGTGCTAATGATATGAGTGAGCTAGTGGAGATGCTGTCCAACTTGAATCCCATGGCTCAAGAGTTTGTGCCTCCTTCTCTAGCTAACAATCATGGCTTTTGGGGGAACGGCTTTGGGTATGCTAACAATTTTGGAATGCTTAATCCTATTGGGAATGACAATGGAAATACTAAAAGGGTAATGTCCTAAATCTGCATATCTACATTCCTTTGCTTACTGTGGGATATGAATGGCCATTGTTTTGTCGAGAACCCAAAAAGGGATTGTGATTGCTGGTGTTGATTTGTTTACGTTTTCTTGTGTTGCAGAAGAACAATTTTAATCAGGGAAGGAGAAGAACCAACAGTAGGAGAAATATGGCTCAGCGTGAGGAGGTAATCAGGAGGACAGTATATGTGTCTGATATTGACCAACAGGTGAGCAATTTGCATTTGAGCTCTCTTTTGTTGTTTGATTTGTTGTTTGTATCTTGATTTTCCTTTTATTGTTTCTTTCTCTTTGTTTTTGTAGGTTACTGAAGAGCAGCTCGCGGGTCTATTTTTGCACTGTGGACAAGTAATACAAAATGTTTTGGCGTAATTATGACAATATCGATTTGCTAATAAATGTGCCTTTCAGTATGACTGATCTTGTGATGATGCTTATTTGGTGGAAAAAGGTTGTTGATTGTCGTATATGCGGTGATCCTAATTCTGTTCTTCGATTCGCTTTCATCGAATTTACTGATGAAGGTATTACCAAATAAAGCATGCTTTCCATATTGCTGCATTACACTTGTCCTTTAATTGCAACGAGAACTTTTAATGACACCGACCGGGTGCCTGCAGAAGGTGCAAGGATTGCTCTAAATTTGTCTGGGACTGTGCTTGGATATTACCCACTAAGAGTGCTGCCATCCAAAACTGCAATTGCACCTGTTAACCCGACATTTTTGCCAAGGGTGAGAGTGACTTGTTGACTTATGTGTGATTTTGGACTGCCTTTTAGATAACATTGAGATGTTAAGAGTGTGGAAAGAAGAGTTTCAATTGACCCTTGTTCATGTTCTAATTCTTCTCACACTGCTTTTATTTCAGTCTGAAGATGAACGTGAGATGTGTGCTAGGACAATATACTGTACGAATATAGATAAGAAGGTGATTCTGGAAGCTCTGTTCAGGTTTTTTAGTTCCTTAGAGGATTGTGGGAACATTCTCTCCTCATGATATTTTTCTTTTCCTTCAAATGCAGATATCTCAAGCAGATGTTAGACTTTTCTTTGAATCTTTTTGTGGAGAGGTTTGTATTAGAGCATATAACAATTTTGCAAAGTTATCTTTCTTTAAGTATCTCGATGGTGCCTTATTTGTTACTTTTTCCCAACAGGTTCAGTGCCTGAGGCTCCTCGGAGACTATCATCATTCAACTCGTATTGCTTTTGTCGAGTTTGCAATGGTAAATACTAATAAGAGTATGATTCTTGTGTTTTCCTTTCATGTAATAATATGCCTTTTTTATGTGGGTACTTTAGTTCAGTAGTCTGTTGTTCTTGAGACATCTGTTATTTGCAATCATATGCTTCCTTCCGCTGTTGGACGCGGTATTAAAATAAACTGGTGTCAACATCTTTAGCACTTGCATTGCCAGAATATCTTTTTGTTGGCTTGTAAATACTCTTATTATTTATGGGCCTTATAGTTAGCAAGGTATACTCTTTAACATTATAACCATGAATTGTAGGTTGATACTTAGCCGGGATTTCATGTGCATCATCTATGGCACTTACGCTTCTGGTTTCCTGCCATGTCTACTTTAGAAAGTTAAAAGAGATTAGTTCCACACTACAGTTATGTTCTTGAGTCAAACAGTTTGGGCTGGTAGAGGTGTTTGGTTGGATTAGTTGTGATTTGTGTTACTGCCTTAAGTAACTTGAATAAGGACTGTATTATGTTGGAAACTGGGTTGCCAGATGGTTCCAACTTCCAGGAATTGTTGCCATCTCTATTGGCCATAAAAGAAGCTTCAAAATGTTTCATGTTAATAGTTACCTATAAGGTGTGTCAGTAGCACCTTGTCTTCAGGTCTAATTGAATGAACTCACTTTTTAGGCTCCTCTCATTTGCATTTAAGCTGGAACATTTTCTGATGCATGTCCCAATTTTTGGTGCCCTTTCACTCATGTAAACCGTTGGGTTGTATCCCGTTCTGTAATCTCGAAAGTGTATAAACTCCAGTTCTAGGAAGCTACAAATACAATGCCAATGCTCTAGGAATGAGCATGTTGTAGCCGGAGTTATTTTAGTTTTTATTAGCTGTCTTATACGACATATAGAAGGTAGAGAAATTGTACAGGGTAGAAGTTTGATGCATTGGTCTTTGTTTCTTCTTACTATTTAGGTGATAAGTCTGAAACTTGTTCCTGCTGATTATTAATTGGTTTGTTGATTGATACGTACAGCATCATGAACCATGAAACCTTAGGATGCTGTGGTAGGCATTGGGTAATCATTACTTGTCCTTATAGTACAGGTTATAAAATGTGGGGCTGGTGCTATGTTCTAATTAGATAGTGTTCGATTATATGTTCTTGCCACTTATTGGAAACTAATTTAAGGCAAACTAGCTGCTAAGAAGCCGATTTAGCTCGGGTAATACAGTTCAAGACACATGCAAATGTGAGGGAGAAAATGACTACTGGAAGATTTGTTTCTTGTGTATTGATTGTCAAGCTAACAAGGACTAGATAAGTTCCTTCATTTTGAGCATCCCTATTAGCGATTTCTTGTTACAAGACCGTTACTCTATGGGAGTTGACAAACTTTCACTGTAAAGCTGTTACATTAATGCTCCAAAACTGAAGATTTGAACTTCCAGTTCACCTGACAGCCAAGTGCTTTAAAGTTTTGGCTGATACTTAAAAGCTTCTTAGTTTTTTTCTTTTTCTCAAGTTATCTATATATAAAAAATACAGGACATGTCTTCTGGTCTGATCATTCTCAAGCCGGTTGACTTCTATGTTAATGCATTTCTAGCTTGCTGAATGATATGAGATTCAGCAGACTTAGATATTTCCTATAACCGTTAAAACTCTTGTTGTAGAGTATAGCGAAATGGTTACTTAGCATGACTTCGATGTGTGATGACAAAAGGATAGTGAAATTGTATTCTGGATGCCACATAAAGATTCGATTTTGTTTATGTTAGCTTATGATCAGTTTGTGAATTGTGCTTCAGGGAACTCACTGCCTTTTGAATGAACTATATGGCCCCCATTTAATGACCTACTTTTCCTCCGCGTTGTGCAGGCTGAGAGTGCAATCACTGCTCTGAACTGTAGTGGCGTTGTTCTGGGGTCTTTGCCCATCAGGTAGCATTGCCTCAGTTATCATCTTTCGATAACAAATTTTTGTCGTTAGTTATCTTTCCCTTTCCATTTTATCTTGGAACTTGATTTTGGCAAATCACTTCCTTGGGGTGCAGGGTAAGCCCATCAAAGACACCAGTGCGCCCTCGTGCTCCTAAACCATTGATGCGCTGATGCTGGACGAGAATGAACCATCCCTCTGTGTGATGCAATGCCCTCTGCGAACTGATCGAGTTGCTCATAGAAGTATTTATAGATATCCTTACATAATATATATAGAAAGCTGAAAACAGAACTTGGTTCATTTTGCTCTTCCTTTTGTTGCTGCGGGTTGCATGCATCTCATTCAAGCTGGTAACTTTGTGTTGGCGGGAGATCAATTGTTTATTGTGGGATGTTGAGATGTTGTGGTCAAGTCATAGATAGTGGAGCTCTGGATTGGATTTTGAGGATGTGAATAGCTTTCGTCTTCCTTTCTTTAATGGTTTGAGGAAGGTTCAACCTTGAAAGTAGTCTTTGATTAGATGTCATTGTCAAATAATGAACAGTAGTTTGGCGGTTTATTTATTACGCTGCAAATTAGGCGCTTTAATTGTGGTCTCTGGAACAGTTGACAGACAGTCACTTAGGTGCTAATGAAAGCGACAGAATATTAAATTCGCGAAAAGAAACTATTAGAATACAAGTGGAGAAAGCACGTTGGCAGTGAGGAAGATGGAGCTTTCTGTTGTTCTGTTCATATGAGATTTGCTTGTGTTGCCCTGCTGAACGGAGTAGGAAGATAGGTATTAGGAGCCCTTCTGGACAGAGAATCGCTTCATAGTTCATACGGATACAGCAATATCAGTTATGTTAATCTAGTGGGCTGATCACACATGCTTGCAACCATCTACGTAGCGGGTTAGACGTAAAATTTGTAGCATTTACCATGTGTTATATGCTTCTCAAATGCTTTACCCTGTTGGCATACGTAGAACTCCTTCAAGGATTGCTGCCCCCAATTCTCCAATTGGAAGGTTGTCGATTAAGCTTCATTAAACCAAAGTTATTCAACATCCTCAAAAACCCATCAACTAATGACCCAAGCATCCAGACACCCATAAACAATCCATTCCCCAACACCTCTCGCTGCACCGAAAGATAGCAGCTTGCAGTGCAGCAGACAAAATGAAGGATGATTGAGAAAGCAAGTACCCTTTAAGACTGTTTCAGCATCTATGTACTACGAAATATAAATACTTCTAGCAATGAGTTGGCCGGGCTTTGCAGGAGCATTTGAGCTTTGCATACTGGAGGATGATTCTCTCAGGCAAAAGGTGGTCAAGGCATGCGAGCACGAACTGGTGTCTTTGATGGGCTAACCCTGCAACAGTTGATGCAGAACTTGATTTGTCAGGAGAATGTGGTGAAAGAAACTTACAAGGTCAAATAAATATAAGCGATGATAAATAACTTGGGCGGGGGGAGATAAACGGGAATGAAATGACCAGCAGCCAACACTACCTTATGGGCAAGGTTCCCAGAAATACACCACTGCAGTTGAGCGCAGCGATCGCACTCTCAGCCTGCAGTATCAGAAAGCTGATTAAATCAAATTGCAAGGCGACAAATTCTATTCATTAGCAGGATAATGGAGAAAGAGAGCTCACGCCAACAAAAATACACTCAACTTTACTGTGTGCTAGCAAGTCTCATATCATTCAGTTGACAAACAGTTATACTAAAGATTCAAATAGCTTTGTTTATTAGATCAAGGTTTATAAGTCAGGTAACGTTCATTTCCAGGAAGTGCCCTTCCTCATACTTTCTCACTGTAGCTATCCTACTTCAACAAGGAAGACACATTCTTCATCAAAATGAACATAGAAGTTTAATTCCTTCAGGCTGTAGGCAACAGAAAACTCAAGTTGCAACATGACCGCAAACAAGTTTAGAAGTCTACAATAGTTACGAAGTTGTAATTTTCAAAAGGTACAGATAGCTACGACCTCAACTATGAAAGCTTACGTTTCGAGTTATTCTGGTTTTAAGTCATCATAAACAGCTATTGCAGTGACAAAGTTTGTCAATTCTCCAACAATTTGATAAAGATGTCCAGGACATGTTAGAAACTTATCTACTTATAGTTCAGAGACCAGCCAGTAGCTCAAATCAGATGGTTTCTGAAGGTAAAGACACAACAGATGCAAAGATTAACATGCATTTCAATGTACAGAATCCTGTGTTGAATTCTCTATTATGATTGCAATTGGATTCGCTTGAACTCCACAAGACAATCAGTTTCTTCTACCAACATGTGTGCATTAATAATAGGTTATGTAATATCTGGCCACACAGAGAGCCAGCGCCCAGTCTAATCTTAACTTAGCACCACCTATGCTTTTCATAACCTATAACCCCTCTAGGCCAATTTCCTACCATCACTAGCAATAATTGCTTGAGTATCTTATAACCATCAAAAGAACCAACCTTGGCAGCAAAAGACTTTGCAGGAGACACCAAAGACTCCACTAATGCCCACTACAACATGCTCGTCCTTGCTGATCCCTTCATAATCACCCCAGTTTTCTAGAACCGTCAAGCTATTGGTTTCTATCAATTTGGGGCAGATGTCACTAACTGATTCGCTTATGAGTTAAAGGTTGAACAAGAAAAGTTGTGAGTTACATTAGATATTCTAATTGCCCAAATGAAGTTCAAGTCTATCAAAGAAAAGGCAGAACAGCTAAAGAGAACCTGGGTAGAGGGGCATTGTTAGAACATCATATGGGCACTATAGCTGACATGAAAATGAAAACTGTCTCGGCGGCCAATAGAAATAGCATCATTGCCTTGATACCTGACAGGTTACAAATCCCCAATGCTTCTATTCTATGCCATGGTAGGTATTCATGTTGATACGGACAGTTATATAAATCATGACTCTACACTCTACCCCAAATATAAGAAAAAGTATGCACAGTCCTATATCTTCATCTCCAAACATTAATTATTTACAAGTGACAAATGGTAGCATTCTCAGGAACAAAATGTTGGAAAGTGACCGAACGGGTGGCATTCCAAGAAGCAGTATGAATTCTAAGTATACAAACGAACATATACGTGTGTCACACATCTTAAATGCCAAATATAAGAAACATAAGAAAAGAACTTTTTGCCATTGAAGGGTAGTTACCACTGCAAATTCCACAAAAGCAATACGGGTTGAGTGACGATAGTCTCCAAGAAGCCTCAAGCGCCGAACCTGAATGACAAAAAAAAAAAACTTTCACAGATATAGTACAGCCCAGAATACAAAGTGTTATGACGTCAAATTGTGAAATCCAAATACAAACCTCTCCACAAAAGGACTCAAAGAATAATCTCACATCTCCTAGGTTAACCTGCAGTTGAGGAAAGCAGAAAATCATGACACAATGTTCTAATAGCCTTTTAAGGAATTTAAAACTGGCAGGGCTTCCCATATTACCTTCTTGTCTATATTTGTACAGTACACAGTCCTAGCACACATCTCACGTTCATCTTCAGACTGAGAACCATAGCAACCATTAGGTGGACTAAAAACTGAACTCAATTCAAGACCATGGGAGCACAAAATCACAACTTTCAATAAGTAGAAATAGACTGTGCCAACAGTCTCACCCTGGGCAAAAATGTTGGGTTAACAGGTGCAATCGCAGTTTTGGAAGGGAGCACTTTTAGTGGGTAATATCCAAGCACAGTCCCAGACAAACTCAAAGCAGCAATTGCACCTTCTGCAAGGCACCGACTAGCGTGATTAAAGATGCCGGACGTGGGAATTAGAGCAATAACCAAACAACAGATGGTTTCAGTCAATACCTTCATCAGTAAATTCAATGAACGCAAAGCGAAGAACAGACTTAGGATCACCACATATACGACAATCAACAACCTTTTGCACCAGATCAAGTATCAGCAAATCAGTCACATTACAAATCCAAAACCAGGATTTAATATTGTCATCAGCAAGCAAAATAGACATAAAACCTGTCCGCAATGAATAAACAGACCCGCAAGCTGCTCTTCAGTAACCTGAAATCCAAGATACAAGGTTCAATTAAACTGAACATTTCACTGGGAACTGCGCAAAAGCAGAGCCCATATGGAGAATCGTTCGCTTGCCTGTTGGTCAATGTCAGCCACATAAACAGTCCTCTTAATTACATCTTCCCGCTGAGCCATATTCCTCCTACTGTTGGTTCTTCTCCTTCCTTGGTTAAAATTAGGCTTACCCTGGAACACCAGCCACGGAAAGTAAACCAATCAGCATAAACCACAATCCATTTTACTCGAATCAAGAATCGCTTTTCCACCTATGGATTCCCATCTCAGCCAATGTTAACGTTCAGAACACCAAAATACCAAATGAAGAAGCAAGAATGAAACTTCAGGACATACCCTTTTCTCAGAATTCCCATTGTCATTAAAGAAATTACCAAACATCCCTAAATCGCGAGTATATCCGATCCGATTAACACCGTGGTTGTTGCCGGCGAGAGAAGGAGGTACAAACTCTTGCGCCATGGGATTCAATTTGGACAACATCTCGACCAAGTTGTTCATGTCTTTCACAAAGCCACTTGCTTTATCGAATGACATCTGATGGGGTCGATCTCCGGGAACCTCACCGGACTTGGCCACCTCCGCCGCCGCCATCGGCGGCTGCTGATTGCGATCGGACTCAACCGGCATCTGGGTCCCATCGCTTACGCCATCAGTCTCATTCGTGGGCTCTGTCTGGTGGTGGTGGTGGTCGCACTTCCCGTCGGCCGCCCCACCATCGATGTGGTGAGACTGAAACTTTGAGTCGCTGCCGTCGATCACCAAAGATTCGCTCATGGGTTTTTGTGTGTCTCTCGCCACAGTGAAGTCCGCAGTCGGGCTAAACGCCGATGATAACTAATATAACTACAGACAGTTTTGTATTGGATCAATAAAAAAAATAGGCTAAAAATGGTGTCGATGAGAGTTGAGAGCACTACATCTCGTTGTCTCTTTCGCGACCGAGAATAATAAATTTTAATTTTTATGTAGGTTGGAGGTCAGATTGGGTTTTGGAAACCGAAATCAGAGTTTGGAGTAATCGAGCAATTTGTGAGAACGAGATTTGTGATTTTTTGGTTTTGGGTTAATTGAAATTTCAGCTTGATATGGGTTAGTGAAAGTAAACATGTGTGAAAGTGATGTAAACGTTTTGGGTAAGAAAAAGAGAGGTATTGATTAGGTACCAAACCACGAGAAATTTAAGTATTGAATTCAACATTACCAACATCACAAAAATTATGTAAATTTCAGCAGTTTTGATGGTTTTTATAAATTTTTGTTTAATTTGTTTTCTCGTTGGTTAATCAAAATCGCTACAAAAAGACAATAATCAATCAACAAAGTTTGTATAACTAGTACCAAGGCAAACATCCGCCATTTACCAAAGCAACTGACATTGGACACTGATGCAAGTAGATAACGGAGTTTCAAAGCCATTGTGTACATACCAAAATACTATGATAATCCAAACAACTACTGATAGATTCGTTTTGAGAAAATAAGGGGAAACAAAACAAGTAGAGCGACACCAAGGTAGTTTGTGTTTGGAGCCTACAAAGTTGTCCAATGCACTATCAATTTGTGCACTTTATCGATATAAAGGTAGAAGGTAGTCGTACTCATAGGAGAATTAAGTACATAGATAATTAGATACTAATGCAACAGTTAGATGAAAAGGTCAAACAAATATGTAATTTTATAATTTTAATACCCTAAAACGTGCAAGGAAAAATATCCATCGGTGGCCCATCTTCTTGAAGTAGTTGAGAGAGCATCGAGCTCCAGATTCTCAAATACATCTAAATAGTCAATAATAATGTAACAAGAACGAAAGATTGATCATAGCATTTGAAGTCACAACTCAACATAAAAAAACTTAAAACCAATATCTCGATAGGCTAATTGAGAATATACTATGACCTACTCATTAAAATATCAATCATATCAAATATATATAACAATTGTAATGACACTTCTCACACTTCTTTGTTTGTGATTTCTAAGTATTCTTGTTTCATCAATCAAAAAACCTTTTGATTAGATGTCACTACCTACCAACTCTGTCACACTGAAAACAATAGATAAGAAAACAAATTTTACTGTTCCCTTGTTGAAAATTAAAAATTAAACACGTGTTATCATTGGTCAAATAATCCACTCCACAGATGTTTCTTTTATAAACAGCTTCACTACGAGGTCGAAATGTTCTTTTTTATTTATTTTAAGGAATGGATAAATTTGACTTGTCTCTGGCACGGTTCTCCAGACAAAAAAATATTATTGTTTACATATTAATAAAATTATTTAACAGAAATCCATAGAAACTTAACAGAAAGTTATCAGTTATTTGATTATTTCATCCACTTTATACATTTTAAAAAAAAAAAAATATTAAATCGAAAGGTTCCAAAGTGGAAATGGAAAAAGAAACAGAAAAGGGAACAAAGTGAGGAATAAATAAGGGAGTTGTCAAAAGGCTGTAGCATAGCCCATCTCACAAACGGACGATCCGAAGAACACTAATAACACAGAAAAGAAAAATCCCCCACTTTCATTTCTTTCTTTCTCCGTGCAAAGAATCAATCTTTTCTTTCGTTTCCCTGCTTAAAGTCGATTTCTTTTTCTCTAATGATGGGAAGGGAAAACTCTTAGAGAGCAATCCGTTTGTCATCAATCAGAAAGTTGTTAGCAGCTGCAGCTGTTGGTGTTTGTTTTTGCTTTTTCTTTGCATCTATATCTCTCTCTCTTTGATAAAGACGACTCCTTTAGTGGGGGGTTTTGTTTTGGGTCGCTCAAATCGTTTCTCTGTTCGGGGGAACCCATTTTTGATAAGGCAGGCAGGTACGAGTGAGCTGCTTTATTTCAACAACTCTCTGCATTTGTTTTGGTTTTATTACATCGCTTTTTTTTTTTTTTTGGCTTCTGGGTAGTAAGAGATTTCCATTTCCGTGTGTGGTGTGTTGATCAACAGGAGAAAGGCGATCTTTTCTTTTGATTAGAGGGGAATTTGAGCGCTTTAAGCCATGGCGGTGGCTGATAATGCTGGGGTCAAAGAAGGGGTGGTGACGAGTCAGAATTTTGACGCTACTCTGGCGTCATCGGAGGCAAACGGTGGATCGAACAGTGTGGAGAGCACAAAACCCATGAACGAATCTTTGGTTGGGGGTTCGAATTCTCAGTCTCAGACCGATGATCGGGGCGCGATCGGGGGGAAGTGCGACCAAGAAGAGCGTGCGGATGAGATGGCGGCGGCGGCGGCGGCGGCTGGTTTAACCACCGGGGAGAATGGTGGGGCCCAGATGGGGAATGGGTTTGATGGGAATCAGCAGCGGCCGCCGGCGTCGATGGACCAGTCTAGTGGTGGGTATGGAGGAGGTGGTGGGAATCAGATGGATTTTGGGAACTCTAATGGGGCTAAGGAGATGAGGGAGTTGGTGGAGATGTTGTCCAAGCTGAATCCCATGGCTCAGGAGTTTGTACCTCCTTCTCTTGTTAACAATCAAGGCAACATTTTTGGCAACGGTGGATTCAAGCATCCGAACAATTTTGGAATGCTTAATCCCAATGGGAATCCTAATGGAATGATCAAAAGGGTTTGTGTGCTAAAGCTTCTGTCTTTTTTGCTGTTTTTGTGTTGTGGTTGGGTGGCAGATATTTGGGGGGAGGGAGCTCTATAAGATCAGAACAATCATCATTTGGTCTAGAACCAAAATGGGTCATGTTGTCTGCAGTTTGATTTAGATGCCATTGTTCCTTGTGTTTCCAGAAGAACAATTTTAACCAGGGAAGGAGAAGAACCAATGGTGGCAGGAGGAGTATGGCTCAGAGGGAAGAAGTAATTAGGAGGACTGTATATGTTTCTGACATCGACCAGCAGGTCAGCAACTTGCATTTGGGTTTTGGTTCTGCAGCATCTGAGTGAAACATTGCTTTCTGGTTTATTAACTGTGTCTTCATTTCTGTTTGATTGTAGGTTACCGAGGAGCAGCTGGCAGGTCTATTTCTGCATTGTGGACAAGTAAATATTTCTTCTTTGGGCTTGAATATGACAATAATGATTTCCTTATGATGGTTTTCAATGTAAACTGATTTGGTGATTACTTCTTTGGTGGAAAAAAGGTTGTTGATTGTCGTATATGTGGTGATCCTAATTCAGTTCTTCGCTTTGCGTTCATTGAATTTACTGATGAAGGTACTGTCAATAGCCATGGTTGCCTTATTGCTATGAAATCCACGTCCTGAAATTTTATTAACTTTTACTGACTGGATGAGTGCAGAAGGTGCAAGGGCTGCTATAACTTTGTCTGGGACTGTGCTTGGATATTATCCACTAAGAGTGCTGCCTTCTAAAACTGCGATTGCACCTGTGAACCCAACATTTTTGCCAAGGGTAAGAGATGAGAATGTTTAATTGTTGCTATGAGATCTAATTGTCATGAACTTCATTAATGTTTCTAGTTCTTCTAATGCTGCTGTGGTTTTCAGTCTGAAGATGAACGAGAGATGTGTGCTAGAACAGTGTACTGTACCAATATAGATAAGAAGGTATATTGGAAGTTACATTCCAGTTTTATGTTCCGTCTTGCTATCTTAAACATTTTCCCCTTACCAACCTTGTGTCTCCTTCAAAATGCAGATTAGCCCAGGGGATGTGAGACTTTTCTTTGAACATTTCTGTGGAGAGGTTTGTACTGGACCATGTGACAGTTTTCAAAATTATCTTTCTTGTACGCTTAGCAGCACCTTATTTGTAACTTCTCTCCCTCTCTCTTTTTTCCCCCCGCAGGTTCAGTGTTTGAGGCTTCTTGGAGACTATCATCATTCAACCCGTATCGCTTTTGTTGAGTTTGCAATGGTAACACTGCTTTTTACATATCGATGTCGTCATTTAATAATATAACAACACATGTCTAGTGGATATGTCAATTTGGTAATACTGCTTCAATACTTAGGTGTTTTGGATTTGTTATGTTTCTGGAGTAGACCAAATTCTTTTCGTTCCTGTTTTGTTGTGTTTTGGTGACTGTCCATCTGGTGATATATACAACCTTTTGAGTCTTGTGCTCTGTTTATAGTTGGAGTTTTTTGAAATTTACTTACTCTATGTTGCCAAGGTACTGAAATAAACTGGCTTTAGTATCTTTGTTGCTTTAAGAATCTTAATTTTGGGGTGTGAGTACACTTGCTTGTATACACTCAAGTTTTCAGGGGCGTAACTGTGTTTATTCAGATGCTTAGGGCTAAGAAACTAGGATGCTTGTGTTCTGTCAAGCAAGGATAGCTTGTTACTCCAGATGTATTAGACTATCATATAACCTTTGGAGCAGCAGGGTCTGTATATTATGTAGATAACAAAACTGTGATGTTTCTTATCCTTAATTGTTTAGGTGACTGTTTCATTTTACTTCAGAGATAAGAACTGAATCTTCTGTCTATTCCATATTAATCCTATGAAATCATTTGATTTACAATAAATGCCTCTGTGTCATTGCACTTGCAAAAGAGGGCCATTGGTTTTGAGTATTTTGTGTGTTAGAGGAAAACAAAGCCAAGAATGATGCTCACTTGGTATTACCTTGTCTTGGTAGAAACAAATCCTATGAAATTTGTAGTACAGCTGTAGCCTTCCACAATGACATAATACTTGTCGCCTAATATACTTACAATACACAATAAAGCCTAGCTGTGGATCATTTTGCCGAAAGCTATGGTTTTTATTGCTAACAGTGAGTTCTTGCTACATTATTTGCGGGACGTCTGCACTATCCTTTGATTATGTGATGCTTTCATCTGTCGTGGCCAAATGATAATACCATTGTTGTCCAGAGACCAACACTAACATTTAATCGTCTTTCTGTTACCTTAGGATTGCTTTTGTCCGTTTTGGCTACACTGATCTGCTGAATAGACTTCATTCGTCTGTAGTTTTTTATCCGAGTATCCTTATTCTCGTGTCTTGCAGGCTGAGAGCGCAATCGCTGCTCTGAACTGCAGTGGTGCCATTCTGGGAACCTTGCCCATAAGGTAGTGTGTTGGCAGCCCTTCGCCAGGCTCTGCGAACTATAAGATCGCTTTTGGTGTTATGTTTGACATTGGTTCTCAATTCGATGATTGCAATAATGCAGGGTAAGCCCATCAAAGACGCCAGTTCGCCCTCGCTATCCCAGACCACCTACGCACTGAAGAGGATTGATTTGATCGTCGGAAGTCAGAAGTCGATGCAAGCGAGCTCGTGATGGAGCTGGTGATCCATAGAAATTACCTATCTGTTTAAATTATAGGAGCCGAGAACACATTTCTGTTTCTTTTATCCCTCCTTCCTTAAAATCTTTGTTCTTTATTGTGTCAGTTGGTATCTCAGACTAGATTGGTACACCCTTCCTCGAACAACCCATAAGGGTTGCGGGAATTAATGGCTTATTATGGTTGTTGAGATGCTGCTATATGTCAATAGAGTTGGATGGGGATTTTGAGGATGTGAGTGTCTTCTCTTCTTTTCTCTCTTTAATGATTCAAAGGAGTGTGTGAAGCATGCCTTTCATGGAGGCATTGGACCTTCAACTTTGACCTTATTACTCAGGTGAGTATAGCATGCCATGTCAACTATCTGCGCTTATCCGATATATGGCTCGGAGATACGATAACACGATCATGTGGTACATACTACGTCGTATCTTTTCTTCATTCAATGATATCTACCTTACAAGACCATGAAGAGTTGTTCTTGTCACATTAGGCAACTCTATACAAGACCATGAAGAGTTGTTCTTGTCACATTAGGGGAAATTGTACCAAAGAATGCTGGTTTTCAGAATGACTTTATCGATGGAGCTGGAGAGATAGTTTTTGATCTTCAAATCCTTCAGTCTTGACTCTTCCAGATGCTTTGATCGAGTCTTCAGTACTCCATTTTCTTACGGTTCATTGAAGCCTTAATTAACCACTCCCCGGTACTCAGTTTCATCTCCATCAATAGGCTCGTGTGATCATAATCACCATAGAATTTTGGAATGCACATGTATGTGCAAAACTGCTATTGTCACTCATTTCCCACTCTTTTCAATCAACAATTCTCCTTATAATCTACAGTTTTACTTTCACTCATCACCACCTTAATCACCAATGCTGCAAACTTGGTTGTAAAGAAACCAATTCGACCGAACCGAACCAATGCCCACCCCTAACCGACGACGGGACCTTCTTTCTCTGTTCTTCTTGCAACTCAAAAACAAGGAAGAATATCTACTGCCGCCGTCCGTGTGCATCTCCAACATTCTTGTGTATGTTTGTTTATTCGCTAATTTGTTTGTGGCCTCCTAGGTAGCCATATTCTTAGGGTTCATCCCCAAACACGAAGCTCGTAGCAAGCAAGAACATTTTGGCTGTATATGAGTAGCAAAAGCATCAACATATCTCTGCAGAAAGGAAGAAGCAAAAAAAAAAAAAAAAGGGTTTCCTCGATCGGGCATGATGTGCCGTCTGAATGGTTGCTGTTTCATAAATAGACGCCCATGTACTCCAAAAGCTGCAGGGTGTTCAGTTCATCATTGACGACCAATCCCATAAACACGTAGCAAAAAGCGAGAAGAGCGATGAATCCGAAGATCTGGGGTTGCGGTTTGCTTGTTGGATTTGAAAAGAGAAAGTTTTGAGTTCTAAAAACCTTTGGATTTATGACGAAATTTGTTGCATTATACATCTGGAAGAGCGCGCGCATTGTTTGTTTAGTTAACTTTCATCATGGATTTATATACGATGGATTTGTCTCACAAATTTCCCTTTCATGATCAAATCCCAAATGAAATGTGGCGGGATTTGCAAATCCGCGGGGTCGAAAGATTTGTTGGATCTTAAAAAAAAAGAAGGTCCAAATCCGTGAACCCCACGTATGGATTTGTGTCCCTTAACAAGCAATATAATGCATTATTTGTGTCAAGTCCTTGATGCTTGGAATTTAAATGCGTCAAATCCATCACTCAAATCCCACAAACAAACGAGTCTCAAATAAGGACGAGAAAATAACCAAGTTGTATATAAGATGAGCATCACTCTTCGTACTAGTACATATATATACCATAGAAATTAAGATGAGAATAACAGCCATGGCGATCCCCAGTAGTACCGTCGTCGTTCCTAAGCTGGCCGTCTTGCTGCTGCTGATCATCATCAGTGGGATCATGGCTTCAGCTGTTACCGCCTCCAACGGCGGTACAGTCATGACGATCAGGTATAATAATATATGTATCTGTTAGTGTGTGGTATATGATCCACGATTGAACATCTCCTTTCGTTTGAGGGGACATGTTAGTGTGTGGTATATGATTCACGATTGAACCTCTCCCAACAACTCGAGTTATTGGGATCATCTGGTTCTTGACATCAATGCAGCAACCACAAGAAGTTGGACTCCTCCCAGCCGCGGTCTCGAAGAAGGAGTGGAGTCATGATGATGCCTCAAGCATCCAACAACAACAATGTTACGGCGGCTTCGGTAAACGAATATTGCAATCCTTTCTGCAACGACACTGCGTGTAAAAACTATTACTCGTGGTTGTGTGATGATCAGCCTAGCAGTTGCTACCAGACTTGCGACTGTGCAAGCTATAGCTGTTACTGCTTCTGCCCTGAGTAGCAAAATATATATGTTTTACTCAACTGAGTTGGGCACTTGGGCTCGATCGACCTCAGGCTTGGCCAAGTCGTTTAGCTGGTTTGTGATCAATATATTTGAGTCTGTTGGGTTTGAGATTGATAGTGGGAGTCGAGATTGCAGGGTTTGAGACTTGAGATCTCGAGTATGTACTTGGTGTTTTTCTGTGTTCCCAATTGAATAAATTTTGTCAGGTTTGCATCAGTTGGGTTCTACATTGTTGATTGAGACCCTCCTTACATGCAAACTGCTATGACAAAGTTATGGTTTTTTTTTTTTGGGGAGCAAAAATTCTGCAATAGTGAGTGGTTTTTTTTTTGTCGGACCGAAATTCGGAAATACTGCTGCAGTTGGTGTGAATTGTTTCTTTAATTGGTGAGTGAAATAGAGAGGAGTACTCAATTCCATCAATCATGCAGCAACCAGCAGAAGTTGGAGTACTCCTCCCAGCAGGACCGGCCTAGAGGGTGTGCCGGTCCGCCCTCCGGCACAGGGCCTCCAAATATTAGGGGCCTCTACTTAAATTCGTTAGTTATCGATCGTATATTGTAGGTTGTATTTTTGTGATTGATTGATTATGAGTATAATGGTGAGTTTAATAGATAATCATAGCTATAATAACAATTAAAAATTATCTCATGAAGACTACAAAAATCAGAGAGATAATAGATAATTTTATTTTAAGATATTACATGTTGAATAATGGTAATATAATCATTTTAATTTTATTATAGTTAAAACTCAATTTGAATCACGTCTCGATTTTGGAACAGGACCTGCACAATCTATTAGACAGCTCCGCACCCACCTCTCGATTAATTTAGACTATTTTCATTTCTCCATTCAATTTTTGCGCTATATCTATTTTCTCTTCCATCCAGATTTACTTTCCTCTCTACTAGAGCTGGGAATTTGGTATTGATTTCTTGGTCAAACTAGAAAAGTGATCATTTATTCCTTTCGTAATCATTTTCCGAGCTTATATTTTTTTTATAATTATTTTTATTTTTAATAAATTTATGGAGAAAAATTTTTAGGGCCACATTTTACATTTTTAAAACAGGGCCTCCGAATATCATGGGACGGGCCTGCCTCCCAGCGCCAGTAGCCGCTGCCTCAAAGAGTCATGATACCTCAAGCATCGAACAACAATGGTACGACCAGTGGCGGATTCAGGAATTTTAAATAGGGGTGCCCTCTTAAAAAAAAGAACGAATTATTAAATATGAAAATATTCAACTAGTAAAAGGTAGAATAAAAGTTCAAACATGTTTCGTATTATGAAAGAATGGTAAAATACATTCGGTGTATACACTGCTCAACAAATTCTCTAGTGACATATCCTAATAGACAAGGGTAACCCGTAATTGAGTTTAACCGTTAGGTTTTGAAAATAATTGGGGATAAGAATAGCATTATATTTTGATCTAAAACATAACTACAAATGAGTTGTAGTCTAATTGAAACTATATTTACTAATAGTAGCTGTGTTCCCAAGTTCAAATCACATAGACCCTATCACTTAAATATTATTTGTACCCATATGCAGAATACTATTGGAGGTTGAATAACCATTTTCCATATTTTAAGGGCGTTCCACTATCACTAAATTTTTTTTTTACCCATACACACACTACTATCATCGAAGGTTGGATAATCGTTTTTCCAAATTTTAGGGTCCCGCTCCATGTATCCGCCTCTGGGTACGGCGGCGGTACAGGATTGGTGCAATCCTCTCTGCAACGACGTCGCATGCAAACGCCACTACTCGTGGTTGTGTCTTGGTCAACCTGATAGTTGCTACGAGACTTGCGACTGTCAGAGCTATAGTTGTTACTGCTTCTGCTCTGAATAAATATTGATTTGTGAGGGTTTATTGGGCGGGCTTGGCAAATATGTGACGGTTATTGGGCTTTTCTTTTTTAGCTGGACCTGTTCTTGATTCCATTACATTTTTCTGTTACCTTATGTAGGGTTTGGCCCAACTAAGTCTCGATCGGACAATGATGCAACCCATCAAACGAATGTCAAGCACAAAATAAGAAGGGAAAAAAAACCGAAATAAATAAAACATTATTGAGATTTGTAGCCTATTGCTTTGCTGCTTGATAATCCTTATCACCTTTTGATCTCTTCTTAATTTTTTTTTTTTTGGTAGTGTGTTCGAACCCAGAGTCGTAGTCAAAGTCAATCCATAACAAACAACAAGACGGTTTCTTATTCCAATCTGTGAAATGTGTCATCTTCATTCACTTATCACTACGACGTAACGTACTGTAATTATTTCCCGTTTCATCTCTGTGAGGCATTTTGATTGAGATATTTTATTCAAAATATTTTGCATATATTTCGAATCGTTTTCAAAATATTGTGCCGTTAAATAAATAAAAAAATTAATTTGATTCTAACTATTTTAGTTTTCAGCTCTAAGTCTTGAATCTTAATTATTTCCCGTTTCAGCTCTATGGAGCTATTTTACTTAAAAGTGAATTTTATGCTCTGTGGTTTAACTGGTTCTTTATTTATGGAGATAACTAGCTAGATCCGACCATTATTTATTTATTTATGAAGAAAGAAGAGAAAACAAAAAACCCGCACCGGAACAACAACAAGATCTTGCAACGAGAACATGGTAGCTTCGCCGGCGGCCGGGATAAAGCCTGAAGGAGATCCGATCGATCGATCGGCGCCCGCATCCAACTTCTTTCTGCCTTCAACGGATGAAAATTATCTAGAGCAGATGCAGTGGCAAAGCTTGTCGGCGCAGTGGCAACCCACGTAGCAATGGTCAAGATCTTTAGTCTGACACATATATGAGT